CCGTGCCGTCCGCCGCCCGTGCGCGCGACACCCGACCCGACCGACGGCCTGTGGAAGGCGCAACCCAGCTCGACCTGCGTCACGTTGCCTCGTGCTCTGCCTCTGCCTGACAGTCCATGCGCACACCACCGTCGCCGCCGCCACCTCCATTCACCACCGCTGTCGGCATCGCGTCGCGCCGCGCCGCGCTCTGCGACTGAGCAGCTAGCTGTCCCCGCCGGCGCCGACCTCACCTTCACTCTTGCACCCCGCGCGCACTGATAAACACCACTTCGCCGCAGGTTTGCACCATGGACCACACAAACCACTACAACATGGGTCGCTCGCCCATACAGCTCGACGAGGGCTTCTCGGAAGACACCCACAGTCAGCACGGCAGCGATTTCATGGATGAGTCCAACGGTCTCGCCATCGGCAGCAACGCGCATCTCGAGCACATCAGCACACTGGCCTTAACGTTGTCTTCATCCCAGAAATTTGGTACGTCATTCGTTGCGTCAACGGCGATGCGCTGACTGACTTCTGTCAGGCCTCATTCAGACACTTGCTGCCAGTCTGTCAACCGCCGACCTGCTTGTGTTGCACAAGACAATCGGCTCTCTTGTCTACTTTGACCCTGTGCACTATCTTCCTAATGAATTGATTTTGGAAATATTCTCACACCTCTCCCCGCGCGACCTCCTCACAGCATCGACCGTGTCCCGTCCGTGGCGAAAGCGAACACAGGACGAGGAACTATGGCGCCACAGCTTTGAACGTGAGGGCTGGGTCTTGGAACGATCGAAGTTGGATGAACCAGAGCAGCTGGCACGGAGAAGAGGAGTGGAGCACGCGCAGCACAAACTGCATACCACTCGACCAGGCTCTTTACTTGAGCGTCATGGCAGTCGGAAGAGGGCTCGGAACGAGGCTTTCAGTGAAGATGAAACACAGCGGGCGCAACACGGAGAGGCATCCGGCAGCAAGACCGCTGAAGTGACTGGTTCCGATGCAGATACTAATATGGAAGGCGTGGAAGCTACTGGTGAAGTCGAATCGGCAGAATCAGCCCATTCTCAGGCGTCTAGCTCTACAGATGCGACGTCGATTGACAGTCGCATCGAGCATAAGACATCGGATGGGAGCGCTCCTGACGATGCCCATGAGCTCGTGGTCAGTCCGTCGGTATTCACGAAAGGCAGCACCAAAAATCCGGCCAAGGTCAGTTGGCCTTGGCTCTACAAGCAGCGCCGCAGACTGGAGAGCAATTGGGACGCGGGAAAGTACACGACTTTCCGTCTACCTCATCCTGATCACGAGTATGAGGGCCACAGAGAATGTGTTTACACCATCCAGCATGCGGGCAACGACCTGGTCTCCGGCTCTCGGGACAAGACCATTCGCTGTTGGAACCTGAACACCCAACGATTGCGCATTCCAGAACTCAAGGGTCACGAAGCTAGCGTGCTCTGCTTGCAGTTCGACGCCCGAACGGATGAAAAGCACGACATCATCGTCAGCGGAGGTAGCGACAATTATGTCATTGTCTGGCGCTTCTCTACTGGCGAGATCTTGCGCAAGATGACGGCGCCTCATACCGAGAGCGTCTTAAACTTGCGTTTTGACGATCGGTACCTCATCACTTGCTCCAAGGATAAGACCATCAAGATTTGGAACCGACATGAAATCACCAACACCGACCCCATCATCCCTGCTCGTGTGCTACCACTATTTGCAGACGGGCCTGCATCTTTACCCCCTTTTACTCTTCTGGATACCCTTTACGGCCACCAGGCTGCAGTCAATGCAGTCCAGATCAATGATAATATCATTGTGTCCGCATCCGGAGACCGCACCATCAAGTCGTGGGACATACACTCCATGAAAGAAGGGCCCAGCCATCGCAAGTCATATACAGGACATACTAAGGGCATTGCGTGTGTCCAATTCGATGGTCGCCGGATCGTCAGTGGGTCCTCTGACAACTCCGTCCGCATATTCGATTATGACACGACAGCAGAGGTTGCCTGCCTCGACGGCCACAATAATCTCGTACGCACCGTTCAAGCGCGCTTTGGAGATATGGACACCGTCACCAATGAAGAGCTTGCGAAGGAGGCAAAGGAGGCAGACCGCAAGTTCTTGAAAGCTCTGGACGAAGGCAAACAACCAGTCGAACCGTCGCGCGTTCGTAGACAGCGCAATGCTGGCTCGAGTCGCCCGTCAGATATGCTAAGCTATGGCACCAAAATTCCACCTGGCGGAGGAGGCAGCAGGTGGTCCAAGATTGTTTCTGGATCCTACGACGAGACTATCATCATTTGGAAGCGCGATCCCAACAAAGCTGGCAAGTGGAGGCCAAACGTTCGCCTGCACCAAGGATCTATGACGATCGGCAGCGGCAACAATCGCGTCAGAGTCAACGTTGGAGTGACTGTCAATGGCGCACCTCTCAACATGGCCAATCCTGCTGCGCAAGGCATTCAGCCAGCGCAAGCTGCCAATGCTGCTCATCAAGCCCATATGATCCTGCAGCAAGCGCATAACAACCTCGCGCTGGCGAATGCCGCGCTTAGTGATCCGGCAGTCACAAATGCCTCCGTGTTACCGCAGTCGCAAATGACTGCTGTTGCCGCTGCGCAAGCCAACTTGAATCAGCAGCTTCAGATCGTGGCTAGTCAACAGAGTGCTCAAGGGCATGCGGGCGCCTCCCAAGCCCCCACTGTCACGTCCCACGCGGAGGTTGCGCAGGGTGCCCCCACCACGAATGTTGCGCCACCGAATACACAACAGACGCACGTGGGAGCCAATGTACCGGGTCCGGCACATAATGGTACAGCAGGCCCTGCAGGACCCGCGACTGTCGATGGCGCAGCACAGCAAGCGCCGGCACAAGCTGCGGCGCCCCAGCATCACCACCATCACGGCCATCATCATCACCACCATGGGCACGCGCATGGGCATCGTTCCGAATCGAATCGCGTCTTCAAGCTGCAATTCGATGCTCGCCGGATCATTGCTTGTAGTCAGAACAAGGTCATCGTGGGCTGGGACTTTGCCAACGGAGACAAAGACCTTGAGTGGATCGGTGATTGGAGTCGGGAAACGAACTGAGCAAAGCAGTGGTTTACATTCGACACGAGTGGCAACGAGGCGCGAAAGTCACTCAGAGACGTTGGCGCCCAGGCCCTAGAATTTAGAGCACCCTTCTCGCATGATTTTCGGTAGGACTTACGGTCTCCTAGATACTGTGAAGACACGCAGTTCCTCATGATGAGGAGACAGATGGCCGCGGAGACTCTCGGCACGGCATCGGAGCACGGCATATACTGAGTATCAAGTTCAATTGAACGAGTAGCTGCAGGTACTTCCTAGAAGGTACATTGTAGCATTTCCCATACCGCGAAGGTCTCAGAGGTTTCCATTCAAGCATGCTGTTACCGACACGAGGAATGGTCGCAACAACTCCGTCCAAACAGTAATGCAGCACAGCCTGCGAAAATCGGCACAGATAGCCTACTATTCGTATCTATCCAACTATGATCGCGCCTCTTTCACATTCGTCTCAATCACCTTCACAGCCTCTCTCACCTTGGGATCAAAATGATGCCGTAGCAGTTCTCCTTCCCACACCGTGCTCGCAAAGGGATTACTGCTTTCCACTTCCTGACCCAAAGCATCAAAGACTCCGTCGCCTTTCCTCTCCTCGGTATACCACAGCGCAGCAATTTTCTTGCCATGTGTTTTGGACACACTTTTTAGGAGCTCTTGGACTGCTATCGCGCTCTTCTGGGGTAGATGCAAGGACAGCATCTCAAGTTGCTTCACGAAAGCTGCCACGCGCACCGGTGGGACATTTTTTGTGTTGATGGGTGGGACGAGGACACTTTGAAGTGAACGCAGGAGGAGAACGGCTGTTGTAGATACGTTGATTTTGGTGTCGGTTGAGGAGGTCGTGGGCACGTGGAGTCCGTTGGGGTCGCTCAAGTGGGCCTTTTTGGCCGAGAGTTCGATGTCGAGGTCCATGGATAGTGGAATGAGAGTGCGGTACAGTTGTCGGATGAAAAATGAGAGGTCGAGAGACAGGGAATTGGCGGATTTGACGACATCAATTTGGCCTTGGAGGAGGGCGAAAGCGGTGATGATGCAGAGGAGGCTCTCGCGCGTGGCATTTCGTCTTTCCGTGTCATCAATGTCGTCTTCGTCTTCGGCTGCGTCGTCCTCGGATGGTTGAAGTGCGGCTTCGGCGTCATTGATTAGGTCCTTGAGAGCTTCGAGCACGTCTCCGAAGAAGTCCTGGTTGATGAGATGGGCGTACTTGGCGAGACCTTCGAGGACGACGCCCATCAGGTGTTGAATCCTCTCTTTCAGGATGCGGAAGTATGCGATAAAGACCAGCTTGAGCGTCTCAGCTTGGTTCTTGTCCTTTTCTTCATAGGAAACTGTCGCGTCTGCTTCCTTCATCTCTTTCTCAACCTGTTTCCTCTCCTTCATGATCTTCCGTTCTCGTTTCGTTCTAAACTCTTTCTTAAATTTTGGTTTGGGGCCTTCGTCTTCACGCTTGTCAATCCTGTTCGGCGCCCCTTTTTGCGAGAACTCGTTCAGCAGGCGTAGGTGCAGAAAAGTGCTAAGGACGGTCTCGTGTATTGAATAATCCCGTTTCTTCATCATCGTGGTCAGTTGTGATACCACGTCCAGCGATGCATGCCCTTCCTCATCGTCGCGGAACAGCTGTTCTATTGCCTCTCGACATTTGACAAAATCCGAAGTGACATTTCGACCAGCAAGCTTCTTCACCAGGATTCCGATGAGATCACCGCGGTTGTTGAAATGTGGCACGCTGGTAAGAAGAGTGCAAGCGCAAGATATGGCCACTGTCGCGAGACCCTGCGCATCTTGTTGGCTGACAGTCTTGCTCGTCTTGCCAGTCGCCAAATGTTGTAATGTGGAGATGTAGTTCTTATAACCACTGAGCAGCCCTTGCTCGAACGACCGCAGCTTCTTCACATCTTTGGAGAGCTTGCCCATGAGATCCTTTTCTGACATTGGTCTAATTCTGTAACCAGGAATAATGTCCTTGAAAACGGCCAATTGTGTTGCCAGGGCCAGCTTCTTGATCTTGATGTTGTCCGACTGTGCGAGCTCTGCCAATGCGCCCAATTGCCCAATATGTTCTTCTGGGTCTTCGCTGATAGCTTGAGCAGTTTTTGCGAGCTCCTCCTTGGCCAGACGAATCTGTTCTTTGACTGGTAATGCAGGCTTCTTTGGGGCCTTTGCGGGCTGTACATCAGCAACAACTCCGCTGTCCCCATCATCGCTGGCCATGAAGCTATCATCGTCGCTCACGTCCTCTTGCTGTTCTTCCACGCGAGGATTTTCCACTACTCGCCCATCCTGCGTCTTGACCAGCAGCTTGTCGCGCTTCTTGTCCTTCTGCTTCCTCTTCGCAAGCCGCTCTGCATAGTCCTGTTCGAGGTCGTAATTGGCGAAGCCCGGAGTCTCGTTGCGGTCGCCTTCCGGGCTCAGTCTCCTCCTCTTTGTCGCCCGCTCAGCCATTATTCCAGGTTCAGGTGTGTGTTCCAGACGGAGCTCCATCAAGGCCAGCCCGAAAACTTCTAAGACCCTCGTCCCGAGGCTGCCACGCTAAGCCTTATCACAAACCTTATCTAAAACTTCTTGAGAAGGAGCTCCGCATGGTTCGCACTCCTACTCCATACTATACAGAAACCGCAACCTCCCTTCGCCATCATGCGACCTCTTACAGACACCGAAACGAAGACGCTCTTCGAGAAGCTCGCCAACTATACTGGCAAGTCGCTCAACAACCTCATCACCGACACCGTCACAAATGGGAAAACCACCGACCGCTACGTTTTCCGAGTGCAAAAAGACCGAGTCTACTACGTACGCGAATCGATCGCAAATCTCGCTACCTCTGTCGCTCGCGACTCTCTTCTGAGTCTGGGTACATGCTTGGGCAAGTTCACCAAGACAGGAAAATTCAGACTGCACATCACAGCTTTGGACGTGATCGCACCGCACGCAAGATATAAGGTATGGGTGAAGCAGAACGGAGAGATGCCATTCCTGTACGGAGGGCATGTCGTAAAAGCTCATGTTGGGCGATGGAGTGAAGATGCGCCGGAACACGCAGGTGCGGTTGTATTGAGCATGAATGATACGCCGTTGGTGAGTGTAAAAAATGCGTCAAAGCTTCGCGGCTGCGGATTGGCATCACTGACTTTGTGCAGGGCTTTGGAGTAACTGCCAGGAGTACTGCAGAGGCGAGGAAGCTGGATCCCACCGGGATAGTACTGTTCAGACAAGCAGATGCTGGAGAATATTTGCGAGAGGAAGAAACGCTCTTTACCACATGAGCTACCACACAAACCTGACTGTCGAGCCATTCCAATCTCGTCGCGCCGAAGCCCTTCTCAGGATTCTCGTGGGGTCGACACCATCGGAGACGTGAAGCGAACGATACTCGCCTCAATTGCAGCGCATGGGGCACAAACAGAGCGAATGCGACAATGTATTGTGGGTGAAGAATGGGGCTGGGAAGTCTAACACGCCGGTCTGCGTGGTGGCGGGAGGAAAACGATCCGATTGAATAAGTGGTATTGGCTACGGATTCCGGCTGATACCAAGCCCGGGTGGGCATGCGTGTGCACAAAGCACGCCGGTCGCCTACGAACCAAGGCTCTAATTACGAGGAAAGGACCACATGTTCGTGTTTCCCATGATCGGTCTGACGATTGCGATATTGCATCAGGCTATCATTCGACCGCGAAATCGTGAGCCATGGCAAAGTGTATCACGACCTCTGAGATCCCCATGGACTGCTATGTATGAGAACTATGGTCTTGGCTATCATGATTACTAAATCTCTTCACAAGAGGCTAGACTCCATTAGACGAGCTTCGGCCGAGCAGTTGCTACATGGCTCGTAGATGGAGCAAGAGTGTCTTCTCAGGAGAAGGTTTGCATGAAGTAGTCCACACAACTTTTAGAACACAGTCCGGCATCGCTGATCGTCGCAAGCGCAATGCTTTCCACGAATGTCGCGCAATCATCGAGCCATCGATGCACGCTCCGCGGAAGATCTGGAGGGGCCTGCAATAGTACGAGTGGATTTACAGTGCTGACATAATAGCTCACGCGATGCCGCTGCGCGTAAATCCGAACCGAAAATGCTTGTGTGTATGCAAAGGAATGCAATCAACATCTTACGATCCCATCGGTCGTTGCGGGAAGCGCGACTACAACGCCTTGCGTCAAAAATTGCACTGTCACCAGAGTCGCGCTCATCGCACGAAGCTATCGCGTCCCGTCCGAGGCCCGTTATACTTCTGCGCAAAGTCTAATCGCATCAAACGACCAACATACTACGGTGTGAGCACAACGACCAGATGCAGTCATCAGAAGTGGATCACTATGCACCAGTACACCTTGCAGCGAACGTCACCGTTTTTTCGATAAGTTAACGTCCAATCAGAGGAGTGTTGGATCAACGCCCGGCTCTCTTCACGCACCGACCGCCAGCCTTGCAGCAACGCTCGACCGCCATTCGGATCTGGCGGAAGCGCGGGAAACCGGACTTTAGAGTAGTTTGCTTGTCTCTGGCACACTTCTTGCATAACGAGAGAATCGTGGACCACCCAAGCAAGGCAGGCGCGCAGGCCAGGCCAGCACAGCGTGTGCAGTGTTTTGCATCGAACGGTTTCTGCTGCTTTGATCAGAGTTTGTCATCTGGACATCATTCCGTTTAGTTATACCAGGGTGGATTCCATGGTCTTACTTTCTTCCTGCTCTTCCTCTCTCTTTCTTCTTATTATCGTCATGCTCTGCGAGCACGTTGTGTGCTGTCTTGTTACACCTTGAATCACGATACCTCTCTGTTTTGGACGTGTGAGCAGTCGAAGCATTTCCGGCTGGCACCGGAACTCGCGTGAAGCTTGACGAGGCAAATGGCGGGGCGTCATCATCCTGGTTCCGAGAGGTCGGTGTGCCTGTCACCATGTGCCATTCCCAGCAACAGCTTTGTGGTGTTCGGTGGTGTGGCACATGAGAGTCGCGTGAGCAGATATACTGACTGGGTTATTGTAGTACCAGCAGGTGCTTCCCAGTGACGATTGCCATTGTGTCGCTGGTGTACAATGTGCTGGTTGGATTCTCATGCACATACCTACCTGACGATCCGCTCTACATCGGCCTCAGTATTCAGCTCTATGCATGGGCAGGTAGTGCTTTGAGTGTGCTCGGATTGTTTGGGATAGTGACGGTAAGCATATATCAGGACAAAAGCAGCTTCTCAAGTAATGTCTAGCTAATCTATCAATGTTAGAAGCGACCCGCTCTCACGACTTCGTTCGCACACTTCCTCCTGCTGGACACCTTCGTATCTGCGATAGTCCGTCTGCTCATCCTGCAATTCTTCTTCGAAGCCTTCTACGACCATAATGTCTGCACGGCAACTTACGATCCGACATGGAGTCCTCGGAACTTCAGACACGACATCGTGACGTCCGTCCGATACCAGAAAGAATACCTATGGCAGACCAGCAATAGAAAGAGGTGTCGCGCAGCTTTAAGCGCTGTGCAGATCGTACTGATCGGATTGGTAATATGCCTCACCGCAGCACAATGCTCGCTGGCCTTCACGATGCGCAGGTTCGGGAAAGAGCTCGAGAGAAGAGGAGAAAGGACAACCACGAGATCGACATTCAGATCTGTCGACGAGAAGCCGCGTCGCAGTCCCGAGCCATCAATGGCACCATATAGCGACGAGAAGTCGAGACTGGAAAGCGCATAGATCGAGGAATCTGGCGTTCGGGACACCGATGGTTTGATGTGAAAGGATACCCAAGCTCAATGATTTAACGAGATTCCAAATGCATTATCGGCACCAATTTCTTGTGTGCCGCCAGCGGTTCACCCAGTATTTCCCGTGGATATATTCTCGCTGCCCATCCTGATCTGGCTGCATGCCAGTGTTCCTCAGAAACGCTTTTGCCATCTGCCGTGGGTTCCGAGATCTGTGGTGAGTCCATGCTCGGCGACAGCCTGACCAAGCACTCGACTTCGAAGTGCCCACAGCTGTCACAGTTGCATGAGCATTTGGACATGTGCCAGCCGATGGTCTCACGCTCATGTGCACAGTAAATCCTCCTAATCGGTATCCACACCGCCTCTTGCTTTTCCCTGGTCAGAAGTAGCAGTCGAATTTTGAGCGAGCTCTCCATGTGTTGAGGGATCGAGCTGCTCATAAATCGCGCCTGGTGCCATTTGCACAGTGGAGCATCTCCAATGAAGCGACGAACTGGTGCCACAATCCCACAATGCACGCATCTCCTGCGACCGCCAAGGAACTCCTTTCGTTCACGTGTAGCACGATATGCTGCAATCCTTTGACAGTCGGTCGCAGTCTTTAGCCAGTTGGCTGGCGGATCCGGCGTGGAGAGATATACCTGCTTGCTCGAGAGTTTGAAAGAGATCAGGGAGGAGGCCGGAAGGTAGGATATGACTTCGAGAAGCAACTCCGGCGGTAGGTCCGCGAGACCGACTCGGTACATGGTTTTCGATTTGGTCTTTCGAGGCTGCTCTTCCGTGTGCAATGAGCTGTTGGAGCTCAGCTGGTCAAGGAGATGTCGCCAGCGGCAGTAGATCTGTTGAAGGAGACGGCATTGCTTGTTCACCATATAGGAGATCATTTCGAGACAAGCTTCAATGTGATAGTAGGAAATGTGCTGGACGTTCGCGCTCGCGCACGAAGCACGGGGCGTGGCTTTCTTAAGACAAGAGACTGAATGCTCGTACCTGTTGGATGTCGTCCCTTGACAGCCATGATGTTGTTACACGTAGTCCAAGCGAAAGGTCGCGGGTGAGACAGTGTGTCGCAGGCCCGAAACGCGTGATCCTCAATCACGATCCTCCTTGCCGTGCAAGAATGTAAGGCATCCCGTCGAGCGCTTGATTGTGTATCAATAACTAAACGAGGTGAAAAGCAGGATTTGCGAACGCTGCTCCTCGTTTCAATCATTAATCAAGCATTGTCGTCCACTCGAACCACCAGGGGTCGTTCAAAGACGGATGGAGTCTGCATACGTCTTCTGATCAGGCGGAGGACTTGCCGCACACGTGAGGTCTGCTAACGTGATTCAGTACAACGTATTAGTGATTGAGGCATCTTGCCTCCCCCAGGATGAGCAACGGGAGTTCGCGTCAGGTCCTGATTTTCTCGTGAGCAGTTGGAGCAGGGTCGATATGGATCAGAGAATACGGATGACTGTCAGCTGCTGTACCACCGAATCTGGTGTACAGGAGACAAGTGATCGGCAGGTCAGAGTACGGCAGACAAGCAGCGCAGCATGCACGATGCACGCGTGCTACTTGCATGCACTGCTACCTGACCTGCTCTCGACAGTGCATGTGATGCGGCCGCCGGGCATCGTGCGTATCGCCGCGCTGGTGCCGAGTGGTAGCTCCTGCAAGGTGCGCAGCGTGTTCCTCTCCCAATGTCGTTGTAGCCCGGTGAATATGGTGTCGCGGATTGGTCATCGCATTCACTCATGGAAAAGCTCGTCGTGCGCGGGGTCGATGAAGCTATCGGACAGCTGCAGGCGATGGTGGGCATATCGCGGGCACCATGGATTTCGAGATGCGTTGGAGTTGGCTCTCACTGTCCACGCAGCTCGCGAGAGGGCATGTCGTCGCCCGTGGTTGCCGCAGATGGCAGGTGAAAGTGCGGATCGCACTGTGAGGTCCAGCGGGGCGTGCGCAACAAACATGGCAGACCGCGGCTTTCGAGCGCAGCAGCAGCGACTGGCACCGCTGGGGGTCAAGCTTTGCTGCTAGGGAGGCTTGCGGCGTGGAGGGACGTGAGATGGGGTCCGTGTCGCGGCAGCAGACATGGATACCACACGCGCAGCGATGTCGTCGATGGGCCACTGCTGCACACGGTACGCAGACGTGCCTCGGGCATCCGCCGCGCCCATTCGCACTGGCGACGTTGACGGGCAGCACATCGCCATACAAATGTGACGGGTCGAGTGAGAAACAGTGGAGGCGTTGGTGGCCCGGAAATTAATCGACACTGTAGACGCGCCGAGAGAAGACGGCCTCCAAGGGCCCGAAGGCAGAGCGGAGCTCAATTTGCTTTCTCAAAGGCCCTTTGCCTCTGCCTGCTTCTGCCGAGTCTCTCTCCTCCTCCGTCGTTGTTGCGCCGCGTGAGTCGCTCCTTTCTCGTGCCCATCCCGCCCGTCCGCCCACGTCGTAGAAGGTACGCACTGCATTGTCTGTCCCAACGTCGTACAACACCCTAGAATTTGCGCTCGCGACCCTCCGCCAGCCGGCTGCATTCAGACTCTGATCTCGCCATTTACCCGCGGCATTCCCACCACCAGCACGCGCGATTTCGGGGGACGACTGGGGAGGGAGGAACGTGTGGAGGTACGGTTCTGATTGCGTGTGCATACAGTTGAAGAAAACTCGATACATCTATTCCCTGCATTCGATACGGATCCAAATACCCTAATCCGATCCGTCCTTCTACGACCATTTCTGGACGACCATGTCATTCTACGACAACAACGAAAGCTCCTGGGCCGCGCCGGGTCGCCAGCCTTCATGGGAACAGCAAGCACCTCCTTCACGCTCCGCCTCCGGATCCGCAATGTCGCATCAGTCCGACGCCAATGCATTCGCGTCGCAATTCGAAGAGATTGAGCGGGCAACGGACAATCTGATCAAGAGCGGCAAGTGGTTGCCCACGCCAGTGATGGCCGGGGCAGGAGGGCCGGGGCGGAGGGAGAGCATGCCAACGCCAGCCCGCCCCTTTGAATATGGTGGTGACCCGAGGCTGGGCGGAACCCCATCACGGCACCAGTCCGTGAGCAGCGAGTTCAGCAATGATCGCCCGGGCTCTGCAGGACTGCAAGGCTACTATGCGGGCCAGAGATTTCCAGGAAGACAGCCGAGTGAAGCCGAGCAGATGTTGCAGGCCAAGCGTAGGATGGCTGCGCAGCGCGAGCGCGAGCTTCGAAATTACCATCAGGAGCAGCAGTACAATAGGAGTGAGTCGGGCAAGTCGACGATGCGCAGGGATCTCGCTGACACGGAGCACAGGCGGCAAGCAGCAAGCGCAGGATCGATCCCTTAGTCCTGCAACCATGAGCGAAGAAGATCGCCGCGAACTGATCGCTCGTCAACATCGTGCCTTGTATGGCGAAGGCTCCAGCCTGTACAACGCAGACGGAACCAGAGCGCCTTCGCAGGATGCACGCACATCGAGTGCTGGGCGCGGACCTTCTCCATTGGCATTCGATCCGTTTGGGCAAGCTCAGAGCGGAGCAGATGGATCAGTGCAAATGCCGCCGCGTGATCGCGCTGAAAGTACTGCATCTCCTGTCTCGAATCCACCTGTTCAGCAATTTGGTTTGCTAAACGATGCACAACAGAGTAGCCGGACTTCGACTTCCTCGCCCGGCGAGTCGCCACCACTCACTGGTGTATCCAAAGGCAGCGCAGCCGGCGTTGCTCCTATCGGTACGAGGCCAGCGCAAGCTCCTGGACTCGGAAAGCGATCCACAACACCGCTCACGCCTTCTTCGCTCAGCTACGGCTTCAACGCCAGCGACAATAGGCCAGCGAACACGGGAAATGATCAACGCTCGACCTCAGCAGCCTCTAACCCCTCCCTCAACAAGGAGGGCGCAAGCGGCCTCGGAAATTGGGGCAGCAGCAGTGGGACGTGGGGTCCCGGTAGCAAAAACCTTTCTGTTCAGCCGTCCGTATGGGGCTGAATCTCTCATACGAAGAAATGAGCTCACAACAGCTGAAAACAACAGAAGTTGACGATGGGTTAGCGGCGGAGTTTCTCTTGTTGCTGCATTCATGGCATGTGGAATTTGGTGTCCTGGGTCTGAAGGTGCAAAATTTGTGGTGCTCTATGGTTGTCAGCATTTTTTCGGGGCCATTCGGGACATGAGCAAGCGCTCGGGGAGTGAATCGTTGCATGCTTTGATTTGGTGCGGTTTGGTGTTGTGGCTGGGCATCGTTGGCATGGCTTAGCAGAAGATATCCCATTGGTACATATTGGATGCGCACTATGCGTAGTGGACGGAGGACGGCTTGGGGAGGTGTTTACGGCATTCGGGTTGCTTGAAAACATATTCTCACATCTGGGGCGGGTCTGCGAGTAATATCTTTGCAGCGATAGCTGAGATACAGCCAAAGTCAGGTTCTTGGGGCGCGACATGTGATTGCCGAGTGATGCTCGAAGTGTGCCTCAGAAGTAAGAAGTAAGAGGCAGTTGGGGTCACTCAAACCAGGACTAGCGTCGGACCCTCTCCAGCTTGGAGCCAAGAATGCGGCTCTGCCGCCAAATGTGCAGTCCAGCCGAAGCTATCGTGTCCTCTCCTTCAACCGCGAGTGTGCACAACACGAGACAATTCCAACATTCACCGACTGGACACGCACCACTTTCTCGATCCAAGTCGCTCCAGCTCGTAGAACAACTCGTCAAATTGAGATCGCTTTGCGACGCAACCGCCCACAATGGTGAGTATCTCTGGGGACCCCCATGCGGCTTCAACACCTGAACCTGCGCAAATGAACCGCGATGCACGCGATTCCCAGGCGCCACTTATAGCGCGTGCTTCGAGCACTTGATACAGACAGCGAAGACTCATCAATACTGACGTGGATGCCTCTTCAGTCTTCGCCACGACCTTCATCCCCGATCAACTCCAACCCAACCACTGGCTCCACGACCGCACGAGCAGCCTCGCCCAAAGCCCCAGGTGGACCAGCGACCGCGATCAGGAGGAAGGCTGCCGCAGATAGAGCCGACAAGATCGCCAATGCGCGACCAGCAAGCACAAGAGCCGCGGGAGCAGGTGGCAGCAGCAGCACCATGTTGAGTACGTGGCCACAACCATTCTCTACACACGTCACATAATGTCGCTGTGCAGGTTGTCAATTGGAGGAGTGCTAACATGCGGAACAGGACTGTACACGGACGAATCGCCAGGACTCAAGGTCGACCCCTTTGTCGTTATGGTCCTTTCGATCGGTTTCATCATCTCCGTGGTCGCATTGCACAGTAAGAGACTCTCAGCAGCCACTGGATCGCTTGCAAATACTGATCTTTTTGCAGTCATCGCGAAGTTCACAAAGCGATTCTCGTCGTAGAAGGCATTTCACTTTATCAAATATACCAGATGGTTCACTATTCTCCTACATAGCAGTCGGCTGCGAGGTGCGAAGAAAAGTACGGCGTTGGAAGAGGCCATGTGGCTTGTAGTTATGAGGCCATTGACAAACGGACGAAGGTCTGAACTACGGAGCTCGAGAGGAAAAGTCTGCTCCCAGATCCAGTCGGCTCGGTATTGAGCCCTCAGCACTTTGTAAATCATATGTTGGGTCTCTAGGGAGGCTTATCCTATTCAGTTATGACTACAGATGCACCGTTCAGTTCGATCCCACAGATCCAGGCGGTCCGAGAATGGCTTCGTTGTATGAGGCGCCCGCGATGACATCCCACACGCTCATTCCGCATGGGCAGCCGCACGCGAGGATTCCGCCGGCTCGTGGACATTGTTGCGTGATGTGCTGCGGCCTGCCCTGCATGTATGTCTGATTCTCAGAGCAATTTAGCCGCGCCAATGCTTATTGAGTGGAGCCCCCGAACGTGCCCTCCACGTCGCGACTGCCGAACGCTTTAGCCCCTCCAATGACGAAGTTCAGAAGCAAGCTGTTGTGCTGCATTCTGGCAAAAATGTTAGTGCCCCGAGCAAACAAATAGCCCAGAGGCACCGCAGAGCCGCCGGGCCTCTTGGGTGCCACACTCTTGCTCCGGGCAATGCAAGCTATAAGAAGGTTAGAACCGCCACGCGACAAGCTATTCGCGCATTCAAACTGACCTTTTCGCTCAGAACAACTGCTCTGTTCAGTTCTCGCAGCTCTCATCTACCAGCGATCACGCCACCCAGAGCTCCAGCTCTTCCACGACTTCAATTGATCAATTCCCATCTATCGACCAGGTCATATTCAAAGATGCCTTCTCCCACTGTTAAGCTGAGCAATGGCAAAGAGGTCAGTCCTCGATGGCAAGAACGAGCAGCTGGAAACAGTACTGACATCGCAGTAGATGCCACTTGTCGGCTTCGGTCTCTGGAAGGTGAACAACGACACCTGCGCTGATCAGGTCTACAACGCCATCAAGACCGGCTACCGCTTGTTCGACGGCGCTTGTGATTACGGCAATGAGGTGGAGGCTGGCCAGGGAGTGGCACGCGCTATCAAGGATGGACTCGTGAAGCGTGAGGAGCTCTTCATCGTTTCCAAGCTGTGGAACTCATTCCACGACAAGGAGCGCGTGAAGCCAATCGCGAAGAAGCAGCTTGCGGACTGGGGCATCGACTACTTCGACTTGTACATCATTCACTTCCCAATTGCCCTCAAGTACGTCGACCCTTCAGTCCGCTACCCACCAGGATTTTTCGACGAGAACGACAAGCTCTCGCTGAGCAAGGCACCACTCGAGGAAACCTACCACGCCATGGAAGAGCTGTACGATGAGGGTCTGATCAAGGCCATCGGTATCTCGAACTACAACGGCGGACTTCTTCTTGATGTCGAACGCTACGCCAAGACCTTGCCACACACCCTCCAGATCGAGCACCACCCATACCTTGTGCAGCAAGACCTCCTCAACTTGTGCAAGAGCCGAAACATTGCAGTGACCGCGTACTCTTCATTCGGTCCTCAGTCATTCCTCGAACTCAACATGCAAAAGGCCAAGGACACCCCACTTCTGTTCGAGCACTCATCCATCAAGAGCATCGCGGACAAGCACGGAAAGTCGCCAGCGCAAGTGCTGCTGCGATGGGCTACGCAACGTGGCATTGCTGTTATCCCAAAGAGCAACAACCAGGAGCGTTTGGCACAAAACTTGGACGTTACCAGCTTCGATCTGTCCGAGGATGAGATTAAGCAGATCTCTGGCCTCGACAAGGGCCTGCGATTCAACAACCCTCTCAACGTGAGTCCCAATACATGTGATGCGAAAGTTGGACAAAGCTAACAATGATACAGTACGGCATCGATGTTCCAATCTTCGCATAAACAGACATAGGAAGAAGATGTGCCTGTCGCGTATAGATTTTTGTGGAAAGACCAAGATGCTTGCGTGTAGAAATCCTGCGATCGTCAGGAATGTCACTATAGATCAACACTACGAAGAATACGATAAAGTTCACGACAACATAGCCACCTCATAGTCTGGCCAAGTTTTCACATACCTCTTTTGATCGAGTTCATGGGCATAGTTGACGTAGTCAGGTCCTAATGACGCCCAAGGGTCCGCGTGTGACTCAAGAAACGATGCTGTCCAGACATGGCATCCTTGCTACAGAACGAGGCTGGGCTCGAAGCTCACCTTATAGAAATGACGATGGTGCTGGTATATAGTGCTGCGTGAAATTCGCTGATCATTGGTCTCCAGATATAATACATGAATACAATACATCAAACATAGCAAATTAAAACCACAACACCTCCATCAAAAACGATTTCAGACGACATCATCAAAGACCGCGGAACCTCCACAACGAAGACACAATGTCCTTCTCCAAGAAAAGAGCCCGCAAGCAGCGACTTTCGAAGAACGAACAGCTGCGGAAAGACTTGACAGATCGACCAAAATTGGCAAGACAAGAAGAGAAATTGCGGAGGCGAAGTGATAGGATCAAGGAGCAGCAGCATAGAGCTTCGCAGCATACACAATTTTGAGTATGGCGGGTCTCTCCTGGAGAGGACGGTAGAGAACGGTACTGGGGAGGTTGAGGAGACTGGGAAAGGACGGTAAAGATGTCTGAAGGGCCAGTCTGAGAGAGAGGAAACGTCGTGTAATGGAGTATGATTTGTATCATTATTGGGTATCTATCGGTCGACAGTACGCATCACTGTCGTGTATATTACCAGGAGCATACATGAGTGCTCAGATTTCGCAGATACGAGTCTTGATCCTTACGTCGTATCTCATCATGACTTCAAGGTCTGAATACCCGAACTTTTTGTCGAATCTGCTTTCGACATACGGGACATGCCGCAGCTCTTCGGGGACGTGTTCGATCGTGCGGCATAGTGGGAGAATGCTGGTCGCTGCACCATTGGCACATCACCAAGTGGCCGCATGGCAGGCATGCGATATCCGCAAGCTGCGTGTAACAGACTTGACAATCAAGCCTAACGTTCAAGTCTTCTTCGGCCAGTGGCTCTGTAGGACGTCCTGTGTTTCTGGCATCTAGTCCCTTCGCCTCATCGTCCGAGTCTGTATCGGAGTCAGAACGGCCACCGATGAAGTCGTCGATGCTCAAGGGTCGATAGGGCTGGGCCCCACCCATGGCGGTCGGGGCAAAACCATTCGCTTGCAGGCGTTCATAGGCTGCTCTTGTAGCTTCGTCGCGGTTGGCCATACGTTCTATCAATTCAGCTGGAGTGGCTTGCATTGCGACTCTTCCTGCTGCGAGTGCGAGGGTTTGCGTGGCTCTTCTCTGAGCATCCAGTTCCGTTCGAGAGTGGTCACCCTCGCGTGCTGCCTGCTGACGTTCTCGATCCAGCTCAGCTGCGTTGCCAGATGCGGCGGATGGAATTGATTGTTCTTCAACGACGTGTTTGGCACGAGCGAAAGTCGACTCGTTTTGCAGCATACGCACCAACACTGCTCGGTCCTCAGAGGTGCGCTCGCCTCTTTGCAGTCTGTACAGCATTCGTAGCTGCTCGGAGAGGGTAGTGCCAGAACGTCGTCTGATATGCGAGCTCGTCTGAAAAGCGCCGGCCATAAGTTCGACATCGTGTACTATGATCGTTCCACTAGCAGCGATCTCGTGCGCCATCTCGTTGAAGCTGACGGTCTCGCCGCGTTGACGGCGTCGGCGTAGTCTTTCAGCAGGCAATCCACTTCCCCAGATGACATTACTGTCTTCTAAGTAGCCCTCGATAGTCTCTCGATCCGAGTGGCTCAAGCTATTTCCTCGCACTTGCCCAAGAAGGTGCTCGATGTAGCTCACCGTTGGGTTGCCGAGCAAGTTTGAGCGTAGAGATTCGTTGTTCGACAGTGCTGTGAGAATGAAGATGCCGTCGAGGCCGCGATCATTGTTGACATGAGGCTCAGGGTCGAGCGACTCACCTGGTGGCCCCCCCACGATTGTGATGGTAGTAGTATCGGCCGGGAGTTCCGGTAGATCCCCTGGCACTTCGTTGCTTGGAGCTTCAAGCTCTACAGGCTCAGCCGCGCGTGCTTCGCTATTCCACCCTTGGCGGCGAAGCAAGCTATAGTACTGCTCCAGCGCGACCTCTTCACCCCGGGGCTCTAGGCCGCTCTCTGACTCTCTGATAGGCTGACTGCTCGATGTTATTGCCTGTGAGGTGGAGTTCCTATCATGGGTGATCGTGATCTGGCGCAAGATTCCACGATCTTGCTGCGATCCAGGCGGATGAGGCACGCCCCAGACGTCTCGCTCGCGTGCCTCCAGCTCTGCCAGACGGCTCGCGACATCTTCGCCACCCGCCCTTTCTTCGTCCGCAAGTACTTGCCTTAGGGTGCGTTCCTCCCGGCGTACGTCTTCGGCGGTGCGAAAGCGCTCGTAGGCTCTCTCAAACATGCCACCGATGGGACTCTGATACTGCTCGCCTTGAGCAGCCATTTCTTCGCGGGTGCCGAAGATGCGCGTGTAATTCTCTGTCGTTCGCTGCTCGCTCTGCAGCTGCCTCAGTCGTGATTGCGATGATCGCAAGTCTCTCTCCGCCACGTCCAGTTCGGTGGCAGCTTGATCACGACTCCTTCGTGCTTCGTCCACGTGCTGTCGGGCTTCATCTACACGAGCCTGCAAGCTGGCGAATGCACGATCAGTCTGCGTGGTGGCCGTGCCTTCGGTGAGGGCATTGACGCTTGCAAGAGCGCGATTCGCAACGTCCTGCGGTGCCGAGCCTGCAATGTTATCGAGTGTTCGTCCCAGATCTGACAGCCGGTCGGACGCTTCGCCATGGTCTGGCACGTCTTCACCCAAGTCGCGCAGACCCGAAATGACCCTCTCGATACCACTTCGCATGCGGTGCAGTTCGCGCCGCAGGGCCGCAATGCGTCGTGCCTGATATTCTCGATTCCGCGTTCCAGCCGGCACCATCGCTTGTCCGTGCACATGTTGTAGCGGAGCCGCATGTGGCTCGCGGTGCTGCTCCACCCGGTGCGCAGGGCTCGGTGCACTCTGCGCAGTGTTCGCCTCTTCCACGCTCGCCGCCTGGAACAGCTGGTCGAGCGTCTCCTCGAGCGATGGTCCTGCGGGCGCCTCCTGCTGCACGGAATCCCGTTCCTGTCTCTGCCTGATGGCCTCTGCCCGCTCGCGCTCTTCCATCTCGCTGCGTTCTCGTCCCTCCCTCAGCTCTTCCAGCGTCCGCGGCAGCACCCCAGGCGACACTTCGCGCAAGGGCTCGCCCAGAACGGCCACTCGCTCCTCGCTGCCATCATCCTTGCTCACCAGCCGATAGCCCTGATAGAACTCATACCACCGCGCAAGGAAATCGCCCTGATCTGGTCGCTCTGGTATGCGAGTCTCGTCGGGGCGCAGGCCACATGCGGCAATACGATGGTCCCAATAGGCTCGACAGCTGCTGCAGTATCGCTGCCATCGCAAGCCGCGGGCGACGAAGCCGACGCCGTCAATGTACGTTCGATACGAAGTGCTATGTGGGCGTTCGTCTATACAGGCACAACAATGCGCATCCCATAGCATACAGCTGGTGGGCAGCTTGTGCTCGCAGTGCTGTGCCAGCCGGGGTACGCCGGCGGTCAATGTCCCCATGGCATCGTAATACACTTTTTGCAATGTCGATGTTAGGAGAGTGTTGCGGCAACGGAATGGTCTAGGCGGCTGACATCATTGTCGTCCCACTAGTTACTTTTGCGCTTATTGCAGTTCCGTCTCACATTATTCGGATGCCGTCGTACAGAATTATTACTTTGCCATCAATAACGCCGAGACAAGCCCTCATCGCACTAAAGCCATGATCTGGGACCAAGCGCCGGTTAAGGCTGATGAAGCTCCGCTGCTTCAGGGGTGCGCACTCGCAACATTCGCTCGAAGCGTCGATATAGCTCAGCAAGGTTGCCAATTCAAGCTACGAGGCGATACGAACGCACTACATGACTCTCCGCGGACCTTTGCTGTCCACCGCAACTTCTCCCTACTCGCCCTCGCATCGATGCAGTCCATGCAGTCGCACATTCACGATGACACAGGGTGCTCGCTCTGAACCTCCCGCTGCAAAGTCCGCCGAGCTAGCCGCCATCGAAGACATAATCAATTCACGACAAGAAGATATCATCCTCGCCATCAACAACCACCAGTTCGATGTGTCCAAACCTCCCTGGTCATCATGGGCTTCGCCGGCTTTCCATGTGGACGTTCACCTTTCCGGCCCGAGCAGATTCGATAGCTTGGAAGAATACGTCAATTGGTGGAAAGGAGTGAAATCCGCCTTTGCAGACCATGCGCAAGCAACCTTGATAGAATCACAGACCAGCGTCAAAGGCGACTTCGCAACAAATTTTGCCTTCTACGAATTGCGTGGGCCTGCCCACCCTCCCCATGACAGAGAAATCGTGCGGCAGTTTGTGAGCAAGTCAGTATGGTGGCGCAACAAGAACGGGGACTGGCTCTTCGAAGCTTATGGCACCGTCGAGGGCATCGATTTGACGAGGTTGTGAGACCACGGCACACCGGATAAACTTCAGGATAAGGAGATCCAGACGGCGTGCTCCCTGTATTCTGCTTCGGATGGTCCCGGAGGCATGTGCTATTCCATCAAGGCTCCCGAAAGGCAGTCTGAGCCAACATCCCAAGCAGGGGAACTTAGAGCTTGATAGAAGTTGAGATGCGGTTCACCAGAAGTGTATACCATCAGGAAAACTGGGAAGACGTTTAGCCAAGCATCCAAGAAACGAGGCTGCTTGGCGTGGGCCCGACACCTGGGGAGAGCTTCCCAGCTCTTTCCTCTTCACCATCGACCTCCACCTTAAATAGACAAGCGAACCAACGCAGCAGTCCAATCATGGCCCGGGGACAGCATGGAAGCCATGGCAATGGGGAGAATGCACCTTTGCTGTCTACACACAACTCGAGCCACCGCGTAACTCACACATTCGCTGACGGCATCGGTAAGCTTCGCAAGAGGCTGACTTCTCCTGAAAGACTGTACTGACGGGCATATAACAGCTCATGAAGGCGAGAGTGGACGACATGGCTTTCATCCTGCACAATTCCTCTCCATCGTTGCACGCTCCTCGAGCCGTGTCTCGGCGGCCGTCAATCTTCTCTGGCCATTCGTGATCGTGGCCATCGTGCTCAACTATGTTACCGACGCCCATCTCTGGATCTTCGCAACATCGTATCTGGCCATGATACCCGCTGCGAACCTGCTCGGTTTCGCAGGACAGGAGTTCGCTAGGAAAATGCCAAAAGTGGCGGGTATCCTCATCGAAACGACATTTGGGTCCATTGTCGAGATCGCGCTCTTCGTTATCTTAATCGTCAAGCACGAACCACAAGATGGAGAAGGAGAGGGCAATGGAGATGAAGGTAATCTCATTCCAATTATCCAGGCTGCCATTCTGGGCTCAATCCTCACCAATCTGCTACTTTGCTTGGGTTTGTGCTTCGTTGCCGCTGGTGTGCGAAAGCACACTCAGAACCAGAAATTCCATTCTGTTGTCTCAGAAGTCGGTAGCGGACTGCTCCTCGTCGCAGCATTTGGCCTGTTGATTCCATCGGCATTCTACTCCGCACTGAAGTCCGAGACCGTGTCGGCACTTCACGAACATTTCACACGGGATACGCTTGAGAACGACATTCTGCGAATCAGCCAGTACACCTCCATAATCCTCATCATTGCCTACGGACTGTACCTGCTCTACAGTTGTACATCGGCGCATTCTATCTTCGACGAGGTCATCGAGCAAGACGAGCACGCGGACGAAGACCACCACGAGGATATGGCTAAGCCAAAACTCACTATGACGGAGGCCCTTATGGCGATCGCAATTGCCATTGTGTTCGTTGTCATCCTCCTGGTCATTCTCGTCGCTCAGATTGAGCCTGTGGTCGAGAGCGGCGTACCAGACCAGTTCCTTGGCTTGATCCTGCTTCCATTGGTTGAGAAGGCAGCTGAGCATCTCACGTCTATCGATGAGGCTTGGGATGGCGTCATTAACGTGGCACTGTATCACTGCATCGGTCCCTCAATCCAGACGGCGCTGTTCAACGCACCCCTGGTTGTGCTCGTCGGCTGGGCGCTCGGAAAGCCAATGGATCTCAACTTCGAAATCTTCATGATCGTTCTCCTTGTGCTCTCTATTCTCGTGGTCGGCAACTTTTTACGCGATCAAGAGAGCAATTGGCTCGAAGGGAGCTTGCTGGTGGTGAGTTACTATCCTTCTTTGGTCTCGATCATTGTGCTAATGATTGTGTAGGTCGTCTATGTCATCATCGCGATTGCCTCGTACTACTATCCAAATCCGGATGTTGCAACAAGCAATGGTCTTGAGGGCGTCGTGAGCCAGAACATTACGATTCCTCTCGAGCTTTACAAGCAGTTGATCGCACTGCCGGTGGCCCATGGTGAGCTGTAAATGTACCGACAAGCCTAGAGAAGAGTGAGAAGGCTCCAACGCACGAGATATTACGATTAGAGCGAGCTACACACTGATACTGCAACACTGCTGCTCTTACAGTCCTCCCACTTTTACCTTTCCAGAGTAACAGTCTTGAAAAGTTTTCCTTATGAAGCGAACGCAATCGAGTCCTCCAAATTGCCCTCTCTAAAGTTAATACATGCTTTCTAGTTCTTTGAGAATGCCAATTGGCAAAGTGCTATCGTATTTGGTTGCCGAAGTATTCACACTGGGGACTTTCAAGCGAATAAGAACTATCCGGCACAGTTCTCTCATGCGCGGTCCCTCAAAAATCACCCCGTCCTGACAGCTTTTTGCCCGCGCTTATGCTCTAATGCGAAGGAGACCATAGTCGAAAGTCATCCGCAGGTGGGACATCTGGCCAGCCCGATTATTCCAGAACCAAGTTCTTGACAACAGCTGGAAAAGTCCCGACCCTCACTTCGACCAGGCCTCTGGTTTGTACAGGCGCAAGTCCTCATGTCGAGCAGCAGGGCCGGCAGTAAGTGGAAGAGTGCCGTCTGCCAGCCAGTACCCACAAGCCTTGGCCGGAAAGTCCAGCAGCGACCTCACCCGGTCATCCCCGTGAGCCTCCAGATACATGCAAAGCGCAGTCGTATCCCTTCGCACCCGCCTCTTGCACCACCAAAAATCCACATAACACATCAGCCCAAACCAATACGCCAAGATCAGCAAAGCCGCATGATCATTAACCTGAGCCCTCGCCAAAAACCTCTTATTAAACCCGCATAAGCAAGACAAGTACTTGATCAACTTATCCGTCGACCCCTTCTCCAACATCAACGGCGCCAAAGACTGCAAAGCATGCCAATAAGGATTCCGATGCAAATTCCTCGGCCGTTCATGCACACCACACAAACGCAGCATTTCCGCTGGCAAACCCCTACTCGCATCCCTCTCATACGCAGCATAAGCCCATACAGGTCGTAACATACTTTCTCCGGCGAATTTGGAGGTACTGTGTACCAGAGGCGTCAAAGCCATTTGCATGGATAACCAATCCAGACGTGAAGGTGAACCGGAGAAAACCCAGGAATCTTTTGGGTCTGTGCTGTCAATGTAGCAGAAATATTGCATATTGATCATCATCGAGGTGAGGAGAATCGGGTCCGCTTCGTTCTGGGTTATGGGTTTGTTGATTGCATTCTGGAAATCTCCCAGGGAGACTTGGAAATGGGAGAGTTTCGGGATGCGATAGCCAGTTACTTCGTGGTGGTCTAGGTGAAGGCAGGCTATTGAAAGGATTCCATGTAAGAGGTACGAATTCTGTTTGTAAGAGAAAGATACTAGTTAGTGGGAATGTACGTGATGTGTTAAGAGGTTATGCTGTTTGTTTGTTTTGGGCACACCTCTTGGGCTAATCGCAATACAGCCGTGCGATACTCACGGCTTTGGTTGCCGACAAGGAGATCTGAGCATGTGATGGTATCCGTGGGCTCACTTGTCAATCTGTCGTAGTGCTTCAATAGGTGGATATCTCGGGATCCTTGTTCCATGGACCTTGGAATTGGTATCGTTGGACTGGGAGCTGATGTGGGCGGGCTGGTTGGGCTTGTTGGCGAGGTGGTAGAGCCGGTACTCTTCTTCGTTACCGCACGAGGAGCAGGAGTTTGATAATCGCATGTTGAATTGGACTTTGCACAGCGACCACAAACAGGTCGCTTCTCATCGCACTGTAGCCCAAGTACAATCATTCAGCCTTACATCCAGGGCTTCGGCTAGACTTTCGCTTTTTCTTGCGATAAGAGAAAAAACACACACCTTCACCCGTTTCAGCTTACACGCGCCACAGCCCAATCGGGACTTCCTGTGAGACTTCCGCGTCGTGTACGACTTGACATCGTCCGATCCATTGCTCCCAACAGTTCTGACCGAGAACACGTGGTAGCCAGGAGCAGTATGGCGCTTGATCACCTTGTCAGAGGAAGAGGACATTGGCAGACGCCCGAACAGGTAAACGAAGGGGCAAGCATCTGCAAGCAAGGCAGGTAAAGTTCTGCAAGCAAGATGCGTCCCGACCAAGTGGCTCTGCCAACGATTATTATTGTCATCCGCACAGCCCTACGCTTGTGGATCGCCTTGGCTTCTCGTTTTCTACTTCTGGCTAGCTTGGAGGGAGAACGTGGGAAGGATCTTAGATCCACCAGTCGGATTGTCTGGAAATGGAGCAGATGGAGGAGCGGGTCTAGTGTACCGATCTTGGGGAGAATCTTCATCAATTCGCGGTTGCCGAAACGAGAATTGAATGGGAGGAATGATCTCGTTGCAGTGGCTGCTCTGGCGCTTCGTGCAAGAATATGCGAAAGTCGCAGAATGGCGAAGAGAAGCTTCATCACGACCTGTAGCAATTGACTACTCCGTGAGATCCATGTGGCGTTCGCGCTTCGTTTGCGTGTCTGCAGACATCAGTTTCAAGCAGATGACACGCCTGGTTGCCAGGGTGCACGAAGCACGCAAGATGGCCACACAGTCAGGAGGACGGAGAGCTAGCTCGCACATGCCGAAGCAGTGCATTATGAGTTCGGCCCCAATGTTGCTCGAGATATGTTTCACGCATGCCTACAAGACAGTTAGTGATGCGTTGTCAAGGAATAACACAGAACAGTAGTCCCGAGACATGCCCATGCGTCAGATGTGGCACTGCGAGCTTCAATGAACAAAAGCTGTATCGTTGCTTAAAAGGGTATCGAGCGTTGAAATAATGCAAAGACATCATCGTGCTGGACTGCAAATGAAGAGCAGGCTACCCAGGAAATCGATCTGCCGACACAAAGCTTATGCGTACCAACCGTTCCCCGTGACTTGAGTCGGTTGGTCCTCGCTTCGGTGTGGAATCATTGGCTCAGTGATATCAAAAGCCTTGATAAGCTTCTCCCACGTGGCGTAATCCAGCGAGAAGACGGATTGATTCTTCATTGTCTTGTCGACACGCTGCTGTTCCACTGTTCGTGCCACGGTGGGTGCTGGCATCTCTCATTAGCTTTCATCAAGGATAGAGAGGAGTATGTACTCACATAATGTTGGCAGTCCGTGCTTGTCTTTCACAATTCCTGCATTGCCCTCCTTGATCAGGAAAGACACATAGAATAGGTTTTCCACGGTCTGGCCGAAGCTGTGGGGATTGATGACATATTCAAACAGCGACGGTGCACCAGTCTCTGTGACTTTGTACTGTTTGCAAAACTCCTCGGCGCGATCTTCGTCCATGGGCCCTTCTTCTGCTTCAATCCGTGTTGCAGCATTTCGTGCCTTTTCGCAATGTCTTCTCAAATGCTTCGAGATCGCTTTGCATTGTGTTGTCAGGGCGTTTGGATCGGCAGCTGCCATGTCCTCTTTACCGATTCGCTCGACATTTTTGGCAGGCCCGGTGTCCTTCGTTTGTCTCGCTCTGCGTTGTGTTTGCGCTCGGATCTTCTTCTCCACGGAAAGAGGTCCCAACAGGAATGACGGACAAGCAGGGCGTCTGTTGAAGGGAAAGCAAGCATGTCTGCCCATGACCTCCCAATCAAGATCTACCCCATCGTCATCGTCGTCTTCGTCCTCGAGATCTCGTCTGTGTCGTTGTGTTTGTGTTTGCCGCTGTGTAGCCTGAAACGCGGCCTCGTCTTCATCGATACCAAAGGCATGGCGATTTTTCATGAAGAAGACACATCTGTTCAGGAAGAGGTCCACGTCCATTCCAGCGCTAGAGTCGCCCAGAATCATGCTTGCGGCTTTTTTCTTCGCCATTGCCGAAAGATCGACGAGATACCTGGCGTCCATGGTCGCATCCGATGTCTGCTTGACGCTCTTAAAGTTTTGATTTGCGACATCGAGTGCCTCCTTGATGCCACCGCCATTGCCGCGCAGAAGTTCATCGCGCTCCTCTGTGGTGCGCGGTCAGTCTACAGTTTGCCTCATCAAGGCGTAGCCCAACATACCGTGGAGCTTGCGATACATGGCGCGCGACTTGCGCTTGACCTGCCGCCGCTGGTCTGCATTCTGGTTCGGATCATAATATCGCGTGAATTTCACATCCTCGGGTTCCTGATCCTCTGGTATGTCCCCCTCTTGTGTCATTCCGAAATGTGCCCTCTTTCGCTTCTGTCCACGCGCGCGTTCGGTGTCGTCAGATGATGGCGTCGGCAAACTCGTCCTCGACGACTCCGAAGCGCGTCCTTTGCCCTTGTCGCGTCGCATAGTGGGATCTCGATTTTCTTGGCCAGGTGTTGGAGATTTAGCAATACTGGTCGCGCGCGAGCCGGCTACAGTAGACGGCCTATTGTTCAAGCGAGCCATGGCGCGTCATGAGAATGTGTCGGTTGTGATGTTGACTGTGCCGCTGGCTCTGCTGAAGTGGATATCGGGTGGAGGCCGCGCGACGCGATATGATTGCCGGCGGACACGGCTCACGCGATTCGACGTGTATTTGTTGCAGCGATCGTGTGTGTATATGTCCGGCAAGGACAGGCGCGTCAGAAGCAGACGTCAATGCGATGGCGCGAGGAAGTCCGTGGTCTTGGGGGGTCGTCGTGAGTGAATGCGCTCATCCTGGTCGCGACAGCCGAAAGTTCGACGCGACGTCAGGGACGCGGTGGCCTGGGCGCGCATCTCATCGAGCAGATCGTCAGCCACCGACCTGTCTCACCACACCACACCGATCACCACGATTGCCGGTGCACGTGAGTGCTTCCGTTTGTTATAAAACATCCCTCCGCCACATGGCGACCACGCGCTGAATGTCGCCGTCTTCCCCGATGGAACCCTTCACGTTCGCCAGCTCGTCGCAGCTGGATGTGCCGGTGGGAGTGAAGGTGTGGGTTTGCCTTCAACATATCGAAGTGAGCAGTATAATGCTAAACTAGTCTAGGAACCGCCTTGAAGGTTTTGAGAAGCCTTTGCCATATTCAACACTGCTGAAGCGGCCTGACCTTCGCCATCGAGGCAGCAACCTCAGTCCGCACTCCGAGCTGTACATTACTGTCACGCCCTACTGCGACTCCAAGCCCTTGACAGTGCCTGCTCAGACGCCCTATCGGCACTTCCGTACTGCACGGGTCTGGAATCAGTGGCTATCGTTGCCCATCGACTACAGCAGTTTGCCTGTCAACACCCAGCTGGCCATCACGGTGTGGGATTTGTCGCCAATCAATCCGAAGGGCGGCGACAAGAGCCACCACATCCCTTTCGGAGGCACCACGATCTCACTTTTCGATGACGATGGGACACTGAGGACAGGTCGGCAGAAGTGCAAGATCTGGAGGCACAGGGCTGCGGACGGCTTCTCCGATACGTCTACTCCTTGGCTAGAGCCACGCAAGCGCGGTCGCCGCGGTCAGCCAGAGGAGCCTGTCATCGTCAGCGAGAAACAGGGCCGCAGAGATGCCGAACTCGAACGTCTTGTCGCACTTATGAAGAACCATGAGATGGGCGAGATCTCGGAAAATCGATGGCTCGACCAGATGGTGTTTCGACAAGTCGAGAAACTAGAGAGACAGCAGATCAAGGACTCCATGAAACCACGACATCAACTCTCATCATCTAATGGCACGGCTAATGGAGAGTCTCCCGAGGATCGATGTGCCGAAGGGGATCCAGACCACGTGGATGGCACCTTCTACCTGTATATCGAATTCCCACGATTTGATCATCCCATTGTGTTCGCTGATTACGAATATGCTCCTCCGCCAATCTCGTCCATACAGGCGCCGCTGGTGCCGAACGCTACGGGCGTCAACTTCAAGCCTCCTCCTGAGGTTCAGCTTGGGCCTGGCATTCATTCAGATGGATTGAGCGACACGGATGGCGGTGGAAATTTGATCAGTGTCTATGATCCCGAGCTAGGATACGCCGACAACCCTACAGAGACGAAGCACCGCAGGCTTATTCGTAACCAGCAACATGCTTTAGACCGCGACCTGAAACCTAACCCGAAGATGCGTGACTTCCTCAACCGCATCATGTCCCACGGGCCAACGGTTGACCTGACTGACAAGGAGAAGGACGAAGTCTGGCGCTTCCGACATCACTTGACACGGGATAAGCGAGCCCTGACAAAGCTAGTCAAATCCGTGAATTGGAACGAGCCGACCGAGACTAAAAATGCCATTGCATTGCTGCCAAAATGGGCTGAGATTGATGTCGACGATGCGCTCGAGCTTCTTGGTCCCAGTGTGCGTAATCCCTCGGTGCGTGCTTACGCAGTGGACCGCCTGCGCAAGGCTGATGACGAAGAGCTATTGCTCTATCTTTTGCAACTTGTCCAAGCCTTGAAATTCGAGCCAGCCCGGTCGCGCGAAGAGGACGAGAGCGACTCTTCTCTCGCTTCATTCTTAATCGCCCGCTCAGCAGCGAACTTGAAACTTGGTAATTTCCTACATTGGTACCTGATGGTAGAATTGGACCTTGGAGACGAGGATCCTTCAGCGGCCGCCAACAAAAAGCTGTTTGCGCGGGTGAGCTTTGACTTTCAGAAAGAACTTGAGTCGACCCCTGAAGGCAAGGCACGACGTAAAGTGCTGCTGCGACAAGGCGAGCTCATCACTGTCATCAGCAAAATCAGCAAAGATGTACAGTCGGGTAAAGGTGATCGGTTGCGGAAGATTGAGCACCTGAAGCGGGCACTGGCCGATCCCAGGAATGAGCTTCTCAACCTCGACCCTCCGCTGCCGCTGCCACTTGACCCAGATGTCAAGGCTGTTGGCATCATACCCGATGATTGTAATGTTTTCAAGTCTTCCTTGCTGCCATTGCTGTTGAAAGTGAAGACGGACAAGGGAGAAACATATCCATTCATTTTCAAGTCGGGCGACGACCTGCGTCAAGATCAGCTGGTCCTGCAAATCATCGCACTCATGGACCGCCTGCTTCGTAAAGAAAACCTGGATCTGAAACTGACCCCGTACCGAACACTAGCCACCTCCACATTGGCCGGCGCCGTCCAATTCATTGCTTCAAAGCCAGTGTCAGACATCTTACAGGACCCGAAGTACAACAGCTCTATACTCGGCTTTCTGAAAACTCACAACCCGCCTTTATCCGGCGCTGAATCCATCCTTGGCGTGCGTAAAGATGCAATGGACAACTACGTCAAGTCTGTTGCAGGATATTGCGTGGTGACCTACCTACTAGGAGTGGGTGATCGTCATCTTGACAATCTGCTGCTGACAGAGGATGGCCACTTCCTCCACATCGACTTTGGCTATATCCTCGGACGTGACCCAAAGCCGATGGCACCTCTAATGAAGCTCTCTCGCGAGATGATCGAGGGCATGGGTGGCGGCACTGCCGGCGCAGCATCCAGTGAGAGCCAGTTCGACACTTTCAGACAGTACTGCTTCACCGCCTATACCACACTGCGTCGACAAAGCAGTCTGATTCTCAACCTCTTTGCTCTTATGCAGGACGCAGGCATTCCTGGGCTTGCCATATTTGGGGACCAGGCTGTGAGAAAGGTTGAGGAAAGATTCAAGCTGGACGTAAGCGAAGAAGATGCTGTCAGATTCTTCTCGGAGATGATCGACAGAGAGATTGGTGCGTGGGGTCCGGTGCTGATCGATAAGTTGCATGGCCTCACTCAAGGCTGGAAATCATGATGCTCCACATCAATGTTGACATTGATGCCCTCAGCTCGTTCTTGAGACTATGCACATGTGGTCACTGCAAAAGATGCGGCGAGAAGCATTGCTACGTGAACGTAATATCAAGCCCAGGTAAGCCTCAACTATGGCTCCTGGAGGAATGGATGTGAAGCTGAATGGGTGAAGAGAAGGACATGATTATGGGAGCATTGTCATGTGAAGTTCGGGATACCTGCTGTGGCAGACCAGCGTTCAGTCCCCGACAATTGCCGCGCTTGGCGGCAGGAGATGTCTCTCGGCCGCTGTTTGCCCGTTGAGCTCACAACAAGCTGCCATGTGGGCGCGAATTCGCAGCCCTCGACGCGAGTCTGTGCCCCACTATCGCGCCTTGGGGGTGCTTGGGGTCGTCCAAGTTATCCAAGTCTAATGCGGTAGTTGTCTTCTGCTTTAATCTATTCATCCGCAGTTTGGCTCGAGATTCTTCCTCAGCGTATACTACCAATCAGTCCACAAGTGCAGTCAAGACAAGAACTGAGCCAGTCAATCAATCATAATGTCAAAGACAATCCTCATCACAGGTGCTGGCGGCTTCGTTGGTCAACTCCTCGCCGAGCACCTTCTCAACGATGGCCACAAAGTCATCCTCGCAGACATTTTCGACCCTCCCGTCCCATCGGCAGCAAAGAATCAAGAGAATGCCACAACAATCAAAGCGGATCTCTACGAGGACCCCAACGCCGTGCTCTCCCAGAAACTCGACGCTGCATACGTCTTCCACGGAATCATGTCCGCCGGCTCAGAAGAGAACTTCGACCTAGGCTACCGCGTAAACCTCCACTCAACCCTCAACCTCCTCGAAGCGGTCCGCAAAACTCAACCCGGACTCAAATTCATCTACGCTTCATCAACCGCCATCTTCGGCCAACCACTTCCTGAACAACCTTCCGAAGCCACAGTCCCAACACCACAAGGCTCCTACGGAACGCAAAAGGCCATGATCGAATACCTCATCAACGACTATACCCGTCGCGGCTACATCAACGGTTTTTCCCTCCGCTTCCCCTCCATCAGCGTCCGTCCAGGTCAACCCACCCAAGCCGCATCCTCCTGGATGAGCGGTATAATCCGCGAACCTCTCCAAGGGAAAGAATCCATCCTCCCTTGCGATGATGATTTCAAGGCTTGGTTGTGTTCTCCTAGGACCCTGGTGAAGAATTTGATTCATACTCTGTCCTTGGAGAAGGATTGTATGCCTTCGCATATTCGACAGGTGTTGTTGCCGGGAGTTACGAATACGGTGAAGGATATGTTGGATGCGCTGAGAGAGGTTGGTGGAGAGGATGCGGTGAAGTTGGTGAAGAGGGAGAAGGCGAGTCCGGAGATTAAGGCTATGTTGGATAGTTGGCCGATTACGTTTGATGTTAGTAAGGCGCTGGGGTTGGGATATGTGAGGGATGAGAGTTTTAAGGATGCTGTGCAGGATTTTGCGAATAGTCTGAAGAAGTAGTTGGTGTTGACTGTGTATCATAGATGGTCACTAACACAAGACTGAATATTCCTGCGGAGTTGTTTTGTCGTCTATTTCTATCGCAGGGTTGTTGACAAGTCTAAGCCTTGCCTGTGCTTCCAATAGCATCCATCCATTTTTCTGTCAGCTCTTGGATCAGATCTGTGCCCTTTTCCATGCTCTGCGTTAATGGGACCTTGCCCCAGTTGTCGGCCGTATACTGGTTGTAGTTCTCGAGCACCAATTTGTTAACATTAATGCGAGTGACTCCACGCTCAATGCACTTCGCCATGATGTCCGGAGGAAATTCGTTAGTGCCATGAAGAACGATTTGCACTCTGCCGGCAGCTTTCTTGTATATCGTCTCAAGCCTGAGATAGTTGTTAGCCAGCGCAAATCACCCGCATAAGACGCTTGACTCACCTGTCGTAGTCCAAGTGGATATTCTCCACACCATGATAATCTCCGTGCACATTTCCAAACGCAGGCGCCAAAAAGTCGATGCCTGTTGCAATAAAATCGTCCACTTCCTCTTCCGTGGTCATCATCCCCTCAAGCTCTGCTGTATCTTGCACGCCATCCTCTCCGCCCTCAATACGTCCCGGCTCAGCTTCTGTTGAGATTCCTTGAGCATGACACAAAGCAACCAACTCCTTCGTCTTGGCCAAATTCTCCTCTTTCTCATAATGGCTCATATCCACCATGATAGAGTCGAACGACGGTGTCCCATCTTCAGCCTTCATCTTCGCCGCGACTTTGATAATCTCAGGATCTTGGGCGTGATCCATGTGTACTGTGACGGGGACAGAGGCCTTTCGGGCAGCATTGGCTGCGAGATCGACGAAGAGAGGAGAGTATTTGAGAGCCCATGGGAAGAGGAGAATTTGAACTGGTGATCGTTTCTTCTCGGCTGCTCGGATTACGGCCACGATGGTTTCGAGGTTGTAGGATACGACTCCGAGGACGCCATATTTGCCTTCTGCGGCTTTGTTGAGCATTTGGACTGCCCGGTTGTCGGAGAGTTTGTCGAGAGGCATGGCGGCGGTGGTCGTGATGGGTTAGGGGATGCTATCGGAGCGAGGATGAGAGTGTGAGATATGTGAAAATTGGAGCCGGAGTGAGGATGCTCGCCAATGCATCGCTATACTCGGCCATGTCTTGTCGTGATGCTGGACCCCACCGAGTGCCTGTGCATTCAGCCGACAGCTGGAGTGACTTCGTATCGGGGACTGAACGACTGACGACAGACAGCAGATGCCGTCGGCAACCGGTGTGGCGGGGCACATTCAGCCTCAACTTTCCCCCGCTTCTCCGTATCTCCTCCACTTCACTCCGCACCACCAACCGCCTCATATGCCCCTTCGTTTCTTCATGCCTGGAGCAGGCTGAGAAAGAGCACGAGACTTTCTATGTCCGGTGCTGCTTCAAGCCTTGGCATTGGCCCTATGCACGTCAGCACCCGAGCAGGGTTTGTGTCTGCGAACATGTTAGGCGACATTAATCCATGCGGGGTCCTGAGGCTTGAGGACAACGGCAGCTTGTCACGGCACCTTTTCTGATCGACGGAGGGACACTACACCTTTATGATGGACGAGTCGGCGCCAGCAAACAGTGCCACCCGAATGGAACTCACAGAGTCCGTGCCGAAACTCAAATCATACCGGCAGCTTCTGCGTCCGCACGGAATGTTGATTTCAAGGACGGAGACACCGTTTCAGAAGCTTTTATATATAAATGATTGAGACTCAACGTCACAGGCATAGGTCCACGGCACAGTCATCTTCTACGATCAACCATGCGCAGCGCCTTGACAAAGTTCGATGATATTCCAGGACAGCTTCCTGAAGCTACAGTGCCTGACGATGCTGACTATGCTGATATCAGTCAGAGCACAATTGCAAGATTGAACAACTTGGATAAACATGATCTGACGACCTTCGCTATATGGCGAGATATTCTGTCCTTTACTGACACTTTTCGAACCTTCCACTCGGCCGATACCGTGGTCCACACACTGTCGCAGCTTAGTGCTAGCAGAAAACGCTCAGACTTCCGACTGGTATCGAGATCTGAACCAAGAAAAGTCCAAATCCCTGATCCTCCCTCCAGCTGGCTGGAATTCGACATATCATTCACGACGAGGGATGAGGGACTCGTTGGCAATGGCGCGGGCGTTGTTTCAGTCATGCGAGCTGCAGACGGTACTTGGAAAATCTGGATGCTACGAACTTGGCTTGAGAACTACGAGGGACATGGCCATCCTGACGACATCAGTACGCCGGACCGAGTCCCTGAAAGCAATGGTGACCATTCAATTTACGAGGCGGCCATCATAGGCGGCGGACATGGCGGGCTCGGCGTAGCAGGACGATTGACTGCATTGAACATTTCGAACATCCTTTTCGACAATCGACCGCAGATTGGAGACTCATGGGGACACAGATACGATTCTGCCAAGTGGCATACTATCAGGGAATATGGCAATCTGCCCTTTGGACGCACTTTCACCGAGGCCGATCCCAACTTACTTCCAGCAAAACGCATCGCCGCAGCGTACAAGGACTGGTCGATCAAGTACGGCTTGAACATACGAGCCGGGACTCACATCCAGAACGCGAAGTGGGATCCTACTAGCGAAATCTGGTCCATCACAGATGGGAAACAAGTATGGAAAGCCAGAAACCTCATTCTCTGCATCGGTCCAGGTGCAAAGACTCCCGTCTCTCCTAGTTGGGCCTCTCAAGAAGCATTCAAAGCCAGCGGGTTCCAAGGCACAATCATCCACTCCGTTAATTACCACAACCCGAAAGGCTTCGAAGGCAAACACGGCATCGTCATCGGCACAGCCAATACCGCACACGATGTAGCCGAAGACATGGCCGATCTCAAAATGGATGTTACTATGGTGCAACGCAACCCTACCTTCATCTTACCAGGAGAGTGGCTCGCTATGAGCCATGGGAGGAACTACCACCTCAACAAGCCAGCACATGTAGCAGATCGGCAGGAAGCCACAATGCCAAACAAAATTGCGCGGGAACTAGTAAATCGAAATATTCACTTCCTCGTCAAGCAGAATTCGAAACGTTTCGATGACCTCGAAAAGGCTGGCTTTAAGGTCGATCGTTTCGGATATTTACTCACGAATCTTTCTGTTCGGTTCGGTGGGCATTATATCGATGTTGGATCTTGCAAGCGGATCGTGAATGGCGAGATTAAAGTAAAACAGGGCGCGATACAAGGTTTGACGAAAGAGGGACTGCGATTTGAAGACGGGACAGAGATCAAAGCAGATCTAATCGTCCTCGCTACGGGCTTTGATCATGATTTTAGGAAAGATGCTGCGGAGATAGTAGGGTCTGAAGTCGCTGATCGAATGGACGATTTTTCTGGTCCGGATTCGGAAGGCGAGACGAGAGCCTACGGGAAATATGCCGGTCGTGAGTTGGCCCTTGCTTCGCATCATGATTGTAAATTGTCTCTTCGCTAACATTATGTTCTCACCAGATCCGCATCTGTACTATGGTGGAGGTGAAGTTCGGTCTTCACGATTTTACTCACAATTCATTGCTTTGCAGATCCAGAAAGAGAGTCTGGGGTACCCTCTCAGCCCGTATCTGGAAGGACGGTTGTAGTGTTTAGAATATGTCGATCAAATCTTACAAAGGTTCCGAGGAGATAAAGGAAGTAGTGAGAGATGGAAGTTCTTTTCCAATCGCGAAGATATCCTGACCCGACTTGTCTCGGATGCTGAACAAAATATCTAGCACACTGCATTAAATATTAATGTGGGACATGAGAAGAGAATTTTATCGATGTTTTGCAAATTTCAGAGTCCATTTCCTCGTTCGTGTCCGTTCAGTTCATCATAGGTTTCATAAATCGTCATCGTGATCATTCGTTGTCATCCTGCTTCAAGCATCGTTCTTCTTTGCATTGTTGCCACTCTTCTCGTCCCAATGATTTCCTCCAGGTCCATGCTTCGCTGGAATACTTCCACTTTCCGAGTATGCGCTCTGAGTAGGATAGATCCACGAGCTAGTATCGTAGCCTGGACCGTACCCTCCTGGCGGGCGCGTGGGCCAAGTTGTTGTCGAACAGGTCGCTGCCTCAGTGACGGTCCTCGTGACAGTTCTTGCTGAACTTCCAGGGACTGTGTAGGTCACCACATAGCTACTGGTAACAGTCGTGGTCTTCGGGCTGCGTGGAAACCCGGAAGTTGTGATTGTCAACGTAGCACTTTCGGTCACAGTTTTCGGAGGCTTTGGCTGACTTGCTGTTACAGTACATGTCGTCGTGTAGGTCTTTGGAGGAGGATAGTACGTCTGTGAGAACGTCAGCAACTCTTGCATAGGGCTACGACTTAGCGAATATACGCACGATTGTCTCTGTGGAACTCTGAGGATGGTGTGTCGGCTTTGATCCGCAAGAAGCCTGGACCGTGATTGTGGTTGGCTTGTACTTTGTGGTGACAAAAGTAAGGCTGTCGATGTCTGTGGTTGTATGGACGTAGGTCGTACCCGGGGCTGTCGAGACTCTGGTGATCGTGACCTCTTCTGTCGCTGTTCGGTGGTCGGTGATCTTTCTCGGCGGTTAGCAGAGCACACTCATTATGGTAGATCGAACATACAAATTTGGTGCGTGTTTCCGTCTCCTCGATCGTGACCGTTGATGGAGCGAGCGTCTTCGTCGTGACCTCCGTGACCGGTATCGTGTATTTCTCGGCTAGATGTCGTTAGTTCTGCTCTGCGTTACATGTAACAGGAGATTAATGTACTCTTTGTAGAGGTCAATGTGGATGGTGCTACAGTCTCGGTAATGACAGTCACTATTGGCTTCGTAAAAGTCATCACTACTAATTGTTAGTCCAGACAAAACGGCAGCAAGACGCAAGACTTGGCTTTACCTTCGGTTGACACGATCGTGGATGGTGCCAATGTTTTGGTAGTCCAGCTGACTATTGCCGCGGTGCGGGTCTCCGTTTCGACCGAGGTCACTGTGGACGGTGCAAGGGTCTTGGTAGTAGTCTCATAGACAGGCTTGGTGACGACCTCGTAGACAATAGATGTAGATGTCTGAACCGGAAGAGTGCTAGTCCAATACGATGTAATAGTACTGGGTGCGACAAAGGAGCTGGAATATGTTAGCGTCTGAGCCATGTTCTGCACGGAATTACTTACGTAATGGTAGAGATGAAATCAGAGGTGATAGTCTGGTAGCTGGTAATTGTCGAGGCAGCTTGCCAAGATGTACTAGTGATAGTGGCAGGAGGCAGTGTTTTGTAGCAAGTCTCTATTGACACGCTGTGGCTGACTACGGTCTCAGTGACAGTGGCTGGAGCGGCGTATGATGTGATCTGGAGAGTGTGTCAGCAGGAATGACGGATGGCACGTTGAGAGCAAGATACCGTTGTTGTGTAGTCTTTGGTGATTGATTGGGTGATGTAAGAAGTCTGAGCTGGAATAACGACTGTCACCTAAACCCATGCAGTCAGTAGCCATAGCGATACGTGGTATGTTGAGAACCAACCGTCGTTGCTGGGCCCGCCGGGACTCTTGATGTCACTACAACCGTAGACACCTGCTTGGCAGTAACAGTGGCAGTAGAGTATACGGTGCTTGCTGCCAAACTCTGAGTGATGTACTGAGTCTCGACTGGTCCACCAAGGACCGTTGAGTAGTAGGTGGTTGTCGTGCCTGTTCAGATCAGTCTAAGCTGAGACATCGCCGTCCAAGTTTCCACACTCACCTGGGGCTGTGACAACCTTCGTCTCAGTCGATGTATGCGTGTTGTAAACGGTCGAGTACTCGAATTCAGTCTCTTCGACAGTGACAATTCTGGTGGGACCAGACACGGTGCGCCACTGGGTGATGGTGGAAGCCGGCTGCACAGACTTCTCTGTAACAGCGGCACCCGGCAGAGAAGTGGTGATGCTTTTCGTGCAAGTTGTTGTTGAAGTCTTGGTAAGATAGCTGTATTGCCATGCAGTCGTTGAACTGTAAATGGTTGTGTGCTGGTAAATCGTTGAAACGTTCTGCCCAGTGGTTTGATACTTGGTGACAGTGGAGTAGATTTTCGATGTGACAGTGGTACCAGGGGCGGTCTGGGTCTCAGTATGTGTGGAAAGCTTGCCAGGGAGCGTCTTGGTCGAGTATTCTGTCACCGTGCTCACAGGCCCAGCGGGTAAGGTCAGTGTCCATGTATCGCATGTGGACGATGAGACAGGGCCGTAATTGGGCGGTGGTCCCGCTGGGCGAGAAGTGTGAGCTGATGGGACGTAGGGTGAGAAGGGCAGAGTGGGATGGGTAGTGGTTGTGCCGCTCCAATGAGTGGGCCTCGGGGTGCTCGACGAGCCATCGTCTTCGCCGTATGCCGGAGGACCGTGAGGCACGCCACGTTGTTCATGCCTGTTCCATGGTGATGCGATCGCATGTGAAGCGCAGAGCAGGAATACGAGATGCTTCAAGCTCATCATGGCAGGACGAGGGCAGCGCTCAATGTACGAGAACGATAAATTGTCGGTCTTGCGAGGTAATATCACGAAACGAGTGAAGAGTCCTGTACCCGTAGAGTCAGAAATGCTGTTGGGTGGAGAGAAGAGGCATGAGGAGACTCAATCGATATTTGTACTCGCTCAACAAGTTCAGGCCATGCCACAGTCTAGCCCAGCGTTGGCTTGTTGCTCAGCAGGCTGGCAGGACGATGTCTGGCAGTGGTGCCTTTCTGCAGTGGAAGCTTCTTGCGTAGCAGAGGAACGAACATGCCAGCGATCTTCAGGGATTTGCTGCTGCCAAGCTTTCAAGCACGATTTCTTTCGAGTAGCAATGCGGATCGTTTGACCCGGCCTCGGACCTGCCATATCAATCTTGCATTCAGTAATGCCGTGCTGCTCCAGACCCGACTATGATTATTTATGAAGCTGGACTTGACATAGATGCTTGAATCCCACCTGACATGTTGCTATGCAGTAGAACAGGCGGTATGGCTTCATACGAGCTGTGGAGAGGGCAGCATGCGACTGCAGGAGTTCTCGTCGCGCAGCGTTCGTACCAGCAGCGTGAACAGGGACGCGTGCAATTCAACGCGGCGAAGTAGCTGAGGAAGTGTGAGCAATGCATGACTTATGGTCCGTGACCTCCGGACATGTGGTCGCGGCATGGCAGCACTATGCGCGTGCTTTGCTGATCACTGAAGTGGCATGTATTTTGTCGTACCGATACTGACCTTCGGCTAACAACCAACAATGCTGGTACTTCTGATTCAGCGAGGTTTTACATGGCGCTTGTTTATGTCTCGCGTTTCGTATGTGCTGAGTTGCAATACCGAAAAAGATGGCTTTCCGGTAGTTCTAAAGTACGAAGTGACCATGAAGTTCCTCAGGGGAATATCATGGCCGCCGATAATTCTACTCGTGTTGTAGGCTTCCCACAGAGGCTTACTGTATCAACAAATCAGGTTCGTTGAAGGTACACACGGGTTGACGCAGATCTTGTGGCGGGGTCTTGTGTTACCCCGAAGCCCGGAACGTGCGATCCATCACGCATATGGTAGACAATATTTCCATACCGTTGCGGGGTCAGCTGGAGCTGAGTGCGTATTTTCGCTCCCGCCCAAATGTAGATATTGAACTCGTGTTGAAACGTCTCTCCAGCTTAGAAGATAAGTCAGGCTGCGTGTGGGCCAATCGTGTAGAGGTATACCACCTCGATTTCGCTGTAGTCAAGGGCTACTGGGCTTGGTCGGTGGGCAGTTGGGAAGAACAGTGCTCGCTGTGGCTGGGGAGGATATTGCTCCTGCAGGTACCGCAGCCAGAGCAAAGGATTCCGATGCTTGCGATAAGCAGCGGTCTGAGAAGGCACAGCAACAGCAACGCAAAGTGCCACGACTGTCTTTGTTTCGTCACTTTGTGATCAGTCAGTCGTGCGCCGGTCATACCAACCTGAACGTGAGCAGACGGTCACGGAACACGAGAAATGGTCCGCGTTACAGTTGATCGGGTCCAGGCTGATGGCAGTCGCTTCTTTCCATGGCTTCGGCTTGATCAGGTCGCTGGGAGGACACCGGCCATGAGCGAATTTGAAGAAGTCGAGTTTGGTCCTGGTATGGCGAGGGAGTATTTCGATATGCCGCTCCTCGAGCAAGAGTATGCCGCGTCTCGAGCTGCTACGACGGCTAGTCCGATCAATGTGTACGTACTTCCGTATCGAACCAGCGATTGCGGGAGATGATGAGGCGGAGGTGGGAAGGAAAAGGAGGTTCACATGCAACATGGACTCGATGCTTGGCGCACCGCCACCAACCGGTCCCAGCTCCGCCCGTGCCGCTGCCCCGCCAAACCACGCCTTCTGCAGCTAATGCACAAGGACAATCAGTCACATCGCGTGCCGAAGTTCTGCTGAAAGCTTCGAAAGTACAGTACCAAGTACAACACTCCTCACACCATGTCAGATTCGCAAGAAACTCCTCACGGGCCCGACTCCACCCCCCACGTCCTCGCAGACGCGACGAACGCGAGTACGTCATCTGGCAACAACGAGCCCGCAGACACAAACGGCACTTCGTCCAAATCAAGCACGCCGAAGAGCAAGTCGGGCTGGGATGGCAAGCTACGAGTGGGAAAGCAGGCCACACTGGCAAACCCAGAAGCTTTAGAAGATTCGGACTACTCAGACGAGGATGCACCTCCCGTAGACCAGATCGATGCCGATGAAGACTTGCTCGCGGGCGAAAGCCCAGACGTGGAGGTATGTACGAAATCTCTAATGTGATCTCGCATTCTACTAATACACAGGCTGCAGGAGATCGAGCTTCTACACTCTAGAATCACCTCCATGGCAGCTCTACACCTCGAACGTTTCCAACGACTCAAGCGACTATGCCTACGACAGAACCAGATTCAGAAAATCGAGCTGCCTGATACATGCAAGAATTTGGAAGAGCTGGAATTATACGACAATTTGATCAAGCACATCGATGGCCTAGAAGAATACACAGCGCTCACGACACTCGATCTGTCATACAACAAGCTGAAGCACATCAAGCGAATTTCGACGTTGACCAATCTCGATCACCTTTACTTCGTGCAAAACCGAATATCGAAGATCGAAGGGCTAGAAACGCTCACAAAACTCACATACCTTGAATTGGGAGCAAATCGAATCAAAGAGATCGAAGGATTGGAGACGTTGACAAACCTCACAAGTCTGTGGCTCGGGCAGAACAGGATAACGGAGCTCAAAGGACTCAGCACGCTGATAAATCTGCGTTCGCTAAGTATTCAAGCGAACCGTCTCACATCCCTCAACGGAATCGAAACAATACCACAGATCACAGAGTTGTATGTATCGGACAACAAGATCGAGTCTCTCGAGCCAGTCCGAGCGTGCACGAAATTGGAGATACTCGATTTCCAAACGAATCCCATTACGTCGCTCAAAGGATTAGAAGACCTGAAGGATCTGGAGAATGTATGGGCGAGCAATTGCCAGATCGAAAGCTTCCAGGAAGTGGAAAGAGTACTGAAAGATAAGGAGAAACTCGAAGAGGTGTACCTCGAGGGCAACCCGTTGCAAAGAGCCAATCCGGTGTTGTATAGGAACAAAGTGCGATTGGCTTTGCCGCAGATTTCCAAGATTGATGCCAGTAAGTTTGACGATGAGTGCCACCAGAAGTTGTTATGTGCTGACCACCTTCACAGGCTACGTGAAGGCAACCTGAGTGAGGAAATTTCGGCCTTTCCGTGCTCATGATGCTAGCCGCAGATGCACAGGCTGCGGAGAACCTGCAGATTCAGCATAGCTCAGGACGGCGTTTATTCGATTCGGCGACATCTACAACACAAGTGAAGCTGTACCTCACTGAGTGACGATTATTAAGCGATGCCTGCTCGCAGATACACAGAGCAGAAAAAGTATCCATATAGTTCTAATCGGAGATGGGAAGTAATTCCGACTTCTGTCGCTCCATCACACACCGGCCGTCTAGTGTTTCCATGCTTCATTTCATTTTCCATTCATGCTGCCCTCCATCTGAGCTTTCCACGCTCCAGACCAGCTCTTTCCCTCGCCTCTCTCATCCAATACGCAACTCTCTACGCCCCATCGCCCCAAATCCCCACCACACCCATCGTGAACCCCGTCCCAGCAATCAAAGTCCTCACGAATTCCAAGTACTGCTGATCCCTCGCACTCTTCTCAATCTCCTCTCCATTCACCTCTCCCACTTCATCCTTGATAACTCTCGACTTCAATCCCTTGTCCATCGCCAAATTCAACGCTCCGCTCGCTGTCGCTACGATTGCAGTCCAGATGAGATAAGGGTGCTTGATCCTCGGAGGGGAAAGCGCGAAAGCTGTGATCAGCGAGATTGTAGAGATGGTCGAGAGAGCTCGAATGTGGAGTGTTGAGAGTCGTGTTGTTTGGTTTAGAGTGTAAGCGGCGGGTTTCGCTGACGGGAGGGTCAGAAGGCTGGGGAGGGATTGTGTGGAGAGGGTGTAGGAGACGCCCTGGAGATGAGTGTGTGTTAGCTGGTGATCGAAAGGTGCTTGCGGTTGGGTTGGTGGCGGGACTGTACCGTGAGGAGGCCTAAGCTGATTGTGCCGACGAATTTGCAGAGCGCGATGGCGGACGGCATGATTGCGAGTGGTTTGCTTCAGTCGCGGTTGTGAGGTTCGATGCGCGGTGGTGGTGGTGGTCGCGTGGGTGTGAATGAATGGTTCGTGTTGACGTCGTCTCCGCTATCGAGCTTCTGATGCAATGCGGCGGCCCGAAGTGGCTACAGTATCTCCTCATTATCGTAAGCAAGCTATGAACAACGTCTATTGGTGCGATGAACATGCTTGGAACTTCACTTATGCTCGATTTTAACATGGGCTATGGAGGGAGCAATAGTTCGCAACTATAGGTTGGGTGTTCTGCTGCGAGAAGAAGCCGTTCTCTACAACGATTGTTCTTTCACAACAATCCAATGGAATTTTGGGTATCATTGCTTCAAAATTTGATGGAACTTCAAGCGCCCCCTAGCTACAGTACCCATTAAATGTCTCCTCTCCTACCTCGCTCGATCGTTGGAGTGCGGTGTCCAAACGGCATTGATTGAGAAGCAAGGTACGCATCCGATCCTCCTGAGAATTATGAGCCCGCGGCAGACAACATCGCATTCACATCGAAGCGTCTGTCGAAGTCGTGCTCACATGGCAAGTTCGACGCGGTGCGGTATCGAGACAGCCGCTGTAGGCCTCCGTAGTACATAGGGCAGAGAGTTCGGCTATGACCACAAACGGTAAGTACCTTTCGGCATCATCGACCCTCGGTGGTCTAGGTGAATACTAATCCTAGACTTCCTGCCTTCCTGCCTTCCCAAGCACATGCAAGCAAAAGTACTTGTAGGCCAGCATCAGGTCAGATTCACAAGCCAATAATCTCATTGTCCTTTCTCCTCTCAATCCCTCTCCTTCACCATACGGCCGTATAAACAGCTTCCCTCGGCAGTCGCTCTTACCATATAGTACCACTCCCAACCTCTCGAGAAACAACTATCCTCCATCCCTCTACTCCATACCTCACCCCCCGCCGCCTACAAACCATGCCCGTCCCCCGCGAAGAATACCTCTCCGACGTCTGGCGCGACGGAATCTTCAAAAACAAAGTCCTCTTCTGCACCGGCGGAGCCGGCAGCATCTGCTCAATCCAAGTCCGCGCCTTCGTCGCCCTCGGCGGAAACGCCTACATCATCGGCCGCAATGTCGAAAAAACCGTCTCCATGGCCCGCGACCTCGAAACCGCTCGTCCAGGCTCCCGCGTCATCGGCCAAGGCAACGTCGACGTCCGCAACGCCGTCGCATTAAAAGCAGCAGCTGACACCTGCGCAAAAGAGCTCGGAGGCATAGACTTCGCAATCGCAGGCGCAGCAGGAAACTTTCTGGCTCCGATGAGTCAATTGAGTCCGAATGCTTTCCGGACAGTTATGGAAATTGATACACTTGGGTCGTATCATACTGCGAAAGCTGTGCTGCCGTATCTAGTGGAATCGGCGAAGAAGTATCCTAATACGGGCAAAGCGACGGGGAAAGTGGGAGGGACGGGTGGGAGAATGGTGTTTATTTCTGCGACGTTTCATTTTAAGGGGTTTCCGTTGCAGGCGCATGCTATGGCGGCGAAGGCGGCTGTGGATCAGATTTCACATAGTGTTTCGATTGAGTATGGGCCTTATGGGATTACGAGTAATGTGATTACGCCGGGTCCGATTCGGGGGACGGAGGGGATGACGAGGCTTTCGAGATCGGATCCGGAGAGTGCGAAGAAGAGTGCGAAGAGTATTCCTGTTGGGAGATGGGGAGAGGTGAAGGAGATTGCGGATGCTACGGTGTATTTGTTCTCTGAGGCGGGCAGCTACGTCAATGGCAATATTTTGGTCGTTGATGGTGGGCAGTGGAGAGTGAGCGGGGCAACAGAGGGAAAAGGATTCGAGTATCCTGACTTTCTGCTCAGTGGAGCACCGGTGGAGGGAGTGAAGTCGGGCAGGAAGTCAAAGATGTGATGTACTGCTATGCATGCGGCTGATGATTTATTCATGTACGAAAGTTAGCGATAAACACGCCCAGCGGCGTGACTCTTATGTGTACCCTCCCTTGTCATCTCTCTCCTTCATAATGTAAGATTTCTCAACTATCATACTCCAGCAGCGGATAATCATGCTGCTTCTGGAATGCTCTCAAAAGATCCTTCGCAGGAAAAGCTTCCGCCGTGTCCAGTTCATGTCTAATGACCTGCGTGCACAACTCCTGCGTATCGATTTCCAGATTGTGCCCTTGCCACGTACTCGTCTGCCTCAGCGTCAAGATCAATCGGTCCAGCATCATGATGCTGACAAGGCACAGTCCGAGAACATCGCATCCTTTGCTGATTTGCTGCCGCGTCATGAAGCGATGTTCATTTCGGAAAACGACATTCTTGAAATGTGCTCGGAGCTCATGAGCTTGAGCGAGGAGATTGAAGCGTACTTCCCAGCCGAGGGATATGCGGGTGGCAGATTTCCAGTCTGCGAAGAGGATGCGGAGGGAGCGAAAGCAGGAAAGCGTTTCGCCTGTGGACTGTGGATTCAGAGATTGCTTGTTCGTAAGGATCTGCAGAAGAGCTTTCCATTGCTTGCTTTCGAAAAAGCCATCGTCGTCATTGAGAAGAGCTTCAACGAACATGGGTGCTGCTTGTTCGGATGTCAGGATGCCGTTTTTTCGCGTGGCTTGGAGTTTGGACATTGCGGCCACTCCGGCGATATGGCGAGCCCATGCTGAAGAAGTGGGAGAGTCGAGCATCTCGTAGACCGCTAACAGTTGAGAGGCGGCCAACATGTCGACTCTCTCGTGGGTAGCAGAATCTTGCACTGCCGCCCGTAAAAGATGTAGTGCGTCCGTATAGCAGATCAAGATACGCTGCTCACTGGGAGCGCCTGAGACCACTTGCTGGACTTTCGAGACCACGCATGCAATAGCTCCGTCGAGGTATGGACTGCGGCCCAAAGATGCCATCGTGGCCGGCACGGAACACCATTGCCGACACCGCAGGGCATCCAATGCTCGTTCTGGTTCTGATTCCAGAAGCTGAGCGGCCTTTCGACGAATGTGGAATGCTGCCACTTTCAGCACGTTGTCCAGATCAACGTTGGGTGGCAAAGGCGTGCATCCATTCGAAAAATGCGTTGCTAAGATCCGAAGCGGAGGCAATAAAGATCCAAAGTGCTCTTGTTGGCGAACAGCTAGCCATCCCGTGCTTTCAGAGGATCTGCTCAAGACAACATCGCCATCTGGCGCAACCTTCCTTCGCTTCACCTGGGAAGCCTTCGGGAAAGAACTTTCAGTGCTACTCGCGGATCCAGTATCTTCGTTCGATCCTGGCTTATGCTTCTTGTTCACAGCGAAACTGCCGAAAGACCCATAGTGAGCTGCGGCAGGATTCGATCGTTTCGCGCTCGTTGCTCGAGAATGGGCTCTTGCGTTCCGGCCGCTGGGTGCTGACCCGGTTGAAGTCGTCAGAAAAAGCAAGGGACCCGCATCGTTGTTAGCGGCCATCACCAGCTCGGTGATCCAGAATGGAGCACAGTGGAAGGTGCAACATGACCGTAGTAGTGAGAGGCCGCGAAGTGATCGCTGTGAAAATGTGTCGAGCGGACGAAGAGCGTGAGCTGTTTCTGACGTTCATGCTTGCGGCAACTTGTCTGCTGAACCGTGCGCGAGAGCCAAGACAAACATCGACTAGCTTCGCTTGGTGCTGTGACCAATGAACGATCAAGATCGATCATCTCGCGTTCAAGTCACAACCAATTGCAGCAAAGGAAGAAAGGCAGTGGAAAGCTCAAAATGTACCAAATGCAATACCCCCTTGCCCACAATTCATACATGCATAATTATATCGTGTTATCGTAACATCGTCAAAGTCCCCGTCTATCCAAGTTCCCCTAGTTGGTATCATCATATCCTTCCGTCTATCGTTCCGTCAACACCCCAGACGCCAAAAACAAGTTGCAGCCACGTTGTATCCCGAAAGCAGCCAAGTAAACATCCTCCTCAAACCTCGTCCCTGTATGTCAGTATCGTGCCCATCTTTAAATACTTACCCAACCCCTCCTCTTCTCATCTCAAACAATCACCCCATCAACCAAAGCAGCCACAAAAGCCGTATACCAACTCTTGCTCGCGCCACCATCCAAATAGCTCGCATCAAAATCATCAGCTGTAAAAAATTCGTACGCCTCTCTCGCCGTCGTAGTATTGCACATAGCATAATTCGCCATCAGAATTCCTCGCCACCCGCCCGAAACCGCGCCAATAACATCCGGATCCCGAAAATACGCATCCCATTCTTCGCACACGAACTTCGAGTCTCGGATATAGGTGCTAAAAGGCAGAAGAGGAAGCATATGAATGCCTTGAATGTATTCCGGATTGGCACCAAAGTACGTCGTATGATCGATCTTGTTCTCGAAGAGGATTCCTGCAGCTTTGTTTCCGATGAATTTTGGCGGTTGGGCGTTGTTGTCGGAGGAGTAGAGGTAGTAGTCTGCGAAGCTACGCTTTTGGATTGCGAGCATGAGATTACCGCGAGCTTCCATGTACTGGTCACCAGTTACTGAGCCCCACATTTTGATTGCGTAACTGGCCATGGTGTCCTCGGAGGAACTTTCTTGGTTTTTGCCGTCGCTGGAGTCTAGGAGGCCCGCGGCCCAGGAGTGTCCGTGGTACCAGTCGAAAGCCCTCGAGAAGGGGAAGTAAGGATCGTCAAGGTCTGAGCCAGCGTAGTCCCTAACGAGCATGTTGACCCAGTCTGTGTTCGTTGAGTTGGCCAGCCATTCGGGGTCGAGATATCCAATAACTGCAGCAGCGTAGACAAAGTAGCCGTAGTGAAAATGGTGGTCATTGTAGTATGGATTGCCAAAGTCTTCCAAAGGATTGTTGGTCTCGTAGGAAGCGACACTGACCACGCCACCCCAGCTATCGTCGTAGACCCAGGGCCATCTTTGTCTGTTCTCAAGATGATGGCCGAAGGCTTGTTTCAGAGGTTGAAGTCCAGACAGTGCCAATGTATCGTTTCCGACGACGTCATGCAGAGCATAGCAGATGGCAGCGAACTTGGCCAGCGCTTTGCCATCGTAATATGCACTGCTTACGTTGGTTTGACCAAGAATATCCTCGCGAATGTCATCTGCACCAAAACTCTCCACTGCCTCCAACACGGGGTCAGAATATCTATCAACATTTCCTACTTTGGGTGTCCAAGGTGAGAAACCCATTTCGATAGGCAAGTCCTTTTCTGTCATTGTCCATGAGTCGCCTTTGACAGCAGTGGCCATGCCTTTCGTTGTTGTTCTCATTTGCAGGTTCGTGAGTCCATTCTGGTCGGGGTAGCTCATTGACTCGGTGTGGTGAGGCAGGGCGAACATGAGGAGATCTTGGTCTTGAGTCCCGTTCTTGGTCCATGACAAGGTGTAACTTCCGGTCTTTCCGTCGACGGTTCCAGTGATGTTGACTCCGATGGGGTATGTGCCCGCAGATTGATCATAAATCACTTCAGGGTCTGTCTCCGGACTTGCATTGTCTCGCACGTTCAACGTTGCAGCGCCATCTGCTCGCGGGACTTTGGCGACTTGAATGACACCGTTGAAAAGCGATGGCCCATTGATGGAGCTTCCCCTTCCGTCCAGATCAAAGCGGTTGACCTCATACGATGAGTCGAGGGGAGTGATGTAGATGAGCCACTTGTGATTGTTGTGCAGATAGGCCACATACTTGTGCGTAAGATTGTTCGGCAGCGCTCCGGCGAAGGTGAGGTTCTTGAAGCCGACGCTTGATTGGATCAGAGGCTTGCCCCAGTGATATTCTGCAGTGATGTAGGCTGAGCCCTGCAGCAGCGGAAGTGTCATGACAGGCGTCATCCACTCTGGCGGGAACAGATTGGCCTTGACCGATCCCCACTCAAGCGTGTCGGTAGTAAGGCCTGGAGTCATGTTTGCACTGTTGACCACAAGCTCGCTAGCTGAGAGGATGATATACTCCACTCCCACTGGAGCTCCGAAGAATGCCCACTGCCCAGCATCCTTTCCCGGTTGGCCATCAGCTCTCGCCCACTGCTCTGGCTCGGTATGGGAGACCACAAAGCCCCAACTCTGCAGCTGACCGTCGCCCTTTGCCCACTGAACAGAGTAGGGGAAAGTGAAAACAGGCGACTTTTGTTCGTTCAAGAATAGGGCAGAGTAGAATTTGTTCGTCTGCAGTCTGCGACTTTGCGGCTGAATGCCGATCCTCGGACAGGGGTGATCTTTAGGTGCGTCGGGGACAAGAGGAGCACCAGTACCGATAGGTCGGAAGATGTCACTGGCAGACAACGTTCCCACGACTGATGTCGACGAAGGACTAGGTAGTGTAGACGGATTGACAATCGAGATATCACTCGACCCGATCGACGTAGGAAATGGCGGAGCAGAAGGCTGTAAAGATGTCTGGAGGACGCTGTTGATGCTGCCCGACGTGCTTGTGGGACCCGGCAGCGTAGCACTCTGGACGGCAGATGTGGTGAGTCTTGTCAGAGAGACGTCCGAGACACTGGTTGAGAAGGAGCCGGTTGTCTCGTGGGATATCTGAGTGCTGGACACAGATGTGGTCGAGTTCGTGGTAGCATCACGCGCCACAATACTGGAGCTGCTTGTCGGAATGCTAGGTTGCCTTGTAGTGGTAACAAAGTGAGTCGGTGGAAAAGCATGCCCAGGTCCGGGTGCTTGAATTCTGCCCCGGCATCAGTTTCGTAGAATTTTGATGTGGGCCGAAATCGAGCGCACTCACTGTCCATCGCCTATCTGATAGATGATTGCGCCACCTGGTTTCGGATGTCCTTGGAAGCGAAACTCGTGCGAGGCCTTGGGACGGGTTCTGTCTTCAGAACAGGTACTGGTGATGGTGACCACATCAGGGACATCGCGTGCCAGTAGTGGCGACCCTTGGGCAGGCTTCAGTGGGTCACAAATACCGGACATTTTCGTGCACTCACCTGTATAATGCGGTGCTGCCGAGGAGAGTAGAGCCTGGTGCAAAGTGATCAGCGAAAGCAATAAAGGCGTCCGACCATGAGAGCGATGTCCTCCCATGACGGAAGAATAATCTGTGTTATCAGCGTGTGCAGAATTGCCTGGGAGAAATTTGAGGAGCAAAATGGTGAGCCTATTTCAATAATTTGGATTCTCAGTGCGATGCTCATACAATGGCCCGAAAGCCTTGTTGCACTGCGCACATGCAAAGCTGTTTCTTTGATACCTGCGCTCGATGAGGACAAGTGCTTGTGTGGTTGTCGGTTTGGAGACAGTCTCAGACGTATGTGTAGAAAGTGGAGGTGGTCAGTGGTGATCGGCGGATGAGCGTGATATCGTCGGATAGGGCAAAGGTCTTCTTTAGCACAGAGTCTCCACAGGCAGCACGAGGTCTTCTTCAGGGCACCGGCGGCGCTTGACTGTGCCCAAGGACTTGGCCGAGGGTGGAATGTCCTGTCTCGAAGACGACGAGTGTAACAATGGCATAGTTACCAAGCTCTCGGCGGGCAAGGCTGTCGTCGTCTGACATGTGCAACCCGTGGCCCCTGGAGCCGATGGATAGCAAGTTCCCCCAGGTAACGGGAAGTTGAGGCGACGTTGGAATGTAGCATGTCCTAAAGGGTGTCGACCCGTTGGAACGGAGCCATCGATTCGCTGGTGTCACAGGACCTGAAGGTACTACGGCCCTAAGGTCGGGTGTTCACTTTCATCATGCCGGCATCGTTACAAGTCTACGATCGAGCGCGCAGGCATGGGAGGCACACGGGAGGTGTTGTTCAGCGGGATGATATGCCACCAGTCAAGTCCTCGGATCAGGGTCCCGATCGTCATTGTGTCAGTATTCTTGATGACAGATACATTGCCCGTTGCGTCGTTGGCCATGTTGGAAGGGCAAGCCGCCTATGCTTTGCGTAGACATCCATATCGGGTGTGTTGGGCTGAGGTTCTGCTTCGGTCGGTGTCCCGGTCATGCGCGAAGCCGCAGATGACGAATTGATTCGTTCTTTTCGTCGCAAGAGCAGACGGCAGCCCAGTTCATGCTCTGCGTAGAAAATGTGGAATGTCTACGTGCGTCAGTGTGCAATCTTCGCCAGCAGGTGCATGCACATGGCATGAAATGGAAGATCTGGATCAGGCTGTTTTCTGCAACGTTGGACACGATGAAGGAAACGACGGTCGACGTTGTTCGTTCCCAGGTCGACAACGCCAACGACACGACGTTGCCGCGTGGCTTGTCCGATTTGGCGCAGGGCGGAAGAAATCGCGGCGTGCCATGTCAAAGGATGATGGCGTTCAGGTCCGGTGAGTGGTGTAGTGGGCAGCTTTGGAGGCGGTGGTACATGGGCTGAGCATCTGCATTGTTCAGCGCGTCACACGGCCGCATGTGTCTCAGCGGCCTTCGATGCGGGTGTGACAGATGACTCGCAGGCCGCACGAGAAGAGAAGAGGCACTGAATGCCATGCACGCCCCAGGCAACCCAGGCTGAGCAGAGACGCGCTCGACGCGTTGCTGCTGTGTTGCAAGCAGGCACGTCGAAGTACCCATCAGATCCGTACTGTAGTGTTCAGTCAACGAAAAGGCAGGACAAAGGTCGATGTGCTGGGATTGTCGGAGGGGAGGAGAGAGAGTTCAATGCAGGGTGCCTGGTCGAAAAGCGGAGATTCAACTGGCATTGACCGCCTGTCGCGAAAGAAACACGTCGTCATGCTCCCACTTTCCTTCTGCTTCTGCTTCTGCTCCCGCCTTCCACGACCTCACGTCGCCACTGCACAAAGACGCAGGCACGACAACAGATCCCCAGCAGGAGCCGCTATGAGGACGGCGAGCTTGGGAAAGTATTGATCTGCCTCGTCGCGTTGCACTGCATCTCCGTTGGCCTCCCGCTGCTCTTTTGCGATCCATCACATTCCGCGCTCATCATCCTTTCGCAACACTGATAGCACCATCTTACCGACCTTCACTTGTGGCGAGCAAGTAAAAGCAGCAGAATTCAATTCGCATCTGCTGACCGCTCACTGTAAAATGACATTTCAAGTGACTTTGAGCGGCATGCCATAAAGCTGACACTTTCTCAGTCGCCACAAACACACAAGCATCATTCTACCCAACACGATCTCTACCAGATCATACCATCGCTGTCGATGGTGTAACCCAACAACATCACACAGAGAGCAATCTATCCCGTTTGCTTCTCACCGAGTTTGTGAGACAAGATCTCACTGAGCCATTCATTCGGATACATAAGGTGAGTCTCGCCAATCCTGGTCTGCATCCGTTAGTCACATCTGACTTCCATTGAACAGCTCCTTACATCGACATTCGATCCGTAAGGCGCCATGTCCGGCAATCAACCACAACGCGGTGGTCGCGGCGGAGGCCGTGGCGACCGAGGCGGCGGCGGCGGCGNNCGACTTCCAAGGAGGTCGAGGCAGAGGCGACTTTCAAGGTGGCCAAGGCCGAGGTGGCTTTCAGGGTGACCGCGGTCGTGGCGATTTTCGAGGAGGCCGCGGTGGACCTCCCGGCAGGGGCCAGTCCTCACAAGTGCCCTTCAGAGGTGGCCGTGGAGGCGGTGGCGGAGGTGGGCCACGAGAATTCCCAGGAATCTATCTGTGAGTCTCGCGAAGGCAAAGTGTGGGATCTGTAGTGCTGACATGGATACAGCGAGTCTGCGCCTGTCGCAGCTCCCGACGCAAGCATCACAGCTGCCGAGGACGCGCTCGCACTGCAAACCAAGGGAAAAATCATCGATGGCTTTCCTGGCCGTCCGGGATTCGGGACCAAAGGCAAGCCCATTGTGCTAAGGACCAATTACTTCAAGATCACCACCGCGTACGAGGCCAAGCAGCCTGAGGTTCCGCTGTATCGCTACGCGGTTAATATCCGCGAGACGAGTGTCAGCAAGCCCAAGCTGCGACGTTTGTTCAACGAAATATTCAAGCATCCCGCCTTCTCCCAAGTGAAGTGGGCCACCGACTATGCTACCATCCTGGTCACAACTGACAAGCTTGATCTTGAGAAAATGCAAAAGGGCGAGGAGATCAAGGTCACTCTGCCATCAGAGGACGGTGCAAGTCCGCAGCCATCTCAGGGTGAGCAAGTTCCCGACTTTGTCAGGAGAGCCCGGGACCGCAACACGTTCCATTTCAAGATTCGTTACATGGACTCATTCAGCCTGAAGCAAATGATCGACTTCCTCCAAAGCACCTCTTCCGGTGCTTTGTACGCAGGTCGCGTTGATCTAATCCAGCTTCTGAACATCATTGTTGCCAAGGCTCCCAATGAGATGGCCAATGTCAGGAGTGTGGCCGGCAACAAGTTCTACCCGTACAACGGACATCAAGGCGTGGAGTACAAAGACCTTGGTGATCATCTCGAGGCTCTGCGAGGTTACTTCTCCTCCGTTCGACCCGCCATCTCTCGGCTTTTGGTCAACATCAACGTCACGAGCGGAGCTTTTTTCAAGGCTCAGCATCTCCTCCAGGTCTTCTCCAACACCCGGAACAGCTTTGAACAGCTAGAGGCTTTCGTGCGCATGCTCAAAGTGGAGGCGCGATACGTGAAAGATGGCCAGCCACAGCCGTTTATGAAGAAGACGAAAACGATTGTTGGATTTGCCAAGTCCACCAACACGATCAGGGTCAAGCGTTTTGGCAACGCAAACGAAGTCAAATTCAGCTACGTCGATCGATCAATTCCGAATGCAAGAGCTCGCGAGGTCACAGTTGCTCAATACTTCAAGCAGCAGCATGGAATCACCTTGAGGAGCGCCAATCTCCCTGTACTCAACGTGGGCACGAGAGCCGACCCCCAGTATCTGCCCGTGGAGTTATGCTGGATTACACCTGGCCAAGCGTACCGCCGACTGCTGAGCGGAAATCAGACATCTGAAATGTTGCGATTCGCAGCACGCGCTCCCAACTTGAATGCCATGTCCATTGCAGGCGTGGCAGGCACTCCTGGAAATGGCCTGCGATTGTTGCGCTTAGCCAACCCGAACGGCAACCCACAGGCCGATTCTGTACAACCGTTCGGCTTCAGAGTGGGCACGGAGATGATCAGCGTGCCGGGCAGGATCCTCCCTTCTCCAACAGTCAAGTATGGCAGCAAGGATGCTTCTACTGCGAACGGAGCGTGGAACCTCAAGGGTGCGAAGTTCGATAAGCCAGGGAAATTCAATCGCTGGCAGGTGTTGATCATAAACCATCAAGGCAATAATGGTCAAGCAATGAGGGGTCCTCCTGAAGGAACGATCAAGGCCCTCGAGCAGGCTCTCAAGGACTACAACATTCAGATGGGATCACGAGGTCCCACTTTCCAGATAACGTTGGCTGCTTTGAATGTGACGAATCGTGCCGCCAATGACCAGGTGCTGAAGAGCGCTTTCGAGAAAGCGGAGGGGAGCAGAGTTGACATGCTCTTCATCATCTTGCCTGAAGCGGACCGATGGCTCTACGCGCGAATCAAGTTCTTCGGAGACGTCGAACACGGTATCGGAACGATCTGCTCCGTTGGATCTAAATTGGAAAACGACAAAGGTCAGCAGATGTACTTCGGAAATCTCGCACTGAAGTTCAACCTCAAGGGCGGCGGTGTGTCGCACAGTGTTGTGAATACTGTCAGCCCTCCGATCGACAACAACACCATGCTGGTGGGCATCGATGTCACCCACCCGTCTCCTGGAAGTGTCGAAGGCGCGCCAAGCATTGCCTGTGTCGTGGCAAGCGTTGACTCCAGAATGTTTCAGTGGCCAGGAAGTATTCGCACCCAGACTGGCAGACAGGAAATGGTTGGTGGTGCAGATGCAAACAGCGTCGATCATTTGGAGGAGATGTTCAACGAGCGCTTGAACCTATGGGTCAAGAGAAACCAGAAGCTACCCACGCAGATCGTTATCTACCGTGATGGTGTCTCCGAAGGGCAGTACCATCAAGTTCTGGATATCGAGCTGGCTTCGTTTGAGAAGGTCTTTGAAAAACGCTACGGAGACAAGAAGAAATGGCCCAAGATCGCCATCATCATCGTCGGAAAGCGACATCACACCAGGTTTTATCCTACCCGCAAAGAAGATGCGGACCAACGCTCTCTGAATCCCCTGCCTGGCACAGTCGTTGATCGCGGAATCGTTGGCAAAATCGTTCGCGAGTTCTACCTGCAGGCTCATCAAGGTCTGCAGGGCACCGCTCGCCCGGCTCACTACGTCGTGATCAAAGACGACATCTCCTTCAGCGCCGATGCTCTGGAACAATTCACGCACCATTTGTGCTACCTGTTCAACAGGGCCACGAAGGCAGTCTCCATTTGCCCTCCCGCCTACTACGCCGATCTGCTTTGCGAGCGTGGCCGGTCGTACCTATTCAGCAAGCTGGCAGAGAATAATGCCAGCGATGTTTCCGTCAGCGATGGTGGCGACGATGAGTGGACTGGAGGCGTTCACGCAAGACTGCAAGAGACTACTTGGTACGTCTAACCGCACAGTCACTGGCCCGTAGACAACACACGGGAGCACGGCATTTGCTATGATACCGTCACCGAACGCTGCAATGCTTGCACGATGCTTGATCAGGCATCCCTCTTCATGATCATATGTGGTCTTGTTGGTCACCACACTCCTTTGAGATTCTCCTTTGTTATGTTTGGACTGGAAATGGGAACGATGTTTTGACATCACTCATTGATTGGAAACAACAAGGGCGTGGATGCAGTAGTTGTATGTCCTTCAGGTAGCTGCAAATGTAGCCACAAATGCTCTTGAAATTGACTTGGACCCCTTGACACATCGATAAATTGGCTTTCAAGCGTCGTTTGTGCGTACATCTTGATCAGATAAAGCCTAGTCGTTTGGTAATGTTTTAAAACGGCCGATCTTAATAGCACGATTGGGAGGCGAGCGTCCGTCTGCACACTGCATTCTGTTGCTATATCGGAGTGAACTGCTTTTTCTCTTCCTTGTCCGCAACAGGCTCTGCCTCTAGAATCTTGACGTCTGCCGCTCGCTTCAGGTCGAAAGACTTCTCCAACCCACAGGCTGTCAAAATCGACCACCGCAACTCATCAATCCCAATCCTCTTCGTCTTGTTCTTCTCATCCAAACTCTTCTCCGAGCTACAACACATCAAATCCCCCATCCTCCCTCTTACTCCCTCTTCTGCAGCAGCCCCATCCAATTCCTCCCTCACCTCCTCACATCTCTCCCGCAACTTCATCAACCCATTATGCACCTTCACCGGCCCGGGAAACTTCGAATCCGGATACAAAATCTTATCCACCTTCGACAACACGACCTGATGCGCAATCCCTTGTTTCCTCAAATGCACCAACAATTCCACATCCGACCTCTTCAACCCATGTTCCGCATCCACAAGCACATACGTCCTGCGTAATTGTTTCCGATTCTCCAAATATTTCATAATTTCTCCTCCCCATTCTTCTCGACTCCCGGAACCGTAGCCTGGCATGTCGACGACTAGGAGTCCTCCTCGACCCCATTGTTTCCATTTTGAGGATTTGGGGTTGACGTTGTTGTCTCGAGGGGGAGATTTGGGTTTGGAATTGGGATTTGTTGTGAGGCCTGAACCGCCGATGCCGAAGGCGTTGATTGTACGGGTTTTGCCTGGTTTTTTGGAGACGCGGGCGAGGTTGCTGTGGGGACGGCCGAAGAGGGCGTTTAAGAGGGAGGATTTTCCGACGTTGGAGCGGCCGAGGAAGGTTACTTCGGGGAAGGGGGAGGGTGGGAGACTTCGGAAGTGAGGGGAACTGTAGAGGATTTCGGGGTGGTGTTTTGTGAAGAAGGAGCGGGCGAGGATTAAGTCGCTTGGGATGGGAGGGTTGGAGATTGTGTAGGAGTTTAGTGTTGAGGGGGAGAGTTTGAGGAGGGTTGGTGGTGGGGTGGTGGTGTCCACCGAGGCTGGAGGTGCTGTTGTCGTTGAGACATGGCGGAGGAGAGTCTGTTTGATTGAGGGATGCTGCAGGATGCTGCAGCGTAGAACCGGTGGAAGGCGTAGAAAGTCCATTGACCTTCAAGCTGACCAGAGGTGGGACACTTCACGTTGCGAGGTTGAGTCCGTGCGCTTTCCCGAAGTCGCCGCACTTGCCTCTCATCATACTGGCTCGGATGTAGATAGAGCTCTCCATCAGTCCTGTACAATTACATTGGAGGACTTGACGCGGATTTACGCTCGATAACTCAGAGATCATCACGATGGAGACGATGGGTTGTGATGAGGGAAAGGCGCGTGCACGCCTTCGCGAACGCGCCTCCCGAATTGGCAACAACCAAGCGGGGTTACTTGGGAGCCGCAATGCTTCCATAAAACCCGCTGTGCTCCGTCTGCTTGCTGCTCGACATTGAGCAACATGGCACCGACAACTCTGACTGAGGTCTTTGGCTTGGGCAACAATGCCTACTTTTCGAACGGGAAGATTGACCGGCTTGCCTTTCTACGCACCCAATACGACTTGCTTGACAAGGCCTCCAGACATACCAGCGCGAAATACCTCACGTTCAATGAGCTGAACGCCTTACGCGATTCCCATGGCAATTTTGCGTATGTGGGCTACGAAGATGTCAAAGACCTCATTGGGGAACCCTTCGCAAAAGATGAAAAGGCGCAAATTCAGAGCTTCGACCCGGCCGAGCATCATCCACGACTGGTCTTTCTCGGACTGGACCTCGAAGCAGGATGTAAGACGCCTGCCGTCACTCTGGGCATGTATCATGGAGTTCCGTACTTCGCCCTTGATGTTTCCTCTTCCTACTACGACAACTTCAAAGCCAAGCAGACTGAGCAAGGAAGAACTCATGTGCCCACACGAGTCGACCTGAAGCTTACCCGTGACGATTCTTCGATCCTCAGTCATGCTCGATCTCTATTGGATTGGAACACCAGGAATCGCTTCTGTGGTGCTTGTGGTGGGAAGACCTTATCGACGCACGGTGGATCCAAAATCGTCTGCCCTCCAGCCGAAGCAGGTGTCTCTCGTAGGGCATGTCCTACCCGAACTGGTCTGCACAACCAAGCTTTCCCTCGCACAGATCCTACTGTTGTAATAGCTCCCATCTCAGCCGATGCGAAACGCATCCTGCTGGGCCGTGGCAAACGATGGCCAGAGAATTACTTCAGCTGTCTTTCGGGCTTCGTGGAGCCTGGAGAATCCTTAGAGGTTGCAACTAGACGTGAGGCATTCGAGGAAACAGGTGTCAGGCTCGGCCATGTCCAAATACACTCTTCACAGCCTTGGCCGTATCCTTCTACGCTGTTGATCGGCGCTATGGGACAATGCATCGAAGGGGGCGAAGATATCACTTATCCTGAGAGTGAACTCGAGGAAGCCAAATGGTTCGAACTGGACGAGATTGAGCACGCTTTGAACAATGGCGCAAATGCCATGTGGGAAGCACCGATCAAAGGTTATGTCGGGCCAAGGGTGCCGCCTGCGCAGCTAATGGCACATCAAACGTTGAGAGGCGTGTTGAAGCTGTTCAAGAGACATTAGTTGATTGCTGGCGCATACAACTTGTCGCCTTGTGTACTTGTCCTTGCGATGGATCAGCTATCTCGTCCGGACCTGCTGGAAAGTGTTGTGAAGTCTCGGCAGTTATCACCTGCAGTATCGCAAGCTCATATTTCCAAGCTATGAGCCGAGGAGAGCTGCAACTACATGTCCTGAACCACGTACACAGAAGCGCAGTATTTCTCGATACGCTCGTCCATCTGCTCTATGTCGAAGTAAGAATGATGCTCGTCTTCGTTGCACGAATGTTGACCGCATCAAACGTCACATCCGAGAGCATCCCTGTACCATATCAACTCCACAGCTTCGAGGCTCGGAGTTATACTTCTACCAGCTCTTGTTCTAACAAATACACCACAGCTATCATCACACCATGTCGGGTCTTCTCAAATACGCGGCTCCGCGTCGAGCAGCCATCAACCTTGCGAAAACGCGGTCACCAAGTACGATGTTTTCCACTGCATTGACTACACAAATCATTCACTAAACAGAAGTGCCCGTTAGTTCCGTTCCGTCGCACATACGCCAATGAACCATCTCGAGGTGCCACGACACGTGGAGAGCCCAATGCCACCAATGTTCGCGACTCTCCATCGAGTAGTGGCGAAGCTAGCCAGGTGAACTCCGCTCGTGGCATAGAGAACATCGGTGCAGAAACAAAGCCAACAGCGGTGAACCCAGTGTCGAACCCTGAGGAGGGCGGCATGGGAGTGCAAGAAGAGTCTCAGCCTAGCCAGGAGAATATGAAAAGGCCAAAGGAGGAGCCAGATCACATCAAGAGACAGCATGTTGAAGCAGAGGGACAGAAGCCATTGGACCCAGCTGATGATGGACACGGTGCCGTGAAGCGGGACCCCAACAAGTGAAACAGGGAAACACTTCCATCAACCGGAGCACAAGGAGAGCACCAATAAGTTTGGACGACTGTAATCTAAGCTGCAACTCCACCAGTTCCCGTAGACTCCGTAATCCCACCATCAACGATCAAAGACTGCGCAGTAATATACTTCGCCGCCGAACTCGACAAAAACGCAACCGCATTCGCAACATCATGTCCATCACCCATCACTCCCATAGGAACATTATGCTGCGTAATCTTCCTCGCCACTTCCCGATCTTCTTCTTTCTCGCTCATCTCCAAATTCTCCACCAGTGGCGTGTACATCAGACCAGGAATGACACAATTCAATCGTATACCCTTGGAAGCATACATGCAAGCTGTAGCTTTGGTGAATTGTACCACAGCTGCTTTGGAAGTGGCATAAGCGATCTGAGGTTTCCCGATGTAACGTAGTGCTGTGATGGAGGCGTTGTTGATTATTACACCTGAGCCTTGTTTTTCCATAATCGGTAAAACGAGACGACAGCAGCGGAAAACACTATTGAGATTGAGATCGATTTGTTCTTGCCAGGCTTCGTCGGACATTGTGGCTGGGTCTCCTGGAGCTGTCATTCCGACATTATTGTATAAGATGTCGATTTGCCCATGTTTGGTAATTGCTGTTTGGACGAAAGTTGCGATGTCGTCGGAGTTTGTGACGTCGACTTTGAGAACGTCGCAGATTGTGTTGGGGTTGTCTTTGAGGAGTCTGGTTTTGGTGTATTCGGCTGCTGAGAGGTTGATGTCGCAGCCTACGATTTTTACGCCGCTGTGGGCTAGGACTCGGGCGGCTGCTGCTCCGTTGCCCCAGGTTGGGGAGTTGGGGATGCCGACTTGGCCGATGCCTGTGATGAGGGCGACTTTGCCGGCTAGGTCTGGGTAGATTGGGAAGTTGGAAGTCATTTTGGTTATATGAATGTTTCGGAATGAAGGTATGAACCGGTCTCTGCAGTAAGCTAGCAACACCCAGAATGTAGGACATGCATTTACATATTTGAGTGACGTCTGACAGCCCCGTCACGAGGCACTTGAAGTGAAAGTCTCTCGAGCCGATGGAAAGTTGGCCGAAGTCTCCAACATTGGAGAGCACACGATGAGGGGTTTAGTGGGGGCCCGAGGGAGAGATGCAGTTTTGCTGCATGAGATGCCATGATATGACTTTGGCGACACTGCGGTGGTTACCGATTGAGAAAACATTTCCGGCCGCTCTGGGAAAGCAGTCACCGAAACTCAGTTCGGGCAGGAGGCTCCTCCAACTTCACTTGACGAGAGGAAGCCGCATTCGACATTGACGATCGGAAGAAAGAACATCAGGTTTCTTTTTTCCCTATTGCTCACAGCAGTAGTCATCGTCACTTCTCTCAAGCTCATTGTACTTTCCAACCATATGCAAAGGCAAGAACACTTTACTCCTTGATGCACAGGTTGACTGGACTGGCCAGGCAGTTCGCAGCTCGAAGGATGCAAACAACACAGCACAAGCTATCGCCTCCTTCTCTTTCTGAATTGGCAGAGGTCATAACTCCAGCACTCGAGGCCAACTTCTCAGAAGCCAAAGTCAGCGTCTCGCCATGTCCGGACCTTCGACAAGCCCCATACTATCTCGCCACAGAAGGTCTATCTGGCAATGAGAAAGTTGCAGATATTGGAGGGCAACCGAATCTATTCCCTGAGCCTCGTCTGGAGTGCAAATACGACATGTTGCAAATTGCTCAGGAGATGCAGATGGAGTCTAAGCAAGGCCAATTATTAGGTGCCGGAGCTGGACCTTTCCATCACGTTGGCGTCAATTCGGAATTAGCCCCCAATCTCAGCTGGCAGGACAACTTCGATAATGTCAAAAACTTGACGTACTATACCAAATTCGACGGTGCGGAAGGCAAGCATGCTGCTATCTGCGCACCGAGCCCATCTTGTGATTGCGCATTGATGATGAACTTGTACGGATCAAATGGAGCACCTGGGGATGTGCTGAAAGTCACAGCTCGGTCCAGAAAAGGCGAACAAAAGAGTTTCACCGAGTGCATACGTCGTGCCCTGGCTGAGAAGTACGGAGACGAGCGACCGATTAGTATCGGCGGCATGTTCCTGCTCAAAAAGGGCAAAGCACATTTTCACGTCATGCCTGGATTCGAGGCCAAGAATGGCCCTCCTTTCCCGGATGCAAAGCAGCTGAACGACTGGCTGACCTACCATGACTTTGAGGCTCCGATCGTGTGCTTATCGGTCTTCCATTCAGCAGACCCTGGCAAGAAGCTCGGCCTGAGGATGGAACATACACATTGCTTCACTACCGATGGAAGCAATCGTGGCGGCCATTACCACTATGATCTACCACCAGGTGAAGGGATTGAGGAAGTGGAATACGAAGCATACTTCAACACTGCCAAAACTCTATATCGCATAGACAAGCCGGAGGTCACATTAGAGAGAGATTTACATGATTAACGTGATTAACGTGATATTGGAACACCTAATAGAAGTATCGAAAGTCACTCTGAGTATCATGCAACAGTCGCAGCCCTCGATGGCTACCTCCAGAAGCATCGAATATTTACGATAAACAGAGATTCAGTCGATGAAGCCAGTCGCTCTGCCAGACCCAATCCTGCCCTACCTTCCCAAATTCCATCCCGAACGCCATAGCCACGAACCAAAATGGAGAGCCAGTCACTCAAGCCATATACCTCCACCCTTACGCCAAATGCAACCCCCTCGCCTCCCTACTCTCCTCGCTGATCACTTTCTTCCCCTTCTTCCCCCTAAACCGCCTGACAATCCAACACCCAACCAGAACCACAATCATTCCAAATCCCAACCAAGCCACGCGCTCGTCAGGCTTATAATCCCCAACAAGCGGATCAAGCCCTCTTGATACAAGTTGCACATTCGCTTGAAATCCATTAAAAAGCGCAACACCCTGCGCATAAGCAGGGAAATAAGTGACTTCATGTCCCTTCTTTTCGTTGTCGTTGACTCCAGAATTCGAAGAACCGAAGAGTCGATCGTTCATTTTCACCAGGAGGTCTGGTGTGGAGTCGTCATGGTGAGATTCTTTGAAGTCGAGGAAAGCCTCGCGCTCACGGGTGGTAAGGCTTCTGTGATGTGGGATGAAAGGCATTTTGGGTTGTAGTGTTGTTGACCAGCTTTGACTTGAGTCTTTGTACTCGAGAGGCTGCAAATTCTGGTCTGTGAATGTTGGACACCTGGGATAGGTGAGTGTAAGATATATACTAACAAAAAAAGCCATATTTTCCTTGGGAAGACCCTTTTGGTCCCGTATCTCTGGCACCAGCATGAGTTGCGCGCCAACGGCTCAGAGTAAGCATAAACTTAAGGATGAACCGCACCCAGGGAGATACCGAGAGCAGCTAACGCGAACTTTGAGTTAAAAAGGTGTACAGTGATATTTCTTCAGAGTACGAATTGGAGTAAGTAGAGAATAACAAGCGCGCCGCACCTTGGGTATCCGTGCCAAAAGATGTCCTGAACTGCCGTATTTTCCAACCCAAAGCCTTCGCAGTTCTCCATGCAACGCGTGAAAGGAAGAACAAAAGCGCCGCAAAAAATACATCGAAACTGACTTCGTTTCATCTGATTCGTTTCCGCTGTCATCAAATCGTAATATGTCCATAGAATGTTGTTGAATGCATGTCGTTGGGTGTTATACATCAGAAGTGGTGGTGGTGGTGGTAGTGAGGCCAAAGAAGTTTCAGCCCCACACCGAAGCAGTGGCGGCCACTTCTTCGTCCGCCTCGCGACATCCTTCGAACCATGGGCTGCGAAGGGCGTCGCTGATTGTGTATCGAATATCGATGTCTTTCTCCAGGCATCCTCGGACGAGGTCCATGACCTCTTCGCCACCGGCGGCGGCGTGTCGCAGTGCATCTTCGTCCCAGTCGGCGCGAAGGATCATCTCCACAGTTTTGCTGGGCATGGTGTGTCGGAAGGGCAGATGTCCAGTGCAAAGTGCGTATACGACGACGCCAAAGGCCCACACGTCGCCGGCGGTCTCATATAGCTTTCGATTTACCAGCAATCCTTTGGGTGACGCGTATTCGAGTGTGCCAATCACCGAAGAAGCCGTTGGTAAGGGCATGTCGTTCGAGAGTGATCGATGTGACGACACTCGCTGAGGCGTTCGCGATCCGTCATCTGGAGCTTCACTGTGCAGGAAATCGGCAAGACCGAAATCGCAAAGGCGCAAGTTTCCGCCAAGCGTCTCCGAGTCAGGTCCGGCCATGTCGACGAGGCAATTCTCCAACTTCACATCGCGATGGCAGACGCGAATATCTTCATGCAGATAACGCAGGGCGCACGCGAGCTGGTATGCGTAACGTTTGGCAAGAGCAGGTGCCAAGCCTTTGCGACCATCGTTACGAGCAGCATGTTGGCGAGACTTTCTTACTAAGTCGAACAACGTCCCACCCACATTGAGATCCATGACACAAAACGTGGCATAGTCAGTCTCGTACACTGCATGCAGAGGCAAGACATGACGGTGGTTCAGATAGCGCCAAATGGAGACTTCGTGCTCGATCTCTTGTTGCGCCTTCTCGTTTTCCACCTCGTTTGCGTCAGCGATGGATTTACGCACTATCTTGACCGCTTTCACGGTGCGATGGCCGTGATCATCAAGAGAGTGTACTTCTTTGACTACGCCAAATCCGCCACGGCTGATGGTACGTCCGATGATGTACTCGTTATTGAGTCCAATCGCTTGACCTTCGTCGTCAGGTTTTGGCTCAGGTGGATTGTCTTCGGCATCGCCTCGACCCCAGTTTGCAAGGAAAGCATGCGCTGGACTGACCGAAGTATTGGCTGAATTTGAACGCCGCGATGACCGCCGTGATGTCGGGACTCGGCGGGAACGCATAGAACGCATACTCGAATTCCTGCTCAGCGGATCGTAGTCCTCTGTCATGGGCGACATTACGGGTGAGTCGAGCATAGCGTGATCCACGGTTCTGCCCTCGGGTATCGTTTGAGGTGATACTGTCAATTTGGTAATGGAGTCGATGGAAGAAAGCATTCGAGTCATGCTGTCCGGGGATGTGATAGGAGAGGGGCCGTTGAGATCATGGCTAGGCGACATTGTCGATGCGGATGTCAGGGATGCTATCGTTTGCGGAGTCAAGTCGTTTGAGAATGGTATCCGGGCTCTGCCCGGTCCCGTCACTGGTTCGTCGCACAGGTTCTCCTACACGTCACGCGTTGGTATGATCGTCGCAACACATCCTACGCGCTGCACTCACCACTGAAGGGGTTCGTCTTCCAGACAGTTGGGTCGTAAGTTCGGACGGGTCCTCCGAATTCCCGATCAGCCATCTCATCCTCCTCGAAGCTGTGTTTCGTGTCTGCGGCACGTCTTGGGGGAGACTTTGCTCGAGTTTGCCCAGGCTTTCGGCCGAGAAGCGATCCACTCCTGTCGACGCCTGGAGCGAGTGTGATTTGTCGGCCATCGTCGGTTCTCGCTGTTGGGTTGAATTGGATGCTGCGGCCGCGCTTTCTGAAATTTGCTGTGAGAGTCTCGAGCTCAGCATTCCGCTGCTCCGCACGGCCGGCCGAGAAGGCTCGCCAGGAAACGCCGCCCCCATTCTGTATCTTTCCTTTGTCGACGCGCTGTACCTCGTGATGCTTCTTGTTTTCAGGAAGCGGTTCAATCTCCTCAGCACTCCCCTTTCGGGATGCTACGGCTTCCTCGTCGGAGTCGGAGTCGCTGTCTTGCAAATATTTCTGAGACCTGGGGTTAGCGCGAGGGTTTCGATGTGATCACGTGATGACAGTAGATACTCACAGTTCCAGCGAAGGGCGACGCAACGGTATGGCGGGGGACGACGATAGACCTGTCGACAGATGGCTGAGAGGTGCGGTGACCACTGGGGGTGGCGGAGCGTCCGATGCCGTCTTCCGAAGTTTTTCGCGGAGCAGGACTCTGCTGACGAGCGGTGCGATTCGAGGGATACGATATGTTGTCCTCCTCGTCACTGTCGTCCAGATATGCCAACGGGCCAGCGGCGAGGACCGCAGCCTTCTTTGTGTTCGATGGAAGTGCTCCAGGCAGCGAACCGCGGCGGCCACTTCGGTCGACCAAGCGCTGAGCGGCGGTCTTTGGGTTCGGCGGGGCGGGCGACGGGCGGCGGTCAGCCTTCTTTTGCGCGCTTACTTCCAGCAGAAAGTTGTCGTCGTCGTCGAGGTTTTGAGGCTTTGCGGCTACGGGAGGCGACTTGGTCGGGGAGGAGACGCGAGGTGCTATGGGCGACGGCTTAGCCGGCACCGGCGCCTTGGTCTTTGGTCTGCTCTTCCGGAAGTCGTCGTCGCTATCATCTTCGAAGCCCGTTGCGAAGGGATCTGGTCGGCCCTTGCGGCGTGCAGTTTGAACGCGGAGACCACTGAAATGTTTGCTGATTTCGTAGGCGGCCATAAACGGCGGGTGNGTGCAGGGTGGGGCCAAGGACGAAGCAGCACCAAGAGACCGGGGTGTCGGCGTGCGTGCGGCGTGGGGAGGCAGCAGGCGGCAGGCGCAATGCGATAGATAGGCAGTGGCTGTGGCAGTCAACGGGACAGAGAGGAAAGTGTTTTGGTGGTCGAGAGCAAGAGCAACCGGCCACCGCACAGGAGGCCGCTGTCAATATGTCTGGTAGGCGTGTTGCGCGAGACGAAGGGTAGGGGAGGTACCGGAGAGGGGCATGCGACGGGCTCTCAGATCAGGCCGTGATCTGAGGGATATGTGGTCATAAACTACGGTGCCCAGTCTGCAGCCAAGAATGGAGGCTTTGACACAGCCCCAGCTGCTACGCTTTTGTGGTATGACATGAAAGAAGCGTGAAAGCCCTGGCCCAGCAGCGACAAGCTCAACAAGGTTCCGCGCAAAACGAGCACACGGCGTCGATCTGGCCCTGCGCCGCTACTCCACCCTGTTCTCCGCGTTTGGGAGCTGCCCATTCGCTACCCGCGCTGCACTCATCGCAGCCTTCCGAGCCGCAAAACCTACCACTGCCGTTGCATTCGTACAGTCATCGGGAGCTGTCGCTCGCCCAGCCCAGAGCGCACGCCGCACTCCTACCAGGCTGCCAGCTAGCTCGTCGTGTGCAGACGTGCAGTGGGCGATCCATACTCCCTTCGACTGCTCGTCTTTGGAATCACTCGAGCTACGTGGTGCTTCACCAGCGCAAGTGGGGGAAAGAAGCGATCGCCAGGGTGTGCTCGCTAGCATTGGTATGCGTTCATTGCGATGCCCGCCCTGGTAGAACCTACGACATTGTGCCACGGTTGCCGCTGGCCCTCATTCCCGATATCTTTGAGAGACTCTTGGGAAAGCCGGGATGACATGATGATGGCAAGGTCGGTTCATTGCCTGGCAAGGTTCTCAGCACCGACGGGTCATTCGTTTAGCCAGCGCTGCCTCATCACGGACGTCAACGGTGACCGAAGTCATCGCACAGGCGATGAGGCTGCAACGGTGGCACTGAGATCGATCACATGCGAAGGTCGCGCAACCCTGTGCGGTGGCTGCAGCGACAGCTCGAGCTCCCGGTCTATTCTGCGGCCAAGGCTTGGTCTGCATGCCAAGTTGAGCTTTTGAAGGTCCGAAGTGAAGTGAGACGGTAGCAACTCTCCAATTCCTACGGTCCTTCATATGCTAGTGCAGTTGCACGCTTTGCCGACATGAACGCGACCATACATGCTGTAGCGGTGGCCACCACTCGGAGAACCTTGAAGGCGCAACAGGCTTTTCGCTGTTCGATGATCTCCCGTGAAGACGGCGACAAAACCTACCACAATCTATCCTTAACACTCCAACCAACTTACTAGCAGGGACATAGCGCCTATAGCAGAGTTGGAGGGTGGGCAGTGGCTGTGTCGGCGAGGAAAATGGCTCAGTGGAGATGCTGAGTGCTGAAGTGAGCGGCAGTGGGAGCGGTACCGTCATGCAGCGCGACGAAGGAGCACAATGACATGCGGTACATGCGAGTAATGCGTTCAGGTCATACCTATGAGCGCGTACAGCGGTGTCTCGATATGAGACTGATGACGACGGCAATGCCAGCGGCGTTAGGCGATAGCGAGGCCATGGCGTGGTGTATAAATGGATATATCGCATCGCAGACAGCACCCGCAGGCCCGGGTAGTCGTCGGCGGAGATGGTTTCCCTCGTGCCATGAGGTATATATATGTGCAGCAGTGCAACATTGTAGGCCACGCTCGTGGTTGCTGGGTTGTCTTTGTGAGATGGCGAAGCGAAGCGTGAAGCAGTTGTGTGAGCACGGGCGCCGGGCTCCACACCACCGCGCGAAGAAGCGCAAAGAGGCAGCTTCCGCGTGTTGAGCGACGATCGTGATGGGCAAGACGGCCTTGCCGCCAACACCACCACCCCATCCCAACCTCGCCTCGCCGCATAGCACATGTCCACCGCCCTCTGCGACGCGCCGTGAATGTGTGCTGCTGGTGCGCGCGCTGTGTTCTTGGCCCCGGCTGTTCAAAGCATCATTCCGATCTACCTTCACATGACCGCGCATTTAGCACCACGTCGTGCCTGGATACCTTAGCTCCGTCGAAAGCCACCGCCGCCGCCGACGCTCCACCTGCTTGCTCGCCATCCACCTCCGCCCGGCCGTCGCGCTGAGGCATCAGACCATGGCCGACTTGTGTCGCAGGATCTTCTCGTGTTGCGGAAGTACGCCATCCATCACGCCTCCTCCACCGACCGCTATGGTAGCGCGAGCTGTGACTGACCGCATACAGGTCGTTCCAAGGTCGACTACGACAATGTCCTCGCAGACACGGAACGGGAGGCCGTCGCCGACCTCCTCAGCTTCCTCGACAATGTACGCCCGACGCCTCTCACCGCAACGCCAGGCTCGACTGCCAGACACATGCACATGCTGACGTAGGCGATCAACAGCGAGCAGAAACCGACTTCTTCAGCGGACCTCCTCTCGACGCATTATCCACTCTGGTATACAGCCAAAATATCGATCTACAACGGAGCGCCAGTTTGACCTTTGCTGAGATTACCGAAAGAGGCATGTGGTAGCATATCATGAGCTGCGGTGGTAGGATATGCTGACTGGGATGCGCAACAGATGTGCGGCCGGTAGACCGATCGACCCTCGAGCCTATCCTGTTTCTACTCGAGAGCCCTGACATCGAGGTCCAACGTGCTGCCTCGGCCGCGCTGGGCAATCTTGCCGTAGATGGTATGCTTCATGCCGCACGTCCTCTTATCACAACACACCACTAAGCGATTCACAGGCCAGAACAAGACCCTCATCGTCTCGCTCGGAGGCCTGACACCACTGATACGACAAATGAATAGCCCGAACGTCGAAGTGCAGTGCAACGCTGTCGGCTGTATAACGAATCTAGCCACACATGAGGAGAACAAAGCCCGTATCGCACGATCTGGAGCACTTGCGCCGCTGACGAGATTGGCAAAGAGCAAGGATATGAGGGTGCAGCGAAATGCAACGGGAGCTCTACTCAATATGACACATTCAGACGACAACCGACAACAGCTGGTTTCAGCGGGTGCTATTCCCGTGCTTGTCAGCTTGCTGAGTAGCACCGATACCGATGTCCAGTACTACTGCACCACAGCTCTCAGCAATATCGCGGTGGACAGCACAAACCGGAAACGATTGGCGCAAACAGAACCGAAGCTTGTGCAAAGCCTGGTGCATTTGATGAAAGGTCAGGCGCCGAAAGTGCAATGCCAGGCGGCTCTCGCGCTCAGGAATCTGGCCAGTGATGAAAAATATCAATTGGAAATTGTACGAGCCGGAGGACTACCGCCATTACTTGGATTACTACAAAGCAGCTACCTCCCCCTGATCTTATCAGCAGTGGCTTGCATACGAAACATCAGCATACACCCCATGAACGAGTCGCCGATCATCGATGCTGGATTTCTCAAACCGCTTGTCGACCTGCTCGGCTCTACAGACAACGAGGAAATTCAATGTCATGCGATTTCGACATTACGAAACCTCGCTGCTTCATCGGATCGCAACAAGCAACTGGTGCTGCAAGCTGGTGCTGTGCAGAAATGCAAGGAGTTGGTGTTGGATGTGCCGCTCAGCGTGCAATCAGAAATGACGGCCGCGATTGCTGTCCTTGCACTGTCAGACGAGCTCAAACCCCAGCTATTGGATCTTGGCGTGTTTGATGTCCTCATCCCACTTACCGAAAGCGAAAGTATAGAAGTGCAGGGCAACAGTGCGGCGGCTTTGGGTAACCTGAGCAGTAAAGGTGAGTGCTGCTGTGCTTTGCACATGATAGGTGATGCTGACGATATCTAGTTGGCGACTACTCGCTGTTCCTTACCTCGTGGAAAGAGCCACAAGGTGGTATTCATGGCTACCTCAACCGCTTCTTGGCCTCTGGTGATCCAACATTCCAACACATCGCGATTTGGACCCTCCTCCAATTGCTCGAGTCTGGCGATCAGAAGCTGACAGATGTCATCACGAAATCCGAAGATGTCATGAACATGGTCCGAGAAATTAGCGAAAAGCAGGTCGAATCCGAAGACGAAGGCGAGGATAGCGAAGACGGCGAAGGCGAAGTCGTGGCACTTGCCAGAAGATGTCTCGAGATCAGCAATGGCGACGTGCCACCAGGCAGCAAAACGGACAGCCAGCCATCTTCGTTCAAAGCGTCATGACGAAGAACGGATTGATGCCCGCGAAAGATCTGCCAGCACGACTATGCATTTTGAATGTTGTTGATTGAAAGCCAGCAAGCGAGCGCGCGCATTTTGAAAAACGGTCCTGATTTTCTCTTCTTCGATTATTGCAATACCAGCATTCGGGTGATTTTTGGGATGATGGCGTTGGAGATGGGGCTTGGTGATGGTGCCAAGATCAGGCTCGTGGATGGCGCCCCCGGAGGGTGATGTCCTGTTTGTTGTCGAGACGCAGAGATGCAATGGATACCGAAGTGTGCCGTAGTAATACGAAAGTGTATTGGATGGATAGGGGACTATGGAAGGAATTGAAGTTGAATGAAGGGAGGAGATGTGTGTGTGCATTCTGCTGCTACTTGTATGAGAGAGCATGAGGAGAGGAATCTTTGACTTTCTTCTCCTCCTCGAAGCATTCGTGGCATATTCTGGCATGACTAGAGGAAATGATACAAAAGATTGTTGATGCACTATGGGGTCTCAGGATTCCAATTCCTGTTCTTTGCTCCTACAGCAGGGCAATAGCGTGATGTCCTGGAGAAGCTGATTCGATTTGAACAGACCTTTTGTGGAGAATCGCTGGCGGGGAAAGGTCGACGAATGAGTCTATACCTCCCAACTCGGTCAGACAGACGAATTGAACGGCACGATGGAAAAATCAAGATCCCATTCCCCTATTACCTATCGATCCGAAATTTTAGGAGATTTGCTTGCACTGTTTCCTATCTAGCCAGAGGACAGTGAGCGGTCTGACTGATCATCCAATCATGCAGAATGATGGCACACACGCAAGTCAGCCGTCACTCTTCTAAGAAGTGAGTTCTTGTCTGTCGCCATCTAAATTGCGGGAGGATTGTGACGACAATATTTGCTTGGCGGACAGCCTCGATTATATGGATTGCCCTGATTTCCTGATCCTTCTCCGCAATTGCCCTGGGAGCCTCCCTTTTTCGAACATGGAACGCTGTTTCTGCCCATGGCGCCGTTTCCGATGTTGGTGTCTGGATTTTGACGTGGGGATAGATTTTGCACGGAAGCGTCGTCGTCGAGGGGTTTGAGGGAGCTGTGTTGTTGCGAAAATGGTTAGAAGCTATGGTTTGCTTGTGGAAGGAAATGGGAGGGGCGTTTCTTACTCAAGTAGTGGAGCACTTTGGGCAAGTGCTGCGAAGAGGAATGTGATGGCGAGATGGACATTCATGTCGAATGATTCGTTGGAACCTTGGGAGATGATATGTGGACTTGTTGGTTTGAAGGTTTTCGAAGGGGTGTGGGTTGGAAGGAGTGCTGGGCTAGCATACATATATACTCCCATTCAGTTGTACGAACTGCCATCATGGCTATCTACCATCGCACGGCTTGACGACAATTTACGCTCAGGCCAAAGGATGTTGTGAAACTTGTTTTGAATGATATGTTCGCATCCTACTGCCCTGGCATGTGGACATGTTAGTAAACGATGGGTTAGTAAAGATGCCCGAAAAGGAAAAAATCTATTTCCGAGTTCTAGGAAAGCTATGTGCTTCCGAGGCCTTTCCGTCTCACACTCGTTCTCACATATGCCGCTTAAGTACCTGTGCTTCCGTCCTCCTTTGGTCAACAATCGAGATGTGCCTTCTGGAACGATCCAGACGGGGCATATCTGAAGGCATCCATGTCTACTACAAACGTAGACTTGGCTACGAATCACGCCGAAGCTCGTTCTGTGTCGGATGGAGAAACTTACCTCATGCAGTGCGTGATAGTGGACTAGAAGAAAGAGCGTTCCGGCCGCTGTTAAACGATTTGTCTACGGAGTGACTCTAGGCGCTAGTGACCACGACAATGTTCAAATTTCGAACAACCCCGATTATAAGGGCGGCCAGTATTTCCGCCTGCGCCTTTGCAGTTGCCCGCGCTGCCCATCTTCTTGTTACATGGGACTGGTAACTCCCCCATAGCTCCGTTGCTGATGTTTTGGTCCTTCTGTTGGCGTGGGGCAAGATTTTGGGAGGAAGAGTCGTCGAGATTTATTGGGTTGCTGCTTTTTGAGATGGTTAGGAAGATTCCTTTGTGAACCGCTCTTTTGAGATTGATGAGAGGATGACAGTGGGCTTGGCTGAGCACTTGCTGCACTTACTTGATGATCGGGGCACTTTGGGCAAGTGCTGCGAGGAGGAAGATGATGGTGTGGATGAACTTCATAGTGATGGCGAAGTGGGATTTTTTGAATTGAGGGCTTTGCGTTCTCGTCGGTTTGAAGATTTTTTGTCGAATATGGCTTGGATAGAGCGCCAAATTAATACATATATATGGAATCGCCGTTGGGTCGTGCCTAAGTATCTTGAGCTGCCGTGTCCTTTCGGGCAGGTGAAGTCCATTGGAGCCGCTGAGTTGTGGTAAAAGTAATCTTGTTTGCCAAAAGTGATACGATTGTTGTATCTGCGACTTCCTTGGGTTGGTGGTGGGTTACTAAGTGGCGAATTACTAAGGAAAGCGGAAGAGGAAATTCCCACCTACTTTGCTCACATCAGATTCGTTGGCACTATTTGGAATCATGCTTGATTCAAGCTACTATCTTCCCACAGTGTGCGTGTTGTCAGCTTCTAGTGAGTGTCGAACAATTCCAATTATGGAAAGCACAGGAAACGTACGTCTGTCGAGCCCTGGAATGGCCAAACGTTTCCGCTAGCCGCTCCTTCTCACTTCAACTCTCACGACTGCCCGCCGCAACGGTTACAGCAGGTATGCACACAACCTGGAAAAGTATCGTTGTTCTTTCATCGTATTGCGAGACGTCTTCGCTCGATAAAGACGATCAAGAGCAGAGTCATGGCATCCATGTCCAATACAGGAGTGTACCTATCAGCACAATTTGCCAATGCGCGGCGAAAGTACAGATCTAGCACATCCAGTGCGTTTGCATGCTGCAGATTGAGGGCATATTTCTGCGACTGTCGTGGAAATGACCAATTTCAGTAGAAGGAAAAGAAAAACAAGAAATAGGGGCCAACTGAAAATGGTGTAGATTTGCGAAGATGCTACGAAGATTGGGAAGCAGATCCAGTACGGCAAGAATGGGTGTGTACACACTTGCGAGGCTTAGACCTCCCTCATAATCAAGGCACGGGCTGGAGGAGGAAGTGGAGGTGGTATCCCAGACTCTAGGTCTGGTGTTAGCGATCTCTTCCGCAATGCGACTGGCTCTGCGCTCGAGGAGGCCAGCTCCTCTGCTCGTTGCTCTCTCTTCTTCCACCACCGCTTACCGATGAGGATGAGGACGACAACAACCAGGACAATCACCACGGATGATATGACGGCGATCACTTGAGTTTCGGTGCTCGAAGCAGCTCGAGTTGCGCCCATGTTGCTAGTGCTTTCCTGAAGTGCTGGCGCTTCCCTCGAAGATTGTCACAATGTTGGTGGAAGCTGCAGTGCGGGTTGGAAGTCGTGCTTGCCTGCCGGAAGATTCGAACCTCGAGTTTTGATCGAAAGCAAAACAAAGAGCCGCTCCTTTTCGTCAATCTTTGTGCATTTGGTGATCCACAAAGAGTTTGTTCTCGCTGAATCCACCGCATTGTTTGCTTATCTTTAGACTCACACCGGTCAAGCGCTTCACTGGCGACAATGCGCATCTGCGCGCCGCGACTCTGACTTGCACAACCAACACGTGCCCATCGATACGCTCGCTTCAAGCAGAATACCAGCTCCTTGATCAGCGGCACAGGAGGATCCAGAGCCGGGCGAACTCGAGATGGGTTACCACCTCGTTACATTCCAATGTTTACATTTCAAGCTCGTTTCGCAACACCCATACAATTTCTACGAGGAGGATGATTACTCGATCGAGGGGCTCCTATCCACACCGACGGACGCACAGCGACATTCGAATTCCAGATGCGACGCCGCAGAATGCGAAGATATTCCAGGGGTAGAGTGGGCCAAGCGCGTCAATGAAGCCATAGCGAAGAGCAAAACTTACTTCTCACTTGCTGTCAATCGATACCTTGACATGGGATTCCGCTACCACACCATTCCAATGGGCTGCCGATTTGTGACACTGAGAGATCCTCTTTGTCAACTTGCCCATCAGCAGTTTGGAGTCGAAATTTGCGGTTGGGACGATGACGACTTCTTCAATTGCTGGCAAGACACCCTTCGGGCACTGCCCGACCTTGCCTGTAAGATTTCAGCGTCTATGGACGAGGATAGCAGGATGAAAATGGCGAAGGCCGTTCATGAAATTCGAGTGGCGGTCAATGGAATTGTGGGGCGGATGCTGGAACTCGAAGAAGGGGTCAGGAGAATAGATGGTCTGCAACAGGACTTGAAGCATACTGAATTATGGTCAGATATTGTGGTGAAGCCGAGCACGAAAAGGGGTTGCACAGGGAGAAGAGATACCAGAGCTCTGAGAGGTCCCGTCTCTCCTGGAGATATTTTCGCGCGCGCAGCCTTCAAGGCGTGGGAAGGGAGGATAGCAGGCCTTTGGGAAGCTTTCTACATGACTTGAGACGCTTCAACAAGATGTGAATATGTTTTGTCAAGTACAAAATCTCATAGAGGCTATCAGCTCATGCCACGACGACCAGATCTTCGACATTCTCCAATTTGAGACAGGTTCCGCACGGGAAACTTTCAGCGTTCGCGATACGAGGTGAGCATGATGTAAGATCTGAAGTGAAGCAGGAAACAGTCGCTGCATGATCCTGCTTCTCAATCACTCTCGACCATTCGGCAAACATAAAGTCTCATACGCACGTGTGACTCCCGAGCATAAGTTGTTCGCTTACAGCTATACATTGTCGCTTTTGTGCTCATCATGCAGTCGCTCACGAGTCATGGTCAATCGACTGGCTCTTCAGGTTTATTGCTCTTGAGTCAGGGGCACGAAGAGATGGAACACGCCCGTCAGATTCAGCGACATGATGAAATGTTTCAGTTTCATGCGGACGCGAAGATGCAGCACAATTCTCAGTCAGTCAGATAGCGTTGTGTGATTGACGCAATAATGAACACGACTCGGTGCACAAGAAAGTGTACAGCGTGATGAATCATTTTGAGCCCTCCATGCTATGCAAGATACCACAAAGCATCACTCCCGACGCGCCGCTGCATGCAAAAGGTATCTACTATGTACTACAGTCGGTCATTGGTCATTAGTTTTGATAGACTCGTGGGAGTTCAGCTTTCGTGCTCGATGCTCATGCTCAACGCCCGTTAATAATGCCAACATCCTTGAACTATACAACTTCCTTCTTCGGCGTCATCTCTTCTGCCTCCTCTGCCGCCTCTTCTTTGCTGGCAGATTCTTGTCCCGGGTTGGCCATTTCGTATTCGAGCATCTTGATCAGGCGATAGAATGCCCATGCTAAGAGAGCTCCTGCAGCTGGACCGACCCCTGCCATGATGTCAATGTTTGCTTCAAGTGCCCTTATGCCTTCCTCAACTTACAGTAAATCCAGTGCTCTGGGTCCCAGACTCCGGAGACGACGCATGGACCGAAAGATCGGGCTGGGTTCAGACTGCCACCAGTGTAGTAAACGCCAATCAGTTCTGCCACGAATAGTGCAAGACCGATACCAACGGGCGCCATGAATGTAGCTTTGTGCTTTTCGTTGGCCAACATGTAGATTGTAAAGACCAGTTCTGCAGTTAGTAGCGCTTCGATCTGTGTGATGTTAGTAAGCGCCACACAGATGAATGACCAAGCATGACTTACAAAGACACCACGAGCGACGGATGTGCCGTCTGACAAAGTCGTCCGCACGTTGAACGTGGTCGGGAACAGAACTGACACAATGTACGACCCGAAGATGGCGCCAAGGATTTGGGAAGCGATGAGTAGAACGCCTCTTACTATGCCAACTCCCTTGACAATCATCATGGCGAGGGTCACGGCGGGGTTGAACCTGTGCGGCGTTAGTCGAAGTCGGAATTGCCTCATGAAGTACTTACAATCCACCCGAGATACGGAAGAAGATCCAGACGTTCACCATCAAACTGAAGCCGAAAGAGAGCGAGATGTACATCAGCACGATAGGACTGAATCCAGTGGAGGCGTTGGTTGTCGTCTGGTTCTCGTTGTCGCCTGCACCAATGTTTGCGACTTGCGTTCCGGCGAATGCGAAGAACAAGAACATGGTGGTTCCCATGAACTCGCCTAGTGCGGCTACAAAATCTGCAGTTGTTGTCAGCAATATTCAATCTGTGTGAAGCACGGACTGCATACGAGCTTTGGCTGATCGGTTCATCCATTCAGTAAATGGTAGGCGCATGATGACCTCCGGTGGAGGACTCTTGGAGGACGGCGGTTGCCCTCCTGCCCTTCTGTGATGTCGGTGACGAAGCGGTCTCTCATCGTCATCATTCCATTCTGATGGGTCGTCGTCGTACGGTGTGTATCGTCGCCTTGGTGGGCCAGGCGGCCCCCTTCCACCGCCAGCCGCTGATCGCCACTCGTCAGACTCTCGAACGGAGCTCATTCGTCGTGGGTATGGTCGATTGTAGTATGACGGGTCTTCGCCCCAATAGTCGCCGCCCATAGCTGATGGAGGCGGACGAACCGGTGTTCCGTAGTCGTACGGAGGACGTGGCCAGTATGGACGGTCGTTGTATCCATACTCTTCCGGGGGACCATATCGCATGATCTGCTGTCTTGAAGGTCGTCGTTGCGGGGCTTGACTAGCGGTTTCTTCTTCATTGAAGTCGAATTCTAGTCGAGGCGGCTGAGTCTGCTCCCATTTGGAGGTGTTGCTGTGAGAACGATCTCGTCCTGCCGTACGAGGTCGATCTCCGCCTCGAATGCTACCAAAGGTAGCTGGGCCTCTGAATCCCTTCGCATCATCTTCTGAAGTGACATCCTCTGCGCCTGGACTCTGTGGTTGCAGTGGGTGTTTCTGATCAGGCACTTGCTCGCCTGGTTGAGCCATGTTGGGTCGTGAGTAGTCTGCGAATGATCGCAATGGGTAGCTGCCGCTTGTACTGGTGTTGTCAAGATCTCCTAATAGCTCTGACGATGCCCGGTGTGAGAGCCCGGAAGGAGTGTTGTTGTTGAACATGAGCGAAGCAGGGCCTATAAGCTTCTGACGTGCTGTGGACTCGCGCTAGAGGATGAATGCAGGTGGCCGAGAGAGGGCTGGTAGGTACCATTGACGTAGAAAAGAGCCATGGCCGCATTCTGCAACAAACTTAGCCACATGATTTGATACCGGCCAGTCGTTAAGCTGCAATTTACCCTGAAGTCGCGGTTTGGCGTAGCCTCGCGCATTTCATCACGCAACCAGCCGCAGACGTCCGATTTCCACATGGGCATTGGTGATCGAGAGGGTCCTGCCAGGGTGATTGTTTGAGAAGCGGGCCCTGCAGATTTTCAGGCCATGTTCCAACAGGGCATACCAGGTCAACATAAGATTTTGCGAGTAGGAGAGCTCAACATCGTATCCGTGCTGACTTGCTTCGCCAACCACTTCCCAGTTTTCGATGGCGACAGTCTTCGGGATGACGCTTCTGCGCCTCCACAGTGGTCCTGTCCGCGTGTAGGGACTGTCAGGCGAAGCCGGAGGTCAAACAAGATGCCGGCAGTCCGCGGCAGGCTGCCTCCTCAGTGGCTGGAGATCTGGAGTTCGCCGTACAGTTCGTTATTATCTTTGACCATTGATCCTGGTCTATACCAGACACTTCTTTGCCAAACCGAGTTCGCAGCTTGTCAAGCCAGCCATACTGCGCCAGCATACACTGCTGACGGATTTGCGCAACATGATGCCTGCACTGCGCGGAGCGTGAATGTCGGCCTGACGGGGTATGCAGGCATGCTGCAGCAGGATGCGTATTTTCGCCCAGTGGCTTGAAGTTTGAAACGTGCTATCATGTCGTCGTTTTCAGAATCTAAATGTGTGCGGCAAAGCCGTCTCCCCAAATGCGCGAGTCACGCCATGAGCCGGGAATAGCATAAGAGCAGGTAGTTAAACGCCACCAAGAGTGTAGAGTGCACAAGGTGAAGTCAAGAGACGATGGGCGACGTGAGGGTTCGGATCTGAGAATGGAGATCGTTACCGCAAATTGATGACAGGGGGTCAAATTTCGAGGCACGCCAATCAAATCCCAGCTCGTGACGACATTCGGCCATCGTCGTCAACCACACTTTGACTCCATCGACCTGTTTCAACGATTACCTTGTCACAGAAAGCTGCAGGATTGTGCCTCGAGGCATCACCATCGTGTCAAGACCAGTCATGGCCACCGCGAAAGCGGTCAAGCTGCCCAGCCTTCTTTACGGGACCGCATGGAAGAAAGACCACACGAAAGAGCTGGTGAAGCAAGCTCTCTTGTCAGGGTTCCGAGCTGTTGATACTGCAGCTCAGCCAAAGCATTATCAAGAGCATTTGGTCGGTGCGGGAATTCGCGCGGCACTGCAGGAAGGACAATTCAAGCGCGAAGATCTCTACATTCAGACGAAATTCACATCTATCAACGGCCAAGATCTGAAGGCAGGAGTGCCGTACGATCCTCAAGACAGTATCGCCGATCAGGTCAATTCGTCGGTAGCTTCATCCCTACTGAACCTCCGACATACCGAGCATGATAGCGGAGAAAAACCTTATGTCGATTGTCTAGTTCTCCACTCACCATTCCCAACCACTTCGCAGACATTCGAAGCATGGCAAGCTATGGAGACACATATACCGGAGCATGTGCGAACGCTCGGCATCTCAAATTGCTATGATCTCAAATTGCTCCAAGCGCTATATGACTCCGCAGACGTCAAGCCATCTATTTTACAGAACCGGTTCTACAGAGACACAGGCTATGACCGCAGCCTGCGAACGTACTGTCAAAGCAAGGGGATCGTATATCAATCATTCTGGACGCTGACCGCAAATCCTCACCTCCTCAAATCCGAGCCGGTGGCTATCCTCCGACATCAGGCGAATCTCAGCAGAGAAGTTGCTCTATACAGCCTGGTCCTGGGTCTTGGCAATGTACAGGTGCTTTGTGGTACCACGAATGCAGCTCGAATGCAAGAAGACCTTGCTGGAGTGGCTGAGGTTCAGACATGGAAGACTCAGCACGAAGCGCAGTGGCAGGACATCATGATTGCCTTCGACCGCCTCCTTCGGTGATATGGATGGAATGCCTACGCGACGAGTCGGTCTCTGGCTACCTTTCGATGCCATATCCGGCATCAAGTTCCCGAATACCAGCATCAATGGAGTTTGAAGCTCGTCTTCAACACAGCCGCTGCGCTGACCGCTATTCTCCCCAACAAGCTCCAAGGCGAAGACAACATCGCAAAGAACCATCACCACTTGTAACCACCACCGTCACAGCACCGCAAACTGAACGCTTCAGCTCCATGGCCTGACCTCGGCGACAATCACCAAAGTGGGTCCACTAGCACCACTAGCAGCCACGCTTTCCACCAGGCTACACAATAGCGTGCAAAACCATTCAACTTCATGCGCACTTCATCAGAGGTCGAGCCAATGTCGCTTTCGTGGTGTAGGTGGTCATCACGTCAGTCTAACACACTGAAGGTCTCGAGTTCAAATCTCGACGAAAGTACAATGCATATGAGTATGTGATTGTGAATGCATTCGCTTCTTTTTTTGCTTTTTGTCATTCCACTCGTGCTTTTGCTCATGGGCTGAAGCATATCGATCGGCGAGACCACAGTAAGGAGTATGTATGCATACTCAGTATTCCTGCGCACTTTCTGTTCGATCATTTTTCGTCTTCACTGATCTTCAACTCTCCACTCGTTCCAAGGCACGTCGGTTCTGCACATTGCAGATTGTACGAGAGACAGGACTGATCACGCAGCATAGAGATGTCGGGTAGCCAGCACATGTACCAAAATGCTCATTGGATTGGGTATATCCTGCTTTAATCTCAAAGCTTTTTTCAGCGCCTCCGCATTCAAAACCTCTAGACGCACAGGAGACTCCACATGTGCGGCATCTATCTTACATGACCCACATCTATCGCAAACTAGCGCTGCCTGGTCTTGGACTGGCGCTACCGTTTCGTGCCTCTCTCTCGCGAGCTAACTGCTCCTCGCTCAAACAGCCGATTCTATTCAATATCTCCTTGTGCTCGCCCAAATTGAGGCCACTTGAGATACCTTTTGATTTCCTCTTTCCATTTGCTGTGACTTTGCGTGCTGGCCAACTGTGGTCTTCTGTGCTTGCTTCGACTTCAATGAATCGTGGTTTCTCGGCTTCTAATGGTGCTGTGTGGTCGGAAGGCTGTGGGGGAATGGGGTCCACGTCTTCGTCCTCGCCTTCGTCGTCACTGCGCGTGTCGTCGGCTCCTTGCCCTCCAAGCACACGGACGACAACTCGCATGATCATCACCAGCCATGCGAGGGTAATCAGTTGTAGTGCTCCAAGTAAGCCGAGGAACCACCATCTTATGTTGGCATTGAATGCAAATGTCTTCGCTTCTGGTCGGAGCATGGGCTGCAATAGGTTGTCCATGATGGATTCGCCGCCGTCTGTTGATATGCGTTCCCCAGTGATGGTGGAATACACTCCATATGGCATAGTCACCACATTGACATGTGCGTAGATGCTCCAGCATATCGCAATGTAGCAGATATGTCTTGCACCGATCCATGTGATGACGAAAAGACCAAAGGCGCAGTCGCAAGCCATTTGCATGCCCAGGTAACGCAGAATCTTGGCCAGGGGAAGCACGAGATCGACAATGTCCATGCAGACCAGAATTGCGTTGCCTACGCGCCACTGCCTGTATCCATAGCTGCCACCCATCAAGCCGACTGTCACAAAGTGGTGCGTGAGCATCTGGTAGTGGTCCTTCCTGCGCTCTTCCAAGTGTATGACAATGATCTGCTGGATCCAGAAGGCGAACTGTGTCAAGTAGTACAGCTTGATGCCGGTAGGCATGAGTAGCCTGGGAAAGTCCCTCCATAGCGACACAAGCAGGTCATTGACATTGGTAATACCGCTTGGTGTATCCTGAACAAAGACGGCCAGACCCCAGAACCAGTATACGGTATAGTACACTAGCATATAAGCTTGTTCAGCAAATCGAACTCGACCCTTCTTTCTTCCAATACCACATGCAGCAGCCATGGGCATGAGGACATAGTCCAACATGAATGCTCGCAATCCGGTGAAATAGATGATGCAGCTCGCTACCAGATACATATCTCGCAAGCCTTGCCCATAAAGTCCTGAGTCCTCTGCTGCATACGACAGAGTGAAGCAAGCTTTGATATTTCCCCGAAGGCTAGGGAACAGTGCGTATGTCATGCCCAGCAGCAGAACAAAGTTCAAAGACAAGCCGAGCTGGTGTTCCATGATTGCCTTCCTGAGCGCACTGCCCAAACTCTCCTGGTCTGGCACAGCACTCCATGTCCTCCTCCGTGGTCGTGGGGCAGGAGATGTGAAGTCACCTGGGCTGGCGCACACCGACACTTCGTCAATGGGCCATTCTTTCTGCGGCGGCGGGGTGTGATCGAGTTCGGGGAATCGAGCGTAGAGGGCGGAGGAGCCAGCCTCCAGGTGTTGTGTCATGGCGGTCGAGGGGGGTCCTGCGCTCGGGCGCAGGTAAGCAGTGTACTGTCGCAGGTCTAGGTCGTGGGCGGGTTTTGGATTTATCGCAGCGAAAAGCCAATGGCGAGATGCTCGTTCGATCAGCACCGAGGATGAACCCTCTGCACGCCAGACACCGACACCGTCTTCGTCGCCGGCTGTAGTGCGTGACAGGCAGGTGTTATGAGAGAAGGACAACACAGAAAAGTGGCATTCTGGCGGGACGCACTACGAGCTCCCAATGCCCTCAATCTACCGGCGACCGCTAGATTCTCCAGAATTATCGGACCCCTGTGGATTAAGGTCGCACTTTGGCGCGCGGGAGGCGCGGGAGCTAAAAAGTCTTGGAACGCGAGAACGAGTCGCGTCGCTCGCGATTGCAATTCACTTCACCTCCACATCTCACTTCATGTTGTGTGAAGCGTGAACGCGTCGGCAAGGCCATCGCTCATCCCGCAGAGATGCTGCAAAGCCATCAATGGCAACTAGCTGGAAGGTGTCGTCCAGGATGCACAATGGAGATTTGGGATCACACCATCAACGTGCCTCCGTGGCTGCTGCTGCAGCAAACCGTGAGTAACAACGAAAGTGAGCACCTCGTGCAGACAGGCCGAAATGACCTGGCAAGGTGACCAGTATCACATCAGTTGGTAACTTTGCTTCCAAGCTTCTTTCTTGTTCAACGCCATTCTCTTTGCACTCATCAAACCACAGCGGCCATCCACGATGGCAGAAATCTGCCAAAGCATGCCGCACGCAGCAGGCAAACGTGAAGCCGACACGCGTAGCGCGTTTGCTCGCAGGTTTGTTCGATGCTGCAGTCGATGCTGCAGCGACACAAGCTGCAGCGCCCGGCCGCTTGCTCGCGGGCAGTCTGTTAACTTCAACTGTGACGACCACAACCTCACAAGCCTGGCTCCATCTGTCTTCCACCTACCACGCCGCCGAGGCTCCCGAGACCTCAAGTGCATTTGGAAGCGTTCATTCTGAGAGCGCCTTCCGCCTGGTCAGTGCATCCCTTCGCAGCACCTTCCTTCCAAACGCGTTTGCACAGGCACCCACTGCCGCCGCCCCGCTTCGTGACCACGTACAAATTCGACAGCACCGACATGTACATCAACATTTGAAGGCATGCTCATTGACATCAACTTTTTCTCGCAGGCACCATGAATGGGCACCTCGAGGAGCGCTTTTCTAAGCGCTCCAAAAAGCAAGCTCCGGCTCCTGGCGACACGGCAGCTGAGCGCACAATGGCATTCAAACTGAACCCTCGCGTAGCGAAATACTTCGAGAAATCAGTCGATGGACCTGGCTGGTTGTCCAAGCCGGAACTCCCGACCTCAGCAGAAGTCATGGATCACGACGACGACAACAATTCGTCTTCTGATGTCGTTGAGCTGGAGCCAAACCGGCCATCTGGCGCGTGGGAATCGAAGGAGGAATACTTGTCTACGCAGTACGAGCTTTACCGCGAAGACGCCATCCGGGGCCTCCGCGAAGCGGTCACAAGAATGCGCATATGCCCCGATGCTGTCGAGGACTCGTACAATGGCAAAATCGGCATATACGAAAAGGTGAGAATTGTATTGCGATGCTCCTCCCGACCACACTAGTTGACATCGTTTCAAGGTCCACATCTGCGGAGTTACTGCTTCGACTCGAGGGCTGGCTCACAGAATTACCTTCAGCACACGGCGTGCTGGCAAGATCATTCTGTGGGAACAGTCCAAGAGATTGATTGCCGGTGGTTTGGTGGTGCTCACGCCGGCAGATGACAAGTTCAAGTCAAAGGCTATCGTGGCGACTGTTGCAGCGCGCCCTCTCGAGTACCTCAAGTTCGACCCACCGGAGCTGGACCTCTTCTTTGCATGTGCCGATGAACTGGAGATCGATCCCGCTACCGAATGGTTGATGATTGAAGACAAATCGGGCCTTTACGAGGCGAACCGGCACACATTGCTCGCCTTGCAACGCATGATGCGCGAGCCATTCCCGCTCGCGGAGCACATTCTGTCAGCGCACACCGCAATATCGCCGCCGAAGTACATCACGGAGCACCCACACCTCAACCTGGCTGCGGTGCTCGATGGCAACAATGAGGAATCGTACGAAAACGTTGATGTTGTGAGCGCATGGCCTCACGACCCGCAGAGTCAGCTCGACAGCTCGCAGCTTGAGGCACTCCAACGTATACTGACCAAGCGCCTCGCCATCGTCCAAGGTCCTCCGGGAACTGGCAAGACACACGTCTCTGTGAAGGCTGTCAAGGTCATGCTTGAGAACTGGCAACCTGGCGATCCACCAATTCTTGTGGCATGCCAAACAAATCACGCTATCGACCAGTTCTTGCGTCACGTTGCCACGTTCGAGACTGATTTCGTGCGCCTTGGTGGTAGAAGCAAGGACAAAGACGTGGTGAAGAAGCGTGTCCTCTTCAACGTGCGGAAGGAGACGTCCGAGAATCCACCAGCTGGGTCCCTATACACAAAGGCCCGTGCAAGCCTGTACAAGCTACAGAAGCAGCTTCCCTTGTTGCTTACGGCGCTGCAACCTAGCAAGAAACCTTTGGATCACCGACTACTCGAGAGCTGCAAGATCTTGACGGAGGCGCAGGCCGACTCGCTTGAAGAGGGCGCGTCTCGTTGGGTGCAAAGCACCAAGACCGTTTCGAACGAAGCGAACTTGCCTTTCACGGTCTGGCTCGGCTCGAAACTGATTCCAGTGAACCCCAAGCAGACCAGCAATGAACATGGTTTTGATCACGAGGAGGCTGATCTAGAGCAAGAGCGTCTGCGTGAAGAAGAGGCAGAAAATGCCGCACAGGAGGAGGAAGAATTCGACAAGCTCCATGGCCAATATTACGACATTGCGGACAACTTCACCTGTCGCAAAACACCTGGAATCGACCACAAAGCGGAAGAATTCCTCAAACAGCAAGACATGTGGAAGATTCCGGAGGCTGCCAGAGGTGCTGTCTACCGCCATTTGCAGTCTGCTTTGAAGAAGTACATTCTCCCAGGCATCCGAGACTTGGCCAAGAAGCTGAACGAGGAGGCCGGGAGGCGCCGAATCGGCCAATTCGAGATGGACGAACTCATTCTCAAGAGACAGAAGATCATTGGTATGACGACAACGGGACTCGGCAAGTACCGTGGCCTCCTATCTGCGCTTCAGCCAAGAGTCGTTCTCATTGAAGAAGCAGCTGAGACCTTGGAGGCTCCAGTCACGGTCGCCTGTATGCCATCACTCCAGCATCTCATTCTTGTGGGCGATCATCTGCAGCTTCGACCGCACACGCATGTAAATGAGCACGAAGACGAGCCGTGGTATCTCAACGTTTCGCTGTTCGAACGCATGGTCAACAACAAGCTGGAATATTCGACACTACGCAAACAACGTCGCATGATTCCAGAAGTGCGTCGTATACTTGCTCCAATCTACGGTGACCTCATCGAAGACCATCCATCGGTTTCCGACCCTAAGCATCGCCCCAGTGTAGCTGGCATGGGAGGAGTGAACTCGTTCTGGTTCACTCACGCTTGGAGAGAGAGTCGAGACGACATGATGTCTTGCTACAACGAAGACGAAGCGCGGATGATCGCAGGATTCGTCGAGTATCTCTGCTACAACGACGTGCAACCCGAGGATATTACGATCCTCACCTTCTACAATGGCCAACGCAAGAAGATTCTCGCAGAATTGCGTGCTCGCGTTGCCCTGAGGGATCGTAGATTCACAGTCGTGACTGTCGACTCCTACCAAGGTGAAGAGAACAAGATTGTCCTCTTGAGTCTGGCCCGGTCGAACGACAACTATCAGATTGGCTTTCTCTCGGTCGACAATCGCGTTTGTGTTGCTCTTTCTCGCGCTCAATGCGGATTCTACATCTTCGGCAACGCCGAATTACTTCATAACGTCGAGAGGTCTTACGCTAAAGTCAAGTCCAAGAAGCGAATTGAGCGTCAAGATGCAGGCAAGCTGCGGAAACCCAAGACTTGGACCCAGGTGATGCAGATTATGGCCGGTCAGGAGGTTGCGCGGCCCGGAGAGATCCCCAAGGTTCATCCTCAGCGTTTCGATGAGCATTTCCCGATACATTGCCAAAAGCACAAGACCAAAGTGGTCATCGACTCACCAGAGGACTGGGAGAGAATCAATGGCGGATGCACAATCGACTGTCAAGAGCAACTCCCCTGCGGCCATCCTTGCCCGTGCAAATGCCATCCCTTCGACCACAACATTGTCAACTGCACCAAATGTCGAGAGCCGTCTACCACGAATGCAGGCTTGCAACTGACAGCTGTAGTCAAGAAGACGTCGGCTGGGCAATTGTCGGACGGTTCACGTGCAACGTCGAGCTCAGGAGATTCCGAGTCGTGGAAATCATTTGCAGTGGCTGCACAGAACGAATACCAACAGGCAGTCGATGCGTACGTGCCATATTCGCAGCTTCCGAAGCCAAACGCGACCTTGATCGAAATTGACGATACAGGCACGGCGCGCAACCTTGCCGCCATTCAGACCAATGTCGAGAACTTGTCCATTGATCCGGGCAGCGCCTCGACAGTCACGCCCTCCCATGTCTCTCAGAATACCAAGAAGCCGAAACTTGGTCTCGACGGCGCAGCAGATGACTCGTCCAGCTCGGGCAGCATCCCAGCAGGCAAGGCTAAGCGGCAGAAGTGGAAGGAGACCTTTCGTCCAGAGAAGGAACCAGTAAAGAAGGACTGGTCGCAGGAGGAGAGCTTGCTAGATTGACCTCTCGGCAAGTAGACTTGCATCGAGTGGTTGCTGTCGTCATTGATGTCTGTCGTGGAGGAGACCAATATGTTGTTGCGGCTGTGCAGCACGTCACACAGATGGCTTTGGTTGAATGGCAGGCAGACCCAGCTTATACAGCACTGCGGAACGTCACAGTTCTTTGTTCAGCACGGTATGCAGAGAACACATCACCGTGAGCTCCAAGCTTAGTGCCACGCACGTCGTCTTCCACCGCTGCCACAGCGGCTTTCAATGTCTCTGATTCAATCACACTGATGGCCCTATCTTCAATCGCGTTTCTGAGGTTCCCGTTCCCATTCGTCCATTGCGTGACCGGCATCTTCTTCTTCCGCACCGCCTCTGCAAGATACTCCGCCTGTTGGCTGCCTTCTGCAACCCCACACAGAACCCTCGTGCTCGCTGGTACTCTGCTCAAAATCTCCGTCAAAGGGTTAAACTCCTCGTAAATCTCCCTCAAACCACTAGCACTATCATAAACAACAGCCAAACGTAAAGTCTTGAGACTCTTCAACGCCTCCAAAGCAGTGAAATCCACATCTTCATAATCTGCTCGAAAAGACGCAGTACAATCCAGAACCAGGAAAACGTGTTCTAGTTTCTCGAGAACAGATTGTGGGAGACGGGTTTCGGAAATTATGGGCCAGCATGTGTCGTGGGCGTCGATTATGATGCAGATTTCGTTGTTGGAGTAGAGGAGGGAAGAGCATTCTTGGTTGATTTGGTGATTTGTTGCGATGAGTGGAGGAGCAAGAATTGGGAGTGTTGCGTGGCGTTTGGTCTTTGTTGAGGTTAGGTGGAGGGTGGCGGTGGGAGAGAGAGCTTCTTCGTAGATTTGGGTGCGGAGTTCTGCTGGGAGGGAGAGGAGGTGGCATCTGTTTGGTTTGGGTTCTGGAGGGAAGGTTGTGCTTGTGCTGTTGTCCTGAGGAGGTGCGGTTGCCATGGCTGGATCCATTGCGGAGGAGTTGTTCTTCTGCTGTTATCTGCCGTTGCATGAATGTGAAGTGAATGTCGGATTGTACTTATTCTTCGTACCTACTGCGATGCAGGTGGATGTGCATTTGTCAGGCACCAGCTTACCGTTGTGCAGGGGCTTGCATCCTTCGGGATCAGGACTAAGTTACATGTAGGCATTGGATCGATGTAGCACAAGTCGAGCCAGAGCTCAGCAAGCTACACTTGCAGTCACAACACTCTTCTTGCATGAAAGGTGAGGTCTACACATGTATCGCAGCATGGTAGCATGGCAGACCCTCTGTTGAAATCTCGATCGATCCTTGGCAAGTCCCCAGCTCAGCCGATCCGCGCACCTGGTCGAGATGAGCCTCGCTTTCGCAGTCGTCCCTGCTCGCCGCCTGGTAATTTCACTAAAAGCAGCAGCCTCGGATACTAGCGGAATCGCGAAACGCTGCGTTGGCGCAACCTGCTCAACTACATCATGCTTCTTACACAGACATATGTAATGTTGGAGGAGAGTGCGAGCTGTAGGGTTGATCGCGATTGCAGTCCCAGCCTTACAGCGCACGTTTGAGAGCGAAAAATGCTTACGGACAGTCCAACCAACCGATTCATCATTCGCAGTATTATCACCTTTTTCCAATCTTATGCGCCGTTCTGCTTGGGATATGTTGCCTGGAGTCTGGTCGCGAGCCAATGGCCAGCATGGAGTCTAGGATTCGAGGATTACTTACACCGGACGTGGATGTGGAGGATATGTTTGCCGGAAGCGTTGTTCTACGTCTTCTTCTTATGGTATAAACGGCACATACAGAAGGAGGCGATACATCCTCCGGTGAAGACGCGCCAGGAACGACAGGACTTGTTCAACAAATGCCAGCGAGAGATTCACGATCCGATCTCCTTCCTCAGTGGGTGGTTCCGCGGTGCGAGAGTTGAAGACATTGGACGGGAAGAGCTGCGCAAGTTTGTGGATTGGAGCTTTTGGGAAGGGCGTGCAGAACTGGCTAGCGAGAAAGATGGAGATAACGCAGAGATTGAGGAGTATATGAACAAGATGGAGATCATGATGCCGCAGCCATTCCAGAAAGGCCCGGGCAAAGCGCGCAGTTTGCGCCTGACGCTGGATCCGATTGAGATCGAGCCCAGGAGCCTGATGTGGTACAGCTTGATCATGCTGGCCGACACCTTCACACTCTTGCTGCTGTATCTCAAAGGCTACAGCTACTACCGGCGTACTTTCTGGAAGGCTTTGGCAGTGTTTCCGCCGCGCCCTGCGGCATTCTTCACCCGCAAGACCTCTGTGGCTTCCAGGCTTTCATACTTCTTACGCGAGCACACATCAAAGACGCGCCTTCCGGTTGTGTATATCCATGGTATAGGGATTGGACTTCTGCCGTCTGTGACCTTTCTGGCCGAGCTCAACCACGAATTGAATGACGGACGCAGCGAAGACGATCAGGTGGGAATCCTCGCGTTGGAAGTCCTCCAGATCTCCTCTCGCTTGACAGAATCGATTCCCACAAGGACTGAACTCCTCGCGCAGCTCACCACCGTCATCAATCACCACTTCGGTGAAGGCCGCTTTGTTCTGGGTGCGCATTCGTATGGAACCATTCTCAGCGCCCAGATCCTTCGCGACAAGAATCTTTCTCCACGCATTTCTGGCACACTGCTCGTTGATCCAGTCACTTGCATGTTGCATATGCCCGATGTGGCTTACAACTTTACTTGCCGACCACCAGTACGTGCGCCTGAGTGGCTTCTCTGGTACTTTGCCTCCAAGGATCCCCAAATCGCGCACACTTTGGGACGTCACTTCTTCTGGACCGAGAACGTGCTCTGGCGGGACCAGATCGATCATTTGATCGAGAATCATGGCATGCGCTTCACAGCTTCCATTTCATCGGATGATCTCATATTGAATGCGAAGGCAGTGCGAGCATATCTGGAGAATGGTACCAAGTCCGACCCTGTCATCACAAAGGATGAAGAAGGGAGGAAGACGATGGACCTGGAGCCCACCGATGTGGCCACTTCAAAGCCATGGCGCGGCTCGGGGTTGGAGACTATTTGGTGGCAAGGCCACGATCATGGCGATGTCTATGTGCGAAAAGATCATCGAGCAAGACTCATCAAGGTGATAGAAGAATACTGCCGAGGACAGTGAGAGTCGTGCAAGAGCAGCGAGAAACCATGATACCCCGTACTTAATGATAGAGGTAAGACTAATCATCAACATAATGTGTAGCATAGTATGTACAACAAACTCAGGTCTGTGTTGTTTCTGCCTGCCAATGCATTACCTGATCAGCGGAAAGTCACCGCCAGCGTTGCTAAGAGTGAACCTCGTATCGGTAATTCCGAGGAAACAGAACAGCTAAAGTCCATAAACTCCCCGGCGCTGGCGAAGCTTTATTCCGCGATGTCAATGCTGACAGGTACCACACTCACACATGTCCAATTGCACAGAAATAACAACAAAAATTCGTCGCAGTGCTTTTCAATCAACTCATAACCCGCGCAAATGGCGTCGGATTCAAGCTTAACTGCAAAGCTTGATTACGCGTCTGTCATTTGCAAGCTGGTTGGAGAGTCGGAAGTGGGCTGTTGCTCGCCTGTGCTCGGATAAGGACTTGCTTGTGCGAATGAGGGGCGGCTCGAGACATAGGTGGGGCATGCCCATCGGCAACGATGATGACAGAAGCTTGCAGCATCTCGAGCCAGCCAAAGTTCTTCAGGGCTTGACGGCGTGCTTAGTAGAAATTTTGTGGTTAGAGCTCCGGTTGTCTTTGAGTGAGTACTAATAGCTGGTAGCGCCACGTCTATTGAGCTGTTTTCTTGTGCTCTGATCTCCAGCTTCTTACATCAGAACAATCTCGTCGCGAACACTCTCTACGTACTCTCCTCACAATGGCGTCCAACCCACCTGGAAAATGCTGCACCATCGGTGTCAAGCATGAAGGCACTCCAACAGGCTCCAAGAAGAATGCTGGTGGCAGTAAGGTTCTCCCGACGTAGGCAATTGATTCCCCATGCTGACAAAGACAATTCTAGTCGACACATACTTTGCCTACCCAGAGTCGAAGCAGACCGATACCGCAATCCTTATCCTCACCGATGTCATCGGTCACGACTTCGTGAACGCCCAGCTCATCGCCGATCAATTCGCCGCAAATGGCTACTTCGTGGCCATGCCTGATCTCTTCGAGGGCGACCCGATCCCGCTCAACAGACCAGATGACTTCGACATCATGAAGTGGCTCACAACCTCGGGCCCCAGCGGAGGCCACACTCCAAAGCAAGTTGACCCTATCGTCGAGAAGGTCATCAAGGCTCTCAAGGAGGAATATGGCGTGAAGAAGTTGGGCGCTGTCGGCTATTGCTTTGGTGCTAAGTATGTTGCACGATACCAGGCCAAGGGCAAGGGTGTCGATGTCGGCTACGTTGCACACCCTTCGTTCGTCGACGCAGATGAGATCAAGGCGTTGGCTGGTCCTTTCAGCATCGCTGCTGCTGAGACGGATCAGATCTTCCCAGCTGAGAAGAGACGGGAGACTGAGGATCTTCTCAAGGAGCACACTATTCCATACCAGATCTCTCTCTACAGTGGTGTCGAGCATGGCTTCGCAGTCCGAGCAGACACCAGCAAGCCAGAGGTGAAATACGCCAAGGAAGCTGCTTTCTTGCAGGCAGTTGCGTGGTTCGACGAGTTCTTGAAGGGTAGCAGGACCTGGGCCGCGTAAATTTGCTTCTGCGTCAACTCACTACCAGAGCATTGAAGAGGCGGCTGCCAAGTCCAGTCCCGCTCACAAGACAGAGCCCGCTTCTGTAAGATAGATAGAAGCATGACGAAATCTTCAGAACAATTATGACGCAGACCGTGGATACGTCCTCAGCTCATTCCACCAGGTATCGCTCGTTGTAGTCTCGTAGCCTCAGCAGCTGCAGTAAAGGGTCCGTTGATGCGCCGGGATTTAGCTCGCCTCTGTGCTGATTGCAGCCCGCTATGCCACAGCCTTGCGGACAGAGACATTCGGACAGGTTTCGGGTGATGGTGTCGACGAGGTTCATCAGTAGTTGAGTGGTCGGAAGCGGCGTGCCCTCGGCACTCCATTGCATCTTCGACACCTGTCCCACAGCAACGACTTGAGTACAGTAGCGACAGCCCAGGCATTCTCGATTGCAGTAGCAGCCACCAACGACTGCTCTGAGACTCGACCAGCTCCGCGGAGAACAGCCAAGAGTTGTGTTCTCGGAGTGCTTTGCTTGATCGTCTCCATCCTGATGAAATTCTTCGAAGCCACGATCCAAGTCCACAGTGATTGATCGAAAGCACAATGGTGCATCCGCTATTGTTCTTGTGCTGCAGAGAATGTAAGCCAGGCTCCCAGAATTAAAGGTGCCTCCCAACTTACGCTTCATCCCACCCAGTCAAACACACGCCTGCCCCACTCATTGTCCATCTTCGCATCTGGCTCAGTCTTGTTAGGCCCATGCGGCGGCACCATCGCCACAGCGAGTCTCTGCTAACGTCGAAAAAGTGAAACGGGACGCAAGAGATTTCTGGCATCATCGGGCCAAGTTCACGTCGAAACAACCGGCAGACGGACAGCAAGGCCCAAGGACTTCTCGTCGTGACTCTGTCATTTTCGAAGCATTCCACAGACACTGAAGCATCTTGCAAGACTTGCTCATATATCAGTAGTCTGATTTCGGCCGGAAGATCGGCGATGTTCGTGGTTCCTGTATTCATTGTCATGCTCAAGTGTGCCGCAAGCTCATGGTGCAGTGTGCGAAGACTGGAACGAAAGGAAAAGAATCAATACTCAAGTAAAAGGAGAAGCATTACTCGCCTCTGGCTATGCATCCTAGTCGAGACTGACATTCTCAAGCGAGTTGTCGGGCCTACGCGCGTGATTGATCGCTCTCTCTTCGTGCCGTGTAACAGATAGATGCAGAGCTCGAGTCCAGACACGGCAGAACCGCGACATATATCCATCGATGATGTCGGGCGCCCGTCACACGTTTCCTGGGCTTCTGGGCCCTCGGAGGCATGCAGCTGCACATTGTGGAATCCTGTGCCATGGTGTTAGGGCAGCGGAGGGGACGAGAACTTGTAAGCTGGTGATATCCGTTGTCCAGGCCAGTCCGGACGAAAGACGCGACCAAAGTCCAGACGCCGGAACATCTCGCTGCTTGGCAGGAGCGTTGATTGGGCAAGATGGGCACAGCCGCTTCCCTCTCTCCTTTGTGCAAGAGCCATCGGTCCAACATCCTCGAGCGCCAATGTTGTCTGCCTGGCGGTGACATAACTTTCACAATCCGTGTATACTGCACGCAATGCTGTGCGACTAAGGGCAGTAGGTACAAGTTCGGCTTCACGACGTGACAGGTGAGCGGCACTTTCGAAGCCGATACCTCTCTCAAGTACAGACAGGACAACCCAGTTCATTCCCGCCTGCCATCACATCAATCACATTCTCATCAGCAAAAAGACAATAACATCGAAACAATGGCGCTCGACATGTTCCGGAAACCAGTGTTCGACGCCGACAAGGAAATTCCAAGTCTAGCAGGCAAAGTCATCCTCATCACCGGTGGAACTGGTGGACTGGGTCGTGAGACAGTAGTGTCGTTTGCGAAACACGATGCAGCGCACATTTACTTCACTGGACGCTCCCAGCCATCAGCAGAAGAGACGATCAGACTGGCCAAAGCAGCAAGTCCAGCCGCTTCGGTGACTTTTATCAGATGTGACCTCGCATCGTTCGCATCAGTTGAGAAAGCAGCCAAAGATTTGATTTCGAGAACCCAGCGACTCGATATTCTCATGGCAAATGCGGGCATTATGGCCCATCCACCTGGTCTCACCGAAGACGGCTACGAATTGCAGTTCGGGACCAACCACATGGGCCACGCACTACTTGTCAAGCTCTTGACACCTCTTCTGCTTCAGACTGCTGAGAGACCCGAAAGTAGAGATGTGCGAATAGTCTGGGACACTTCGCTCGGACACAAAGGGCACAACCCCAAGGGAATCGACTTCGCAAAGCTGAAGACCAAGCACGAGGATATTGTGCCTTGCGGTATGCAAGGCTCAGTTGGGCCCTGGATCCGCTATGCTCAGTCGAAGCTGGCGAACCTCATCTACGCCCGCGCGTATGCGAAGCATTACCCACAGATCACAAGCGTCTCGATTCATCCTGGAGTAAGCGCGACTGGCTTGGTAGGAGGGCTTAGTCTGCCACAAAGGATGTTTGTGTACGCGACGAGTTATACAATAATGATACCAGCTGAGATGTGTGCCTGGAACCAGCAATGGGCTGCGACTGCGCCGCTTGGTGATGGAGAGAGGCAAGTCCAGACGGGCACATTCTATATGCCAGTGGCCAAGAAGGGCACGACAACGAAGAAGGGAAATGATCCGGAGCTTGAGAAGCAACTGTGGGACTGGACCGAGGAGGAATTCAAAGAGTGGAAGATCTGAGCTTGTTGTGAGTAATGTAACAGTATTGTTTTCTTTCAAAGTATGGTATAGGGGACAGGATAGATACGCAACGTCTCGAAGCATTTACTACTATCTCTAGCCTTTTGAGCTCACAACATCGACCACATTCGCATTAGTGCAACTCATATTTGCCCCGCATCCATAGTGGCGACTTGGACTTGGAAGCTCCAAGGGTCCGAGGCGTGGGGCAGAACTGATGTGTTGTGCACCACGCATGCTCTACAGACTACACTCAGCTTCAACAACGTTGGATTAGGCTCAGAAAGCCGTTGAACAGACATGGCCGACTCACAAAACAAATATCAAATCTCAACATTCTCCACCCTCCCCGCCGAAATCAGAACCACAATTCTCGAATACGTCTTCAGCACCACCTCCAACAACAGCACCTCTCTCACCAAAACCTCCTCCGGAAGCATCTGCATGAACGAAACCTACAAATCCAGCCAAAACCTCCTTCCCCTCCTCGTCTGCCGAACCTGGTACCAAGACGCAAGCCTCATAGCCTTCAACCACACCCCCTTCCTCGTCTCGAATCCATTCTGCGACATTCCCTCACGACTAACAACATTACTCCACACCAAACAAATCTCCGCAATCCGCTCTCTAGCCTTCGTAGCAGATAAACGCCACTTCCGCAAACTCTCAGAATGGTCCAACCACCCTTTCGGAATTCCAACCCTCAACCTCTCAACCCTAACAATCATCCTCCACCGCTCCAGTTCATGGCATTACATGTTCGATTACACATCCGACATCGTTCACCTCTTACGAATTCTACGAAATGTCAAGCGACTAGTCTTCGTAAAAAATTCCGCAATGGTGAAAGGAAGTTTTAGGAGTTGGTTTAATCGATTGGTGGGGTTGATTTTGAAAATTGATCATCAGGAGAGGTATGATAGAATTCCGCCGAATTTGGAAAAGACGTGGTGGAGGTGGGAATTTGATGATGTTGGGGAGAGGTTTTGGCTTGAGGCGGGGGAGCCGAAGGAGTTTGTTGATGAGGAGAGTTATATGAGGGGGATTTTGCCGTTGATGGAGGGGTTGAGGGATAGTGTGGAGTTGGAGGAGGTTAATCCTGATGTTAGGGCGACGAGGATGTATTATTAGTTCGATGGAGATGGGGGCTCAGTCGGGCTTTGGGACTTTGCTGTGTCTTGTGTGATGGAAGAAAGCTTTTCTAGTAGAGCACATGCTCGTTTGAGAGCTCAATTTCAAGTATCGCTACACGCCGAACGCCTATTGCAACCTGCCTGCTGGCATGCTGTCCTCTATCGCACATCCGCCTTCTTCTATTGCTTTGCTCAAGCTATGCAATTGTTTTCGATACCACCCTCCGCAAGTATGATACATCAAGCTGTCGCTTAAGTGACAGTGTAGCCACCATCGACACGGAGATCGGCACCAGTCACATATCCCGCAGCGTCCGACAGCAGGAAAGTCACAGCACCCATGAGATCTTCTGGACGACCCATCTTACCCTGTGGAATCAAACTGGTCCACTTCTGTGCGAGCTCCGGGTTATCGTCGAGAATCTTCTTGGTGCTACCAAAATGTTAGCTCAGCCTTCACAGTTCCTTTCTCAGACGATACTCACAGTGCCGTAAGCATGTACCCAGGACTAATGCAGTTCACGCGGATACCAGCATGAGCCCACTCAACAGCAAGCGAGCTAGCCAAGTGTCGCACAGCAGCCTTCGCTGCATTGTACGGTGCTTGTGGCTGTGGCACGTTGACGATAGCACCACTCATGCTGCCAATCATGACAACACTGCCCTTGGCCTGGCGAGCCATCAAGTGCTTCGCAACGGCGCAAGACCACAAGTATGTGCCATCCACGTTGACTCCCCACAGCTTTTGCATACGATCGTGCGGGTACTCGATCGCATCGTAGTTCTCCGTGAAACCGGCAGAGGTGACGAGGTGGTCGACCTGGCCGTGGGATTCGAGGATCTCCGCCATGGCGGCGTTGACGGAGTCTGGTGATGAGACGTCGCAGTAGTGCGCTGTAACCCTTGGGACGTCCTTGTCGGTCGCACCTGGATTCTCTTTCTTGAAGGTCTCCATGAGAAGCTTCGCTTGCTTCTCGCCTTCCTCCTCTATTGAAAATCATCAGTCAGCAGTGGTCGTCAGTCAAGCCATCTATCAAATTGGACATACTGTTCAAATCAACAATGGCAATGTTGGCGCCGCTGATCACCAATGCCTGGCTCATGACGAGACCAAGACCACGAGCTCCACCAGTAACAACTCCCGTTCGGCCCTCCAAACTGAAAGACTCGAGGGTTCTCTTGAAGTGGAAACCACCACGGCCTTGGACTGGCTGAGAGCTTGGGAGGTTGTCCTCCTCTGGGTATTCTACACGAATTGTGTTATCTGTTCGCGAGAACTCTCCCTCGTGGGCGAAAGCACCTGGCTTCCCCGCAGTCGAGTACTCGTCATGTTTGTCCTTTGTAGCATCGTCTGCCCGCTTGACAGTGGGTGTGATGCGGATGCCTCGAGTCGTCTGCCGTGTGAGGGTTGCAGCAGTTGGTGGGCGAGCTGCGGTGGTGGAAGCTCTTGAAATTTGCCTCAGGAGATTATGTTTGAACATTTTGACAGCTGGCGGAGGGAATTAGATGAATTCTCTCAGCTGATGTTGAGGAAGAAGTGGAGAGTGAAGAAGTTTGATTATTGGCAGAGAGAAGAGAAGTCGTGGGTACGCGAATACTAGAGATCAGAAAATGAAGCTCACCTTGACGTCGACATGCACTCCAGGGACTGGGCGCCCGTATATGATGTAAGTCGAGCTGCGAGCTCCACCGCTGTTTCGCAAACGTATGATAAGACGGATTGGCGAGAGGGCGTGGAGATGCTGCTCTGGAGGGATTGGTTCTTTTCTCTACTCGACTGCGGACTAACGAGCTCCCCTCAACAGCATGCGCGCTGATCTGTTCAACATTTTCTCGACCACCTGGAGCTTTGACGTAGCTTACTCACGAGAGCCTCAATGAGCTAGCCTTGGCTAGATCGATGCAGGGACAGACTTCGAGACAAGGGTGCGGACCGTCGAGCCCCGACTCGTGGGATCCCCATTCGAGCTTAGGCTGGCACGCGTCAAGTTTCGCGGAGTCGCAAAGTTCTTCAAACATTTATTTATCTGTGTGCCCTTGCAACGGATTCGCGGGTCGCACTCGAACTGGAACCGCCGTATGGATTCTGACTTGTACTCTACAGTCCAATGGCGACCTCCAAAGCAACGACGACGCTGCGCCGAGCGACCGGCATCGACATCACCAGGTTGCCGGCTGACACTCGTACCACCGAATGTGGAAGACCGAAGATGCTGGTCTTGATGCCGGCAGGAGCACCAGAATAGACTGGGCATCAGTGACTTCGCGGTCTCGGCCTCTCAATCTTCGATCTTGTGACCTGAGATCTTACGAGGGCACCATGAAAGTGCTGAGTGCAACAACTGCTACCATCTGGATGAGTGTCATCCGACGCTGTGCAGTGTGCAGATGGGGTTTGCAACTCAGCCTCACTCTGAGCCTTACATCCAAAGAGCAGTCATGTGTTCCGAGGCATCTGTGCGCATCAAGTTCAGCCCAGGTCAAGACTTGCAATTCCAGCGGCCACATCTGCCTCATCGCGCCTACTCCCATCAAATCCAATACCCTCGCAGCTGCCCTCAACATCGAATGTCACGCCAAGCAATTGCTTTGCAACCCATTCAGCCGTCCTTGCATGCAGACTGGGCTCCCTCAACTGCTCACTCTCATCTAGATCCCAACCTGCGAAGACCTCAGATCGTCCTTTCGCTAGAGCTTGGAAAATGACCAATTGGTCCCGCATGTGCTCGTCGACCCAAGCACCGGAAGCCCATTCGTTTGCCAGGTCATTCGTAACCTTCTCAACCATTTCAGTTGTTGCTCGTTGATGGCTTGAGATTTTGCGCTGGTAAAGCCAGTCTCTGCCGAGCGTATATGATCCTTGGCCATCTGGGCGGGGGACAGTCGCAACGAGTATGAAGTACATGCGCTTATCATGCTGACTGTTCTCGCACTCGATGATGAGCTTGTTTGAGGCTTTCGAACCTATGTCGGATAATATGGAATCTCCAAAGTGGTGCGAGGCGGCGGGCAGAAGCACCTTGCGGAAGTGCTCATGACAGCTCGTTGGTCCAATAAAGATTGCACGAAGATTGCTCGGCTCCAGCGGCTTGGTTTCGAGGTTCTGTGGCCTGTATTGGAATGCGGGCAGTGTGATTTCCAGTCGAGCAGGAATCTTGAGCGTGAAGTTGCCTATTCTGGTACCGCCTTGGCTCCACCCACGTTTCGCCAGGACTGATTCGATCTCTGGAAAGCCGATGGACCTCAGTGTTGGTAGAAGCACATGCTTGATGTATTCGTACGATGGCGAGCCAGAAACATTGGTGCCTCCACTGATACGCAGATACATGGGAGATTCCGTGGGGAGGTGCGTGAACAGAACGAAAGGTAGTATGGCCTGGAGGGCGAGACCAGTACTGCCTGCGGTGCCAATATCAAGATGACATTCGTAAAACTGGCCATCTTCGTTCTTGGAAATCTTCTTGAACACTGCCGGCACTTCACTCTCGAGAGTCCCGGGTGTGAAGGTAAGAGTCTTGCTTCCCTTGCCTGCGCCGGAGAGACGAGCATTGCATGCTTGCGCAAGCCATTGGACACATGCTAGGTGTTGTGGTTTCAAGCCGCCGCCGCCGCTTCTGCCTCCTCGTATGTCATGAATATGGACTGGCGTGCCAGTGAGTGCTGATAAACAGAAGGCGATACGAAGCAGTTGACCTCCTCCTTCCACTAGAAGCAGGTGCAGTAAGTAAGTACGTGTCTTGGGTTCGTCACTGCGTTTCAGCCATTCAAACAGCACAACTGCAACCGCGGCGTGCTGGTGCAGTAGCTGCAGTCAAGGCTGCCGGAGTATCTCGACCACACTTACGTGTTCGCCCGTCCAGTTTTAACAACTCCTTTGATCTTGCTCCATGTCTTGGCATGGTCACGAAAAGATGGTCGTCAGCCGCAGTGCTGTGCTGTGATCAGTGTTTTTGCCGCCACTTTCTTCAATGGCAGGCGCAAGACAAGTAGTTGAAGCATAGCATTCGCTTTACCAATGACCTTTTGATACGCTGGATCGAGGCTGAGGCCCGTGACTCACGCGCGGTGATCCAAAGCAGCAATTCAGCATTGTAAAGCTCCGCCACACATTGATTTCCTCATCCTGAGAGGCAGCCGGCAGACGGAGAGATTTTGCTATGCGATTCTGCACATCGAAGGCGCATTTTTCTTGTCATGCGACACCAGCCAGCTGAGTCGCAGATCAAGCAAAATGCTTGTCGCCATCCTCCGCGTCAACTTGCCGGTGAACTCTGATGCGAAGGACGGGAGTGATGCGATGCGTTGTTTGGAATTGGGCAGAGTTTCTGCTTGCTGCTACCTTCCGAGGCATGGGCAACCTGGATATGTAACGTGCTGCACTGCACGTCTTCACATGGGGTCGCGGATTGAACGCGTGGTCATGTTCGGGAATGGCAGAGACAAGTGCCGCCAAACAAGATGGCAGCAATTGTCCGAGACGTCACACTGCAGTGGTTGCAGTGAAGGAGGTTGGTTCGGCTGGGCTCGCGCACTCGTCGCGATGACGGACCAGGATGTCTGGTTCATGTGAAGGCTGCGCACGAGGCCCATCTCGCCCAACGACGGGCGGGCGGGCAGAGCGGAACACGGCCTCATCCCCCCAGCTCAGACTGACGGCGCTCGCAAACAGGTCAAGGTTGTGGGTGGCACGCGGATGCGCTGGTCTGCAGCTACGAGAGTTTCGACTGTGTGTGCAGAGTGCAGAGTGCAGAGGGAGACATGGCCTTGGCTGCGAGCGGCGGGACTCACCCGCGACGCAGTCATCTCTCCATCACTATTCACCACACGCGAGCTTGCGCCGGCGAGGGCAACTCAGGCAACAAAGCTTCGCGCATGTGCTGCTGCTGCCCAGCCGAGCGCGCTGCAGCGCCCGGTGCAAGAAAATCAATCAATGGTGCCCATTCACTCCTGCAGCATTACATCATATACCCAGCTGTCCAGACGGTGAAGCAGGCTGATCCCTCCACCAATTCACGACGTCCAGCCAGCGGAGCCAGCAGGTGAAAGCAACAGAAATGATGCGGTCGTACCCGCTGCACTGCACTGTTTCTTCGTCGTCGTGCGCTGCAGTTCTCCCTCCGCCCACCGCCGCTGCCATCGCGCGCCACGGTTGCTCATTCTTCCTGTCGTTTGTCTGCCCGCATTCGCAGCTGCTCCACTGCACCACTCTGGCGAACGCCGCTGCCACCAGCTGAGCTCACCTGACACAGCAGCAGCGGAACGCGCTGCAGGCCACTGCCAGACCGCGCGCACTTGGCCTTGCTCCAGAACCTGTTGGCCTCTCCGACTGTGCATATCAACCAAACTCCCTCTCACTATATACCATTTTAACGGCCGATAGCTTCTCGTCACCATGTCACGGCATCCTCGAGAGTATCCCGTAGCCGACCGTTACGATGACTCCCAGAGCGACTTCTACAGAAGACCCCGACGGGACCGCGATTACGATGACCTGGAAGTAGACATCACTCGCGAACGCTACCCAGACGAACGCCGATACCGACCCGAGACTGTGGTCAAGGAACGAGATTCCGTCCTCAGCGAGCGCCGTGCACCCCGCCAGCCGGACTTCTTGCGAGAAGACTATGGCAAGTCCTCGGCAGGACCTCTCGTCGTGCGTGAGGAGCGTCGCGAGGATGACAATTATAGCAGAGTGTCACGTAGAAGGCGAAGCGTAGAGTCAGCACGAAGTCGGCCCCCTCCAGCTGCAACGGAAGAAGAGACCAAGATCGTGTATCGTGAGCGCGAGCGCGAGCGAGCTCCACCGTATCCTGCCAGCCAGGCAGACGAGAAAGAGGAGATCATTTATCGGGAACGTACCCGATCACGCCCGCCTCCACGTGAAAGGGTGAGCGAGAAGGAAGAAATCGACATCAAGATCAGCCGTGAGGAGCATGAAGCCCGCTCACAGGCCTCTCGGAGCGATCCCCCGCCCGTGGAAGAGATTCGCTTCAGACGAGGCGGCGGTGATCGACCAGCACCTCCGCCCAAGACTGTCGAGAAGACGGAGATTGACATTCGAGAGCGCGAACGCAGTGCTGCACCTAGCCGGTCACGAGTGGAACGCGAAGAAATTGACATACGTGAGCGATTCTCGCCAGCTCCTCGGCCTCCTCGAAGTGAGCGAGGGGATGTGGAACGAGAGGAGATCATCTTCCGAGAGCGTCGCTCGCCGCCTGGCAGAGGGCGTGCGAAATTCGAAGAAATCGATATTCGGGAGAGCAGCGCTCCTCCCCCACGGCACCGTTCAGTCAGCCGACATCAGCTAGTCGCAAGGAAAGAAGAGGAGTGGGTAGTTCGGAGGCCTCGAACTCCATCGCCTCCACCCCCACGTGACTACGAGAAAGAGGAGATTATCATCCGACGCACGAAAGAGCGATCACCGTCGCCAGAGCCTGAGCCGGAGCCTGAACCGCCTCGAGAGCCAACGCCAGAGCCATCACCCCCGCCTCCACCGCCGTTGGAACCAATCTACAGGCCGCCAATCATTCAAGAAGTCATCACCCACCACCGACACATTGATCACGGCGTCGAGCGCGCTCGCTCGCCAACTCCACCCCCGCCACCACCTGCTCCTGCGCCACCTAGTCCGCCACCAGAAACCAAAGAAGAGAACCTTGAAATTGAGATCCGACGCAAAGGCACCCGCAACGGCAAGGCCTACGAAGAAGACATCCATATCGAGAAGGACAATTGGGAGCGTGAGGATCGTGCAGTTGAGCGCAAGCGTTCGGTCAGTGTAGACCGCAAGCGGTCCATGAGTGTTTCCACCCGCCGCCGCTCGCCCTCTCGTGATCATCGCCGATACGACGACGAACTCGACGAGGAGGCAGAGTACTACAATCGCAAAATCGCCTCTCGAGCATACCCCGGTGAAGCCTGGAACGGCGCGACCAGGGATTGGAGCCTTGTGGATGTGCCTCCCGGAACTGAACGAGTGCGTATGGACGGTGTTGGCGGAGGTGCGCAAGAGATCACCTGGCAGCGCTACAACGGCGAGAGGCGCGGGAAGTTCATCTCCGGTGATCGCGTGTACGAGTCGCCTTATGGCAATGGCTACGCGTCACCGCCACCACTACCAGCTCCAGCTCCAGCTCCAGCTCCGGCGCCGCCTCGTGAAGAGCGCAGGGACACGAAAGAAGAGATTAGGATCACTATGGACCGTCGGACTGGTGGCGATGACAGGCCCCGACAAAAGAAGCGGGATAAGATGTGGACTGAGGTGACCAAGGATTTGGTAATCAAAGAGGCTATCGACGAGATGGGATATGAGTTTGAAGAGAGCGACGACCACTTCTATGTCATGGAGTACCTAAAATACGTGAGTAAAATCGTCGGACTGAATCGCTCTTGGCAAACAGCTAACAATTGCACAGGAGGATGTTCTCCGCCTCGTTGAGATTACGGAAGACATCAAGCGCGAGCGTCGCGAACGAATTCGAGAGATCCAGTGGCAAAGAGAAGAGCGAGAAAGACTTCCAATGAAGGCCTTGCCCCCACCTCCTCCGATCCCAGCGCCACCAAGATCTGTTTACGACGAGCGCATCTACGAACGAGAATATATCATTGACCGTGATGGTCGAAGATACCGACGCTAGTGATTTCGAGATTGAGCAGCGCGATACCATGCATGCATTGAGAGAGACAGCGTTCAAGCGAAGCGGCCACGAGCGTTGCACGATCATAGCGAAACCCTGGGAAGGAAATAGAGACAGGCACGACAGAAAAGCAAGCAGCCTACGAAGTAACGAAAGCATTGAGCAGACGGCGGAGTTAAGAGTGGAGTGAAGAATATGGTACAGCAACGAAAGCTTGGGTGTGAGCGTGTATGCAATTGAATAGAAATTGACTATTGCTTTGTTCATGTTCGCTTTGATCTGCCGTTGGTTGTCCTCAATTCACCACCACGTCAAGAGCGACGTCATCCACTTTGACACGCGCCGCGACACGACGCGACATGCGCTTCCCACCACATGCAGATTGTTTCTTGACACTTTTATGCGACCCAGCACCCCAGCATGCGATAACATGACACGGCAAAGGACACGACCATGTCCTCCCAGAACTTCATCTCCTCGCCCATATCTCCCAATACGCACCGCGCTCGACGCAGCAAGTTCACATGGAAGCACCTGTCTACGCTCGCCCATTCCGCCACGAACTGTCCTCTGCGCGTGATAGCGCATATCGATCTCGATGCATTCTACGCACAATGCGAGATGGTCCGGCTGGGCGTGGACAACGACCAGCCGCTCGCAGTTCAGCAGTGGCAAGGCCTCATCGCCATCAACTATCCCGCCAGAGCATATGGTCTGAACCGCCACGTCACCATCACCGAAGCGAAAGAGAAATGCCCAGACATCATATGCCAGCACGTCGCGACATGGAAAGAGGGAAACGCGAAATGGGAATATGCAGATGATGCGTTCAAGGAGATTGCCGTCAGGAAGGTCAGCTTGGATCCATATCGGATTGAGAGCAGGAAGATTTTGAAGTGTATTAAAGATACGTTGCCTGCGGATAAGCAAAGAGTGGAGAAGGCGAGTATTGATGAGGTGTTTTTGGACTTGTCTGCGCAGGTACACGGTATTTTGTTGGAGAGATATCCGGAGTTGAAGGGGCCACCGCCGTATGATGATCCTTCGGAACCGCTGCCAAAGCCGCCGACGACTGTGCTGGATTGGAAAGCAGATGCTCTGGTCGATCTGGATGAGAAGCATACAGAAGAAGACGATCCGGATTGGGACGACATCGTAATGTTGGTTGCGTCCGAGATTGTGAGAGACGTGCGAGCTGCGGTGTTCAGAGAACTGAAGTATACCATGTCTGCCGGAGTCAGCAGGAACAAGATGTTGGCAAAGCTGGGCTCCGGTCACAAGAAACCCAACTCACAAACTGTGATTCGCAATCGAGCAGTTCAGCACTTTCTATCTGGCTACAAGTTTACCAAAATTCGCAACCTAGGCGGCAAACTGGGCGATCAAGTCGTTGCCGCCTTCAACACGGATACTGTCGCTGAGCTTCTGCCGGTTCCGATCGAACAGTTGAAGAAGCAGCTTGGTGACGATACCGGGTCCTGGCTATACGATGTCCTGCGAGGCGAAGACAACAGCGAGGTCAATCCACGCACACAAATCAAATCTATGCTGTCTGCCAAGTCTTTTAGACCATCGATCAACAGTTTCGAAGTAGCTTGCAAATGGCTGCGAATTTTCGTTGCAGACATATTCGGCCGACTGGTTGAGGAGGGTGTGCTCGAGAACAAGCGCCGGCCGAAGACCATCAGTATACATCATCGGCAAGGTCAGCAGACAAGAAGCAAATCAGGACCGATCCCAATGGGCAAGACTATTTCGGAAGAGATTTTGTTCGACTTGGCCAAGAATTTGCTAGCGCAGGTCATTGTTGACGGAAGAGCCTGGCCGTGCGCCAATTTGTCCATGCAAGTGGGCGGCTTTGAGGATGGTGTTACTGGCAACATGGGCATCAATGGTTTTCTGGTACGCGGTGAGGAGGCCAGGGCTATGCAGGCTGCCACCCTTCATCGCGAAGAATCATTGGAGAACGGGCCCTCCAAGAAAAAGCGGCGCATCAAAGTTGGCGGAATTCCCACTGTATTTGCACACAAGTACAATAGCTGGGGCAGCGATGTGGAAGACGAAGACGAAGAGGGCATCCCTCCCTCCGAAGGCACTCAGATCAAGGAGGAGGATCTTCTGGATGTTCCTACTTCAGCACACGCTGATGACGGAATCCCTCTCTGGGCACGCGGGCACGACTCACCCACACCCGCTGCCCTTGACGAGGAGGAACATGACTCTGACGATCTGTACACTTGTGATCGTTGCAATAAAAGAACATCGACAGCGGAACGCACCGAGCACGAAGACTTTCATTTCGCACAGGACCTGCAAAGACAAACGAGTCCTAGCAGACCTCCACCCAAGCCGGTTCCTTTGGCAAAGCCTGCTTCATCGTCGAAGGCGAAGGGGAAAGGGCGAGGAAAACCTGGCAGCAGCGGCGTCGGACAACCTGAGAAGGGACAGCGCAGACTGGCGTTCGGTTAAACCAACAGTACGTAGTCACAAATCAAAACAGAATCGAAGTGCAGATAGTACGGTAGGTCTTTCATTTTCGTGTTTATCATGATCTCGTGTCGTTTGCTATCGCTTGCACGACTGCATATTGGTCCAGTAAAGTCTGGAGGGCGGCTTGCACAATCTCACTTGGCTCGCCACGAATGGTTACTGCAGCGCCCCATAACATGTGCTCTGCACATCAAAAGTTGCTCCGTCGTCTTGCACAAGCTCACAGACTTTCCAGATCGCGGCCAGCTGTATTGCAAGGTGCTCCTTTTATGTCCGGCAGCATGCCCCAAGCGTTGTGTTCTGAGCATAATTCAGTCTCAGGCCTCAGGCTCTTCCGGCAATCAAGATGCTTCCTCGATAAATTCGTCATATCCAGCAAAGCATTCTTCAAAAATGTCCAAGGTGAAATTGATGATGCGTTCCATGATCCACGTTCACATGTCCTGGCATCGTCCTCTCATATCGAATCGGCAGCTGCGCAATACTCATCGGCCCACCGCTCAAATGCTCACTCGGAGGCGTCAATTCTCCACGAATATTCTGCGAAATATCTTTGGCGACATTCTCCGGTGTCGCGCCTTTCGATGACAACAGATAAACGAGTTTCGTGTATGCTGCTTCAGTCGTCATATCGTGTCCAAGTTGTATCCCAGCTTCGACGAGTTTTCGCGCTGGTTCGTAAGAATCGCTCACGCTGCCGTGAAGACATTGCGTGACGTTGACGATTACCACGCCGCGTTGAACGGCGGCTGAGAGGGCAGGGATTATGCTTAAAGGCATATTTCCTGCGCCGAAAGTTTCGAGGACTACGCCTCGGATTGTTTTAGGGGACAAGATGGCGTCGATGATTTGGGAGGTAATTCCTGGCCAGACTTTAATGACGACGACTTTGGATGAGTCCATGACTGGGACTGCTTTTCCGACTTGTGGCGGAGGATCGTGGAGGAGATTGTCCCAGTGGACTACGATTCCGGTTTCAGAGACGGTGGCTAATGGACCTGCGTTGGGGCTTTCGAAACCAGAATAGGAACTTGCGCTGATTTTTGTGATTCGCGTTCCTCGGAGGAGTTTGTGGCCGAAGTAGACGCAGACTTCGGGGATTTTGAGGTGGGAGGCGAGGACGATGGAGCCTAGGAGGTTGTCGGATCCGTCGGAGTCGGCGAAGAACATGCTGCGTTGGGCGCCGGTTAGGACTACGGTTTTTTGGAGGTTGTCCATGAGCATGAAGGAGAGTGCGGCGGAAGTGTAGCCTAGTGTGTCTGTGCCGTGGCAGATTACGAATGCGTCGAAATTGTCCTCGTTGGCTCGGATTGTCTGGGCGAGTTGGTTCCAGGTTGGAGCATGAGCCGTCGAGCTGTCTAGTAGAGGATCGAATTCGAGCACAGAACAGCGCACATTCTCGCCGTTTCGATCTCTGGGCAGTCGAAGCGTCGGAGCCTCGATCAATTTGCCGTGCTCGTTTGTTACCTTCGTAGATAAAACCGGTGTGCCGTCGTCGTATGTAGGATTGTGTCGCAAGCATTCGTCGAGGAAAAGTTTCGATGTCACCAAGCCGTCTTCGGAGTCTTGCATGCAAATCGTGCCGCCGGCGACTACGAGAAGGATCTGAGGTTCATTTGAGCTGTTCGTGGGTGTGCTTGTGCCTCGTGATCCGCTCAAGTATGATCTTCTGTTTGCTGAGACGAAGGACAGCAGCCTGTATATCCCGGATGACATGTCCGGCATTCTGGATGATGACGAGGTTGATGGCCTCGGAGACATGTGTATGTAAGTAAGATCTATGCTCGAGTAGTAGTAGAGTATACACTGATCTCAGAAAGGAAAATAGTCTATCAAGAGAGCAAGGAAAGTCAATGGTCCTTATCAAGACCCGACATGAGAGAGCACGGGAAAAATCTTTTCGATCCTCACCGCGAAACCCAGAGTTTGCTCCATCTGGGGAAAGCTATGGCGTGTGTAGTGGACCAGCATTGAGAGCGGGCGTTTTGCGAACAAGGCCACAGTGAGCCCGAAGAGTAAGTGCAGGCGTGATAATGCAGCGCTATGAGAAAGCTGTTACCCCTTCAAAATGCTCACTGGCTGCCGTGAGGTCAGGAGGCACGATGCACGTCGGAACAACTCGCAAAGCCGACAAAGGCCGTGCGCTGGCGCCAAGCAGAACCTGGCAGAAAAAGCCAGCGGGCGTCCAAAAGCTCTTTCGAAGCCGAGTCAGATTCGAGTCGGATTCGAGTCGACTCGAAGTTTTTGGCTATCGTCTAGCGTGAGGCTTTATCGCACCAATCACAAGCCAGAATCTGTCATCGGTCTTGAATGTTTCTCTCCAAACAGATGAGCCCTTCCAAGAGTTCCATGTCGACATCATTCTTCCAGGTAAGCTCCATCACCCTAGCCTCCAACTCACATGATGCAAACCAAAGCCCGCAAAGTGTCCGGTTGTGGTCGCTCCATCCTGGAAGCAACCCGCCGGGCACTGGACAGCGCACCAGTCGCTCTGCCAAAATCTATTGGATCTTGAGCTACATGCGTGATCAAAGAGAGCCCTGATTCACCCGTATATTTCTTGTTACAATGCAATTGCGAAAATGTAGCATTAGAAGCTGACTTGGGTGAAATGTAGCATTTCGAGAAGCACAGATCATTGCATTATTGCGTAGCATTTCGACATAATACATACGGGTATCGACGTTCCTGCCCAAGGCATCCGTTTACATCACGCACAGAAAGCGCATCTGACCTCTCCATCCACAACGAAGCATTGTTCGCAAAAGAGATTCGCCCTTTCGCTCACCGCGAGCATGTCTACTTCCCACTGATTTGTCCCTCGACAAAGTCCAACGCCTGTTCTTTTGAAACGACATCGATACTACTGGCTTTGTTCAGATAACTGACACCGTAGCACTTCTCGGCAACGTGCAGCATCTCCGGCCTGAACGTAGTGCAGATGAACTGCCCAGTCTGGCTTGATTCTTGCAGAAGCTGAGCCACAGCCGTGCGGTACTGTGCGTCCAGATTGGCATCGATCTCGTCGAAGAGATAGAAAGGTGCAGGATCTGAAGCCTGAATGGCAAACACGAGCGCCAGAGCACACAGCGACTTTTGTCCACCCGATAGTTGTTGGATACGTTGCTGCTCGTCGTGTTTGGAGTTGAAAGAGACGGAAATACCAATGCCGATGTAGTTCTCCACGCTGTCCTTCTCGCGCCCTTCATCGTCACTGTCGTCTTCTGCACCTCCATTTGCTTGGCGATCGCTGCGACGCTGTATGATCAACCTTCCCATACCAGCTGGCACGAGCTTTTCGAAGATAGTGTGGAACTCCTTGCTGACCTGTCGGAAAGTTCGTTCGATGGCCTCATCTTTGCGCTGGTCAAGGACTTCAATGAGCTCCTTGATGGAGTTGTCACTGTTATCTAGGTCGCGACGACGCTTCTCGAGCTCCTCACGTTGACGCTCAAATTGTGCAAACTGCTCGAAGGCTTTCTTGTTGACATGGCCGTACTTCTTGAGAGCTTCTTGTGTTTTGCGCAGGCGCTTGGTGGCATTGTCAGAGCTGAGGTTCGCATATTGCGGCGTGAACGCAGCCTCCGGCAGCACGCCCAAATTGCGGATGGTTGCAAGCTCCTGGTTCAGCAGCGATTGGAATTGTCCCCGCCTCTCCGCACCCTTTTCGATTCTGTTTTGGTGACGACGAATGGCTTGCTCAAGCTTCTCTAGTTCCGCTCGCTGCTCGGTGCGCTTCGTCTCTAGGCTTTGCAGTTCTTCCTGTGCACTCTCAATCGAGCCCTCAATCTCTTGCAGCCTCTTGTCGATACTGTTCAGCGTCTTAGTGGCGCGCTTGAGATCGTTGCTTCGGTCTGTCAGCCTGGCATTGACCTTGCCGGTACTATCGGCATTGGCATCCAGTTCTGCGCCTTGTAGTTCGTAGAGGCGAGGTCGAAGGTTAACATTCAGGATATCCTCAAGACTCCGCTTCTGAACCTCCAAGTCTGACAATTCCCGGCCAAGCTCCGCATATTGCTTCCTCAGATCTGGTAGCTGGCCGTTCGCTGCATTCAACTCCTGCTCCTCTTGGTTGCTCAGTGCTTTCTTAAAGTCTGCCTGCAACTCGGACTGATAGCTGCTGAGCTGAGTGCTGAGAGCACCCAATAAAGAGTCGAGATTCTCCAATGAGCGTTGCTTGCTTTCAAGTTCGTCACGTCGCTTGTTCAGGTCTTGCTCCTTACGTCGTAGCTCATCCCGAAGCGGACCGTAGCCACCTTCAAGCTGCTCTCGCTTTTGCTCGATCTTCTGATAGTTAGTTCTTGCTTTGGTGACTTTCTGGTCAAGCTTCTCGAGCTCTTGTCGAATCTCATCTTTCCGACCACTAACACGCTCGAGCTCTGCTCTCGCGGTCACGAGACGCTTCATGCAGTCAATGCGCGAGCGTTTCGTGTCATAGTATCCGCCTGTGAGCGCACCCTTCTTGTCCGATCGATCTCCATCAGGGGTAATAGCACTGACAGAGTGACTGCGAGCATATTGAGCTGCGACCTGCAGGTTCGGGCAGACAATAGTCTTGCCAAAGACTTGCTGCATGGCACTCTCAAATTCCAAATTGTATTTCAGCTTGCTGATCAATGGGACCGCATCGCTGGCCTTCGGAACATCGGCTGGCCGTGCTTTGATCCGGTTTAGCGGAGTGAAGGTCACTCGTCCACCTTTCTCGTGCTGTAGGACTTTGATGAGTTTTTCGGCAGTCTCGTCAGTGTCGACGACATAGTGAAATAACGAAGCGCCTGCTGTGACCTCCACTGCGGTCTTGTACTTTGGGTTGCAATCGAAAAGTTCTCCGAGGGGACCATAGGCGCCCTCTATCTCTTGCTTCGCGACGATACGCCGAACTGATGCGAGTCCACGAGCGGTATTGCTGTCCATTATGCCACCCAAGTCCCTCTCGGCCTTATCGTATTCCGCTTGTGCGTTGTCAATGACAGTGCCGAGCTTCGCCTCCTCTCGCCACAGCTCCCGACGTTGATCCTGGAGCTGCTCCGCTGCGTCCTTCGCCTGTTGAACCTCTGAGGAAATGTTTTGTTGCTCGTCGCCACGGTTTTCGATCCGATGTCGCAGTTCACCAATATCAGCTTCCAATTGTGAGATCTGCGACTCGAACTCGCTAATATCTTCTTCAGTCTGCATGCGGATAGCTTTTCTTGTGGCAAGACTTTCATTGATCGAGGCGATTTCCTGCTTCATCCAATCGTCGCGCTCTTTCTTGGTGCGGAATTGGTTGGGGCGTCCTTGTTTAGCATACAGACGTTGGATCGTGGCATTGGCATCGTTGATTTGCTGCTGGATAGCTTTGTTTTCATCTTTCTTCGCTTGATACTGCGGCAATAATTGAGCAAGTTCGGATTCATGCTTCTTGATCTGTTTCTGCACATTACGCAGCTCATTCGCACGTTGATCCTGCGCCTGCTGAGCCGTTGCTTGATTGTCTTGCATAGCTTGTACCTCTGATTCGATCTGTGCCTTGCTTCGCGATATGTCGACACGCTCCTCCTTGTATTGTAATTGCTCCTGCGCCAGTAGCTTCATCTTGCCCTGGAGACTGGTGATTTCGGCCTCAATCGCGTCCATCTGTTGTTCAGCGGCTTTCAGGTTGTCGCGGTTCTCCTCGTTCTGCTCCATTCCGCCATCGCGATCGTCGTCGATTCGTGCGATTTGTTCTTCCAGTCGCTCTTGCTCCTTGTGGTGAATCGTGTACTCAAGACACCTTCGCTCGCGGTCCTTTTCCTGAAACTGACGCAGCTCTTCCTTTTCTTCCTCAAGCTCTCCTAGTCTGCCACGAATGTGCTCAAGCAAATCGTCGATCTTGGCCCGCTTCTGCTTGGTCTCTTCCATGATCTTGAATGACTCTGCTCTTCTGCTCTCGTAGACACCAGTACCCGCCACTTCTTTCAGCATATTGAGTCGCTCCTGATCTTTCATGTTGGTGATCGCCGTTACTCTGCCTTGAGGCACAATATAGTACGGATTACTGCGACTGAAGCCGGCACTCTCGAGCAGGCTGAGCACTTCCTGCTTGGTGGTGTTCTTGCGGTTCAAGCTGTACTCGTCCTTCTTTTGCCCAATCGTTCGACGCAAGATGACTTCGGGGGTGTTTGTTGGAAATCGCTCATCGCTATTGTCAAAGATGAGTTCGACGTAAGCACTCATCACGGCTGAGCCGGTGCCTTCGTGGAGCAGTCCTTGTCGCTCCTCGCGACCAAGTTGCGTGTACTTGTCGCTGAGCACGAATCGAATTGCGGCGAAGAAGTTACTCTTGCCAGAGCCATTGCGCCCGACGATGACATTGTGCTTGGGAGAGAATGGCTCGATCACCGTTTGGTCCTTGTAAGACTTGAAGCCTTGAATGATGATCTGCTTGATATACATCGTGAGAGTGTTGAAGGCGCTCAACAGCGCGCGCCCAACGATTCAGCCAGCTCGGCGCTGTGTTGTGAAGAGTCGTCGACGGTCGATCGCAAATGTTGTCGCATCAATCAGTGTTGCGATCGAAGTACGCGACCGCGTCGCGTTCGAAGGACCCACTTTCCAGTGCGGTGGCCCGAGCGGCGCCTTTCTCCCACCACCACCACGCCTCACCTCAGCTCACTTCACTTCATCAGCTGTTCCCTCTCGTGGCCAGAGTATCGGTGCACATTTGCGGCTCAGCATAGTGCAATTGTGCTGGATGTGAGCAGTGGATCCCTCTGACACTGTTCAGCGTGCTATCTAATACCGAAGCAAGTTCCTCCGACGGCGAACGGCACGATCAATCTCTCCATCCTCCACTTTGCTTCTTGCTTGACTGCACATGCTCGCGGATCACAGAACGCTGGTCACACGGCCGAGGTACAGTGGCTATATGGAACTGGCAAAGGCTTATTAGCCGCGACACTTAGCACGTGGTAGAAATTTTTGCACAGCAGGCGGCTTTCAGATATATCCGATTTGACCAGACAGCTCACTCGCAGTCCAGGAATCTACCAACAATGGCATCCCTTCCTCAATCCATGCGAGCCTCACAATGCAGCGACCAGACGAGAGGCATCGATAAGGACATCCGTTACACTACAGACGCATCACTACCTGCAGAAGCGGCGTCACTCCCTTCGAACTCAGCACTGGTCAAAGTGGCATACGCCTCTCCCAATCCAGTGGACTACAAGCTACCCGAATCAAGCATTTATAGCACCCTGAACATCAAGCAAAGACCATTCATTCCATGTGGTGATTTTGGGGGAACGATCGTATCGACGAATCTTCCCAACCTCAATCCTGGAGACCGCGTCTTTGGCCGCAGCGATCCTCCGCTGTTCGGCTCCTTGGCTGAATATCTTGTTGTTCGAGGTGTCGAAAATGTCGTCAAGCTCCCTGATGCAGTATCATTTCAAGATGGAGCAACGCTGGGAGTCGCTGGGCTCACAGCATATCAATGCCTGGCACCAAATGTACGATCCGGCAACAAAGTTCTAATCAATGGCGGTAGCGGCGGAACGGGTACATTTGCAATCCAGATCGCCAAAGCACTAGGATGTTATGTTACGACAACGTGCTCTTCTGCAAACGTCGAGCTGTGCAAACAACTAGGAGCGGACGAAGTCATCGACTATCGCAACACCGATGTCACAGCTCACATTACACGACAAGGAACGCAATACGATCTGCTGGTGGACTGTGCTGGTACCCCTGCCATCTTCTGGAAGTCATCAGCATATCTTAAGCCCGGAGGCCGATACATCACCATTGCTGCGACATTGACATGGGCATTTTGGTCTGAAATGTGGAAGATGATGTATCTGCCCACCTTGCTCGGCGGCGTGCCTCGCAAGGCAGAATTCTTGCGACGTGTCACGAAGGCAGAAGACTATGCGAAACTTGCGCAATGGATTGCAGAAGGCAAGTTGAAGCCTGTGATCTCAAAGACTTACGACCTCGAAGACGCCAAGGCCGCATTCGTGGAGCTCAAATCGGGCAGGACAAGGGGCAAAATTGTCGTCAAAATAGAGAAATGAGTCTGAGAAGGAAGCAAAGATCCATCGAAGCTAGTTCAGCACACTATCATATTCCTACAAGCTCACATATGACACTCAGATACACCTACCCGTAGTACCCACCAGGGTACACTCCTCCCTTCGGCTTGTTCATCTTCTCAAAAGATTTGTGTGCGTCCAACAGCCAAATCGATTCCGCACGAGGGCTACCCGACCAGCCACTTGGTGGACCAGAAGCGCGAGTTATCTCGCGATCGAGGCCAGTACGCCAGCTGTCCTGCAGAAACCCTTTTCGGCCTGGATAGGAGTAGTCGTGGGGGCCGGAGTAGGTTGATCCCTTGCGAGGCATCATGGTTGCTGATTGTCAGAGGGTTGCTTTGAGTTTCGGGAATGTGAGAGTTCGCGTGACAACGTTGTCTGGGGCTGCTAGATGTTGTTGCAAGGGCGAGCAGAAGGAGAGAGCGCTGAAGGGGTATGTATAATGGAAGGCTCTCACTCTTCACTACACTGAGCACAAAACAGAATTGCGCCGTCATTCTGTTATGCCCGTGGCGTCAATGTTGCCACTGTTCAGCCACCACTTTCAGAGGCATTCACGACAGAAGAATACTACCATGATACGTCAGTGAAGAAACACCCAATTGAGTCAACACGATATCATGTTCCTACGAACTCAAGAATGGGTCTCCTACTGGCAACTAAACAGCCTATCTAAAACCATCCACCAGGATACACGCCTCCTTGTGGCCTCTGCATACCCATGAACGTATTCCTCGCATCCTGCGTCCACGCTCGCTCAGCGCCGGGATAGCCCACCCACCCTGAAGGTTGTCCGCTTGCACGGAGTTTGTTCACTTCGTTCATTGTCACGATGTGGTTATGTCCTCGAAAGGAACTATCGTCAGGTCCGTAGTAGCCTTGTGGCATGGAGGGTATTGGTTGACCGCGGGTACCTGGCCAGACGTACCAGGACATGATTGTGAATTGAATTGCCTTGTTTTGGTTGTGCAATAAGTTGGTGGAGCCGACGCAGATTATGATGGAAAGGAATCTCGAAAAGAGCTTTCAACTGGAGAATATACGGATATTTGTCGTGCGAGTTGATGTTCACTACCTTCACAGGAAGTAGTAAAAATCAAAGTCCGCAATGCAATACTGATAATTAGCGTCTCTGCACGATACAATAGTAGCCAAAGCATCAAGTGTCGTGAAGCATATCGTTCTCGAAACTGTGAACGAGGCGAGCAGAGGTGGCGAGTGGGCTTTTGATTCCGTCCTTCACCATGCCATTCTGCGCTACAGTTCCCAGTGCTGTGAATGTGATTTGGAAAGAAGCATATATGTCGACTGATCCTCCAGCTGGCTGGTTTCTCATCCACAGCACGGTTTCCCAGATCGAATCGGCCCACAGCAAATCCAGAACCAATCTCACAACAGTCCAGGACAACCTACAAAATGCAACCGTGGCCAGGTTCGCGTGGTCGACGCTTCTCTTCCGATGCACGTCTTCCATTCTATCGTGGATTACAGGACCCTCGATTCCACTCGGGCATCTATCATCGCGAGGAGCAAGCCCTGGCGAACAACCTCCAACGGTATGGCCCAGAAGGCTCATGGTTGTATGAGTCGGCGTATGGAGGTGAGAGAGGTGCGATGGCTGACCAACTGTGGTATGAAAATGCCTTAAATCAGTTCATGGGCATGCAGATGCCAGGCGCAGGTGGGTATCCAGGAGGATGGTTTTAGCCATGCAGTAGTGGATCTCTTGGAATGATGTAGCAGCAATACGAATTTGGTAGGAAGTGATAGTAGCAGCCTACCTACCTCAGCTGAGTGCGCTCCCCTCCTCACCGGTACTGCACTTTCTGCCCTCCTCTCTTCTCCAACTTAGCTTGTCGCTTACTCTGCCCGCCTTGTGCAGCTGCCGGCTCGGTCGCGCCACCGGGCATCATGCCTCCCATTCCAGTTTTGAATCCACTGTAGGTGGTCCATGCGCTCCAGATGCTGTACAACGGAACGACAGCGTAAACCCACCACCCGTAGTCTCCGACCAGAGAGACAAGGGCAATGGTACCCCACGTCCAATAAAGTACATCCCACATGAATTCGGTCAGTCCTTTGGCATCGAGGTCCTCGCCAGCTCGCTTCAGCTCTCCATCGACATAGGTAGGACGAGCAATGCGATCGAACCAGAATTCGATGATGAGAGCGGGGGCATTGAACAGGAAGTAGAGGAAGAGATTCCGTCGACGGAAGACCAGCAGGCTCAAAACCAGATACAGAGCATTGATGGCGAGGGAGATTTGGTGGGTGCGATTGAGAGTAGCCGCATTGGACTGTGCTTGTGTTTTCAATGCTTTCTGTGGAGTTTCGTCAATGCGGTGTTATGCAGAGGGGGGTTTTGTGAGTACTCACTTTGGCCATGATGGCAATGTCAGATCAACGGAATGCGCTTAGTTGGGGTCGCGTGAGTAGGAGCAGCAGTGCAGTAGAAGCAATGTAATGCATGCGGTGCATCGGTCTTGGCGGTGGCTGGCTCGTGCGTGCTTTCCGGGGCGGGCGCATAAACAAAGTCGTCACTTCCTCCCGTAGCAACAAACAGCGCAACGGCGAGCACGCATTGCCTCGTGGCCCACCGACCGCTGCCTGCCTGCTTGCCCGCCTACTTTCCGCTGCCATGATCCGCTTCTCGGCAGCACACTAATCTTGCGCGCCATAGACCTTTCCCTGCTGCTACTCCTCCCACCGTCTTCTTCGACACGCCCGGCGCGGCACTCTACGCTGCACTTGAGACACGACACGATCTTCGACTGCGTGCTGCGCGACGCATGCCCAATGCGCCACATTCAGGCCCCGAGTCCTCCTGCATCCATAGCCCTTCCTGCCACCGCGCACCATGTCGCCGTCCACGGGCATCGCTGTCTCCCAGCTGAAGCAGCTGATCTACTACCAACTCGATAATGACCTCCTCGACAACGCAAATTTCCTCGCCGGGCGCCTGCATGCTCTCGAGCCACGGAACCCCGATGCCGCGCATCTACTCGCTTTGACCTACTACCGCTCCTGCCGCTACAAGGCAGCCTTCGACTTTGCGACCAAGTTTGGTTCCACTGGTCGCCACTTGGGATGCGCCTATGTATTCGCGCAGTCTTCATTACATCTGGGACGCTATTCGGAAGGTGTGACTGCCCTCGAGAAGTCACGCGCACAATGGGCAGGGAGAAATGATTGGCAAAAACACTCGGAGACCTCACGGCGGCACACACCAGACGCGCCTGCTGTGCTGACCCTCTTGGGACATTTACATCGAGCGAACGCGAATTATGTGAAGGCGGGTGATGCGTACCTGGAGGCGCACAAGCTGAACGCTTTCACCTGGGATGCGTTCGACGGCCTTTGCAAAATCGGCGCAGATCTCAAGACAGAGAACATGTTTAAGGCCGCAGGAGACCTTCCTGGGACTTCTGAAGGGTCCGAAGGTCCAACTATCTACGTGGACAAAGACTCGCGGCTACCGCTTGCTTCTCAGCCCAGCTTCCCCGTGGGCAGTTTTATGGATGATCCATTCGTACTTGGGAGCAGGATAGGATCTGAGGATGCGCTTGGGAGGATCAAGGGCAAGCTGACGGCAGGAAATGCAGTACGGCCAGCACTTTCGGAATGGGACACGCCAACCGGTAATATCGTGATGGCGGATGATGACTTCCCTACTGAGGAGAGCGACGTGTTTGTGGATCCTCCAGCAGCACCTGTGAGGCGTCCGCGGCTAGGACAGCAGTTCGAGGATCGCGCTCGGCCGTCACAGCGAGCGGGTGCTGTTTCCCAGGAACCTGCGGAAGACATTCAGCAAGCTCCTCGCAAGCCAAGTGCTGGCGGGCAAAAGCGCACGGCATCTGGCGCCCCGCCACCGTCCACCACAGATTCTGGTCCGCCGAGAAGGAGCAATCGGCTGTTTACGCAGGCTACTTCGACCAGGACCACCCGTTCTACGGCAGACACTGCATCCACAGCTGCCGCGCGAGCTGATAGGGCGTCTCGCACCGCGAAAGCAGCCACTGGCACCAAAGGTAGGACCGGTCCACAGGTTGGTCGCGTCGTTAGTGGCAACAGAAAGATTATGCCTGCGGATGATCGAGAAAAGGAGAAGGAGAAGCGCACGCTCAGCAGGGCTATGGACTGGGGCGCCGTTGTGCCCTCAGCTCCGTCTGCTGTGGTACAGCTGAAGCTACCGCCTGCGCCGTCAGAAGAAGATTTGAAAGCCGAGCGGCGGGCCATGTCTTCCTTGCTTGACAATTTCCGGCAGCTGGCGGTAGGCTACCAGGGAGCGGCTACCTTTCAGCTGGAGAACGCGGTCATGGCATTTCGCTCTCTCCCTTCTGCGCAGCGCGAAACTCCGTGGGTGCTGGCACAGCTAGGGAAGGCTTATCACGAACAACAGGACTACAAGGCTGCTGAAGAATGCTTCGCGAAGTTGATCAAGATGCAGCCTTCACGCATTGAAGATATGGAGATTTACTCCACCGTACTCTGGCACCTGAAGAAGGAAACAGCTTTGGCCATGCTGTGCCGCGTTTTGCGCGACAATCATTTCGATGCACCGCAGACGTGGGTGGCTGTCGGCAATGCCTTTTCTCTTGCTCGCGAGCATGATCAGGCCATTAGCGCTTTCAAACGTGCAACGCAGCTTGACGAGAGCTTCACCTATGCTTGGACGCTGATGGGCCACGAATATATCGCCAATGAGGCCTTCGACTCCGCTGTCACCGCTTTCAGACGCGCTGTCGCAATCGACTTCCGGCACTACAACGGTTGGTACGGCCTTGGGAAGTGCTTCGAGCGCATGGGCAAGAATGAGGACGCAGAAATCCACTACAGGAAAGCTGCTGCTATCAACCCCACGAACAGTACTTTACTGGTCTGTATTGGTGTCGTGTTGGAACGTATGCGGAACAAGAAGGGTGCGTTGGCCAACTATACCAAGGCACTGGAACTCGCTCCTTCTTCTGCCCTTGCGAGATTCAAGAAGGCGCGAGTTTTGATGCACATGAAGTATTACTCGCAGGCCCTGGACGAGCTGGAAATCTTGCGTGATCAGGCGCCTGACGAGGCGAATGTGTGGTTCTTGCTTGGCAAGTGCTACAAGGGTCTGCAGGAGAAGGGCGAGGCTTTGCGTGCTTTCACGACCGCGCTGAATCTTGATGTGAAGGTGAGCAGAACTTTGTTCGTGAGTTTTTGCTGTAGTTTCACTAACGAAGTGTCCAGGCCGCACCGTTCATCAAAGAAGCCATGGAAGCTCTTGACCAGGACGAGGACGATGACAGTGATGATGATTGAGCGAAGACCTTTTCAATGGTCTCTGCTGGCGTTTCAATTGGTCGGGGTCATGGGAAGCGGATAGCAAAAGCGAGCATGTTCTTGGATCAGGAAGGACGCTGCCAAGAAAATCGACGCTCTGGTACCAGAGCGTCAATTTTCTCGGCATTTTGAGGTGATCTTTATTGGAGGCTCTAGGGCGGGATTCCTGTTCCTGGTAAAACTCAAGAAGCAAGGCGTTCAGGTGGGGTTTGCAATGGCCTCGTACGCGAGGTCGGTCGGTGGGTTGCATCTGGGCATTGCATAGTAGACTGGCGTTCGGGTGTGGTGCATTTGTTGCATTCAGCGGGGGCGGGTTGAGCATAGTACCGCCAGTCAGTCATGAGTAGTACCTGACTGCTATGAAATTGTTGTGTTTTCTCGTTCAACGGCGGCGATCTCCCGTCTTGAACGTTCCTAATCCGCGAGATTCCATATGATGAAGCGACGTAGTGCAGTGCATGTCAGCACGAATGCGGTTGCATCGTTCGTCAGGCACATCGTGGCTTCGTCAAAAGTCGACTGAGCAAGCTCGCTATCTGGCTACGTGTCTGCGGGCGTTACCTGTATCTGAGGAGATGAAGAACTTTCCTGGTAATTTACGTCTGGTCGCACCAGACATGACATCGGATCACGATGCCACCAGATTGATTCTGGTAAAGTTGTGGATGAAATATTCTCCCGTGTTGGTGTCCAGTGTCAGGTTGCTCGTGGTGACAGTGCCACCACTGAGCAACGCACCGTTCTCAACGACACCGCCTCCAACGGGCCTCGACAAACGATTGGCATTGTTCTCGACAGTGAAGTTGGCAAGTGAGACTTCGTAACCGTTGCGAGTCTGCAGATTTGGAGTGCCAAAGTATTGGGCCAGAACGCGTTCCTTCGAGATCTGCATCTCGTAGTAACCACGATAATAGCCCTCTTGCCATTGCAGTTCGACGTTGTCGGCAACAAGAGCGCGGGATTGGTTATTGCATTCCCAGAGCGTCGTGTTGGCTCCGAAAGAAGAGGTGCTTGAGACAGCAGTGCCTGCGAATTCGACTCCGAGTGCGCCAGCGCCTGTCTCAGAGTCATAGTCCTTCTCATCAAGCCAAACCAGGTCTGCGACCCAGTTGGCATGAGTATCGCCAGCCATGACAATGTTGTTGCCGATGTTGTTGTCATACAGCGTCTTCAGAGTGCGATTCTTGTTGCTCATGTACCCATCCCAGGCATCAGTATTGTAGGCAGTGCCGAACCAAGAGGTGGAGTTGATAGTGCTGAAAACGATCTGGGATCCGATCAAGCGCCAGGTAGCGCCACGTGATGCCGATCTCTTGAGCGAGTTGTAGAACCACTAGCAAGGGAAAAGTCAGCACAAGGCGCTTATGTTTTTGAGATGATTGCCGGAGAGCTGGCCATAGAGCAGCATTTGACCACGGTGCCCGCTCTACAGCCGCAGCTCTGGAGCATGAAGATCCGGCAGCGAAAGCGATGGTACTCACATTTTCTTGGATCGATCCCATCAGCGTTCGTCCGGCATCGTTCATAATCTCTGGAATATCTGTCGGAGTGTTAGCCAAATTGGACATCGACTTTTCCAAATGAGACGTAGCGCCACTCACAATCCTCGTTCCAGCCCAGATCAGTAATGCTACGATCATAGTTGCGGGTATCAAGAATAATCAAGTCGAACAAATTACCAATGCTGAAGCTCCTCCAAATTCTGAGATTGTTATCCATGTCAACCTGGCGAATGGGCATCCACTCAAAGTACGCACGAACTGCATTCATTTTTCGCTGATCAACACTGACGCGGCCGTTCTCCTCGAAAGACTCCTCGGTATTGTTAAGCCCAGAAGAACCGTCTCGGTACCCGTTGTTGGAGATCTCGTGGTCATCCCAGGTTGGGATCCAAGGGTACTTCGAGTGTGAAAGAAGCAGATCCTCGTCAGTTCGATAGGTTGCCAGCCGAGCTCGATAGTCGTATAACGTGAAGATCTCGCGCTCTGGTCGCACTGGACGTGCCTCTGAGCCTGTTCCATATTCGTACAAGTAATCACCGAGATGGATAACATAGTCGACATTGTCTTTGCGTGCGCTGTTGCCATAGGCATTGAAGAAGCCCACAGGGAAGTTGGAGCAGGAGAAGACGGCGACGCCGACATCTCCAACGTCCTGGTCTGCAGCTGGGGCTGTCTTCGTGCGACCCACTGGGCTTTTGTTGTCGCTGCCACATACTGTGAATTGATAGTAGTACCACGTGAATGGTTTCAGATCCGTAGCTTCTACCTTAACAGTGTAGTCGATGTCGGAGGATGTGTAGGCCCTGCCCTGGCTCACAGAGTTCGTCATGTTCTCGCTGCACGACACTGCCCACTCCACACAAATTGGGTTCTTGCTGGCCTCTACGTATTGTTGAGTATCGTGATTATAGAGAGCTGCCGTGCCAGAAACGGTGACGTTGCTATCATCATTGTCCATGGTTGGACTGACTCGGGTCCTATTAGTGAATCAGTATTCCAGTTTCGATTGCTCATGCACATTGGATGTCTTTTACCATAGAATAACACTGTCATGGTACGGATCACCAGAGGCTACGCCATGAGTAAAGCTTAGGGTGCTGGCGTTCATGTACTGAGCATCTTCGTGCCTTTTCCTAACCTTTGGGAGTGAGATTCCCAGATTGTGGTTGTGTGAAGGACTGCCATAGTTGACATTGCCAGTCCAATCGGCGGAGACAACTGCAATGCACGCGAGTAAAGCTGTACTTCGCAGCATGGTGACTAGAAACGCACACGAGAAAGATGACTGACTCTCGCGGCAATCAGTTCTTCACTTACTTTATAGTTGCTGTTTGTCTTATCACTCCGATCGTAGATCACTGACGTTGCTACAATTAGAGCCAAGCATGGAGCACTTCGTCCGGCATGGAGGCCTGTGGGAATCAGCCAAAGATGCTGTCGTTCCTGAGCACGCTTCTCGCTTGCTCCCAAAGAGTTGGTGCTTAGATGGGAGAAGTGAGTCTCGGCATTGCTTGGCTGAGGGGAGCTGGCCAGTGAGAGATTAGCCATTATGCCACGCTGCCATGCGACTGCACGTTTCTTTGCTTTATGTTTCCGCATGCGACAATGTCGTATAAACTAGCGTGCATGCTAGAGTGTGAGTATGCCGTGCTGAAGCGGCTTGTAGTGCAACTGTGTCACGCGAGATCAAGGCAGAGATGCTGCCGACTTCCATTGACTTTCCACTGCTTCTGTCGCGTCCTGGGTTACAACTTTGGAAGAGATATTTGTACTCGCACTGTCATCCAGTTCTTCCAGATGTCAGTGATTACAAAAGTCGGGGAATGATCGATGGCTGAGGAGAAGTCCGATGGCAACAGCTTGAAAATGTGGCAGTGTCCTATTTGGGCGGGCTTCCGAGCAGTTTGGGCAATGGCATTGACGAGGAGTACCATCAGATCCGGACCTCAGTGAGAGGCTGTCGAATGTGCCCGAGTCCATATGATGTCCGCAGCATATTTCCATGTGCGTTGTGTTGTCGTTGTAATGCCTTTCGCGATGAGAGGAAAGAAGTGAGATCATTGGCCGAGCTCCGATTCTCGGGAGTATCCGGCATTGCCAGTCGGTCTTCCTGCTCCCACATACACACCATCACCAGCCATTGCGAACACAACCACTCCACTCCGACCGCGAAACATCACCCATCATGCGTGCCACACTCGTCCGAAGGGCAGGGTACGTCCTCGAGCCTCAAAATCGCGGTCCCGCGACTGCGCTGCGCCTCCCGAGCCTCTCAATGGCGACTAACAGTCTTCATCAGGATGCCTCAATTCCCTGGCATGTACCGCAAGAACAACGTGCCAGCCTGGCAACGTCTCCACCAGACTCACGATGGCGTCAGACAATGGAACAAGGTGCGTTGAGCAGGATGAAGGACAGTAGCGGACGGGAAAGAGAGCGCGAAGAGCTCGGGAAGCAAGAAGAGGGAGAGAATGGGACATATCTTGAGCAGAGACTAACGTGCTCTGCTAGGGTCCACGTGCCAAGTACATGCTCTACCCATACTACGGTCTTCTGATCGCGACTACTGCTGGTGAGTGCTGGATGATGTAGAATCGGGGAGAGTGTGGTTGCTAACACACGTGACACAGCTTCGCAGTACATGATGTTCCGCATGGTCTTTGGCAAGAAGACGTGGTTCTAGATGCACCAGGGAACGCGCTGAGGAAGAGTAGAAACGACATGGCTCCGGATAGGCAGTGCAAAGAAGTACGTGTATAGATCAGCCAGTATCGAGGACTACGGATTTCTTTTGTGTTGAGGAACTACGCCGCACTACCATTCCGCCTGGCGACATCTCTATATGCTGCTATCGTCCTATCCCTCTTCGGCCGCTCCATTCCTGTATTTGGACGGCGTGCCGCTCAGCGTCTATCCCGGCTCAGCGCCCAAATTCCGATGACCTTTACTCCTGGGGTATGATATGGGAATCTCCCGTCATGACTTCGTCAAACATGCCGTTGTGAGCGTAATGACTTTCTAGCTCGTTCAACGTCTGAGACCAGCATTGAGCCAATCACTTCTGCAAGGACTTCTTGATATTGTGAAAGAATGCAAATAGAGAGCCGCCCAATCTTAAAGGTAAGTTAGCAGAATGTAAGTACTTCGTGATGCTGCAGCTGGAAAGAGCTTACGTGGGATGTCTCGGCTCATGGCGTCTCGACGGCGTAGGTCTCCCCACATCATCCTCGAAATGATTGCGAAGTGAATGATGCGGGTTACGAGAACTCTTCGAACGGACACTAGCTCGGTCTCCGCTCACAGCACGATGCCTGTCCCGATTGTCATGGCTCCTTCTGCCAGAGTCTGGGTCTTCGCGCCGAGGTCGCTGAGAATGGTAGCTCTTGCGGGAACGACCAGAATCAGATCCACGATAGGAATCCGAGCTCACGCGAGGCCTATCCGACACGTCTCGACGAGAAACCGGAGGCCCGTAGCCATCGATTGCTAGTGGTGGCTGATAGTCTGGGTTGCTTTGATATATCTCAGGCCTCGGGGGATGATAGCTGTGAGTTGGTGACATAGTCCCGACTTCTGGTCTCATCGATGCTGAGCTTGCCTGCTGGTGTGGAACGTTGTAACCTGGAGGAAGGTATTTACCAGAAGCTGTGGAGCTTGCCCTTGATCTGTTACCGGGTGCTGGAGGCGGATACTGGGGATGCACGTAGGCCATATTGGGGTCCAAATATTGCGTTTCAGGTACTGATCGTGTAGCTTCCGGATCGAAACGCGGAACCGGGTCCTTATGTTCTGATGTATGATAGGTGTGGCGATGTGGCTTAATTCTAGCGAAGTTGGCCCACGGGTAATCGAGTGATGTCGACAGAGCGATGTAATCCAAGGATCTCCAGTACTGTACAAAGGCAACTCAGTATGGGAACGTAGTGGGAAGACGCTTTGGCCTTCACGTTTCAACCATTTGTATCAAAAGAGTCTAAGGCAATAAGGAGTTGCAGGCACTGTGACAGGTCAAAGAACAGGCTCAGCAGATTGCTCTTTGGTTCACTGCGGCAGACGCAAAGGCAAAGCTACAGGCGGCTGACCAGCTCTGCCACCTTGTTCAACAACCATAGCCCAACAGATGTCATGCAGTGTCCTGCGAACCGCTTCGGAGCCGACTGCGGGCTCATTCCTGCAAGGCGGACATTCTATGCATGCAAGCGAATGTGTACGCATGGTTCGGCGGGAGACCACCACATATGTACCCGCGAATGAGAGTCCATATCCTCGCTATGTGCAACAACCCTCATCCACTGGCTATAACTCAACCTTGTATTGATCAGATGAGGAAAACCGCCGCCATGCTGTGATCTCGAGCTTCGATACAATCAACCACATTGCGTCACCAGGTAGCAAACTTCGTGTCAGGTGCCTGATGTTGACTGCGATATCCCCGTTGGCTTCACGTCCTGAACGTCGAAGACGGTAGTCGGCAAATGGACCCATTCCAGATTCTGCCTTCCGGAAAGCTTGTCCTTCGGATGTGATCATCGAAATGGTCAGAGGAGGATCACTCTTGGATGAGAACGATTGCGGATGGCGGAATCAGACGGTCTCAAATCTGTAGCTGGTCGGTGCGTCATTTCTCTTGGCAGTTGGTCGCTCCGGCCTCTGTCGTCGCACAGGGCTGTGAAGTGTGGCGTATGTTCTTCACGTGCCGGCCCTGATGTCGATCAACAGAACGGCATTCGAAAGCACTTCATCATTCACCTCCTGGCCACGTTCACCATAGTGGCGTTCTTATGATATGGCATTTCGGTGACTGATCAGCCGCTTCAGCCACACGCCGACCTCAGCTGCGTAGTGCATCTGGCGACGAGCTGTGCACAAACAAGCCTTTTGGGTGTCTCCAGCACTGCCCACTGCCCCGCCATCAAAGTCGCTGCGTCACTTGCTCGCGCGTGTGCGTGACTCCGCCACATCCTTCGTCTTTGAAGTCGCCGTTGATGCCTCCGCTCTGCTCGCTGGACCATCGCTGCTGCATACCACACAGCCATTCACGTTGACAGGAGCAACGCACTAAGATCAAAGCGCACAGCTTCCGCCCATCTCCACTTCCCAAATCATGTCGTACCATCAAGGCTATGGTGCACCCTATCAACGTAAGCAGTCCGATCTGCAAGCTTCAGAAGAGGCGCAAGGCTGCCCGCACCAGACGCAGCCAGCAATAAAAGGGCGACCCCGCTGACCTCTCCTCGCAGAGCATCCACAACCAGGAGGATACTATCAACAACCTGCAATGAACCAAGGATACGGACAACCGCAAGGCTACGGCGCACCCCCGCCCGGACCTCCGCCGCCAGGAGGAGCACCACAGCTGCCGCCAGGATGGACGTCTCAATTCGATCATGCCAGCCAGCGCCAGTACTACATCAGCCCTACAGGTGCTAGCCAGTGGGATCCTCCGCCGCCGCCGCAGCAAGGATTCGGAGGCCCTCCCCCTGGGCCTCCTCCGCCAGCACAGGGCGGATATGGCCAGCACCCGCAGCACCCACAGCAGCAACCTCAGCCCGGAGGGTACCCTCAACAGCCCTACGGCGGTGCTCCTTCTGGGCCTGCGGCGCTACCATCACCGGGTTACGATTTGCGACAGAGATCGAACATGGATGTGACTCGAGCCGCGGATGACCTTCGAGCCGCCATGAAGGGATTCGGCACGAACGAGACTAAGCTGATCCAAGTCCTGTCCTCTCTCGGCCCTCTTGAGATTGCATCTGTCAAACAAGTCTACACGCAGCGACACAAGCGCGACTTATTCAAAGATGTGCACTCCGAAACATCCGGCTACTTTCGCGAAGGCTGTGAAGCGATCATCCGCGGACCACTAGAGCAAGACTGCTTCGTGATTTACGAAGCACTCAAAGGCATGGGCACCAAGGAGAGTGCTTTGGACGATGTACTTCTTGCACGCTCAAATGCAGACATGAATGCCATCAAGCAGCATTACAAGCAAATGTACGGCAAATCGCTCGAGTCTGCCGTCAAGGGCGACCTGAGCATGAAGACCGAACGAATGTTTGACATGGTCATGTCTGCACGACGCAACGAAGAGTCAACTCCTGTGATCCCTCAACAGACTGATCAGGACGTCAAAGAAATCTACGGTGCTACCGAAGGCCGAGCTGGCGCAGATCAAATGACCGTCTGCTCCATCTTGACCTCTCGCAGCAATGGCCAAATTAGAGCCATTGTCCAAGCATACCAAGCCAAATACCACCGCTCCCTCGAGACCGTGATCAAAAAGGAATTCTCCGGGCACATGGAAGATGCCTTACTCTTCATCATCAACGCGGCCAACGACCCCGCCAAGCACGACGCAGACCTTCTCGAGGCTTCAATGGCAGGACTCGGAACCAAGGACCAAGCCCTCGTGCGGAGAGTCGTCATGATCCACTGGGACAAGCAGCGCTTGCAGCAATGCAAAGCCGCCTACAAGCACTTTTACAAGAAGGATCTCGCTGCTAGAGTCCAGGGCGAGACGAGTGGGGATTACAAGAATCTCATGGTGGCATGTGTCTCGTGATGATGATTCCGGCTGCTGCAGGGCCGAATTGGCTGACTTTTCTATCAGATCTTCCAGTGAGTGGGGGTGGGCGTTTCTTGACAGGATGGGGATATGTGATACCCGCGAGGGAGGCAGTTTGGTGGGGGCCTTGCCTTTCGAATTGGATTGCAATGCACTTTCCACGACGCATACGAGTTTCTTTTGCTCTTGACCTCATTTTGCGCCTGCATTGCGTGTTTTTAGTTCGTCCTGCATTTTGACAGCAATGAATTTCCAGAGTGTTGATATTGCTCACCTTTGTATGAAAGCAGACATCCCGCGCGTTCATGTAATGTTTTCGTCGAAGCTTGCTGGCTTGCATACAGTACGGAAGTGCATTTTGTCATGAGGACGTCAATTGTTGCTAACCACATGCATATGTCAGACTAATGAGCAACAGGACATTCTGGGTCTGACAGCTGCATCGGCATTTCTGCTACCATTCCGAAGCTGTCGGGCCGTGCTTGGGTTCACATGGCAGTGCGCATCTGACTTGAGATTTGTTGGAGTCCGCATCAAGACTGCTTCCGCGGGCTGTTGTCTACGGTCCTCAATGAACAGGGATGTCACGACAGTGGTTTATTACTGCGAGCGGTTGCACAATCCCACTATTCGACGCCACTTTCTTTGCTTCTGCATAGAAGTAGTCGAGCAGCACCAACGCGTGAGTCGATAGATTTAGCTGTACTGTAACAATGAGCTTCGGAACAGATCGGCTTGTGAAAGATGCCCTACACGAGAAGAGTGAGCAAGATTATTCAGAGAAAGACAAATTAGGAGTTCTCTCCGGCGGACCTGTCGCAGATAGCCACGTTGTAACTCCTTGAATGGGATGTGAAGCAAAAGCAACCACGCACACGCACAACACCGCGGACATGCTCGCTTAAAGTTATTATCAGTGCATTGCTCCAAAGTAAAGTGTGTTGTAGGACCACACCCTCCATGATCATGATCACCGGTGTAAGTTCAGGAACGAAAGTAAGCGTGAGTGATGCGGATTACTTTGACTACTGTACCTCGCTGGGATCCCTCACATGAGCCGCACACTCCGAGCTCACTAGGGTGGGTACCGATGCACCGTTCCAAGCCTGTGACTCCTTGTCAATCTTTTGGAACTTGGGAGTGATCCTGGTCGACAGTAAAGGTCGAGACTCTTTAGTATCAACCGCTGCTTACGGAGTATCGTCATCCATATTCTTGGGGGGATTGAAGAAGGCGCAGGAGCGACAAAGAGAGGATGTGGAGTTGCTGTCCACAGGAGTAGGTAGCTCACGCGGTGGACCTAATTCTGCACGTCTTGTCATCAGATTATCAAGTGTGGGGTGGGGGTTCGGGGCCAGCGCAAATCATCAGTCGCAAGCAGAGCACTGCTGTGACAGGCTGAAAGCAACAACACGAAGTTCGTGCGCCCCAATCTAGAGTGGTAGTGCTGCAATGCTTGCGAAGTCCTCGAAACCGCGCGACGGCGTCATCGCATGGACGCATTACTTCAGCGCGGTTCTGTATCCCTGCGCAAGATTTATCGAGAGGAACGAGATGCAACTGTAAAAGCAGGAGCACGGTGTTGCAGACCGAGTTGCCTGCTTGCATCAAAGCATCCTCAGGTCAAAGCGAGGTACGTAACGTGCTTCGTTCCTTCAAGCACTCGTTGAGCCAACACGAGACACCGGGAAGACCAGCCGCACCTAGACGTATCGACTTCGTACATGTGTGCTTGACTGAGACGAGCTTGACACGTTAATCGAGTGCGTTGTGACATGCATTTCAAGTTCGAGGCCAACAGTGGGTTGGTCTCGGACTTGGTGATCCTGATTCGATCCCAGTGCATGGCAGTTTCCCAGGATGACGGCGCTCGATAGGCTTGGGTACCAAGGAGGTGAGCGATAAGCACGTTGCAGCAGTGCAACTGAAGAGTGTGTGAGGGAGTCGATCGTTGGTGTGCTGAATAAGACTGTGACAAACTCTAGGAATGCGTGTGCTTTCAGCGTTCCTCGTTGTTGCGACACTGACTCCGAGCTTCGTTGTGAATCGCGTCGTGGTCGTTCCGATCCCGGTCGACCTGGTGGAAAGAAGGTGCTGCGGAAAAGGGTCGAAAAAGCAAACCGCTTCGCAACCTGGTAAGCACTGCGCCGCCCGCACCTTTGAACATGTCACGACTGAAAGCCACGAGGAGAATGAGTTGTCGTACAGAACCCGCTTTCTCGGGGTTGCAAGCATAGTGTCGAGGCTGTGCAACGAATGGATCCCAGGCACAACATGAACCGTGAGACTTGACACCGGGCGGCATGGCCGCGTTCGATGTCCACCCTGAATGCTGGGAGGGAAGAGGTAGGGTAGACAGAGTTACGCTGGTGCATGAAACGCACCCGCACGGCTAGACTGCAGTCGGGAGACTTTGAATTCTCGAGGCAGCAGGGTACCTCAGCATTGCACGGCACGTAACTGCACGTCCGGCGTGCGCGACCATGGCAAAGCCGAGGAGTCGCACTGGACTCCCTCCCTCGCGTGCTTGTTGGCGTGCAGGAGCTGGTGGGGCGGTCGTTGGGCGTGATGGAGGGTGTGAAGTCGAAGTTGTGTGGACAACTGGGCTGGCACAGCTGGAGCCGGGAACATCCTGCGAGGTACACAGGCGACGCTGGCAGGAGCTGCGCGCCGGGAAGGCATCGCCAGCAGACAGGCAGGTAGGCAAGCGATTGCGCCTTACGGATACTACAGGTGGCATCCACGGCATCGTACGGGCAGGTGCGGTCTGACGAGGGAAGTCTCCAGGCAAAGGCAGCAGCGTCGACCGAGAAAGCGAGGTCACGCTGCCTAGTTTTTTGTACGACAGTAGCGAATAGCATCGACGGACGTCAGAATCAGAGTTTGGGCCGGTCAGAGGAGGGGAGATAACTCTAACGCAGGCCGTGTCTGGTGCGTGAGTGAGCATCTGCTAGGAGGTATGACTCTGCGGTGTCGGTGTTGGTGGATGCGACGTGCGCGATGCGATGGGATGTGCGCATGCACCAGGCGCGGCGGCGGCATGGTTATCTGGTGCAGGGTGCATCGTGGTGGCAGGCAGGATGACAACGGTGGCCGTCGCAAAACCACGATGGGCGCAGGCGTACGGAACGTTGTCGCTGCTGCTGGCTACGCTCTGCCGATGAGGAGCCAGTGGCTCTTCATCTCCCCGATCCTAGCGCGAGTTCTCTTCACCAATCGCTGGCGGCGCTGGCAACGAGATGCAGCGCGACGGAGGAGAGAGTGCGAGGGTGTCTCAGCTCCCCACAGCCTTTCTCACCTGTGGCGCATTCGCCCAGGAACGGTGTGAGCACGAAGTACCGCGCAACGGTATTGGCTGAAGGTAAGGTGCCGCTGGGCCCAAGCAAACGGTTCTCGAGCTTCCCACTACGCCCGTCGCACACTCGATGCCCATGGACCGACGCACGCTTGCTTCTCGACTCTGCCGACCTGCGAGTGCCTTCCCAACTTTCCCTCCCTCTCGCACACCACATCGCTTTTCTTCGCACACCACCCGCCTCTCCTCCTCCACCACCACCATCCGCCCACTGTCGCGCGTCCTGTCGCTTGCGCGCGCGCCCGTCCGCATCGCTATCATCGCCTTGTCTGCTGCCCGCCGAATCCGGCGACACCTCGCTTTGCTGCACGGCACGTCGCGTCTCCCTCCATCGCTCACGCCGTCCGCCGTCGCGCAACACTTTTGCTCGCTCCAGCATCGCGTCTGCGCATTCACTCCACTGCCATCGCTGGTGCGCCCCCGACTGTGACCGCAGCGCGCGCAATCGTTACTCACGCTCCACTTCGCAGCTGTGGGCGGCCCCGGATCTGGCGCAGACCGCAAATCCCCGGACGGCCCAGGCACTGGCCGACTCATATGCCACGCTTTCCACCACACCCTCCTTCGGCGCTGCAACGTGGTCCCGCTCCATCTGCATCGTTCTCACCTGATCTTAGCACTCGGCATCGTCTCGCCTTCGCCCCGTCCACCCGCGGGCACCAACAAGGCCGGCTGCCCGTGGCCTACTCCGACCGCGTCGCATTGTGCGCCGACCACCTGTAGAGGCCGATGGGTGACCTCACCTCAAGCAACCACCAAATCCGTAAGCCCGGCAGTGCTATGTACGCGGGAAACACTTTCAGTCCCAACAGCACGTCTCCACCCACACCCGCATTTCGCTCCGACATCTTCGCAAAGGCCTCCGGGTCCAGCTCCGGCCCGCTATACAGCACTTCGCCGACTGCAGAGCGCCACCCTGCTGATCGCGTTGGCATGATGGCGCCTCTCTCAGCGGCCGCGGATTCCTCCAGCTTCGCCTGGCATCAACGTCCTGCTCCCGCGGTTCTGATTCGAAGGCTTCCGCGTAACATAGGCATCGACGCAGTGAAGAGCTTGCTGCTCTTCGCTGGTGATCTAATCGACGCAGAAATCATTCAATCACCCTATCCGGACGACCAAAAATACGCGACAGCGATTGCGCGATTTCAAACGACAGGCAGCGCCATCGAGGTGCAGCAGAGGTTGAACGGAAAACCCAATACCGCCAACGAAGCCAACATGATTGTCGAAACGTACAGCACCACTTCGATTAGCGGAGTTTTCGAGAGGCGCAACACTATCGATGTAACTGCTTCTCGCACGCAAACGAGCTCTGCTTCTTCTGGACGCTCCAGGTACAACAACACGTTCCAACCCGCGGAGCGAGTTTCCCCGCCTCTGCAGAGCGGGAGCTCGGGCACAAATGGGGACTTTCCCACCCCAGAGAACAGTGCACACTTCCAGAATCTGTTCTCTCCACAGTCTCCGTTGGCCAATGGAGTTGACGGGACTCATCGCATCAGCGGCAAGTCGATGATCAACGACGACAACGCTGATGACGAAACCGGAGAGCTGCTCAAGGATCCGATCGCATATGCAAAGCATGGCCAGCAAACTCGTCGTGCGACCAATCCAGCCATCCCAGTCTCTCGCTTTGGCAGTCTGTCCATCAACAGTCCCAACGGCAACAGCAACGCCATTCCATCTCCCGTAAGCAATGGCTATGCGCCTCCACGTGCGAATGGCTCCATTTCTGGTGGCCCTGGGCAGATGCAGATGAGCAATGGTCACAGCAATGGCGCAAATGGCACTTACGTCTCCAACTATCCCCGCCCACAATATCCGGCTGTGAATCCTGCCGATCAAAATCCTCCATGCAATACTCTCTACGTGGGCAATTTGCCTATTGACACCAACGAAGACGAACTCAAGGCTCTCTTCTCTAAGGTGCGAGGCTACAAGCGATTGTGTTTCAGGACCAAAGCAAATGGTCCCATGTGTTTCGTCGAATTCGAAGATATCAGCTTCGCAACCAAGGCTTTGCATGAGCTCTATGGTCATCCTCTCCACAACAGTACCAAGGGTGGTATCAGGCTGAGCTTCTCCAAAAATCCACTCGGTGTTCGTTCAGTCCAGCCGAATGGACTGGGTCCTTCTGCAGCAATGTCTCCGCAGGCAATGGCGCCTGGATTCCCTGGACTTCCAAACAACTTTAGTGCTGTCTCTGGCCCGCCCCCTGGATTAGGCTCTCCACCTGGACTTGGTCCTTCAGGAAATTATCGGGCAGGGCAAATGGGGATGGACGGCATGTTTGCCAATCCTTTTGGCATGACTAATCCTGAGTTTTTGCATCAGCTTGGCCCACGCAACTATTCTGGCGGTGTTCCTCAACCTCTGGGCGCAGGTACGTTCGGAAGGGAGACTCCTGACGGATACAGCGACTTTCATCTCAGCCGATGAGGCGCTCCACATGGACTGTGTCCGTGCTCTACTGGCTTCGAGGCGAATTTGGTGAACTCCATTCGCAAGCTATCACACGGCATTTGGGTTTTCTTTCTTTTTTTTTTTCTGCATTTGGATTTGCTTTACTCGTTACACGGCACGCGGGACATCTCTCTACACGACCTATAACGCTGGCGGATATTTGTTTGGTTTAATCATTTTTGCAAGATTCCCCCTTTGCGCGAGCACCATGACAAGAGCTCGGGATCCATTTGACAGGCGTTGAAAGGGCGTGTACTACACTTTCTCAAACGAACTAGTCTTTATCATTAATGAAGACTACATGGCATGAGCAGAGCGATGGTGCGCTCCACACGAACAGCATAGCAATAGTATCATGGCGGCCTGGACACACGGCGAACTCGAGGAGGTCCTTCATTAGCATGGCACAATCAGTCATTGAGGCATGGGAAGCGTACAAGCGCAAGTTGGAAATGAGTGGGAAAGGAACTGAGACATTTGAGGATATGAATCGTCTCGTAAACAGCAGGGTAAAATGTGTACAAGGAAAATGTCCGCTCAGGCGGAATGGGGAGGAGAATCTGGCAATATCCTTCTTCTGCTACGCAACTTACACGGCCGAGTTCATTGTTGGATTCTGCGAGCGATACAAAAAACTGGCGGGGGCACATAGGCGGTGAAAGAAAGCATCTCACTTTAGATCAAACGCTTAGCGTGGCTTTAGTCGATACTGTAGTGTCAGTCGCATTTTGGAGGGACAGGCGAGGAAAAAAGAACATGTTGGCTTCTTGACGATCTTCTCACCACTTTCACACTCATTATCAAATCCCGCTGCCTGTGCCGTGATGAACAATCACACAACTTCATCTATCCCACTCAGCCAAGAAATGTGCTCTATCAGAGTTGAGAATGTATGCATCGTCATGCATATGCGGTCCGCGGATTCTACAACCATCCTCCCGCCTGACGAGCGGCGGGCAACAACTCTGCTGTCGGCATGACTAGCTAAAATCGCTATCGCATACGCTAAAACCCGTCCCGGGAAACTGGTCATTCGGCACACAACGACACATCTTCATGCACTTAGGCGAAAGTATGCGAGCGCCTTGAAGCCACACGATTCTTTGGACTCCTCAGAAGTCGTATTCGTGTGTGAGCCCAGTGACCAGTGAGAAGCTTACGTTGATGTGATAGGACAGGGATGTGTTTTTGGACGAGCCGCTTGGGAGTGGCGATGGCGGCGATGCCGATGGGTTGTGTTTGTGTGTGTGTGACCTCAGCCACACCCTTCTGCGGGACTCGTTCCTGCTCTGTTTCCGAGCCGTGCGTGCTGATCTGGTTGGTGGTGTCGATCGTTGCGGTTGGCGTGTAAGGAAAGTCTATCGTTACTGTACTGTGTGCGAAGTGCTCGCGGCTGCGCAAGGCTCAAGTTTGAGATTTGGTTGTATGTGGCTCAGCGTGAGGAAGGTCGTGATAGTCATCGCTGGCGCAGTGAAGTACAGTGTTGACATGCCATTTTCTACAGTACAGTTGACGACGATTCGTAGCCAAGATCTTCTGCTAGCATACACCAGACGACCAATACCAAGACAGCGCATGGTAGCTGTAGCCTTGTCGGATCATCTGACCATCCTATCTCCACAGACCGTAGGCGCCTTCTGTGAATTTCCACAGCTTCACAGTGCCATCTTCACTACCGGTGGCGTACAGTCTTCCATCAGGGCTGAAACAAGTTGTCCATACCGGTCCATGATGTCCTCTGCCGGTCTCCAACTCCCTCCCAGTCTCGAAGTCCCAGACGTGTACCCAAGTGTCGTTGGGGCAGCCAGTCACAAATCGCTTCGCCTCGCCATTCAGCGCTACACTCGCCACTTCTCGCTCCGTGGCAATGTGTTTGATAAGCTGGCCAGGACGACCGCCATCGAAGAAGTAGATATTCTTGCCAGCAGCAACACTGATGATCCCATCCGGGTACCCTTCCAACCCCGAGTTCAGCTCACAAGAACCCGGTAGGCCTTCGATATCGTAACGTGCAATACAGGTTTGCGATCGGAGATCCCACCAGCGAATCTTCTTGTCATCTGCGGCCGTGATGATGATGTTAATATCGCGCGACCAGATGATAGCCTTGATGGCACCTTGATGCTCGCCAGCTCCAATCTCATAGGAAGGAGGGTCTGGATTACAGGTGCCCGTTGGTGCTGAAGTCGCACCCGGCTCTTCACCAGGCGTTCGCAGATTACTGCTCGTCCCCGAGAGATCGAAGATACGCAATTTCTTCTCCATTCCTCCCGTGGCCAAGACCTGTGGACGATCTTGCGGTGGGAAGGCCACGGCTCGTACGATGTGGTTGTGCTGAAGCGTGTGAAGAGTTTCTCCTGTGAAGGTGTCCCATACCTTTGCAGAGAAATCTGCGGATCCCGTGGCCGCCAGAGTGGCATCATCAGACAGCCGGGCACTCCAGACTGCACCTTTGTGGCCAATGAAGGTGCCAATCCAGTCCCCAGTAAGGCCATCGCGAAGCATGGGATTGTTGTCCTTGCATGATGAGATCATGTAGAACTGCGAAGTCGAGCCAGAGCCCGGCAGCGCAGACGAGAAAGAGACATGTGTGATTGGTCTGGAGTGGCCATGACATGTGAGAGGCACGATCTTGGTGATCTCTGGAGTTGTAAGTTAGTTCCGTTGTTGGAGCAGCATCCTTGCGAGATGATGCTGTACACACCTGTTGTTATGCCAGTGTCGTCTTGGCGTTTGAAGGCGAAGTCCATGGTGAAGAGTGAGACGACGGCAAGTTCGAACGAGGTGCTAGGTAGGCGTCGTCAAGTTTGCACTGCTCAAGGCTCTGTGATGTATTCCTTCGCGGCCGAAAATAGCCTCCAAGATGTCGGGCTTGCGCCGCGGTGATTTTTCTTTGTCTTTGTTTCGTGGCAGTCGTTAGTCGTAAAAGTCGTTAGTCCGGATGACCAGCAGTCCCGCACCACTCCCCAAATGCTACAAAGTCAGAAGGAACGAAGGAGAGGTGGTGGAGGAAGAAGACGCGGGACCGCGATGGCAATATAACAGCAATCGCGTACCACGACAGGAGTTTGAACGGGCAGCGAGGAGGAGATGAAAATGGCTAGCCTCTTGCGGCTCGTTTCCGAGTGAACCACACATCCATGCAATCGCAATCCACGGCCGTCTGGTGGTTTGCCTCACATCTGCAGAGGCGGCGACGAGCACAGTGATGCCCGAGCAGCATGCGATATCACTCGGGCCGCTGCAGGCCTCGCTGGCCAGGAGTTGGGTGTAAAGGAGACAGGAAAGAGTAATTTAAAGCAAATCAACGCGTGAGCACGTGCGCTATGACGGCGCTATCGGTCGTCCAGCTCCTGCCTCTCTGTTGTTTCAGGTGTTGACAAGCTCCCGTCCCAACTGCCACCACCGCCGACTATGGCGGACCTGGACTCGACGACGCCCAGCAAACCGACACCGACGACGACGAACTAGCGGATCGACTCCGGACACTGGACACTGGACTGGACTGGACTGGACTGAATTCCCGGAACTTGGACACTCGCGACACAGCGCACTGCCAGGAGCGCCCCAGGCAACGACATCATAACGACGCCGCGACCGACTGCATTGCGCCGGCACTGTTCCGCCTGCACGCGCACGTCTCATACTGGAGGATGCGCCGGTAGTATCGCGCGCCCACGAGCAGCAGCATGTCGTCCTCACCGCTGCGACCCGGCGCCGATCTCAAGGAGCAACTGGAATGGTACAAGACGCAATATGCGCAACTGGAGACCGACCTTTCCGACTTTCAAGCCTCGAGCAAAGAGCTTGAGGAGCAGCTGGAGAAGGATGTAGAGGCGGCTGAAAAGAGCGAACGCAAATTCAAGGAGCAAGTTGAGAAGCTGAACTTCGAGGTGGATGAATGGAAGACCAAGCACAAGCAGGCCAAGGATGAGGCCAACAGGGCGCAGAATGCGCTACAGAAGGAGATCACGGCTATACGTGAAGAGAACCGCACACTGCAACTGAAACTACGAGATATTGAGGTAACGAATGATGATTATGAACGACAAGCACGGAACACGGAATTCGAGAAGGACGATTTGGAAAGCAAGTATAATGCCGCAATCGAGCGCGGCGTCTTGTTCGAGGAGACGATCAGGCAAGGAGAACAAGAAAGAGAAGGATTGCGAGTGGAGACTCAGCGACTGAGGGATGAGCTGGGAGATCTCAAGGTCGAGAACGAGATCACGTTGGAGAAATTGCGCCTGGCTCAGCAGACAATCGAAGAACTTCGATCGAGCCGGCCATCGTCGCTGGCAGTGGGCAATCTACGAGCGCGAAGCCCAGGCAGCGAAGCCAGCGGTATGACACCTCTGTCTCCAACCGCGTCGACTCCACCACCAAAGTCTGACACTGCATCAGATGCGCCAACACCGCCATCGCCACCATTGTCAGATGCACCTGCAACCGCGAACCTGGAGCAAAAGACGCCCGTGCCGATGAGAAAGAGGTCACAATTACCGGACCCAGGGCCAACGCCACGGCAATCACTCATGGGCTCGCGCGGTATTCCAAGACATTCTCGAGGCCCGTCGTTTGCTTCGAGTACTAGCACGGCACTTTCTGGAACAATGAAGCCACCCAGTAGACCAAAGACACGGCCCAGCAATGCGCCGGACAGATTACCCCGCTCTGATTCCCTTTACCAGATTAGAGGACTCATCGGTAGGATGCAGAAGATCGAGGAGCGTGTACATTCTGCTCGCTCGAAGTTGCCTGCCCCAGGAACACCTCGTGGTTCGCCGCGGGCTGGATCTGCACTTGGCGACAATAGCATCCCGTCTTCAGTCACGGTCCGGCGCAGCAGCAAGCGGCCGAGTGCATCGACCGCATCTTCAGTGCTGCAGGAGGATGAAGGAGATGCTTCTTCACCTAGTATCGGAGCACGGCGGGAAAGCCAAGTCAACCGGCTGTCATATGGCATACCGAGACCTGCGTCGTCAATGTCACGCCGATCAGACGCACCGGACCGGCCTCCATCAGCCATGGATCGGCCGCCATCTGCAGCTGGCATGCGACCTAGCAGCCGAGCGGCTGGAGCGAGGCCCCCGAGTAGGACAGGCGCGCGCACCGAGCTCGGCCATTATTCGCGACCAACGACGGCGAGCGCTGCAGCCGCATCAACAAGACCACGGTCTAGTATGGCCGGAAGCTATGGGATGAGCACGCCTCGTGGGCACAAAACTAGTTCCAGCATCGCCGAGGAGAGGAAGCAGGAAGCAGAGAGTGAAAATTCGATGCTGTCGACGCCACCTAAGCGTAGAACGACACTCGATAGAAGCGGGCTACCGACCCCGTCGGGCCTGCCTCAGCCATCATTTCTATCCAAAAGTGTGGGACCAGGGGCGAAGCCACCATCGACGAAGCCCAGGACAAACACCATTTCCTCACGGACAAGCAGCAGGTTCAGCCCACCGAAAAGCGATGCTGACAGAATGCCTCCGCCGCGAAGACGAGAAACAGGAGATGTTGGCGAGACGTATTGAAAGAAAGCTTGTGCAGATGTACATTGCGGATTTGCAGTGGCTTAGCGGGAGTTGGCGGGGATACAGAATGGTGTCTAGGGCTGATGAAGGATTTCTGCTGCTTACTACTTCGCTTTTAGACGTGGGTTACGTTGGACAGCTGGAAGTGTGTCGCATAGGATTGAAGTGGTGCACGAGTGAGTCAGAGGGCGATTGATTGTGTTTAGAGATACTCCCTTCGCAGACTGTGCTTCGCAATTCGCAAATATGAAATGAAGTGAATACGCTATTGCCGAGACGTGGTCAAATAACATAAGTGCCAGGATCTGTCAACATGCATGCCAAGATGCCTGCTCGACTATGAGACAGTGCGCCAATTGAAGGCTATTGGAAATTCTTCAGATCGAAGCCTGATCGAAGCTATTTTCTTATACTGTCACGATCGCGACGCCCTTGCCCGGGTTTTGGGATGTGAAGCCCGATGAAACCAGTCGCGATGTGAATTTCAGCAACCCCGGATAGCGAGCGCGACACCCCGCCGGACATGTATCGGGTTGTTTCCAACGCTACTGGACACTGGTCATCGACACATGGCCACACCAGGACTCACAAACGTCTCACTTGGGCCACAGGAAGGCTCACAACATTGTCTAGAACAGGAACCGAAAGTGGAGAGCCGAGCGCGCGTGTGGGAGTGAGCAGCACATGTGCGCTGACGGTTCTCGTCGAGGAAGTAATAAATGTGGTGAAAGAGGCTATTTTTGAGTTCAGCGTCCGGCGGCCGAAGCGCGCATCCATGCGACAATCGTGCCTCGTGGTGGATCCTCAGCCGCTCGCGAGATCCGGACACGATAGCGACGTTCCTTGCAGCGATTCTTGGGGCCGACGGAGGGGAGGGTGGGTAAGATCATTTCGCGCTGCAGTCATGGTGGTGTTGGTCGTGGGCATCGCGAGCGGTGGCTCTGCGGACTAAGTATGTCTGAGTCTGCTCAACGATGAGGTTTGACTGAACGAGTTGAGAGTGATCGGTTGGTGGGACGAGTACCTTCGTACCTTGCAGGCCGCTGGGCCGCTGCACGGTGATGTCTCCCCAACCATGCGAAAGTAGGCATGCGCAGAGCTGGCGGGCAGGGTCCGTCTGCACTCCGCATGGGCGAGCTCTGCTCAACCCTCTGCCTGCTGGTACTCATCCGCAGCTGGTGTGGATGCGTTGTGGCTCAATGCAATTCAATTGCCCCCGAAACGCTGCTCGACACGCTGATAAGGCGCCGCGCAGGCCATTGCGCACCGTGGGAGCACATCCGTATCCGCCCGACGAGGCATTGCGCGCTGCAGCGTGGTGCTCTGGAAAAAAGTTCCAACGCGCTGACGGTCGGCGGAGTGGGAGCTGCAGCAGCGCTTAGCCACATCGGACATGGGGCCTCTGTTCAACGCGAGTGCCCATCGGGTGTCGTGGAAATTGTTGTAGAGCGCCGTGTCAACAGGCCGAGCAAGTGCTCAATGCTCATATAGCCAGCGGGCCTGCTGCTCGAGCGGATGCGCTCCTGCTCTGCTCCCCGACTGATCTCTCTTCCTGCCACACGCATCCTCGTCGTCCCTCACTTCTACATCCTCCCATAGAGCAGCGAGCTTCTTTGCTATTGCTGCCACCGCCGCACTCGTCGAGTCGGTGTATAGACGACGCAGACCACTGCACGAATTCGGCCCAATTCACTTTCGGGCAAGCCTCGTTCTCGCTGCAGCTTTCGGCACTAGAACTCGCCTGGGGCCGATTGACGTCGTCACAAAAGCAGGGACGATTTCTCCATCCGAACGGTTGAGCTAGACAGAACACTTCTCAAACACAAGAGCACCTCTCGCCCCTGCTCTTTCATTGATCTCGCCACTGGACGTTACCGCGTCAGCGTTTCGGGCTTCAGCAACTGCCAACTCCCCGGCGACAGGCGTTTCTTGGGGCACTCGGGCATAGACTCTGCGGGAAAGCTCAGTTTGCCGCACTTTTCTCCAGCACCAATAATACAATCCCCAGTCCCGACAACACACCTCGAGGGACGACTGCGAACATGGCTGACGCAGTGGGCGGAGCCGCCAAGGTGAACGGCCACAGCAATGGCTTTCCCAGCGCCTACGCCGCCAAATACAACTTGGCTTCACATTTTATCGGCGGAAACGCACTGCCCACAGCACCGCCGAGCAAAGTCAAGGACTTTGTGGCAGCACACGACGGTCACACTGTCATCACCAATGTAAGTTTCCGGTAGAATGTTGGAGTTTGGAGCTGAGAGACTCGAGCTCGGCTTTTGCCTGCAGCGGAGCACACGAACTGACCACCTCCGCAGGTCCTGATTGCGAACAACGGTATTGCAGCTGTCAAGGAAATTCGATCTGTACGAAAATGGGCATACGAGACATTCGGCGACGAGCGGGCCATCCAGTTCACTGTGATGGCCACGCCCGAGGATTTGGCTGCCAATGCCGACTACATCAGAATGGCGGACCAGTACGTGGAAGTGCCCGGTGGCACGAACAACAACAACTACGCCAACGTGGAGCTCATTGTCGATGTTGCCGAGCGTATGAACGTACAAGCTGTGTGGGCAGGATGGTGAGTGGGAGCTGACTACAACAAGTCCTCCAGAAGATGCTAACAATCTGTAGGGGACACGCATCCGAGAACCCAAAGCTCCCCGAGTCCCTCGCCGCGTCGCCGAAGAAGATCGTATTCATCGGCCCTCCAGGATCTGCCATGCGCTCGCTCGGTGACAAAATCTCCTCGACTATAGTCGCACAACATGCGGGAGTGCCTTGCATTCCGTGGTCCGGTACGGGTGTTTCGGACGTCGAGGTGGATGATAACAACATTGTCACCGTGAAAGATGATACCTACATGAAGGGCTGCGTCACATCATGGCAAGAAGGTCTGGAGGCCGCGCGCAAGATCGGCTTCCCCGTCATGGTGAAGGCCTCGGAAGGAGGTGGTGGTAAGGGTATCCGAAAGGTCGACGACGAGACCAACTTCGAATCGCTATACAAGGCCGCTGCCAGCGAGATTCCCGGCTCACCCATCTTCGTCATGAAGTTGGCTGGCAACGCCAGACATTTGGAGGTGCAACTGATGGCTGATCAGTATGGCAACAACATTTCAATCTTCGGACGTGATTGTTCCGTTCAGCGACGACACCAGAAGATTATCGAAGAGGCTCCTGTCACCATTGCCAGCCAGAAGACCTTCCAGAAGATGGCAGATGCAGCTGTGTCGCTCGGTCGTCTCGTGGGATACGTGTCTGCGGGTACAGTGGAATACCTGTACTCGCATGCGGACGACAAGTTCTACTTCCTGGAGCTGAACCCACGTCTCCAAGTCGAGCATCCTACCACCGAGATGGTTTCTGGAGTCAACATTCCCGCCGCACAGCTCATGATCGCCATGGGTATCCCTCTTCACCGCATCCGTGACATTCGCTTGCTCTACGGTGCGGATCCTCACACGCAGACACAGATTGACTTCAACTTTGAGAAGGCCGACAGCGAGGGCAAGCAGAGACGACCACAGCCAAAGGGCCACTGCACAGCTTGCCGTATCACATCCGAAGATCCTGGCGAGGGCTTCAAGCCATCTTCCGGTACCATGCACGAACTGAACTTCCGATCCAGTTCAAACGTCTGGGGATACTTCTCCGTCGGTGCCGCATCCGCAATTCACAACTTCTCCGATTCGCAGTTCGGTCACATCTTCGCTTATGGCGAGAGCCGACAAGCGTCGCGAAAGCACATGGTCGTGGCGTTGAAAGAGCTGAGTATTCGTGGTGACTTCAGGACAACAGTCGAGTACCTCGTGAAGCTGCTGGAGACTCCAGCTTTCGAGGAGAACACCATCACTACAGGGTGGCTCGACGAGCTCATCAGCAAGAAGTTGACTGCCGAGCGACCTGATCCTATGGTTGCAGTCATCTGTGGCTCTGTGACCAAGGCTCACATTGCGAGTGAAGCTTGCCTCGACGAGTACAAGAAGGGTTTGGACAAGGGTCAGACGCCAAGCAAGGAGATCTTGCGAACTGTTTTCCCCATCGAATTCATCTACGAGGGATCGAAGTACAAGTTCACCGCAACACGCTCGAGCAAGGACACCTACACTCTCTTTATCAACGGCAGCAAGGTCTCTGTCGGCATCCGAGCGCTGTCCGATGGCGGTCTCCTCGTACTGCTGGGCGGTCGCTCGCACAACGTCTACTGGAAGGAGGAGGTCGGCGCTGTTCGCATGTCTGTGGACGGCAAGACCTGCCTCCTCGAACAGGAGAATGACCCGACACAGCTTAGAACGCCATCCCCGGGAAAGCTCGTCAAGTACACAATCGAGAATGGAGAGCACATCAAGAAGGGCCAAGCCTTTGCCGAAGTTGAGGTTATGAAGATGTACATGCCACTCATTGCACAGGAGGACGGTATTGTCAATCTCATCAAGCAGCCGGGCGCCACCTTGGCAGCCGGTGATATCCTTGGTGTTCTCCAGCTTGACGACCCAACCAAGGTCAAGAGCGCGCAACCATTCTTGGGTCAACTTCCAGATGTCGGACCCCCAGTTGTGCTCGGGAACAAGCCACCGCAGCGATACGTGTACTTGCGCCAGATTGTCGAGTCCATCCTGCAGGGCTTCGATAACTCCGTGGTCATGAAGTCGACGCTCAACGAGCTTATCTCTGTTCTTCGCAACCCAGAGCTTCCATATGGCGAATGGACTGCGCAGGCTTCTGCCCTGCACTCCCGCATGCCACAAAAGCTGGACGCTGCTTTCGAGGACCTTGTCAAGCGTGCTCATGCGCGTCAATCGGAGTTCCCTGCGAAGCAGCTTAGCAAGACTCTCGAACGCTTCCTGGCTGAAATGTCTGCTGGTGATGCGGAGCTCCTCCGCGGCCAGGTTTCACCTTTGACGGACATTCTCAAGAACTACACAGACGGTCTGAAGGTGCACGAGTTCCAGGTCATCAGCGAGCTTCTCCAGCAGTACTACGATATCGAGAGCATTTTCTCAGCTCGACAAAACCGCGATGAGGAAGTCATCCTTCAGCTCCGTGATGCAAACAAGGACAAGACGGCCGACGTTGTCCTTACCGTGCTGTCACACACTCGATACAACGCCAAGAACTCGCTGCTTATTGAGCTTCTCCAGAGGTATCGACCAAATCAGCCAGGCGTCGGCAATGTTGCCAAGTATCTGCGTCCAGCGCTGCAGAAGCTTGCTGAGCTTGAGGGACGAGCCACTGCTAAGGTCGCACTAAAGGCTCGTGAGCTCTTGATCCAGTGTGCCATGCCATCTCTCGAAGAGCGCACACAGCAGATGGAGCACATTCTACGTTCTGCCGTGCTCGAATCTCGTTACGGCGAGAGCGGATGGGACCACCGGGAGCCAAACTTCGAGGTCATCAAGGAGGTTGTCGATTCGAAGTACACTGTCTTTGATGTGCTTCCGCAATTCTTCGGCCACCAGGATCCTTGGGTGTCGTTGGCAGCACTCGAAGTCTACACGCGACGTGCGTACCGTGCATACCAGCTCAAGACGATCGATTACCTGTCTGAGGGCGATGCGCCATTTGTCCTGGCTTGGGACTTTGCTCTGAGGAAGGTCGGAGAGGCTGAGTTTGGTCTCCCAGTAGAGTCTTCGCACCCATCCACTCCAGGCACACCCGCGGAAGGTTTCGGTCGCGTGCACTCCATCAGTGACATGAGCTACATTGGCCGCCAAGCTGGTGGTGGCGGTGAGCCAAACCGTCGCGGTGCTGTCGTCCCGGTGTCGTTCATTGACGAAGCCGACGAGGCACTGATGAAGGCGCTCGAGGCATTCCCATTAGCAAAGGGAGCAAAGAGCAAGGCTGACCAGGGTGGGCTTATGGCCGATCTCTCCAAGAGACGAGCACCACAAGTCCCACCACCGGAGAATCCCAACGAGGAGCTTACCGCAGTATGCAACGTGGCCGTCCGTGATGCGGAGAGTGTTGATGACAAGGACATCATGTCTCGCCTCCTGCCTATCGTCAAGGAGTACAAGGAGGAGCTTCTTGCTCGTCGTGTGCGCCGCCTGACATTTATCTGTGGTCACAAGGATGGCACCTATCCCGGCTACTACACTTTCCGTGGACCTACCTACGAGGAAGACAGCTCTATTCGTCACATCGAGCCTGCTCTTGCCTTCCAGCTTGAGTTAGGACGTCTTGCGAAGTTCAACATCAAGCCGGTGTTCACTGAGAACCGCAACATCCACATGTACGAGGCCATCGGCAAGGGCGTTGAGACTGACAAGCGGTACTTTACTAGAGCCACTGTCAGGCCTGGCCAATTGCGTGATGAGATGCCAACTGCTGAGTACATGATCTCTGAAGCCGACCGCTTGATGACCGATATTCTGGACGCTATGGAGATCGTGGGCAACAATGGCTCAGACATGAACCACATCTTCATCAACTTCTCTGCTGTCTTCCCGCTCGATCCCAAGGAGGTCGAAGACGCACTTGGAAGCTTCCTTGATCGCTTCGGCAGCCGTGCCTGGAGACTTCGTGTCACCGGTGCTGAGATTCGCCTGGTCTGCACCAACCCACAGACCGGCGCACCATACCCGATGCGCGTCAACATCACCAACACATCTGGTTACATTGTCCAAGTGGAACTCTACGAAGAGCGCAAGTCCGAGAAGACGAACGAGTGGCTCTTCCACTCCATCGGCGGTACCACCAAGATCGGTTCCATGCACTTGCGTCCCGTCAGCACTCCTTACGAGACCAAGGGTGCTCTGCAGCCGAAGCGATATAAGGCTCACATCATGGGCACTCAGTACGTGTACGACTTCCCAGAGCTCTTCCGTCAAGCCATCGAGAACTCCTGGAACGCCATCTCCGCGCAGCACCCATCTATGCGTGACAAGCAGCCAGTGAAGGGCGAGTGCATTGAGTATAGTGAGCTCGTTATGGACGACTCCGATAATCTTGCAGAGGTCAATCGTGAGCCGGGCGCCAACAATATTGGAATGGTTGGCTGGCTCATCACTGCGAAGACTCCTGAGTACCCACGCGGGCGTCGCTTCATCATCATTGCCAACGACATTACGCACAAGATCGGTTCTTTCGGTCCTCAAGAGGATCGATTCTTCCACAAGTGCTCCGAGCTGGCTCGCAAGCTCGGCATTCCACGTCTGTACTTGTCTGCCAACTCTGGTGCTCGCATTGGTATGGCTGAAGAGCTCATCCCACACTTCTCTGTTGCCTGGAAGGATCCAAGCAAGCAAGAGGCCGGTTTCGACTACCTCTACTTGACTCCAGAGAAGAAGGCTCGCTTTGAGGACGGTGCTCTGAAGCACGTCATCACCGAGCAGATTACTGTTGGCAACGAGGTCCGACACAAGATTACCACTATCGTTGGTGCTGAGGATGGCCTTGGTGTCGAGTGTCTGAAGGGCTCTGGTCTCATTGCTGGTGAGACCGCGCGTGCATACGAGGATATCTTCACCTGCACACTCGTCACCTGTCGATCGGTTGGTATTGGTGCCTACCTCGTCCGTCTCGGACAGCGTGCCATTCAGATCGAGGGCCAGCCGATCATCCTTACTGGTGCTCCTGCCATTAACAAGCTCTTGGGTCGCGAAGTCTACACTTCTAACTTGCAGCTTGGTGGCACTCAGATCATGTACAAGAACGGTGTCTCGCACATGACCGCCAGCGATGACTTCGAAGGTGTCTCGAAGATGGTCAAGTGGCTGTCCTTCGTGCCTGAGAAGAAGGGTGCTCCAGTGCCAATCTCACCATCGGCAGATACCTGGGATCGTGAGATCACCTTCTACCCACCACAAAAGGCGCCATACGACGTGCGCCACCTCATCGCAGGACAAGACTCTGATGAGGGCTTCAAGTCTGGTCTGTTCGACAAGGGCTCTTTCGAGGAGGCTCTTGGTGGCTGGGCTCGTACTGTCGTGGTCGGTCGCGCTCGTCTTGGTGGTATTCCAATTGGTGTCATCGGTGTTGAGACTCGCTCAGTTGAGAACGTTTCTCCTGCCGATCCAGCCAACCCAGACTCTATTGAACAGATCACCAACGAAGCTGGTGGTGTCTGGTACCCCAACAGTGCTTTCAAGACTGCTCAGGCCATCCAGGACTTCAACAATGGTGAGCAGCTGCCATTGATGATCCTCGCCAACTGGCGTGGTTTCTCTGGTGGTCAGCGCGACATGTACAACGAGGTCCTCAAGTACGGCTCGTACATCGTTGACGCCCTGGTCAAGTACGAGCAGCCAGTCTTTGTCTACATTCCACCATTCGGCGAGCTTCGTGGTGGTTCGTGGGTCGTCGTCGACCCAACCATCAACCCACAGATGATGGAAATGTACGCTGATGAAGAGGCTCGTGGTGGTGTGCTTGAGCCAGAAGGTATCGTCGGCATCAAGTACCGCAAGGAGCGTCAACTCGAGACCATGGCTCGCCTGGACCCAGAGTACGCTCAGCTTAAGAGCCAGATTGCGGACAAGAGCCTGTCTGCTGAACAGCAGAACGAGATCCGCAAGAAGATGACCGAGCGCGAGGAGAGACTCCTCCCAGTCTATCTGCAGATTTCTCTGCAATATGCCGACTTGCACGACCGTGCAGGCCGCATGAAGGCCAAGGATACTATCCGCATGCCACTCGTGTGGTCCGAGGCTCGCCGCTTCTTCTACTGGCGTCTGCGCCGCCGTTTGAACGAGGAGCACATCCTCAAGCGCCTTGCGAGCGCGCAAGCTAAGGAGCTGTTCAACCGCGCCAACAGCCTCAAGACTCTCGAGTCTTGGTCCGGCGTGTCCAACTACAGCACCGACGACCAGGCTGTCGCAGTGTGGTTCGAGGAGAACCGCAAGACGGTCGCCGACAAGATCGAGGCGCTGAAGGGCGATGCCATTGCTTACGACGTTGCATCTCTGTTGCGAAGCCACAAGAATGGCGGATTGAAGGGTGTGGCGCAAGTGCTTGGCATGCTGCCTGTTGAGGAGAAGGAGGAGGTCCTCAAATGGCTTTCCAAGTCATAGAGAGAATAGGGATGGAAACGAATGATGATGATCAGGACTCACGTGTTGGCACTTAGATACCCTTCGCGTTTGATGATTGAGAGGCGTTTTTGTTGAGCATGGTGGATCTTAGCGAAGTTCGTTTGCGATGGCTGTGATATAGAGATATTACATTGTACAAGTTCGTTTCTTACCTTAATGCTTGTGCCTCTCTATCTTCTTTGTATTTGATCTCTGATTCTTGTCTCCTCCGGTGGACACGGCCCGCGCCCATGCTCATGGTCGATGCCAAGTCGTCTCGCTCAAAAATTGCCAGATGCGGTTCAAATTCCGTAACGCGGAACGATCATCACCTGAGTCGGCCAAGAATGCCGTACTGGAAATACGACATTTGCAAGCAGTATAGCATTCAGTAAGAAGGTCGTAAAAACATAAATCGATGGCATTGCCAGTGAGCTTTCCACTTCACTCTGAAATTGAGGAGAGATTCGAGATCGCCATTGGACTTTCGGAACTTTTCCACGACCTGAACAGGCTAAACAACGGTGTATGACAGAACTCTTCGCCACAACAAGTACAAGTGAACACCAGCTTCCAGAAGACTGTTAAATCCTGACGAAACCCACTAAGGCTCCAGCGAAGCTTCGATATTTGCCACCATGGCACCCAAACCCACCTATACTTCTGATCAGATACATCAATACTACGACCGTATTCAACTCCCAGCCGAACATCGACATGAGCCAGGCTCAGCAAGCACCGCAATCGCTCAAGGACCCGGAGGACTGGAATATCTCTCTATACTCCAACGATACACATTGGTCAACATCCCATTCGAAAACCTAGCACTCCATTACGCCCGAAACAAAGTCGTCGACATCGATCCTCAAATCCTCTTCGGAAAAGTCGTTTCCAAGAAATCCGGACGAGGAGGCTATTGCATGGAAATGAATTGTCTCTTCTCCGTTATTCTTCGCACCCTAGGCTTCAAATTATACTCCACAAGCGGTCGAGTAAGCTCCGCAGCCTCCCCAGACGCCGACAATGCAGACGACGTACATTTTCTCGGATTCGCTCACCACATCAATATTGTTACCATCCAAGGCGTACGCTACCATGTTGATGTGGCGTTTGGTGGAGGCGGTCCTACGAAACCTTTACCACTTGAGGATGGAAGAGTTCATTCGAATACGAGACCTAGTCAGGAGGTTCGATTACGGTTCGATACCATTGGTGAGAATGAAAGTAATAACAAACTCTGGATCTATGAAATTCGAAGTCGTCCGGAGAAGCCTTGGTTGCCGCAGTATTGTTTTCCGGATGATTTGGAGTTTCATCCGGCGGATTTTGAGTCGATGAATTTTTTTACGAGTACGAGTTCGACTTCGTTTTTTACATGGATGGTTTTTGTTGTGAAGAGGGTTTTGAGTGAGGATGGGAGGGAGATTGTGGGGGAGTCGGTTATGATGGGGAGGAAGATGTATAGGAGGGTTTTAGGGATGAAGAAGGTTGAGGTGGAGTTTAAGACGGAGAGGGAGAGGGTGGAGGCGCTGGAGAAGGAGTTTGGGATTGTGTTGGATGAGCAAGAGAGGCGGGGGATTCTGGGGATGGCTTCGTCGATAGGGTGACGATGAAGCTCGATGTTTCTGAGGCTGTCGGTACTTTTTGCTTGATCCTACAGATGGCAAAATAGGCCGGTAGACTTTCAATTAGCAAGGCAAGATTTACGGCAATGGGCACGGGCTGAGACTTGCTAGCGGTGCATACTTCGTGTAGACTCGACTATGGACTCGACTTACTACGAGACAAGCTTTCTTCGTATTGGAGATACTGCTCAACTGAAGAGCTAGGTCTCTGGTTGTTGTTCCAAAATTGACTCATCGCCTTCAGTCGAAGGACCTCGAGATTCTTCGGAGGTTCTGTCTGGGAAGTCGCCGATGCTCTCCTCTCACGCTTAGTATATCGCCCAAGCTTGCTCCACGGTGCCAATAGCAACACGATCAACGGTGCCGACGCAAGCCACCCCGCTGCAGCGAACGCCATGTAGAGCCAGTTGCCGGAAGTTGTAAACCCTATCGTTTCGTAGTCGACCACAAATATAAGGACAGAGATTGCAGCCACGGCGGCTTGCAGCGCCCAGACCATAGCATGAAAGAGCTTTGAGCTGTACAGAAATGCCTTCAACTGGATCCGCTGAGGCGCCTGTGATGTGCGCGGGGGTGTCTGATATGTTGCCATGAATTGCAGGAAATATTTTTGGGAGTCGCCAACCGTTGTGCCCTCTGCTTGATACATATCCAAGCAAGCGCTGTAAGGATCTGGGTACAACGGCTCATCGTCTCTTGCTTTCAGCCAGATGTGCTCCGAGATAGATCCAAGAGGTTGGATGAGGAGGATCAGAGGCATCAATTGCCCAAATCCGATCTTGTTCTCTTGTTGGGCTAAATCTGGATTTATATCTTGCACCAGTTCACGTGGTATGATGATTTGCATGCATCCGAAGATGAGGCCCAAGAGGCTCACCCAGAGGGCTGCGTTGAACGATCCCAAAGTTTCGAGTACAGTGACAACAGGCAAGTACAGGGCCAGTCCAATTCTGAAAGCAAAGAGGCGTCTCCGTCCCCCTAATCTGTTGTAGCTCCGAGCCATTCCAACCAGAATCGCCTCGAAGAAACAGTCGATGGGATTGCGGAAATAATTGGCAAATGTGCTTCTCACTGGCATGAAGATGCCTCCCAACTTCCAAAGGTAGCTGATGAAGAGCACCACAAACGCCCAAACAGAGTCCGGATTCACTCCATCGCCATAAGTGGTGCCCCAGAAACATATCGCCGGCACGCCGAAGGCCGTCAGTGGCAGCTCAGGGTATGGAATCGGACCCGGGACTGGGGGTCTGACACTTATCACAGCCCAACTGTTGCTCACGGTGGGGACCAATGCCACAAGCAGCATAGCCAGAAGCGTCAACATTCCTATGAGTCTCCATGCCAGGACTCCGCGATGGTGGTAGAGCCATGGTCGTAGAATGGTCAAGGCAGATAGGTGAACAGAACTCGACATCCAAGCCAGATATATGACGATCTGGAAGTGGTAAACACTGATAGTGCCATTCCGCAGACCATAAAATCCAGCTCCGAGAATGGCGATTCCAGTGACGATTTGCTGGTCGCTGAGTGTGAGTATTGCTTTTCTCAGCGCGACATGTGCTCTTGGAAATCGTGCGGCTCGGGAGGGAATCTTGAGGACGAATCTGTCGACCGGACGCAAGAGGCCATCATCGACAAGGCCGGTGAAGTATGCAAACAGCACGGCACCAAGAGTCAGACAGGCCGAAAGGAGAAAAGCGACCAGGATTCCTGTCCCAGCAATGTCTGTGTCTGCGCTCGTTGCCACTCCAGTTCTGATCAGCGCGGAACAGTTTGCTGGACGCGCCATGGTCTTCTGGTTACAGTCGCCAGTCTGTGCTTGCCGGTGTGCTTATTTTCGCATGAAAGGCCTGTGGCGGAATCGAGTCATGCTGTATCCGTCTACGCCGCCGCGCCGCGCTTCATGCTCGATCTGCTTGCTGGTCATCGGTTGTGTGGTGCCATGTTTGCGCGCTCGGGAGATCGAGAAAGATCTCAGGCCGGTGTTGAGCTGTCTGTGTTAGTAACAAGGTTCGGCGGTCTTAAGGTTCGGCGAATATAGATCTATTCAGGGGTCTGGCTCGTGGCGCGGATGGCAGCTGTGCAGCACTAGCAGCGGCATTGTTCCGAGATGGTCTATGCTCGCAGGAAAGCAGTACTCTGTATGCTTGAGCGAAAAGTGAATGGACAGGTGGTGATTGATGTTTGTACAAGGTAGATCTACAGCTAGCTAACATTGCTCTACTTCAACTCTGTCAGCTCTTCGTCTAGCATCGCCTTGAAACTGAAAGGCTCAAACGCGACACCCTCGCCGATGAAGTGCTTGCTCATGGCCTCGACCCAATGCAAGCGGAGCGAATGCAACATGGCACTCGTTCCCTCCATGACAACCAACACTGCAATTGTGAGGGCAAACCAGAAGACAAAGGCAACAAAGATGACCATGATGCCGACTGCGCCTGTAAACCCGAATGCATTCTTGAGAGTCATGGTCCACAGCACGATGGACAGCTGCTGATGTGCCAGTGACAAGGCCCAGAGACGAAGATAGGAAGCTGTGTGAGAAACGCAGTTCAGGCAGAACTCGATGGTGTGGATGACCTGATGAATCATGACTTCGCTGAATTCAAATTCTTCATGATCTTCACCGTGGCCGATGTCCTGAGTGATGACTGCACCATCGAGGTCGCTCTCTGCGAAGCTGGGACGACCGGCGTCTCCGTTTGCGTGGCCAGACTCATCTTCGTCGTCCAAAGCACTGATGGTGGTAGTCTCCCCAATGCCACGGTAGCCTTGAGCGCGTGCCTTGTTGTGCTCCCATCTGAGGTAGAAGGGCTTCAAGAACAACATTATCGGCACCATGGCCACAGCAAGAAGAACCAAGACAATCTGCACTCCTCCTTGTCCAGAGTACAGGGGCTCTTCAACTTTGCCCGGTGACAAGAACATGTAGATGAGCATGTTCAACAAGTTAGGTGGTTGTTGGCCGATGGCGTACCAATCTGTTGCCCACTTCCAGATGATTGTCAGGACGAGGTACCCGAAAATGCCTTGGAAGAAAACCATGCCAGGAATGAAGTTGCCCCAGATGTCGATAGGAGTCTTAAAATGCCGTGCGTTGATGTATGAAAGGCACAGAGAGTAGGTCATGTGGGCCCAACCCATGATGATGGACAGCTTCATCTTGTAGCTGTTGCTGAACAGCAGGTCGTTGTCGGTGTCATGCCATCTCCAATCCATGCCGAACGGATATGTGTAGCCTTCCACGCGATGCGCTCTCACGGTTCCTCCTTTCGTGGAGTTGTAGTTGTCCGGGAAGTCCCATTCCCACATACTTTTGAATAATGGAATTTCCTTGGAGAAAGCATCGCAGTAGATCAATCCGGTATACATAGAAAATATGCCCATCATGAGCATGATATAACGACCGTAGAAAGCCATGCCGAAAAGCTCGTCTTGCTTGCCACGCTGCAGTGGTTTCTCGAAGTAGATCATGGCGGCGGCGGCAAGAGTCATGATGGCTCCGTGTCCAAAATCACCAAACATGACGGCGAACAGGAACGGGAAGGTAACAATGGTCGGCAGGCCTGGGTTGACCTCAGTGTACTTTGCGGTACCATAGGCATCGATAATCGTTTGGAATCCGAGGGTGAACTTGTTTGTCTTGTTGTAAGTTGGCGGTGTCTTCGAAGTCTTGATCTGGTTGACGATGGTCGGCACGGTGAGGCCGGCGCGATCGTTAACATCTTGCAGTGTTGACTTGATCAGTCCGAGATTGCAAGTTGGCGCCCATGCTTCTGCGACCAAAGTCTTGCGTGCCGGGTCGTAGGAAAAGGTGTTCAGCGTCTGGTAGACGCTCTTTTCTTTCTTGATCACAATCATCCATGCAGCGAGAGAGCGTCCGATTTGGGTGATCTCGGCATCCAGAGTCCTTTTGGTGTTTCCAAGAACATTACTCAAATCCTGCAGTCGGCTGTTCACCTCGTGGATCTGGTCACGGCGCAATTCGCTGTTCTCGTCCACATTGTAAATGTCCGCGCCCAAGCTCTCCGAGATTTTCCTGATCTTCGCAATGATTTCCTTTCCATGCGCGAATATGACAAAGACATTCTTGTGCACCTCCTCATTCTTCTCTGGGTCGAGAATAGCGTCTGGGATTTCGGACTGGTTCATATAAAGATTGCCACGCAGCGTGCGCCAAAGGATACGTTCAAAGGCACCCATCCGCTCGCGAGGGATGACTCCAGCAACGAAGCCAATGTTCATCACACTGAAGCTCTGTTGTCCACCTTCGGCATTTCCGTTGGCGTTCTCAACATCCCGCAGAAGTGGCGCATCGTCTGACGAGTCGATAGACTGGCGGATCTCCTCAGTCTGGCCACGGGCACGATCAAAGAAGCCGCCAGCCTCTCGCAGTACCCATCGCCACTCTGTGAGCTCGGTCTCGCGCTTTTTCAAGGTCTCGTAGCTCTCGTTCAAGCTCTGAATGCGCTGTTCCAAGCTCTGGCTGCGGTCTGCCAGCTCGTCGATCTCCGAGGCAGAGGGTGCAGCAAAGGTGTTGCTGAATTCGTAGATGGAACGCATCTCAATGCTGTTCTTCTCGATCTGCGAGCGGAAGTAGTTGAGCTGGCGTTCGACATTGTCCAGTCGGCGAATCTCCTGTGTAAAGGTACGCTGGAAGGCAGTTGTTTCGGGGTTCAACTGCTCATAGTCAGTAGGTGAGTTTGTCATGCATTCTTCACTCTCGTACATCGCGGAACTGCATCACGCCCAGCTCTCCGAGAGCAGAGACAACCTCGCGCCCGATCTCGTTGGCCACGTAGAGCTGCGTCAGGGTCATCTCCTGCGACCGGAAGAGGGATTCCTTCTTGCCCGCCATGGCTGCTGATCTCCTCCGTGGGCTGCGGACGAGACGATGGGATGAGGTGGATGGGAGATGGTGGTGGTGTTGAGGCGACGTGCAAGCAGGCTAGGTGTAGCCTGGCGGATGATGCGTTTCATGCCGTGCACGTGATCTGACTTTGATGCCTCAGGCTGTTTGCCCTGCTCCTTGTACCAAAACTTCCCACGACCCTGCCATTCGCTGTTCACTCATCAACCATCGCACTCCATGCCCTGTATGATGCGACGAAATGATAATGCTAACACGCATGCTTATCGTCGACCTCGACCGCTGGGGTAGCGACTTCCTGAAGCGGTAAATCGGTGCACAACTCCGTGCACGAGGTCAAGTCTTTCGGAGGGCAGTACCGACGGCATCGACAGCATCGTCTCTCACGTGCAGCTTCACAAAGCGGAGGATCAGACCAGACGATGCATATCGCAGAATGTGCGGAGCGAGTCGCTTGAATTGACACGACGCGGGTGGCAGCACTCCGCATTGCACAACAGAAGTGGCCAGGCAACACCACATTGAGCCGGCACAATTCAGCCACGAGCGAGACATCATAGAATGTGCGACTCAGTCGAATATGTCGCGAATCAGACGCGTTGGTTAACGTACTTAGCGGCCACTCCGGATAGCTCGCAGCATGGATGGCAAGCATTCGTTATTACACTTGCACGCGTTGCGCGCACTCGTTCGCCGCAGCTGCATCAGGTGGGGTGTCTGAGTCCAGCTCTGCCTCGGCGCCCTGATACGAGCATCCTTCAAACATAAAACCCAACTTGTGCACGCACACTAGACGATGTGAGCAGCTTCTTCGATTTGAATCTATTCCTTCTGATTGTCAAGTCAATCACCCAGTTGTGCACCCCATTCTCTCCCTTTTCGCCCTCAACGCCCAGCCCAGGACAGCGAGGACGCCCCACATACTACTAGCACATGGTCTTGGACCGAATAAGATCGATACTGCGGCATTTAAATCCTTCCACCATGGCAACAGCAGAAGTGCTAGACAAAGTTGACATTCTTGGCCCCCAGCCGAATCAAGTGTATGTCTCAACGTTGCTGTGATTTGGAATGTGCTTATTGACCTGTGTGTAGTAATCTTCAAGCAGACTTTGACAAAGTCGAGCCAGCTCCTCCGCCCTTCGATCCGGTTGCTTTGAAAGAAAAGTACATAGCGGAACGCGACAAACGCCTTCAACACGGTGGCGGTATCGATCAATACCGTCTTATTGAAGAGAAAGGCCAGTTCTCAGACTACCTCAAGGACCCATGGAGTCAGCCCTTCGAACGAGATCCAATCACTGAGGTCGACGACGTGGTGATCATAGGCGGAGGGTATGGCGCACAGCTTGTTGCAGTGCGCTTGATCGAAGCAGGTGTCTCTAACATTCGTCTCATCGAAAAAGCTGGCGATTTTGGAGGCACTTGGTACTGGAATCGTAAGCACTCCTCATAACCTGGGGAATTTTGTAAGATTACTAACGTAGCGGCAGGGTATCCTGGAGCACAATGCGACATTGAATCGTACATCTACATGCCGCTCCTCGAAGAGCTCGGCTATATGCCAACAGAAAAGTACGCTCGAGCTAAAGAACTTCTCAAACATTCTGAGATGATCGGCCGGAAGTACGGGCTATACGAACGCACACTTTTCCAAACAGAAGTACATGAACTACACTGGAACGAGGACTCGGCAACATGGTCAGTCAAGACAAGCCGTGGTGATGACATCCGAGCGCGTTTTGTTATTCCTGCTGCAGGCCCACTGCACCGTCCCAAGTTGCCTGGCGTGAAGGGCATCGAAGACTACAAAGGTCATAGCTTCCATTCTTCTCGTTGGGATTACAACTACACAGGTGGTGATAATTCTGGAGACCTGCACAAGCTCGGCGACAAGCGAGTTGCAGTAATTGGCACAGGCGCTACAGCAGTTCAAATTGTGCCCAATGTGGCCAAATATGCCAAGGAGCTTTATGTCTTCCAGCGCACTCCTTCTTCGATCGATGTCCGAGGCAACCGCCCAACAGACCCAAATTGGGCCGCTAGTCTGAAGCCCGGCTGGCAGAAGGAGCGTATGGACAACTTCAACATCATCGTCAACGGCGGTGTGGTGGAAGAAGATCACGTTCAAGATGGATGGACTGACATCCTACACAAACTTCTCGCAAGACGAGCTGCGGACATCACGGACCCGGAGAAAGCAGCGGCAGAGCGTCAACTGGCCGACTTCGAGAAGATGAACGAGGTGCGAGCGCGTGCAGACTCGGTGGTGACGAACAAGGAGACCGCCGAAAGCCTGAAACCCTGGTACAATCAGCTTTGCAAACGCCCATGCTTCCATGATGAATATCTACAAGCATTTAACCAGGACAACGTTCACCTGATCGACACCAAGGGCCTGGGAATTGAGCGCATCACGGAGAAGGGTATCGTGGCCAATGGTAAAGAAGTCGAGATTGACTGCATCATCTACGCTACAGGGTTCGAACTGGCCACAGACTGGAGTCACAGGACCAACATGGAGATCTATGGCCGAGACGGTCAAACAATCACAGACTGCTGGTCTACTGGCGCATCAACCCTTCACGGTTGGACGACCCGAGGATTCCCAAATTGCTTCTTCGTATCAATTGTACAAGCTGCTCTAACTCCGAACTTCGTCCATGTCACTGGAGAGCAGGCGACACACCTCGCGTACGTAGTTTCAGAAGCTATGAAGAAGAACGCTCGAACAGTGGAGCCGACACGCGAGGCCGAGGATCAGTGGGTTGCGACTATTGAGAAGCTTGCACTTCTGAGAGCAAGTTTCTTGCAGGAATGCACGCCCGGCTACTACAACAACGAGGGCACACCAAGCAAAACAGGGGCTCGCAATGCAAGTTACGGTGGTGGCTCACCGGCATTTCTGAAGATTTTGGAAGATTGGCGAGCCGATGGCAAGATGGAAGGTCTCGATCTGAAGTATTTCGAAGACAAGTCTGCATGATGAATGCGCTTTATACAGCATCTGAAGTGAATTCTTATTCCATATCGAACATACAATCTCCCCAGTGGTTGACTTCCATTCAATTGGCCATCATCAACTTGTAACGTTCTCGCCCCTTTCTCCATTCTTGCGATCTCCCCTCCACCTGCTGCCCATTCGCCGCAGCTTGACAATAAGTCCCGACCCCGTTAGGAGCCCTTTGCCTGTCAGCCACTATTCGTGCAAGCAGCCCTCTTGCTGGAATTCGCCCCACTGGCCAGAAATCTAAACACTGTGAAATAAGTCGCAACAGTTTCGGCGAGTATCTTGCTCTGGCCGTCCGATCCGGGGCATAGTAGCTTGCGCGCCCACCCATGTATTGCTTTTGATCACCTATAGGAGTTTCATTAACAAATTCCAGCATCACCAAGCCCATGGCCCACACGTTCGTGTGCGATAGGATTTTCTCGGGTTGGACTTGACCAAGTGGTCCGCGGCCTTTGATGTTTATTTTCTGCTCAGGGGCCAAGAAAGGTGGTGTACCGGTGTGTTGCATGGTATGTGGATTCGTGTCGTCGTATTGAGAAGTCTCGATTGCGAGTCCAAAGTCTGCTAATTTTGCTTCCGGGTATGCTGGGAAATAGTTCGGATTGGGAAGATCGAGGAATATGTTTTCTGGTTTGATATCGCGATGTACGATCTGTTTCTCATTGGGATCGCCATACGAATCTTCCATTGCTACGCATTGTTGAGCGAGTTTTTCGAATATGTACCAGAGTATGGGCTCTGGCACTGGATCTGACCATTCGAATTGGTTCTGTAGGTCCATGAGGTCGCCGAAGGGACAGTATGAAATCTTGTACTCGCATACGAAGGGTTTCCAGCTACATTGACGAATTCGGACGAAGCTGCCTTGATCTTTTTCCCAACACTTGTTCTGTAGCCAAAACTCATTTGGTACGGGAATGCCATCGTCGTTCTGTATCCAATGTCTCTTGTTGTTGTATTTTTCAGGTTCTTCCACATCACGCTTGAGAACGTATCGGTCCACCAGGCGTCCGGCTTGATTGTATGCTACCCATAGAGACAGTTTATTCCCCTTGTTTGGTGCAATGTTTATTGCTTGTGTCCAGATCTTCCCCTCGTCTGCCTCGACGAAGAGGGAGGTGGTCTTTTTTACGCTAGAGGGCGCCATGCGAGCGACAAATTCCGGACTGCCGCAGTAGTCCTTGAGCCTTTGCAAGCGCGGATTCCAAAGCTCGAGATAGTCGTTATATGTTGCGAGATCATCCCAGAGGCGTTTGAAGATGTGGTCCAACTTGTATTTGACGTATCCATACGTAAGCTCGGAGAAAATTCGACTGACTGTCTGCAAGCAAAACATATAGCTCTCTTGCACCCGCATGTAAGCCTGAAGCTCGTTGACTTGCTCGTCGTGTAGGGCGACAACAGGCCAAGTCAGCATGTTTGGCCATTTCCCATCCTCCCAGTCTCCATCTTCTTCCATATTCAATAAGATTGAATCAGCATCTAGAGTATAGGCCAAGGCGTCTTCCGCCTGCTTGGCCAACTCTGCGAAGCGGGTGCGGTCTTCTGGAGTGATTGACTGCTCCCATCGTTGCTCTGCTTCGTGCCTATAGGAATGCAGGTTGTGTCCATCGACAGTTTCTAGCGCCCACTTAAGGTGTTCTCGGAACGCATCGAATTCTGCGTGTTGCGACATGGCTATGGCCTAGGGCAATGTCGTATTCGTGAACTTGTGATATTGTGCACATATTCGAGTACCGCGAGTTCATCGAAACAGGGATCTATCAGTTCAAAGGCTTTGTTCTTTGTGATGTCCAGATCCGGCCGGGTACATTCATAAGCACAAAAGCGTAACCAAGAACGACAATTCGTGCAAGAATGAAAGGAATTGAATGAATACTGTTTCCCGTATCGATTCTTGCCAAGAATTGAAACACATCTCCGCAATCGACTGTTTAACTACGAATCGGTGGCCCTGCCTGAAGCATGCAGTACGAAGTGCAAGACAAATCGGCAAGACAGCGGACATGATCAACCTTCCACGAGGTGAGATCAACTCCGCGAAACTGTCAGTCCCTGCAGAAAGTCGTTGGCAGCGTCCTCATCTTCAGTTGTAGTGAGTGAGGTCACTTGAATGTGGGCAGCCTCATCGGCATCCGAGTCCGTTGCTGGAAAGCTTTCCTGGGCAGCTTCTACAGCACGCGCTTGTTCCGGGAAGAACGTATCGCACGCCACAGTATCGAGATATTGCTTGCATCGAACAATCTTCTTCCCATCCTCAGTGAATTCGATCATCCAGATGACTTCCATCACAACTTTCTCGAATGGAGCACCCAAGAGCTGTTCGGCATTCTCAAGTTCCAGCTGATACCACAGCCAAGCTTTGCGCTTTTTGGGGTCGATGACACTGTCCAAGAGGCGTTTGTCGGCTTCGATGGATAGTCTGTCGAGATGAGAGCTGAAGTAGTGCGTATAGGTCGGGTTGTCCAGCTCTCCAATCGGAATATCGTGCGGTATCTCGTCTTGCAAGGGTGCATAGGTTGCTTCGAATTCAGCTGCCAGATATTGATCGCGGGTCTCGTTCCCGACAGAGGCGACGAAGCCCAGAGCCGTCTCTTCGATGGTTGCGTAAAGTTCTTGCATTTTCAGCTCCGTCAGGGTATAGGTGTCTCAATTCCTGCGGCTTTGCCTCGATGCACTCTGTTTGTTGAAGACACTTGAACATTTTGATTCGTGCAACTTATTGACAGCTTATTGACAGCTTCTTGCGGTTTTGGCTTTGTGCTCATCCCCATTCTGGGGGTTGAGCATCATGCTGTGAAATTAGCCACGCGTCAAAGGCATTGCCCGCGACGATCCTAGCCATGAGCTATCGTACGGTGCCAGATGGTCGGCGTGCGGAAGCGCGTTGTGAGATGATGACGTGTAAAGATCGCGTTTGCTATGGCACGTGCGAAGGTGGGAAGTGGAGCTGATGTGGGTCTATACCACACGCGCTAGGCAGGGGACCTACGATCCTCCATCACATGCCGACGCAACATAATCACCTACACCTTCGCGCACCGCACACACCCATATCATCACCAAAACGCACATCCAAACATCACACACCACACTCAGAGCTACAGTGACAGCCCACCATGCCTGCAGGAGGTACAGTGTATCAGCTTCGCGTACGCGACAGACACGCCGACTGACGTGCTGCAGAACCGCCGCCAGGCACACCACTTGCGCCAAGTGTCGAGAAAGCCTACTACCGCAAATGCATTCAGTTGAAACGCCGCCTCAACGAAGTCGAATCTGCGAACGATGACCTCAAAATCAGACGAATGCGACTAGACCGATCCATCATGAAGATGCGCCTAGAGAGAGCATTCTTGCTAGACGAGCTTCGAAAGCGCGCAGAACCGAACATTGACGGCAGCGATGGTAGTGGTGATGAGGGGATGCAGACTCCGCCTCCAGACAGGCCATATCGTGACAAGAGACGGCGACAACAATCGAGCTCACATGGGCAAGGTGCGGCGGCACCATCAAACACGTTCCAACACGTGCAGTACGCACCGCCAGGTGCCGGTATGTCAACTGAACCCCAATCGTCTGCGCCAACGCCTTTAGTGCAAGGGCCCAATGGACAATTGGTCCATGCTAACGCAATGTTGGAAGATGGACGATTCGCATACGTAGACCCCGCTCCTGCACGCACGCTGCCCAGTCAAGGCTCCGCGCCTGCCCTTCCCCACGGCTCCCCATATGGGCCACCCCCTACTGGCATACCTAGTGGCACTAGCCAGGCGAACGGCGAGGCAGGAGGAGAGACAGCGGAGGGAGTGAAGGACGCACAAGAGAACGGAGATAGATCCGCAGAAGTTGAGGCTACCCGTGGAGGAGGTGGCTTCTCTGCCATCAACTCATAGCCTCGGACAAGAGCACGGACGATGGAGTCAGAGGGATGTACTTTTATTGGGGTCATGGTACCCGCAGCATTGGGACGGCGCACAGGTCATGTCGCCATAGTGCACGCGGGTGGATATCATTTCACGATGACCAGCATTCGGAAGGGACAGGCTGGTGGTGTGGTGTCTCTACGAAAGAGATCTGAGCATCACCATGTACTGGCAATGCGCACCACAGCCGCCACTTTCAATGCTTCACTTTTCGCGGATATTGCGAACATCGGAACGGCTGGCAAGCATTACAGATTGGCGGGACCGATATTTCAGCGTCTCGATGCACATTGCAGAACGGAACAGGTCTGTTGTCAATGCTGCAGATACATCGGCGTGCCTACATAAAGCGAGCTCGTGAACGAGTCTGTTCTCGAGTCTGATGCTAGGAGGCAGCCACTGAGGCAGGCGGCGAAACAGGCTTGGAGCACAAAGTCGATGCAGTAAGCATTCACATAGTCACGAAGACGCTCGGTACGCAAGAATCATTGCTCCCGTACTGGCTCATCTCGTATCAAGACACCGACACTGTACCTTCTGAGATTGTACTCTTCGTGCATCCAAATCACTGTTTTAAAGCAGATGGGTCGAACTCTCCCACTGCGTCTCATGTAAATGATCGATCGCTGTGAGCCATACTTGCGCTTTACCAGAGCCAAACCAGTTCGATCCAACTCAGTTGCGTAGAGGGCGCAGCACCGTCATCTTGCCCTTGCTTGAAAGCGACTAGTTAGCCTGCTGCTGGCAAACTTGTTCAGTTCAAGCCAAGATTGGACCGAAGCAAGGCAAGGGTTGGTGGGCAATGCTTGCGTTGTCGTTCGGCCAGCTGAACGCAAGTTTACTCAATGACGGCGCGTGCAGTGACAGCACACAATGTCGATATGCCGGGTGAAGACGGCCAGGCAAGGTCAGGTCGGAGGTACGCACCGCGCCGAGACCCAGTCTCGGGCCAGCAGTGGAGAGAGCCATCAGCTACCCAGCCTCACCACGAACATGCCTGCATCAACCTTCAACATGTCATAGTCATAGATTGCTCACTTGAGAGCCGGTAGTACCCCATTTCACAATTTTCGAGCTTCTTCACATTTCACTCCCTATTCTCATTTGTCTATTGGACAGTGCGATATGCTTTCGTAACTGACTCGGCATGAACCGACGTGTAGTCACTCTGCATACTCACTAGCTTGGATCCTGCATTGGGCTGGACAGTTCTGCATTGGCTTGTCCTCTTGGGCTAGAAAGTACTTGTAATCCATACAGACCGCCATCCGCGCGAACAGGCATTCTTCCGAAATAGACGCCCAAGGCGTAGCATTGCCGACCCACGATGGCAAGATCACCAGCTTGGTCATAGTCTGTCAAGCACTGGAACGATGAACGATTCTGGCATCTTGCGCTCAGCCAGTGGCTCCTTTCACGTTAGTTCTCGGCCGCCCTCGCGAGCATGGAGCGATTCTACCGAGCGACCAGAGTCATCGCATTCAACGGTGGTGGGAGGACCGAGGAGTATCAGTCAAGAGATTGAGCACATAAAGAGGTTGATTACGCGTGCCGAAAGCAACCGACAGCAGATATCTGGTAGCATAACCGCTGTGGTATTCAGGAACAAGAAACAGGAGCCTGTGGTGAAGGAGCACATATTCCACGAGCTCGATGCTCTGAAGAGGAGAATTAAGTATGAACAGCAACAAGCTGCAGAGAAGGCGAAGGAACAGGAGCATGCGCTGGTCAGGAGGGCGAGCCAGATTGATCCTGGGACTGAGAGTGAGAGTGAGGTTGAAAGCGTGCTCGACGAGCGCGACGAAGAGCTAGAGAAGGCGAATGAAGCCCTGGAGATCCAAAGGGAGAGGTTCGAAAGCCTTCTGGAGAACGCTGAAGAGCGCGTGGATCTGTTGACAGGGCAAAGAGACGCCTTGCATTTGGAGAAAGCGCATTTGGAAGAGACCTTTCAAAGAGACAAGGACCGACTGGAGCGTTTACTCAATGACGAGCGAAACAGACTACAGACGGAAAAAGCGAAATTGGAGCAGGAGCTGAAACAAGAGAGAGACAACCGCGACCATGTCTTGCAGAGCGCAGAAGAGCGATTGGATCGCTTGACTGAGGAGAAGGAGATTGCGAAGGCTCGAACAAATCATCTTGTAGAGGAGCGGGATCTTTTGAAATCCGAGCTAGAGAAACTGGCCACTGAGACGGGCAAACTGGAAGCTGATGTTGTTCGCGAGAAGGAGAGGCTCAAGGGTGAGCTTGGAGATACGAAAGCGCAGCTAACACGAGCGACGAAGGAGAAGACTTCGCTCAACAACGAGCTGGAAGCAACTCGGAAATGGGTTGAAGAGCTGAATGCAAAGATTGAGGATGGTGCGCGCTCTTTGCAGGAGAAGTCAAAGGCCTTTGACGATCTCCGAACCGAGAAGCGAAGCACAGATGTTGCGCACAAGTCTGCTCAGGAGGAGATCTTACGACTGCACGCACTCAAGTCGGATGTCGAGGCTTCACTTCGGGACACTAGCGCGAAGCTATCAAAGCTGGAACGCGAGAACAAAGACGCTGCTGCATACCTGGAGAAGTTCACTGCTGAGCGTAGTGACGCTGAGAAGGCTTTGCAGGAGAAGCTCCAAGACGCCCACGGTCGCTGCAACAGTCTGACTGCTGAATTGGCCCAACGAGAAAAGCTGAACATGGACCTAGAACAGAAACTGAGCGCAGTCGAGACCAAGCACGAAACGGCCACAAAACATGCTGTCGACCTTGGTCTCAAGTACAAAGAGGCCACGAAGACCGCTGACGAGCTCAGAGCCACGCATGAGGTGGAACTCGAGCGCGTCCGTAACGAAGGGGCTGCCAGACTCAAGGAAAGTGAAGATCAGCACGCTTACGAGAGTGCAGAGCTCAAGGATGAGTATTCGAATCAAATGGATCAGCTTCGCAAAGAACATGCCCAGAACCTCCTCACTAGCCTGCGCACCGAACGCGAATCAGCGCAGAAAGAAGCTCAGGTGGAGCTGAAAGGTGCCAGAGCTGCTCACGCCGAACAGCTTAGAACCAAAAGCGCTGGGTTGGACGAGGTCAAGAATAGCTTAGAAGAACTACGCAAGAAACGTGATGATTCGCTGGAGGAGGCATCGTCCTTGCGTAATGCGCTCGAAGTCTTACAGCAGCAAAAAGGCGAGATCGAACAAGCCAGTCGGAAACGTCTCACTGATACCGAGGCCTCGCATGCTGAGACGATGCAGCAAGAAAGGACGAGGACCCAGCAACAAATTTCTGAATTGCAACGACAACTGCAAGAGAAACAGACAGCTCACGAGCAGACTTTGATCTCGATCAAATCTGAACATGAGGCCGAAGTACGACAGCTGGTGGCGAAGCATACTGAGGCAACTAGTGCTGCTTCGACCGCAGCGGAACAGAAAGTATCAAAGCTCGAGGAAGACCACCAGAGGACAATAGCAAGTCTAAAAGACGTGCACGTAGCCGCACTCGAGTGCAAGACCACGGAGCATGGCAAGGCGCTGGCGGACTTAGTCGCTGAACACGAGCAGGACCGACAGGAAGCACGGGCCAGGCACGAGGAGGCAGAAGCAAAATTGCGGGGAAAACTCGAGGAGGCAACGTCTCACTCGACAGGTACTGCTGCGACCCATGAAGGAGCCCTGGCGGAACTACGCGCGGAATACAGCAAAGAACTTCAGGCCCTGAGAGCTCAGCATCACGCTCAACAGCAAGCTAAGGAGAGAGACGTGAACGATCTGAAGGAAGAGCTTGCTCGCGCTCACGAAGAAGCCCTGGCGAAAGCGCGTGCGGAGCATGGCGATGAACTGACCAGGCTTGAGGCCCAGCACCATGCACATCAGCACGCTAAGGACAAGATCGTGCGCGATCTGGAGGAAGATCTTAGCCGGCTGAGGTCCGAGCACTTGTCGGCCATCAATGCAAGTCGTGAGCACGGCGAGGGCGTGAAACGTGACCTGGTTGCCGAACACGAGAAATTGACACAACAGATTCGTGATGCCCACGCTGAAGAACTGCAGCAGGCTCGACTCAAATGGGCTGCCGAAATCGAGGATCTCCAAACAAAGAGTGCAACGGAGAAGGACCAATTGCGCCAAGAAGTCGAAGACGCATTGTCGCGCGTAGGCAAGGCACAAGCAGCCCATGATGCTCTCCTCGAGGACTTGAAAACCAAGCACAGCGCTGAACTGGAAGCTATCAACGCTAGTCTGAGTGATGAGGCCGCCCGGCATCAGCAGACAGTCGCTGCCCACGATGCAAAACTAGTTCAACTTCAGGCGGAGCACAGTGAAGCGATTGGGACGATCAAGTCTGAACATTCCGCGCACATCGATGCCATCAAGACCGCGACGCAGGAATCTGTGGAACGTGACCACAAAGCTGCGATTACAAAGCTTACTCAGGAACACGAGGAAGAATTGGCTAGACTGCATGAACGATCAAACAAATCGGACCGTGATCGCGAAATGGACCATCATGCCGAGCTGGCAGAGACGCGTCAAAAAGGCGAGTCACAATTGGAGGACCTTCGTAGTGAGCACAGTCAGGCGCAGGCAGCTGCAGAGTCCATGCACAGAGAGGCTCTTCACCAATTGCAAACTGGACATGATCAGCAGCTCAAGATACTGGCCAGCCAGCATCAACAACGATTGGACGATCTGCGTTTAACCCTTACAGAACGACAGAGTAAGCGTGAGCAGGAATTTGAGGCGAGCAAGAAGGCTGCGGCAGACGACATCGAGAGGATGCGTCACGACAACATGAAAGCACTGGCGATTGCGAGAGCTGAAGGCGGATCAACACTCGAGGCAAGATTGGCAGAAGCAGCAGCAAAGGCCCAAGTTGAAATCACGACGATGAAATTCGAGCACGACAAAGCACTTTCAGAGGCACAGCACGAGCTTGAACGACTTCGGAGTGAGCACGAACAAGCGCTTGCGAGTGTCAGACTTGCACTTGAGGGAGAACTCGATGCTACGAGAAATATGCACCGCAAGTCTGTTGATGAACTGCAGGCGACGCTCAAGGTGCAGCTTGATGAAGCAAAGACCAGCCACACCAGAGCTATTGCAGAGCACGACAGCACGTGGGCCAACAAATTGAAGGAACTGCAGGCTGAACACGCACAGTCTTTGACGGAGCTGCTTTCCAACAACGATGCATCCGCTGCTTCAAAGCTTAAGGAGTTAGACCAACTACATGCCGACGCAATATCAAAAGCAATCGCTGACGCTCGCCGTGAGGCTGACGAGCAGGCTGCAGCTGCTGAGGAGCAACACAAGACCGCTCTTGAAACTGCAGTCCAAAAGGCGCGGTCTGGCAGTCAGGCTGAAGTCCGGAATCTCAAAAAGCGTCACCAAGACGCAATGTCACATATTCGTCAAGCAGCTGAGAAGGCGTCAGGAACACAGCTTCAGGAGTTGGAGCGTGTTCACCGTAAGGATCTGGAGCTGGCGTTGAACGAGGCGAAGGAAGCCGCTGAACGCGACCGTAATTCACTTCTCGCCTCGCACGAAGATGCTCTGACACAGGAGCGCGCTCGCACCTTGGAAGCTCAGCGAACAGAAATGGCACGCCTCACGGAGCAACATCGTGCTAGTTTCGCCGATTTTGAAGCACGTACGCGTCTGCAGCGAGAGACTGAGGGAGCGTCTCGAGAAGCAGCATACAAAGCTGAAGTCGAGGCTTTGCAGGCCAGACTTGATGCTACCATGACTGGCCAGGCTGAGGCCGAGCGATCTCTTGCTGCTCTCCGTCAACAGCTCGTGACTGCTGATAAGCGCATTGCAGACGCCAAATCTGGCAACGAGGCACAGATCGCAGCTCTTGTCAGCGAGAAGGACGATCTGACTACGCAACTAGAGCAGGTCCAGTCATCGCTGCGTGAATTGCAGCGTAAGCACTCTGGGGGGTCTGCCACGCCTCGAGCGTCAGTCGCGATTCGCGAAGAAGTTGCGGAATTGGTTGCACAAGTCAACACGCTTGAAGAAGAACGTTCGACCATGCAAGCAATGCTCAAGAAAAGGCAGGAGGAAAAGAACGAAGTTTCACGGCAGAATGAATTTCTGGTCAAGGAGCTGGAGATGCTCCTGCAACAACGTTCTAGGCCGAGAGAAAGTTCACGAAGCTCTTCAAACGCCTTGGTGCAGACTGAGGACATGCCCGTCGAGCCCAAAGCAGACATGGCTTCATTCACGCCGATCAAAGCCGCACGCCGCAACACGAGCTCGTCAAGGCCCATGACACCTTTAAGTCCAGGCGTCAGACAAGCTCGCGCGGACGTTGAGGCAGCATGGCAATCGCGTTCTTTCGAAGACTATCTCGATAATGCCCGAGCAGAGTTGTCGGAGCTTGGCAGTGTGATCAGCGCCAACGAGGCCTTGTTCGCACGTAAGATCGATGAGCATGTTAGTGGACTTCAACGAGCCAAAGACGAACTGCAGGCAGATTACAACGCCAAAGTCGCAGCTCTCGCGAAGGACAAGGACACAATGGAGCAAATCATCAGCTCCGAACAGCACGCTCAGTTCGTGAAAGACCGCAAGAAACTTATTGCGAAATACGGCGCAGACTTTCAAGACCCGGCCGAACGCTCGGCAATGCTGACCAGCCTGCCTATGGATACTGCTGTCGCGCTTCGTACAGCTGAACAAAAGCTGGTCGACGATTACAACAAACGCATCACAAAACGCAAATCTCAAATAGCTCTGAAGCACGCTGAGGAGTTCCAGAACATCACGCGAGACTACGATCGGCGCGTTTCCGTACTCTTGAATACTAGGTCACGGCTGGAAGGAGATCTTTCTATGGATCCATCGAAATTCGAAGCTGCATACGGAGACATCACGAACAAGTCCGAACAGCTGTTTGCCGAGCGTAAGAGCAATATTGGCGCGCCACGTGCAGCCAGAAAGAGCGACGATGTGCCAATCCTCAGTGGTCATGCGAGCATGCAAAGTCAGAGTTCGCCCCATCTGCCGTTCAAAGATTTGGAAGTCGACCGGGCGAGGCCAAGAACGCGTGAACGCACGAGTAGTCCTCGTACCGAGCAATCTCTCCCTCGATCGAGTTCAAGGCCACGAGAATTCTTCCCTGGCAGTAGGGATTCTCCAGAAGCGACTTCACAGCCGATGAAAGCTCGACGCGGCTCGAACAAGCACCCTCCCGTGCCTCAACATTTCCTGATGCGCACCAAGGAGGCCGCTGACTTCTTCGCTCCGCCAAGAGTTGTCTCGGACGCCTCTCCCGAACCAAACATTCCGCGCACCCCACGAGGCAGACCTCAGAGCAGAGCCGATTCCAGGATCAACCACTCGCTGGGCTATGAGCCTTCCGTGGCAGAATCACAACAAGCTGCATACGCTGACCGAAGGATCGTTTCCCTTCAAGAAAAGTCTCCTAGCATCTTACGCAAGATCAAGGACAAGATCTCGCCAGTGAGCTCTAGACCAAGCAGCTCGTCTGGCAGACCCTCCTCTTCATCTGGGAATACTCCGTCAAAGTCAAACTCGAAGTCTTGGAAGCCTCATATACACAAACGTTCCAAAAGCAGACATTTGTCGAGTGGGATGATATACTACAACGACCCTGCGAAACATCCTCCACCGACCACATATCACTCCTGATTCTGTTTTGTTTTGTTAACATAGCGCGGCGTCGATGGGAAAATCTGGATGAAAATGTGTTCATGTCTGGACGATACTGATTTTTCACTTTTATTGAGTCTACGGCATGAATGGCATTTATGGGCAGACATTTTTATAGCTTCGAGTTTCCTCTGTAACAATGGGTCAGTTCGAGCTCAAAGCTACTTTCCATAGCAGATGAACGACACCACATACTTACGGCAGCACTGCAATACATTCAATCTCCACATCCGTGCCCAGTGGAAGCTGTTTCGCTGCCACACATGTTCGGCAAGGCTTGTTCTCGCCCCAATATTGCTTGTAAACCTGGAGACTACATCAAAATTCGCTTATCACGTAGACTGACGGCTGATCACTAACCTCATTCATGGCGGAGAAGTTCGCCATGTCATCGAGGAAGACATTGACTTTCACCACGTTCTCGATATTCGTCCCTGCGGCTTCCAAAACTGCTGTCAAATTCTTGATACACTGGTGGGTACGGTCTGCCACAGAGCCTTCGATAAGCTTGCCGGTGGCTGGGTCCACGGCTACTGAACCAGAGCAGTAGACTGTGCCATTGGCGACGATTGCTTGGCTCAGGACGCCAGGAAGTGGCGGGGGAGCGTTTTCGGTGAGGATGACTTTCTTGTTTGCGGACATGGTGAGGCTTGATACGATCAGGTCTTGGATGAGGTTACAATATGGCTGGAAGCAAATCTCGAGCTATATACATGTAGCTTGCCCGTGTATCGTGTAGGGCGTGCAGCTGGCCGGCCGAAAAAGGCCCGCTTGGCCAGAGGTTGCGGAGGGCTGCTGAGCTGCAAAGCTGGCAAGCTTGGCGTCGTTCTTGCTCCTCTTTGCTATTCATCAACACATCGAACAACGGGGAAGTGGTATCGCTTCACAGAGCCCTCTCGTCAGAAGTCATGCATTGGTGTTGGCCTGAGTTGATGCCTGGCGGGTGTACTGTTGCCCGTCCAATCAGCCGCGATGGCAACAACCTGGTCGGCAGTTTCAGTCAGCACCTGGACAGATTCCAAGTAAAGCAACATTGACTGATCAAGAACCTTACCATCCCTAGCGCCAAGGACGATCACGAATGTTCACGGCCGCGTGGATGGCGGGATGTTCGTAAGTCTTTCACCAAGGTGGATGCCAGCCGCAGCAGCGACGACCTCCATTGCGCCCCAATCTAGACTGAAAAGCTCCATGACTCCCGGCGGCGATATCAACCACCTTCCGCCAAGAGGCCCGTCGGACTACACTCACTTTCTCGAGCTCTCACAAAAAAGTCCACGGTTTGGGCGCGTACTGGTTTGATAGTGATGAGTATGCAATAGCATAACGAAACTTACTACTGCGGTATCGTTCGACAGCATACACGACCATGATCGGTGCAAAGCATGGCTTCGTCTCTTTATACCTTCGGCCATACCGACTTCCGCAGAAGAGCCTTTTGGACAAGAGCATGTGCACGAACGTCGATGGTCGAATGACAGCGATCGTTCGCGGCGGCGTGGTGCTCTAAGAAATGACCCCCTGCCTGCGCCAATTCCGGGCGAAGCATATCCCTTGTACGGAGAGCACGGTAACCAGGTTATGTCAGATCGTCCCTACAAGCAGAAGATTAAATACGTGTTTCGAAACCGACAGAAGCCGTTCTTCCTGCACGTCAGAGGAGGCTGTGTTCTGCTATTCTACTATACATTTACAAAGCACAAACTCAAAACTTTCGCTCAAACTCTTCGTCTTACTTACGGTATACCACGACCAGGCCAGAACAGCAATCTCGCGCACGAACCACAGCAACAATGCGTTCCGCCTCTGCAACTCTCCTGGCGGTGGCCAGCACTTTCTTCGCTGGCGCCAACGCCTGCTTGTACTTCAATGCCACCCTCACAGACACCAAGCTCTCTGTCTACAGCTGGGACGACGCCAACAACAACAACGCTACCAACCCAGAAGATATCATCTGCCAAGGACAGAACCTCGACCAAGAGAGCGACGGATACTGGAGTGTTCCTTGCGCTCGCGCCGACAACGCCACAAGCGACACTGTCTTCGACGTCTTCCTCAACAAGGACAACACTCGCTTCCTGGACGTCATCTACAAGTACTCGAACCCAGAAGCTGCGGGCCTTCAGCAAGGCTCTGGAGACCCGAACCCAGACGAGTTCTACTTCAACTTCCGTGTTGGCAGCGTAGATGGAAAGTTCTTCAAGTCTCGGGAGTTCTGCGCGCAATATGATCTGTTCAGACTGCTCAAGCCGGAGGCCCTCAAGAACCCTTGCGACTCCCTGGACTCATGTTAAGAAGCTTTATTCGAGGAGCAGAGTGAAGGCGAGCGAAGTTAATGATGAGGAGGCGAGAAATCTCGGGAGAACTGCTCTGAACTCAGCACATTTCACGCATCAGAATGCACAAAATCAAGCATGATTCGCTCCTTTGCACTTTGTATTGACAAGATTAGATTCTGTACAGCATAGTACTCATTATACGACCCAAGAAACATGTTCTCAAGTCGTGGCTGCCGTTACTGTCATGAAGCTATCCCCCACCGACCCAATCTATCCCAGTTTTGATTACCCAGACCGAAGACGCCTTTAAATCATCCGCAAACTCACAACTTAGCCGTGGTACTTCCCATCATCGAAGCCAGTACCAGCGCCCTCATGTTTTCCTGGCGCCCACTTGCCATCGTCGAAACCAGTACCAGCTCCCTCATATTTTCCTGGAGCCCAAGAACCGTCGTCGTTGCGCTTAGAAGGGTACTTGACCTCGTACCATTTACCATCGTCGTAGGGAGTTCCTGCACCTTCGTACTTTCCTGGAGCCCAAGAGCCATCATCGTTGCGCTTGGCAGGGTATTTTCCTTCGTACCATTTGCCATCGTCGTATGGAATACCTTCACCCTCGTACTTCCCTGGTGCCCAGGAGCCGTCGTCATTACGCTTGGAGGGGTACTTGCCCGGGTACCATTTTCCGTCATCGTATGGAGTTCCAGCGCCTTCATATTTACCCGGCGCCCACGAACCATCATCGTTTCGCTTTGAAGGGTACTTGCCCGGATACCATTTGCCATCATCATACGGAGTGCCAGCGCCTTCGTACTTGCCAGGATACCACGAACCATCATCGGCTCGCTTTGGGTGATATTTTCCGTCGTCGAAACCAGTTCCCGCACCTTCGTATTTGCCTGGGTACCATTTTCCATCATCGAAGCCAGTGTTACCGCCTTCATATTTGCCAGGCGACCAGCTGCCATCATCGTTGCGCTTTGATGGGTGATATTTGCCGTCGTCGAAGCCGGTGCCAGGTCCTTTGTACTTGCCAGGAGCCCACTTGCCGTCGTCAAGGCCAGTGTTGCCGCCTTCATATTTGCCTGGGTACCAAGAGCCATCATCGGCAGGCTTTGCTGTAGGGAGAGCGAATGTGGTGGCAGCCGCAAGGGCGAGGAAGGTGAGTGCGTACTGCATCTTGTTGTATATTACTATGATGTTTGAGTTGAGAGAAGCGACAGATTTGACTGTAAGGAAATGGTTGCTGTGTTGTGGATGCTTGTGATAGATGTGTTGATGGAGTCTTCAGATCTTGGAAATTGTCGTTTGCTATATACTGTCAACTTTTCATTTGATTCTGTGCCTCCCAATACCCAGCAAGGCTATGCTCCCACAAGGATAGTGACTTCGCATCCTTCGGCCTTCAGCCATCGACCTATTTCCGCAAAAGGTGGTATAGAGAGGGGTTCGTGCGTGCACAGCTGGCTATCGCCAAGCAGAGAGCTCGTGTCAGCCGAATACTGCGACTGCAACAGAAAGTCTACGTCAAGAGGTGGTGTGATCGTGCTGTAGCTCCACCATGACCATTTTTGGTTGTCAGAATGGTGACACTGCCTCTGCCTGCGGGAAGGAAAGCGGGCGCGCTACTAATTCGCTTATTGTTTGTTTTTCCGCAGCAGGCGTAGTAAGCTGAAGCTGAAGTTGGTGGAGGCGGAGACTACCTCCTCCTAGCGATAGAAGGATCCGCGAATACACTGCCCCACACGCCACATGCAGTTCTCATGTGCGCATGTAAAGATAGATGCGCATGTGCGCCATAAGGCTGAGATGGATCCTGCCGTGCTTATGAACTCGGTGGCTGCAAATGATGTGCTTTTCGTGCTTGTTCTCGCCGCGCTGTGAGATTCTTACGCAAAACCATGTCAGGCCGTCGTGAGGCTTTTGCATCATGGGGTAGCGGAAAGGACCTTGAACTCAGATAGTGCGAATGCTCGATCTAGTCAGGGCGATCATGCAAGCGGTACATGTTGACTTGAGTGCTCCCAAGCAGGTCCACCCTTGCCTCTAATGCACAACTTGATCTACATGATCTGTCTGACACGTGTGCAAAGAAGCTGCCGCTTCCCGTCCGATACGCATGCGAAAGAGACTGGCGGCGTAAGCTAAACAGCTCGGCATATCCGACCGACTTTTATTTGGTGCCACGGATATTTCAGGCGGGCCTACGCCGCTATGCAGGCAGCCTTGCGCAGAGACTGTGCCACGATATCAGAAGCTTCTGGTATTCATGATTTGGCGCCACGTCTTGGCCTCAAGTTCCAGCTGCGGATCAAGAGTGAGGCAAGGCCTTGCAGTCTCTCACGCCGCAAGCAATGACGACAGAATCCTGATCGTTTTTCGGCCAGATGTTGTTCTGATGAGCTCAAGGTAAAGTCTGTCCGGGTCCCGAATCAATGAGCTTTTGCGACTAGCAGGAGCACAGCGGCAGATGCCAGCCAGACATTTGATCGGCAGAGGTACGACCTCTATAACGAATCGCGTTGCAGAAGGTGAGAGGCCAGTGTCGCGATTCGCGTCTTTGTCCAGCATTCTATCAAGCTCATGTGGCCGCTTGCTTTTCCTTTTGCTCCGGCGCCTCATCGATGAAAGTGGGCGGTGCACTCTCGGTCAAGAAACCTGGCATCTCGCTCTCGCCGTACGTCTCTCCGAATTCCACATCTTCCCCGAGAGCCTCTAATTCCGCGTCCAGCTCGGCCTCGTCCACATCCTCCGGCACGTCGTAGCTCCGGCTGATACTCTCCTGAATGTCATTTCCCATATCCATGAGATCTGCCATCTCGTCTTGCAACTTCTCGATCTTGTCAATATTGATCTTGCCATATTGCTTCTTGAGCTCCTTCTGCGTTGTCTTCATCGCATCCACCGTGGCCATGGTATTCTTCAGATTGTCCTGCATCATTCCGGCCTGTTCCATGTTCCAACTCTGCTGTTGCAACTGATCCTTTTGTGACTCGTACATCTTACGTTGCTGGAGAATCTTGATCGCCTTCTGTTTGATCGCGTTCTTGCCGGGGCCATCGCGCATCGTGCTTAGTCGCTTTTGATAGGTGCCGAGTTCAGCGTTCAGTCGGGCCAGTTTGACATCGATAGACTCGATCCGTGTGTCGACCTGGTCCACGTCAGGATATTCTTCGCGAGCAGTACGCAGTGCAGCCTACCTTTCCTATGGCATCGTTGAGAGATGGTTTGGGGGCTGTGTTCTTCGCCCCAAAGAGTCGGTTCATGACGGAGGAGCTGTCAACGGCCTGAATTCGCGCGAGAAATGGGTGAAGATTCGGTCAAGGGGTGATAGAGACGTGTGGGCTGCTTGCGAAGTGATAGTGCTTCAAAGGTGATTGTGCAACAGCAAAGGTGATGCCTGCGACCTCTGAACGCTGCACATGACGATGATCGACGGCCCAAGCTCACTGCAAATGCCGCTCTCGGTGCAGCCCCTCCAGCCCGTCAAATGTCCAATCAAAGCTGCATCAATATCCGACGGCCGTCCCACGATCCGACTCACGCTGCCCGCCTCATCGTCAACATTATTTCTTCGCTGAACTTGGCAGTCATACGCTCGTTACATTCTGTATCGATGCGCTGACGCCCAGACGACCGATAGCATGCCCCCCTCCACGTGCGAGATCTGCAAAGATGCACGCGCACAAATCCTCCGACCGAAGAACCACGCTCGAATCTGTGCGCCCTGCTTCACAGCAATTTTCGAGGCCGAAGTGGCCGAGACCGTCACGTCGTCGAAACTGTTCGTGCCAGGCGAGAAAGTCGCAATCGGTGCTTCTGGTGGCAAGGACAGCACTGTTCTGGCTTCGGTCTTGAAAACGCTCAATGATCGCCACAATTGGCAACTCGATCTCGTGCTTCTTAGTATCGATGAAGGGATTACAGGATACCGAGATCATAGTTTAGAGGCTGTCAAGAGACATGCCCAGCAGTATGATCTTCCGCTCAAGATTGTGAGTTATCAAGAGCTGTATGGCTGGTCGATGGACCAAGTCGTAGCGCAGATTGGAAAGAAGGGCAATTGCACATACTGCGGTGTATTCCGACGACAAGCCCTTGATCGAGGCGCTGCAATGCTAGGCGTGGGTCATGTCGTGACAGGACATAACGCAGATGATGTTGCGGAGACGGTTCTCATGAACCTCCTGCGAGGTGATTTTCCTCGATTGAGTAGAGCCACGAGTATCATTACAAGTACACCCTCTGCGAACGCCACGAAAAGCGAGGATGGAAAGGTGAATTTCACGAACGTCAAGAGGAGTAAGCCGTTGATGTATGCCTACGAAAAGGAGATCGTGCTGTACGCACACCATAAGAAGCTGGATTACTTCAGCACGGAGTGCATATACAGCCCAGAGGCATTTAGGGGCAGTGCAAGAACATTGATCAAGAACTTGGAGAGGATCAGGCCGGAGAGTATACTCGACGTCGTGAGGAGCGGGATCGATATGGCCAAGCTCGTGCCAGACGCGAAGGATAATTGCGGAGGAGCTTGCGGCAATGGGGAGAATGCTGAGGCGAAGGGTGCAGAAGATGAGGCGGATGGGGGCTGTGGATCAGCCAATGGCAAATCGAGCGGCGGAGAGATGGCTGAAATGGAAAAGAAGTTGAGACAAGATGAAGAGGCCGTGGAGAATGGTACAGAAGTGGAGGTCAGGATGCCTGCCAACGGAGACAAGCCTGGTCTACAGACCGTACCAATCCGGACGAAGCAGGAGAAGAAGGGAGCGCGGAAAGGTCGCGATGGCGCACCTCCGAAACAGAAGCTTGGCCAGTGCGAGAGGTGCGGATATCTATCCTCGCAGGCCATTTGCAAAGCTTGTGTGCTGCTCGAAGGGCTGAACAAGGCTCGACCGCGAACGGAAATCGAAGTTTCAGGCGCCGAAGGCTAAAGAGTTAACAAGCAGCGAGAGCGGTTCTCGAACGGTCTTCTGGAAAACTAAGCGCGCCAGAGATCTCAGGTTGAATCGTTGGACTCTGCACTCGCCTGAAAGTCACTCGAATTAGGATGCGAATAAGTCAGCCAAACAACAGCCATGTCACAAGGAACACAATCTGACACCGATTCATGAGGGAGCGGAATGCATTCGAGCTGGGAAAGCGGTGTTCATCTGTTTACAAAGCTACCAAAGCGACGCCTTTTCGAATTACGGAGAAGCATGCCCATGAGTACTGCAGACCACCGCGCTGAACAACGAACCAGCCATGTACCACTTTCCAGCTCACATGTGGACTGCGGGTGTCGCCATGCCGCGATTACCAATGACTGGGGATGACCGATGGTCCTGATAGTGAACTCTCGCGATTACAGGACAAGGTCTCCCACTCCCCCGTTTCCTGCCTCACCACTCTTCATCGTCATCGTTGCGGATGAGCAACGTCAGCTTAGGCTTGACCTCCGAATTCATTCCAGCGTCGTTGGTATCACCTGCATCGGTGTCTCGTGGCACGATCTCCGTGTCTTGCGTCGGATCTGACACTTTCTGTGTTGGAGGAACTGCAATGTCCAGTGCTTTGAGCGCACGAATGAAGCGTCCAGCATCTTTGTTGGAAAGTGGTGGAGGAAACGAAAGCTCGGTCGCGAAACCAGCTTCGGTTGGTACGCGTCGGTTGTCCCATGGCCCATCTACCATATGAAGCTCGAAGTTGTGCTGTACCGATGCAGCTTGCGGCAGTCGAAGGTACGCTTTGGTCGTATAGGCAACATTCTCCTCCATATGTACTACCCACGGTAGCACGCGCGACTCCTGCACGTGAGATACCCACGCCTCAAGTCCGAATTGCTTTTTGAGCACGGTCGACAATGCGTCAAAATGTCCTCGACTCGCTTCCGTTGGACTTCCGACCCGTTTATGCCATGACTGAATACGACGTCGGTGCTCGGAGCCCCATGGACACCAATCATCCTCTTCGATCAATCCTGCCACGAAGTCGCGCACATCCTTCGTCACCTTCGTCACCTCTTCGCGCGAGTGGCAGCCGCCTCCGCAAGGGCATTCTTCGAAGTCCTCTTCGAAGTCCTCATGAAGGTCGTTGTATAGCTCCAGGATTGCCGCCTCCGTCAAGTGATCGACTGGCTCGCACAAATTTTGCCAGCAGCGAAAATCTCGTGACCAGTCCGGAATCAGCTCCTCCTGTTTGTCTTTGAAGATGTATTCTTCAATGTGCTGAACGAGCTCCATTGGTAGCTTAGTAACGAATGCTTCTGAGCCGGTGCCGAAGCGGTTGCAGAGATGCAACATCCTGAACGCGGGCTGCAGGCTTGTGTAAGCATCGAGGTGCGGACCGAGCTGCTCGATGTTGACTGGCACCGCCCATGCCACTTCGACGCGGCTGGTTGGCATTGCAGCTGTTGCAATCGCGTGGTAAGTGGGTCTGTGTAGAGAGGATGTCGATGGTGTAGAAGAGCAAGGTTCGAGGACATAAGGCTTGTTTGAAAGCGGGCAGGCAGAAGCGCGTTGAGGTTCGCGACTTCCTTCACATTCACGCGTAGCTATGGCAGTTACGCGTGCAATCTCGAACATGTCCATTCACTTCTACGGCAGGCGCCCCACACCGCCTCCTCAAAGCCCAATAACCGCCTTGGGCCTGTATGGCTCTTCTAGATACTTTGCGTCCTCATCGCTCAGCTGGAACTCCGAGTTCTTGACTGCTTCCTCAATTCTCTCTTTACTGTTGAGGCCGATGATTGGACAATGGCCTTGCTTGATGGACCAAGATGTGGCAATGCAGGTCATAGACACGCCGTGTTTCTTCGCCACCTCCTCAACGCGGTCAATGATCGTCTTGTCCACTTCGTCCTCGGTGTTTCGCACCAGCCTCTTTAAGGCGGCGTCAGTCTTTTCGCGGATCGTGGTACGCTCGCCCCATGGTCTGCACAGTGCTCCTCGAGCGACAGGTGACCAAGGTATTGTGCCGACACCCGTGGCACGACAGTATGGTATCATCTCGCGCTCTTCTTCACGATAGATGAGGTTGTTGTAGTTTTGCATGGAGATGAACTCATGCCAGCCATTTGTCTTTGCGATCCATTGAAGCTCCTGGAACTCCCAGCACCACATCGTGGAAGCACCGATGTACCTAACCCATCCTTTTTCAATCACATCATTAAGAGCCCGCATAATCTCCTTCTTTGGCGTAGCCCGGTCCAGGCGGTGGATCTGAAGTACATCGATGTATGTGCCTAACCGCTTGACACTTGCCTCAACTGCATCGAAGATATGCTTGCGAGATAGGCCGACCAGATTCACGTTCTCGCCATCATTCTCGAGACCAGCAGCGATCGGTGGCTGGGTCCCGTCACCCGTCGATCGCATGAAGCACTTTGAGAGCATGACCACTTTGGGTCGAGGGATGTTGTATTCCTTGAGAGCTTTGCCAACGATCTCCTCGGATACACCATTGCTGTAGACGTCGGCAGTGTCCCAGGTATTGATGCCGCAGTCGTAAGCATGCTTGAGCAGTGGTAGCGACCTGGTTTTCATCAGCTTTGTGTCGTCTGCCGGGAGTTCCTCGATTTACTTCTCCTCGTCTAATACCCATTCTTGCCATTTCGGTGAGCCATAGGACATACAGCCAAGGATTACCTTCGACACCTTGAGGCCGCTGCTTCCTAAATTCTGATACTTGATCCTTGGGAAAGTGGCTTCGCTCGACATTTTGTGTTGCTAGCGTTTGATGCTGAGAGGTCAAGTTCTTCTGTAAACCAGCGAGGAAATGGCCGTGAACCTTCGGTGCTTTAAGTAGATCCAAGCGTGTTTCGGCTTCTGGAGATAAGGGCGAAAATCCGTCACCAATGACGAAATTGTCATGAAGCCTGTGCAACGAAGAAATACTAGGGACTCGCTGTCTCAAGCACTTGCACAGTCCTCAGCATTGACTACACGATGAGGTTCAGGATAGGACGACAGGGCTTTGTCCCCTAATTCCGTTAAGTCCGCATGTTTACTAGCGCCTTCCCGGTGCACTGTGATGGTCTCCACATGGACACAACTTATAGATGCGTCTCGCAAGCCTTCCTCGACATTCAAACCAACAGATCTCTTTCGCAGCTTCCTGCTGCAATCACGGCAATTGTCTGCGATCTGGTGATCGTCACCAACAGAACCTTAGAGTCGTTCACCTACCCCGCGCGTCCGGAAGCCGCAGAGCCCCTCACCGGATGATGCTCCTGACTTGAGAAAACGAACTCGTGAGCTTCGTCTCGGGCCAAAGGTCGAACGGTAGGTCGATTGCTGCACTGATGCGTGACTCGGTCAGCAAGGCAAGCGTATTCTGGTTCATATAGCTCTTCTCTTCCCTTCACACCTCACATTTGCTTTTCTGTGCTCCCGAATACTGTCTCTTTTGCATTTACAAATAGGACGGAAGATCGCCAATATGAAAGCAGCAAGATATTATGGCAAGGAAGACATTCAGATCAAGGACGACATAGATGTGCCGGAATGTGGTGAGGGGCAAGTCAAAGTTGCGCCAGCTTACGTTGGAATCTGTGGCACAGATCTTCATGAATATCTGGGAGGGCCGAAGTAAGTGTATCAATGCACGGATCGAGGCCATCGCGAGCTGACTGAGTCATAGCTTCTCACCTACCTCACCACATCCAGTAACGAAGGAGAGCATACCTATCACGATCGGCCACGAATTCTCAGGCGTCGTCTCCGAAGTTGGCAAGGGTGTTACAAAGGTCAAGGCTGGAGACAAAGTCGCTGTGCAGCCGACGATCTATTGCGGACATTGTGGTGCATGCAAAGTCCAGGCCGAGAATGCTTGTCCCAATGGTGGGTTTGTTGGACTTTCGGGAGGCGGTGGTGGTATGAGTGAGTTTGTGGTCGTCCCACAGGAGGCCATCTTCCCACTCCCATCAAACGTCGACCTTGATATAGGAGCATTGGTGGAGCCTCTCGCAGTCGCGTGGCATGCTGTAGACGCTTCCCCCATTGCAGATATGAAAGAGCCGAATTGTTTGGTCTTTGGAGGAGGTCCAATCGGACTTGCTGTCGTGCAAGTCCTTTTGGCAAGAGGAGCGAAGACAGTGATTTGTGCCGAAGTTGCAAAGAAGAGACAGGACTTTGCGAAAGAGTTTGGAGCACATCATGTCTTGGATCCGACGAAGGTGGATATCGAGAGCACTTGCTTGGAGATCTGTGGAGGCCTGAATGGTCCAGATCTTGTCTTTGATTGTGCCGGAGTGCCCAAGTCCTTGGAAACAGCTTGCAAGGCTGTCAGGTCGCGAGGAACTGTGATCAATGTGGCCATCTGGGAGAAGGAAGTGCCATTCAACCCGAATTGGTTGGTGTTCCGCGAAGCCAACTACAAAGCAGTCCTCGGCTACCAAGCAAAAGATTTCCAGGGCGTAATCGATTCCCTGGGTGAAGGCAAGCTGAAACCGAGCAGTATGATCACCAGCAAGATCTTGATGGACAAGCTGGTCAAGGATGGATACCTGGCCCTCATCAACGAGAAGGATAAGCATGTGAAGATCCTGGTGGACGTCCAAGGCTCGTTGTAGCTACGGGAGGACTTGAAGCGTATCTCTGGTATAGACACGGAAGGCTGCTGCTGTGACACATCTTCCAGCGGTGGTCAGTGAGGAGAGCCTGCGAGCTTGCATCCACATCGTCTGTATATAGGCCTGATTTCATAAGCTTGAGACTGCAACTCTCACTCTGCCGAGCTTTTCTCACTGCATATGTGTTTGTTGCTCCCGTTGTAGCAGTCACCAACGCAGTCGCCAAGGCCGTGACAAGTTCCGAGCACCGGCTGCAGAAACCTTCCTAAGCGCCCTCGCACCTCCTGTGCTCTCCATTGGCGCGCTTCCATGCAGCCGCACTCACGTTGGTACAAGACGATACCAATGAGACGACGAAGATATGCTCCAAGCGTACACTTGTGTGCTATTCTTGCACCCTGGCGGGGATGAGACGAGGCTTGTCCTCCTTGGCCAATGGCATCTGCCATCGACCTCTGGCCGACTATGTTTCTCGACCTCAGATCAGCACTGAATGTGCAGCCACCCTCTTTGTCACGCAATGCTCATGCGCCAAAGGACATAGCCAGATCCGTGCAGTTGTACTGCCTATGCCTACGCGCTCGCCTACTCGCTGAGGCCTCCCGGCACTGCGCGTTTGGTCACCGACTACAGCTCGCTACTGCCGCTAGTTTCAAGATCCACCTGGTATACGCTCGCTCGTGAGCTCGAGCGATGCAGTATGAGTACCCTCCTCCTCCAGGCCCGCCCGGCGGCACTCCAGGTAGCGCTGGACCTTTTCCCAGCCCGCCCGCGTCTTCTGGAGTCGTACCAGGTCGTACACACGGCCAGAGGAGTCCCTATGTGCCATCAATAACCACGCAGTTCTTGGGATCCCAGGGTGGAACTGCGTCTCAGGCCTCGACGCCTGCTTCTGCGAACCACTTATCGCCGCACTTTGCTTATAATACTCCGAGGACACCCAGTGGCCTCAATAATCAAATCCATGGTGGCCTGACTCCTTCAACACCAGGCGCGCCGCCTCGTAGTCCGAGCATGGAGCCTTACAACCCACAGCAATGGAGGAATCGAGGGCAGGTGTCAGGCTCGCAGATGGTCTTTCAGCAGCGCCATGGCGCGATGCCCATGAGCACCACGAACATTACCGGAATGGAAGGTAGGTCGAACCGTGTGCTCATACGAAGTATAGAGCGCGATGAAACGGCATGGAAATGTGGTATGCTGGTGACTTCAGGCGGCGACAAGCTAATACTCTGAATCCCAGCTGCTATGCCATCGCCGCCACCACCGTATTCCCCGTCACCAACCTCTACGCCGGATCATGGCTCGCGTGCTATGATCACTTCACAAGTCGTAGAACCCAACGCCTTTACTGGTTCGCCAATGACAGATCGCGCCCTTTCAAATTCGCCTCAAGTAGCTGCTCAAGCCAGCTTTCCCCCTCCACCATCGCAGCAATCATCGAGGCATCGCGAGCGATCAGCTTCTGGGCTTGGCCAAAGGGCACTCATGAGCCTGCCTGGGTTTAGAGGAAAGCAACCGGCTGTAGACCCCCACCCAGTACAGCAAAACGCGCCGGTTCACGCATCGGCCATTGTCGATGCAAGACCGCCAGCGGCCAGAAGAGCAGCAAGCACAGGTCACGTCTACATGGGTGGCTCAGCTATCGCGTCCTCATCCACCTCTGTTGGTCGTGCATCACCGGACAACCACTGGCAACCCGGAATGGCTCTACCTGGCCCTCCAGCTGGCGCGCCTCCCCCAGGAATGCGTTCACAAAGCTTGAATCGTTCAATTGGGGGTTCCGGGTCTAGCAGTCCAGCACCAGAGCGAGCGTCTGAAGCACCAAGACAAAGACGCGCCATGGCTGCACCAAGTCTCGGCCCTGTACCACCCACACCAGCCGATTGGGTCGACCGTGACGAACGCAGCACTGAGCCTGAGCCGCCTATGCCGCAACAGCACATGTCGGTAGCACCTGAAGTCCAGCCACTGCGCATAGATACTGGAACACAGCGAGAAAACTCGTTGTCTCGCAGGCCAGCTCAGCGCGATACTAGTACTCAGGGCATCAGGGAGCGCAGGTCTCAGAGTCGTGCAGCCCTGGGAGCTGGTGATGAGAATTCCAGGCCTGCGAATCTCATTTTCGCCACGGAAGAGGGTTCTATCAGCAGACGTCGCGGACATATGCGAACAGCGTCAGGTCATGGTGATTCACCTTCAGCCCAAGGGCAGTCCACACGTACGCCACATTCTGCGTCCAAGCTTGCCAGTACTGTCCTCACCCCTCCGTATACACCTGCTGTTGGCAAGCAGCCAGCTGCGTCTTCGAAACACGTAAGACCGTTAGGTAGTGCAGCGAGCGATCGGCCTATCTCTCATCTGTTGCATACACCAAACGAGGAAGGCATGCCTGCACCTCTGAGCCCTGCAAGACCTCCTTCCGCAGGATCGACGAAGGCCCCAATGAAGCTGGACGCATTTGGGTTGCAAGCCATCGACCGACATCGCGCGTTTGTGGAGAAGGAAGCGGCAGCGACCTCTGATGAAGAGCGTCTCGAGCTCTTTGCTTCGTTCATCGTCCACGAATCACGAGTAAGACGGGACCGCTACAGCGCAGCATACAACGCGATGGCCGGCGACATTCTTGATCTGACGAGAGACATGTGGCGTTCTTACAACTCCAAAGGCGGGCGCAGAGCTGTAACCCCAAGCACTTCGATGTCCTCGATCGATCCTAGCCTTCCTGCTTGGGCATCGGATAGCGTACCGAATTCGGCTCATGGCATGCCTAGTTCGGCGTCATCTATGGGAGACTTTACTCCCGCGACTGATGTAGGCTCAGTAGGAGACTTTGGCGAAGGATTCGAGCGCACCGAAGCACGACAATGGGCAGATTCCTTCAAGCCATCTCTGTCACCAATACCTAGCATGGCCGTCAGCACTGCGCCTGATGAGAATGATTCGCGAGGCCGTACCGCTAGCAGGTGGTGGGAAGGCACACAATCTGGTGCTGGCTCGATAGGTCGACCTGACCGGATGGAGAAAACGCGTCGAGAGACAAAGTACATGGGCGTTGACCCAGCAACTCTTCAAGCCAGTGGTGAAGCCACCCCGGAAGCATCGGTTGCCGAGTCCAGCAGACCTGCGTATGGTTATGGGCCAAACGAATATCCACCTGAGAAAGTGGGTTGGCACGAGGCAGAGCTCGAGACGCCAATCCAGACGCCTCACCGCACGCAAGAGCGCAGGATCTCCACGCCTGGCATGCTCGTACTGGACGTTTCTCGACTTGTGACGCTACCGCCTCCATTCCCTCGTCATCATCCAGCTGTCAACAACAATCACCCGCTTCTTCAGGACTTGCGCACGGAGCACCGCGTTCTGTCAGACCACAGCGAGATACAAAAGATCAAGGACAGTTATCTCGATCAAGACTTTGCGCTTACTCGCGAGCAGCAGGAATCAGCAAAGAAGCGACGTGGTAGCCTTCGAGCAGGAATTCAGTCCAAAATTGCCGAAGGGACTATGTCGTTCGCAGATGCGGCAAAACGTGAGGCTGATTTCGATGTAGAAGAAGCTGAGCGTGGCAAGGCCACAGCGCGTTCGAACTTCGAGGTCTTCGAGAACAGCGTGTCGCATCCGCTAAACACATTGCTTACTGACCGACTTCAAAGAGCCAACGACAGCATTCGCCAGCTGCGAGCAGACCTTGAAAGCGGACATCATTCTGCGGATCCCAATCGTGCACTCGAAGAAGGAGATCAGCATCCCGAGCGCCTGGAGAAGCTCACGCTGCTGAAGTGGATGTTTGAGGCGAGAGAGCTGCTGCACAAAGAGATGTTCGATTTGCATGCAATGCGAAGCGACAAATATTCCGAGGTGATCCTCACGCCTTACCGGATTTCGAAAGCCCAGCCAAAAATTGATGAAGCGACGTCGTTTTTCAAGAAGGACAGCGTGGAACGACAGACGGCCTTCGCCAAGGAGTCCTTGAAACGATTCGAAGAACTGCAATCGATCCTCGAGAGCAATGTCTCTAGAGGCGTTGAGGACCAACTCTCGTCGTTTTGGGACATTGCACCTGGCTTGCTCGAGGTCATCCAGCACATTCCGATGCAAATGTCATCATTTGAAGTACAGATTCCACCCCAGGAATATGAAGAGAACCCATCATACCATCAGCACCCATTGCAGTACCTGTTGAGTCTGCTTTGCCACGCGGAGAAGAGCGCGTATCAATTCATCGAGAGTCAAACGAATCTGCTGTGTCTTCTTCACGAGGTACGCACTGGTACAACTAAATCGAGGTTACGCCTACTGGAGATTGAACGCGGCGCAGAAGGATCAAGCGACAGTGATGTACGAGCAGAGTTGCTCCAAGCTAGACGGGAAGCAGAAGACTATCTCACACGAGACTTGAAGGACAAGGTCGGCGAGGTCGAGAGACAGTGGCAAGAAGCCATCGGAGACGTGCTCAAGGAAGTGAAGGAGAGGGTGACGATGTATCTGGAGGACACCGGTGGACTGGACGATGAACTCCACGAGTGATGCTGAGAGTTTCTTGTGAGACGCGTTCAAGCGATTATTCATCATTTGCCGCCATGTACGAGAGAGTTTCAGGCGTGGCTGTCTGAGCACTTTGCGCGGTTACAAGGGGATTTCATTCTATAGTGTGCATATTAACAACGGAATATCTCATCCGCAACAACATTGTCCTACTCCTGGTACCAAGTGGGAGGGCATAGACCCAACCAAGCTTGACAAATGAGGAAGAGCCGCCATGTGACCAGAGAGCAAATCAAAACACTTTCTTGCCCTTGCTGCCGTCTTCGACGCCTTTGGCAATTTTTGCCGCACCATCTTCAACACCGTTTGTGATGCCTTGCAAACCATCGCCAACGGCTTTGGTCCCTGTGGTGTTATTGATTGTGTCGCCAACGCCCCGCCCGAGAGCACCGACCACGCCGCCGACTGTGCATCGGAATCAGTTGGAGGCCGCTGCGGAGGATATGCTCGACTCTACCGCGTACCGGTTCGACTGACACCACCGACAACGGTTCCGACCTGGCGATGAGGGGAGTCAGAACCCTGAGTTCCGCCATGTGGGATGGCTTACCGTGCCGGTCACAGTCGTCACTGCTCCCGTCACTCCGTTGTTGCTGTCGACCATGGTGCGGGTAGTTGCTGTCTTGTTAGCGTTGTTGCTGTCTGTCAATTCGAGGAAGGCAGTTTGCAGCAGACTCGCTTGACCATGACCGAGACTGCATGTTTGTAGATTGCCGAGGACCTGTTTGCTGGTGGCCTCGTGGCCCAGTGACGACAGCGCAACGGGCTTGGGTGGCCTCAGGGTGCGTCGTGTCTCGTGCGGTCCATTATGCTTTCACAAGCGAGACGCGGCCCGCCGGTTGACGCTTCCGGCGCGGTCGCCAAGTGTGGTTTTGGCAGGAACTTTTCTAGGAGACCGAGAATTCGCGGCCACAGCTTCTTCCTCTTCTTCATCCCTCACCCAACTCCAGCACACCTCCCTCCGTGTGCATCTTCGCTGCACTCTTCGCTCGGATATCAGGACCAAAAAAATCAGAAAATCCAGAAAATCCGTCCCGGCTCTCACCCAGTCGGCAAAAACTGTACGCACTCGCACCGCTTGCTTCGACGCTTATCGCTCGCGCGTGCGCGAGGCCACAGCAACAACGAAATTTGGCTGACCGCGAATTCTCTTCTTCAGGACCGCGCTCGTCCAGTCGCTTGACCGCTCCGAGTACATTTACCACGCACTATTCTCCCACCGTCGACTCCCGGCCGAGAACCATCGTACGTCCTCTTCCGCTCGCTTCCATTTTTCTTTGTTGCGCTGGCAATAGAGTCGAGAACAATACTGCTTCCTCCCACCTCTACACCACAACCACGTCCTCGCGCGTCACCGCTCTACATTGCGCATTCTGACCCCGCAGCAGATCGCCAGTCCTGCCCGCCATGTCTGACGTCCAGAACTCGACTTCGCCTGCTGGCCAGGTCGCGAGCCCGCCAGCCGATGCCGCCAACGGCACTCAGGTCAACACCGCAGTGCCTGCCGCCGGCGAGAACGAAGCGACTCCATCCTCCGCCGCGCCAACCGCCAACCCGAACTCCGCCTCGCTCTACGTGGGCGAGCTCGACCCATCAGTCACCGAGGCCATGCTCTTCGAGCTGTTCTCCTCCATCGGTCAGGTCGCCTCCATCCGTGTCTGCCGCGATGCCGTCACCCGCCGCTCACTCGGATATGCCTATGTCAACTACAACAGCGGAGCTGATGGCGAGCGCGCGCTTGAGGAGCTGAACTACACCCTGATCAAGGGCAAGCCATGCCGCATCATGTGGTCCCAGCGCGACCCAGCTCTGCGCAAGACCGGCCACGGCAACATTTTCATCAAGAACTTGGATGCCGCTATCGACAACAAGGCCCTCCACGATACCTTCGCCGCTTTCGGCAACATCCTCTCCTGCAAGGTCGCTCAGGACGAGCAGGGCAACTCGCGCGGCTACGGATTCGTGCACTACGAGACCGCTGAGGCCGCCAACGCTGCGATCAAGAGCGTCAACGGCATGTTGCTGAACGAGAAGAAGGTCTTCGTCGGCCACCACATCCCGAAGAAGGACCGCATGAGCAAGTTCGAGGAGATGAAGGCCAACTTCACCAACATTTACGTCAAGAACATCGACACTGAGACTACCGACGACGAGTTCCGCGAGTTGTTCGAGAAGTACGGCGAGATCACCTCTGCTTCGTTGGCTCGTGACCAAGAGGGCAAGGTCCGCGGTTTCGGTTTCGTGAACTACATCCGTCACGAGGACGCTGCTAAGGCTGTCGAAGAGCTGAACGACAGCGATTTCAAGACCCAGAAGCTGTACGTTGGTCGTGCGCAAAAGAAGCACGAGCGCGAGGAGGAGCTGCGCAAGCAGTACGAGGCTCAGCGCCAGGAGAAGAGCGCCAAGTACATGGGCGTCAACCTGTACGTCAAGAACTTGGCCGATGACATCGATGACGAGGAACTCCGCAAGATCTTCGAGTCGTACGGATCCATCACTTCTGCCAAGGTCATGCGCGACACCACTCCAGCCGACCAGGTCGAGAATGCCGACGAGAAGAAGAAGGAGGAAGGCGAGAGCAGCGAGGAGAAGAAGGACGAGGAGGAGGGTGACAAGAAGGAGGATGGCACCGAGGAGATCACCAAGAAGCTCGACACTGTTACTATTGGTGGCGAGAAGAAGGTGCTTGGCAAGAGCAAGGGCTTCGGCTTCGTCTGCTTCTCCAACCCTGACGAGGCTACCAAGGCTGTCACTGAGCTGAACCAGAAGATGATCCACGGCAAGCCGCTTTATGTGGCTCTGGCGCAGCGTAAGGAGGTCCGCAAGAGCCAGCTTGAGGCTAGTATCCAAGCTCGCAACCAGGTCCGCATGCAGCAACAGGCCACCGCCGGTGGCATTCCACCACAAGCATTCATGCAGCCACAGTTCGTCCTCGGACCAAACGGCCAGCCCATGATGCTCCCAGGCGGCGGTCGTGGCCAGATGCCATTCCCACAGGGCATGCCTCAGCAGGGCGGTCGTGGCGGCTTCCCAGGTATGCCTCAGCAAGGTGGTCGTGGAGGCCCGGGTGCCATTCCACAGATGCCTCAGATGCCATACGGCTTCCCTCCTCAGATGGCTGGTCTTCCGCAAGGCTACGGCAACCCAGCTGCATACGCTCAGCTCATGCAGGCTGCTCAACAGGCTGCTATGGGCGGTCGTGGTCGTGGCGGCCCAATGCCTGGCATGCCAATGATGCCTGGAATGCCCGGTATGCCACCACAGATGCCAGCCGGTCAAGGCTTCGGCCGCGGCGGTCCATCTCAGCGTGGAGGTCCAATGGGCGGCCAGCAAGAGCAGCGCGGCCGTGCTCAAAACCGTGGTCCTGGTGCACCAGGCCTCGACATTGCCACCCTCCAGCAAGCACCACCAGCCCAGCAGAAGCAGATGCTGGGTGAGGCTCTGTACCCCAAGATTCAGGCTCAGCAGCCAGAGCTTGCCGGCAAGATCACCGGTATGCTTCTCGAGATGGACAACGAGGAGCTCCTTGGTCTGACCACCAACGACGACGCTCTCCGCGAGAAGGTCCAGGAGGCTCTCAACGTCTACGATGAGTACCTCAAGACCCACGCCCAGCAGCAAGGCGAGGAGGCAGGCCAGGCCAACGGCGTGGAGAACGCTGAGCCAGCTGGCGAGGAGAAGGCTTAGAAAGGCCACTCTGTCTACCAGGGCAAGCCCATGCAACGCATGGCTCCACCAATGATGGCTATGGCGCGCTGATGGAGGGGAGTGCTTCACTGCACTACTCCTCTTCCTTACGACCCCACTAGAGACGTGGCCACGCTGCCGTGCGCTGCTCTTTCCGATGCCATTACACCGATGCTTTCACGTTGACTGCGCTGCGGTGCAATGGCGTGGTGTTACTGACGATACCCCTTAAGGAGCTCATGATGATATGTATGGCTCTTAGCATCGGAATTTGTACTTGTAGTATTGTACGAGCTGAATGTCATACGATGAAATGTTCACTGTCTTCTTCCTTTTCCATCACGTTCGTGTACTCAGATGGGGTGTGCTCCTTATCAAGCTGCCCTAAACTCATAGCGTGTGTCGCATGGACTTGGACGGCGCGTCCTGAGCACTGCCTCCGTGAAGATATTTTGCAACTAGTTGTCAGGCCAACATTTGCTCATCTATCGAAGAAGAGCCCGGCTCGAGACAGTGGTCAGGACATACGCCAGGCGACAGGGTCATATGGAAAATGTTGTAGATGCACGAAGACTCTAGAAAGCAGCTACTTGAACGATTCCGAAGCACGACAAGTGCAAACTGTGGGTCTCAGACATTCTGTAACCTTCCTTGACCCAGGCCTTCCCAGCAAACGTAGCACCACAGTTATCTAGTTTGGGAAGAAGCCATGTTTGCATTCGATGTCCATGCCTGCTCAGAACCCATCATTTTCACATGCTTGAGACCTTCAGATGTGTTATGAATTTCTACACTGAACATGCTCATTATTCACCTATTTTCTATATATTCACTATTTTTCATGTGCTTTGTGAAATTCTATACCAATCATGCCCGCCATTCACCTGTTCGAGGCATTCACTTTCCTTCTCGAGGATGGTATATTCTCGTGCAGCTGTACCTTCGCTTGACCGACAACATTCCCACTGCTTCGACAAAGTGCTTCGACAACTAAACGATAAGGTAGACCTCGTGCAGTACGGCAACACTCATCATGTCTGGGTCCGAAGTAATTGTCCCGGTTTGGGGGGCCAGCGACGGTGTCCATGTTCTGCCGACGAATCAGTCTCTGCACAGAGATGACAATCATTACCGACACCATCTTGCTATGTTGTGGTTCAAACATGCTGGAGGGACTCGAGAAGATACCACTTTCAAGCTGAACCAGCTGCCCATTGGCTACTCCGGCTGGGAGAGGACTCGACAGTACCCGGACGGAAGACGACACGTTGATCGTTGTAAGTTCTCGAGTCCATGTCCTTTGTGTCGAGGAGGCTTCTAACGGTATCTAGATCTTTATGGCCACCCCTCTGGCAAACGATTCGATTCTTTGCCAAAAGCTTTGACACACTTCCAGCACTGGCTAGAATTTGGCCATAGCAATGGTTGTCCTTGCGTGCTTTGTGGTGGCAGGACATTTACAGCTGCGCCCGAAGTCGAGCAAGAAAACAACGCAGCAGTCATGAATATTGATTTCAGCAAGCTTGACAAGACCACGCCGTACTCGATCCTTGGCCTAGGACTCAATGCCACCAGCGATCAGATCAACCAAGCGTACACGAACAGGTTCCTCTTCGTGGACATCGAATCGGACGACCCAACCTCATACGGTCATCGATCACTGATAGCCCTGTCGCGGGCGAAAGAGATACTTGAGGACGAGCGGCCGATCGGTCGACAGCTTCTCAATAGATGCATACGGTGTGCCAAGGAGGGTCAAGGGAAAGATGAGCCGTGGGAGTTCTTGGGTCTGGCGAGAGACGCATCAGAGGAGCAGATCGAGACCGCATATCAGGCATGCATGGCAAATTGGTCGGAGTACGAGAAACTGGCTCCAATGGTGTTGCACTGCATCGAAGCTGCGAGAGAGGCGATGCTGCGAGCTTTGTCTTGAAGGAAGTCACTCTCCAGGCACCGAGCAATCGAATCTCGCAGAAAACCACCCGACGACGCGTATCCGCTCAAAATTCCCTCCGCATTCGGCATGTCCTCAAGCAATACACAACAGCTGCTTCAGACAGGCTTGGCCACTTTTCGTACCTCTCTGACACCCACCTCCGGATCCTCGAACTCCCTCCACGACACGGGATACATCGCATTACCCCATTCGCTGGTTGCCAACACGACACCAAACTCATTCCTCGCCGTGCTCAAATAGTAACTTCTCTCATCGCCAAGGCTTATGACCACAGCTCGCACAATATCACCAACTCGAAAGCTCTCTGCGACTTTGACTTTGTCAATTTCCGTGGCTCGGATGTCTTGTTGTCTAATCAGCGCTGGGAAAGGATCAGAGGAGACGTTGTGTTCTCCATTGCCGCCGAGGGCAAGAATCGCAACATTCGCTTGTCGAGCATTTGTTCGTGTGATTCTACCAAGAATCACACTTCCGACCTCTGGAAGAAGGGAGCCTGTTGTGCGCCGGACGGACGTCGTTGGTGGTTTTGTTGATTTAGAAGAGTTTACAGGTCCAGCAATCGAAGCGCATAGATCTTGACCGTGAATATGTGTTCCAGTTCCAATGCCATTCTGCTCAGTTGCACCAAGTGCTGTGCCTGGTAGCACTAGATTTGATGCCATGATGTTTTGTTATGTTGATGTCGAGTTTGAATTCTGGACATGAGGTCAAACTTCTGAATCTCCGGCGATAAGCGCTCGGATTTAGCATGCACGACCCAAACCTTAATTCCTACTCTAGATTTCTCAAAAGTCGGACCTCTCTTTCTCTGTACATTACAATCTCACCACACAACGCCACAATGTCCTCATTACGCAACGCAGTTCAGCGACGAAACCATCGCGAGCGCGCACAACCCACCGAGCGAGCAAAATGGGGTCTCCTTGAGAAGCGCAAAGACTACAAATTGCGCGCCGCAGACCACAAGACCAAGACGAAAAAGATCAAAGCATTGCAGAGCAAAGCTGCCGAACGCAACGAGGATGAGTTTTACTTTTCTATGGTGAATAACGCGTCGAAAGGAGGGATTCGGATCAGTAAAAGAGGAGAGGCGAACAATGGAGGCGCAGTGGGAGCGATGGATGTGGATGTCGTGCGGTTGATGAAAACTCAAGACGCAGGATATCTGAGGACACAGCTGCAAAGGACAAGGAATCAGAAGAAGAGGGTACAGGAGGAGCTGGTGCTGGCTGAGACTGGTGTCGCAGCGCAGCCTAGTAATGGACGAATTGTGTTTGGTGATGATGAGGACGAGAATGCGACGGCAAGACCAGTTGGTGGCCAGCAAGTGGACGCGGACGACATAGACATGGATCTGGACGGTTTCGACAGCGACGGAGAAGAGGACGATGCAGTCAGCGAAGCGGAGGAGAAACTCACGCCGGAAGAGAAGAGACTACGGCGGCGGAAGAGACATGCGATAGAAGTCAATCGGAAAAGGCTCGAAGCGCTTGAAGAACAGGAGGAGAAGCTGAGTGCGGCTCTTGATGGTGTAGAGCAACAACGTGCCAAGATGAACGGCACAGCTGGAGGTGTGAACAAGAGCGGCACAAAATTCAAGGTGCGGCAACGCAAGCGATAGAGAAAGATTGTTTTGCTGTCATGAGATACCCAGACACAGTCAATAAAGCGCAACTTCTGCCATGCAGGCTTGAGCTGTCCAAAGAATGGAAATTTACTCAGGTCGCCATCCTCGGGTGCTCGATGATGTCGTTGAGTTTGATCGCGTAGAAGACTACTGAAAACCTATTGCTCATACTGTTGGCCTGATTTACATATGGCGCAAAGGAACTTTGACCATGTCTTCCAGTTACAATTACATTCTAGCGCTCATCCTCGTCGCCGCATCCAATCGATAACACTCGCCATTCATGTACGAGTTCTCAATGCACTGCCGGACAAACATGGCAAACTCCTCAGCCTTACCCAATCTCTTAGGATACTCGGCCTGCCTCTTCAGCGCAGTCTGCACCTTGTCCGGAAGCTGCTTCGACATATTCGTCTCAAACAAGGACGGCGCGATCGAAAGTGCCCGAATTCCATTCCCAGCCAAATCTCTCGCCAAAACCAGCGTCATACTGCGGATCGCTCCCTTCGTAGCAGCATACGACAACTGTCCGACTTGGCCCTCAAAAGCCGAAGACGAAGAGACCATCACAATCACACCCCTCTCACCATCCTGAGCCAAAGGTTCGTTCCTCGCCAAATGCGGAAGCGTCAATCGAATCGTATTCAACACTCCTCGCAGATTGATATCAATCACGAAATCAATCTTGCTCATCTCAATCGGATTCAAGTCCTTATCGAGAAGCTTCCCAGGGAGTCCAACGCCCGCAGCAGGAACCAGTCCTCCGAGAGGTTTACCAGAAGATTTGGCCCAATCTGCTGCGCCGTCGATGGCTGATTTAAGAGAATCCGAATCTGTGACATCCACTTCGAAGAATTTTGCGAGCTTTTGTCCTAGTTTCTGGACGACGGTGTTGCCGGATTCGGGGTTCATGTCGAGGATTGCTACGTTGGCGCCATGTTTTGTCAGGTCTTCTGCGGTGGCGAGACCGAGGCCGGATGCGCCGCCTGTGATGATGAATGTACGGCCTTTGACGTGCATTTTTGGTGATCCTTATTTTCCTCGTGTGGTAGTTTCGGAGAAAGAGGCAGGGTGTGAGAAATGTGCAAGAGCTTCAGTTGAAGTGTATGTCGGTCCAGCCTAGAAATCGTGCCTCGGTATCTCTGAAAGTGGTCTCTGACGACGATCGGCTTCACTTGCTCAGAACGCTCTGCACGTTTGCCTCGTTCTGTTCGTTATCGAATATCCGGAAATCAAATTGATGAAAGGAATAAGTAAACGTAAGACTGAGGTGACGCCTACCTTGCAGATGAAGGAATAGCGACCGACTGGTCGGTAGTTCGCATGTGATCACGGGGCCTCCAAGCCGTCCGCTACGGACCGGCGATTCCATGAGCGGCGTCGGATTGCTATTCATAAAGAAGCGTTGTCATGTGCATACATACTCAAGCTGCAGTGGGTAAGAGAATGACTGCACAAAGTAAACATAGTTGGTTTCATTCGTAAGACTAAATGTACAAATGCTCGCTTGCTTCCTCGCTGTCGCTGTGCCACCTAATGATTCGATCTCAAGAGAGCAGCTGTTCTCGCGCTTCAATGAGAGTTTCGGCATGCCCGTCGCACATATTGATCACACTGGTGATTGCTGAACGTGCGTGGCGGAGCGATCGGCAGCGGCATGCCCTGTAAGCAGCGATACTGCTCACGTGGTCCTAGGCGATAACATCGCTTGACTGAGTCTTTTTGTTCCTTCACCATTTGGATACCATCAATGATTCTTCACCCTTCATACTAGGGTCTCCCAGCACCGCCACCGCCGACAACAGGGGGCGCGCCTAGCCCTCCCTCGCCACCTTCCGGCGCGGGAGGATGTATAGGCCCGAGTCCAATGTCCGGTGTCGTGCCTTTGCCTTCCGGAGACTTCACTGGCGTATTGAATTCGACCTTGATCTTTCCCGTAAGCTTCTCGCCTCGGACTACCCTTTCAATTTCATCTCGATCAAGCGTCTCGTACTCCAGCAATGCCTTGGCTAAACGATCGAGACCTTCTCGGTTTTCCGTCAAAAGCTTGTGGGCACGCTGTCGGCCTTCCTCGACGATGCGCCGCACTTCATGCTCGATCTGCTGTTTCGTCTCGCTTGACAGCTCTGCGTAGTCTTCGGTGAGGTCTACGTTGCCCAGAACCTCGCTCATGCCAGCGCGCATGACCATGTGTTTCGCGATGTTGGTGGCTCCGGTGATGTCGCTCGATGCACCAGTCGTTACATTTTCGGGACCATAGATGATCTCTTCTGCAACCTTCCCTCCCATGGCGACATCGATTCGAGCGAGCAAGTCCTTCTTCGATTCGCTGACCTTGTCCAACTCTGGCAACATGAACGTGACACCAAGAGCATTGCCACGTGGCATGATCGTGGCTTTGTAGAGCGGAACGGCAGCTTGCGTGAGCATACAAACCAGTGCGTGCCCACCCTCGTGGTATGCGGTCATGAGCTTGTCCTTTTCTTGAATAACGGCAGAGCGACGTTCCGCACCCATGAGAATTTTGTCCTTGGCCCAGACAAGATCTGCAATGCTCACCTTAGACTGTTTCAGCTTAGAAGCGCGAACAGCGGCCTGATTCACAACATTCTCAAGTTCAGCGCCAGAAAAGCCAGGACATCCTCTTGCAACTTCGGCCGGATCGACAGATCCGTCAGTCTTGATATTCTTCAAGTGATGCTTGAGGATGGCGATTCGACCACGCACGTCTGGCAGAGGAACAACAACGTTTCGATCGAAGCGTCCAGGGCGAGTAAGGGCCTTATCGAGGGATTGAGGGAAATTGGTTGCGCCAATAATGATCACGCCAGAAGTCTGATCAAATCCATCCAGTTCAGTCAGAAGCTGGTTGAGGGTTTGCTTAGCGTAAGCGGCATCACGCTCATGACGCTTACTGCCTATCGCATCAAGCTCATCGATGAAGATGATGGCAGGGCTTTTTGACCGAGCGGCAGTGAAGAGGTCACGAACACGCTTAGCACCAACACCGACGTAGACCTCATCGAATTCGGATCCAGACATGTAGAAGAAGGGAACTTGAGCCTCCCCTGCCACAGCGCGAGCCAGGAGCGTCTTTCCGGTACCGGGGGGACCAACGAGTAAAACACCCTTTGGCAGTTTACCACCGAGGGTAGCGAATGATTCGGGGGCCTTCAAGAATTCGACCAGCTCTTGCAGCTCTTCCTTTGCCTCTTCACAGCCATGAACATCGTCGAAACGAGTCTTCTGTAGCTCTGGCTTAGCTTGCGTGTCCCTTGCTCCGCCAACTTTCTTGAGTACACCCGTCGCTTCGACAACGAGCGTGAAGAAGACCAGAGAGCAGTACGCGACGAACCCGAAGACCAGCAAGAACTTGACCCATTTGAAGATCTGGCTGCCGAGGCTTTCGTCTACGACGACATAGAGCGGCTCAGCTCGTCCTCCAGATCCTTTCATCGAGAGTGAAGCATTTCCTCCCTTGAACTTCGCAGACACAGCCTGTCCAACCGCCTGCAATTGTTCACTGCTTGTAGTGCCATTCTGTCCATTTGCCGAATGCGCGCCGAACGCGCCCGCAACACCGCCTTGTCCAACCGAAGCTGCGCCCAATGTTTGCAATGCCTTGTTGTACGCGACTTCTGTTGCTGCATTCGAAGCATATCTTCCAGTATTATGACGTTCGACGAGGATTTCTGGCATGTTGGCACGGAGAAGAGCCTGATAGAAAGCATTCTGAGCAGCAGCGGAATTGGGTTGACTGTTAGCCATCTGCTCCAAATGTGCAAGATGGTTCTGACTCGTCTGCGAGCCCCAGCTGCTGCCAAACAAGGTGCGCTGCTGGTTGAAGCCAACAAAGCTGGTCGTTGAGACGGTGTGAGAGGTCGCTGGTCGATATCTCGAGGCCGTGAAGAGGGATCGGGAGACAGAGGAGGGTATGAGTTGACCGGTGCGGTTGCTGGACGACATTGTCCTCTGCGATCGCGCCGCCGCATTACGACCCGCTGGCGATCTCAGCGCGGCCGCCATGATGGAGGGCGTCGTGCGGGCGGAGGTGGCCATGTGGTGGAGACGCATCGGGGTAGATTGAAAGGCCATGGTGACTGCTCCGGCGGATCGCCGCCTGAACACGGTGGTGAAACCAGAATCACAGCAAACAGTAGACAATAACGACGCAAAGATGCCAAAAGGAAGCGGAAACGCTATGCGTGCGCAAGGCACGGGGAGGAGGGTAGTGATGAAAGAGTGTTGGGAGAAGAGGCCGTGAGACAGCAGCAAGTACATGTACGTCGTGGCAAGGGCACAAGAGACCAGAACGGCTCGCTCCCGCGCGCTCGGAATCACGTCGTCACTCGACTCTCGATTCTTGGCGCGAGAACTGCGGATTGTACAGTCCTGATGCGTGGATCGTGTTGTCGGTGACTGCGTTAGATCTCGCACATAGACGCGGCTCACCATGTGAATCATTTGTGGGAGAAGTGCATGCGACAAGCGGTGTCTCTGCTACTGCTTGTGTGCTTGCGCCGTCCCAGCAGGCAGCTAGGCAGCTGTCTCATTGCTGCCTGACTGTCTGCCTAACACCAGAATATATGTAGACCGTTCCTGTTCGCTGTGCGATGCAGCTCTACCACTGCCTCCAATATTTCGACCTCGACCAAGCCCAGTACCTTGCAGCGTCCCTCTCTGAAATTTCACGTGCATGTTTGGTGTGAATGGTTGTGTGTCTCGTGCATCAAGTGAAGTCTGTCTGTGCAACACACTTTCGGCAAAGCGCGAGTGGGTCCCAAGCTTCCTCTTGGCTGAGAGAAGACAGCGCGCGTTACCTCTGCTGCTCCTGCACACCACCACAGTCGCGCTCTTCTCTGTCCAGCACCTGCCATTTCGGCGCCGCCTCTCATTGACATTTGTTCCCTCCGTCGCATGGCGCGTGACGATTAATTCTCCGCTCGACATTCGCATCAGGTACGCCGCACCATCACGAAAAACCCGCGCCTCTCAGCGTCCCTCCGTGCCATCGAATTTGCCATTGTCAGCAGCGACAATTGCGCAACAGCGGCAGACTTCGATCGCCCGTTGCTCGACTCGCCCGTCCTCGACTAACTTCAAACGCACCGCCAGATTCATCCTCGTTTCCCCAGCCACTCGACCCTCGCATAGAGCGCCTCGAACCACGGCTGCCGCGCGCGAGCGCATTTACCAGATCGTCTGAGTTGCCACGAGACCGCGGCCATGTCTTTCGGTGGCTTTGGCAACACCAGTTCCACCTTCGGCGGCGGAGGTGGCTTTGGTAGCACGAACACAGGCGGTTTTGGCTCGACACAGACCACATCCTCAGGCGGTCTTTTTGGCGCCAACACAGCTACTGCTGGTGGTTTCGGAAGTGGTGGAGGTGGGTTGCAGTCTCAAGATACTAAAACGGCGGCGAATGCTAAGTCCCCGACTACAGGCTTCGGCAGTACAAATACCAACACCTCAGGCGGCGGCTTGTTTGGTAACAACACGAGCACCGGCGGAGGCTTTGGCAGTGGAGGCACTGGCTTTGGCGCTACCAACACTGCCAGCACTGGATTTGGGGCTAACAACAGCTCTGGCGGAGGTAAGAAGATCCTTGAACAAACGACGACTCGAGGCCTGCAGAATCGCTGCCAGCGAGCTGCGAAGACCCCGGAGACTAACAGGATTATAGGTCTATTTGGAGCCAACAAACCAGCAGGTGGCTTCGGCTCGACCAATACTGGCTCTATATTCGGAGGTAATAACAACACCGCGAGCACCGGCTTTGGTGCAAATAACAACAACACGACCTCGGCTTTTGGCGGCGCGGCATCAGGCTCAGGGGGCTTTGGTGCGACGAACAACAGCACAGGTGGATTTGGTGGTTTTGGTGCGAGCACAACTACTGCACAAACCAACAACGGAACTGCCGGCACACCATTCCAAGCTTTCCAAGAGAAAGATACAGCCACAAGTCAGACTTCGCACTTCCAATCGATCACTTTCCAGCAGCCTTACCAGAACAAGAGCTTCGAAGAACTGAGGGTCGAGGACTATCTACAAGGAAGGCGGTACGGCAACAGCAACGGCCAAGCAGGCAGCTTTGGCACAAGCACTGGCTTTGGTGGCAGCTTGTTCGGGGGCAACAACAATACTGCGCAGACTAGCGGATCTTCACTGTTTGGCGGCAATACCTCGACTGCCAACAACGCTTCGACCGGATTCGGTGGATTCGGTGCGAACAACAACAATAACAGTACGGCCAACACAAGCTTCGGTGCCAGCAATACGGCAGGAGGACTCTTTGGATCCCAGAATAAGCCTGCGGGTGGGCTTTTTGGGAGCACCACAACTGCCCCAACTGGTGGATTCGGCAGCACGAACAACAACACCTCTGGTGGCGGTCTATTTGGCGCCAACAACAACAACACATCGACTACCACTGGATTTGGCGCTAACAACACTTCCAGCGCCGGCGGCCTGTTTGGCGCGAACAATACCGCTGCGGCAAAGCCGGCGTTTGGTGGGTTCGGACAGACTGCCACCAATACTGGCGGGTTTGGATCCACCACCAACACCACCACGGGTGGAGGCTTGTTTGGCAGCAACACTAATACCAATACCAATACTGGTGGTGGCCTCTTTGGAAGCAACAACAACAACCAGCAGCAGCAACAGAGCAGCAATCCCTTCGGCGGCAGCACTAATACTGGCGGCCTCTTCGGCAATAACAATCAAGCAAAGCCCGCTGCTGGGGGTCTTTTCGGTAGTAATACCGCTGCCACCGGCACTGGCGGTGGACTTTTTGGCGCAAACAACAACAACCAGCAGCAGCAGTCTGGTGGCTTGTTCGGATCGTCCAACACCAACAACAACACAAGCGGCGGCCTGTTCGGCAACAACAACCAGAACAAGCCAGCTACAGGTGGCCTGTTCGGAAGCACACCAGCAAACAATACTGCTGGCGGTGGTCTTTTTGGCAACAACACGAGCACAAACAACGCTGGAGGTGGCTTATTTGGTGCCTCAAACAACAACAATGCAGGAGGCAACTCGCTGTTTGGCAATAACAACAACAAGCCAGCTGGCAGTCTCTTTGGAGGAGGGAATAACAACTCCGGAAACAGTCTTTTCGGAGGTGGTATGGCGAACAACAACAACCAGCAGGCCACTGGGGGCAGTAGTCTCTTCGGCTCTACGAACCAGCAGAGCAACGCCAACAACAACTCGCTGTTCGGGAGCCTCGGCCAAAGCGCGAACCCCAACCAACAGAATCAGCTCCATGCGAGCTTGACTCTCTCCCCGTACGGCAACGATCAATTGTTCAGTTCACTGGGACAGTCTTCCGCCCCTGTCGGGCCATTGGCCACTCCGCTGACAGGCGCACGTCCAACACCGGCCAAGACTCCAAGTCTTTTGTCCAGCAGCCGGCTTAACTCCCCTATGTACACGCCCAGGGCAAGCACAATGGGCCGCACCGGGGGCTACGGCTTCTCTTACTCGACGTACGGTACTCCAGGCTCCGCATACTCCGTCAACCTCACGCCGCAGGCCAGTAGTCTGCTGAAGCCGACTGGCAGTCTGGGCAGTGCACTGACAAGCAGACTCGCGAAGAGTATGTCCATGAATAACCTTCGTGGCGATACACCTTCTCGAGAAGGAGACAGTCTACTCCGTCCGGCACCTGGCAGTGCCTCTAGCCGCTACCTCAACTCTGGCAGCATGCGTAAACTCACCATCGACCGCAACTTGCGCACTGACCTCTTCTCTCCACCGACAAGTAGCAATCTCCAGCGAATAGAGTCCGTTGGAGATCAGCAGAGTCCGGGATTGGCGAAGAAGGTCAGCTTCGACAACTCAGCTGCTACGGGTGCAAGACAGACTGAAGTCACTCCTAATGCTGGCAACGCACTTGTGCGCACTGAGACCGAAGACGACGAGGAGTCGCCTCGTGTAACGCGATCGCAGGCCAAGACGAACAGTGCACCGGAGATGGAGCAGGTCAATGGCGCAAAGTCGCTTACAGACATCCCAGAGGACACCGAACCCCATCGTCCTGCGTCTGCTCCTTCGACCAAGAGACCAACAGAGAAGACGCCTCTTCAGGGAATCCACATCGGTGACTACTTCACTGAACCGCGTATCAAGGATCTGAAAAACATGTCCCGAACCCAGCTTTCTAAGCTGAAGACCTTCACAGTTGGGAGGGAGGGCATCGGCAAGATCGAGTTTCGAAATAACGGCAAAGGAATCGATCTTACCAATGTTGACCTGGACAAACTGTTCGATCCAAATGACATCGACGAACAGGAAGGTGATGATCCAAAGGCCATTGTGCGTTTGAAGGTCCGATCCGCGACGGTGTACCCCAAAGAATCCGAGAAGCCTGCGCGCGGCCAGGCACTGAATGTGCCCAGCAGAATCTATCTCGAGAACTCTTGGCCGCGCAGTCATGGAGGAAAGAAAGCCGTATTGGCGAAATCTGGACCAGCATACGAGAAGCACGTTAAGCGATTCCGTAACGTGGAGGGCACCAAATTCGTGAACTACGATGCTGACACAGGCACCTGGATCTTCGACGTTGATCACTTCACCACCTATGGACTGGACGATGACGAAGACGAGGATACCGAGGCCATGGAAGATGTGCAGCAAGATTCTAGCGCGCTGAGCGATCCGCCAGCCACATTGCCGCGCGACTCGCAGGACGACACGCTGCAAAGCTTCGAGTCGGGCAACAATGGGGAAGTTGACGACACATTTGAGTTCAAATTGAACCGATCGAAGTCCAGCATGCGGAGCTCTCATATTCCCGGCGGGTTCGAAGAAGAGGCTAGCAGGCACATGAGCTATGACTATGACGAGAGAAATGCGGCGGGAAACATGCATGACTTCAATATGTCAGGAGGCTTGGGTGAACAGGACGTGGACGAAGATCTGTTCGCGGCACAAGGTGGTGCCGTGCAGGCGCCTTCACCTGCCGCGATTGAGCGCTACAGTTCCAGTATGGCTCTTGACACTGCTGGCGCAGACGACTTTGCTGAAAATGCGCAGGCCGAGTTGGATTCCGAGCCCGAACAACAGCTCCCAGGATCTTTCAATGCCGAAGAGCCTAAGCTGCTGCGATCGATCTTGAAGCCGACAGCGCCCATTACGCGGACGTTCGCCAGTCCAGACAAGTTCGCCAACGATACGTGGGAAGAGCACCTTCAACGAACAATGAGCCCCCGCAAGCGCGACCGACAGGCGTTAAAGGATGTGCAGCGCAATCTGCTGCGCGACGATGGACACGACTTTGCAGATAGTCCATTCAAGCGAAGTATGCTTGGACAGAGTGCACTTGGTCAAAGTTACCTTGCTCAGAAGAGTGCGAAGAAGACTGGCTTCAGCAACGTACTTGGAGGCAAGCAGGACCTTGGCAAGAGTCAGGCGTTCAAGACGAGCATGGATCTTATGAACTCGCTCTGGGCGCAGGAGAAGACGACTACAAGAGGTGCGACTGGTGTCAAGGGTTTTGAGGTATGATCGATCCCAAACACTAATCCCCTTCCCCAAAACTCACGACTTCCACACCCCTGCACTTTGGAACATTCGCGAGCACGTCATTCCCCTTCGGCGTCCCACCTCGCTGCGTTCTCGGCACAAGGTTGCTGTGATCGTCTATCATGTGTTGTATAGTAGGTAGCTGAAAATTTGTTCAATAGAACCCTTACCCGAAGAAACCTCGCCACTCCGCCGGCCACGAACTCGATGAAAACGATGCCGCCTTCCACGACAGTATGAAACCCCATTTTGCCAACAATGGCACGCTCATCTACGCTGTCCCAGGCTCCGCCCCCGAGGTCGGTGGGCCGCTTGAACCCGCAATGCGTTCCCTGGTCGGCGAACGAACAGAGATACGCTTCGCTCGATTCGCGCCAAATGCCGACCTCAATATGGAAACACTGTCACTGCAAAAGCAGCTGACGATCACTGAGCTCGTCGACGGCTTCCCTGTTGCCCGGCCTGACTCGGTACACGTGGATTTTGCACAACTTGCGGAAAAATCGTCAGACGTGGAGTCGGTTGTCTGGCGTCTCTCAGCTCTCTTGTTTGAGTCGATCCGTACCAGTGCGGGACACCTTGTGAATGGAATGTCAGACGAGCAGATCCTTACATTCGAGCCCAGACTGCGCAAAGACGCGGTGCAAGAGTTTTGGGCGGGCATCGTTGAAGCCACCAGCACCGAAAGTGCCGCAGCAGCTAAATCGGCAGAGGAGAAAGCACTCTATCTGTTGACTCGCGGCGACCATACTGCTGCGTCCGAAGTTTTGGCCAAGGGCAGAAATTTCCGACTGGCTGCGTTGATTGCCCAACTCCCTGGATCGGAAAACAGCCGAGACCTTATCAAGAAGCAAATTGAGATCTGGAGGAATCGTAATGACTGGAGCGAGATGTCCGATGCTGTCAGGACCTTGTACTCAATTCTGGCAGGAGAAGTCTGCACCGTGGCCGGCAAGAATGGTGCCAAGGAGGATCGGGTGAAAGAACTCAGCATCTCTGAGCGCTTCGAGCTTAACTGGACCCAGAGCTTTGCCTTGCGCCTTTTCTTTGGAGGCCACGACACGCTGGAACAAGTCGTGAAAGCATACGCCCATGATGTTGACAACGGCCGCGAACTGACTCTCCCGACGCCCTTCTGGACCGATCAGGGCGCATCCGAGACTTCGGTCGCTGGCCGGGAGGACACTCTGTTCGGACTGTTTCGCCTCTTCTCCACCACACGTGCCTACCCTGCAGATCTTGCGTCTCTCTTCGATCCCCACACGGTCTCAGGCTCACCTGCAGACTCTCGACTGGCGTGGCAGCTTGCCATCATCCTCTACGCAAAAGGTCGAGCCGACTACATCGATCATGCGATCCTTGACAGAATCACTCGCGATTTTGCCGCTGAGCTCGAATACGCCAACAAATTCGTCACCGCGATCTGGGTGCTACTTCACCTCACCGATGCCAGCAAGAGAGAGTCCATGGTCAAGGAGGTCATCATGCGCAACGGTGGCAAAATTCCTGATCCTTCAACTGGCGATGAAATGACCGAGAACAACGTGTTCGATCAGCTCACAACATATCTCAAGATTCCGGAGAACTTGCTGTTTAAAGCAAAAGCTCTACACGCCAAAGCAGAACTCAAGAATCCCGCCGTGCAAGCTCGTTATCTCCTGATTGCCGGCCTGTTTGATGAGGCTCACGACGTGCTGATCTCATCCATCGGTCCAGCGGCAGTGATCGAGGAAGACTACGACGAACTCGTCGACGTTCTTCGCCGTTTCCCAGAACATGGCAGTGGTGTACAAGGCTGGGAGTCGGGAGGCGCAGTGTACAGCGATTTCGCATCGGTCGTCACCATGAACCTTGGGCGGAAAAACTCACATGGAGGCAAATCGATTATGCGGAGACTGAGGTCGGGCTTGGAGGCGATGAACAATGCGGATCGAAAGCTCACATTGGAAGAGAGGGTCTCGATGATAGAGATGGGCCGCATTCTTGCTGAAGAGGCAAGCGAAGTGGGTGTTGAAGAGATTGCTAAGACTGTGGACGTGCACACGGACAGCAACGGCACGGGTCTTTTTGAGAGATATCAGGCTGCTATGGGCGTTGTCGTCTAGCAGACGGCATTGGATCTGGGGATAAGACTGCCTCTGCTGACCAACACATGATTTGCTCAGGGTGGTGTCTGCGCGGCTTCACCGAATTGATAGGTCGCATAGCATATGAAAAGGGACGATGTACCCAATTGGATGATCAGCTGTGGTGCAGTTTCTCACCGTTCCTGGCAACTTTTCTGGCTCCCGTGTAATGGATGCTCAGGAGCTGGTGCTATCCCAGTGAGACTGACAGGTGCTCTCTCTTTGAGGCCCTGCTTCCTCGCAATCGATTAGTGGAGTCGAGACGTGCATATTGCCCTGGTAAAAATCAGTTTGAGAATAAGTGGACTGCAGTACTTAGCGCCTTCGAAGAACACAAATACGCAGCCTGCCGCCGCTTTTGGTTTTTGCCTCTTCCTCTCTGTCTCTCGAGAGGCAGTTTTACGATACCTCTGTCCTGCCGAGATAGCGTACCTAGGGTATAGAGGCAGCTGTATAGATAGCGATAGGCTGTTTTCCTATCCCCTCTCGACGCTTAGGCATCGAGGTTCTTAAAAACACAGTCGAAATAAGCAGAAAATCAGCGCAGAGGCTGGTTTTCTGATTATTCGCTAAAACTCGCCTATCTGCAGGCAGGAATACTGCTTTAGGAAACCCAGAGGAGTTGAGACGCTAATACGCAGACAAGCTCCATAATCAGCTTTATACCCTGCTGATTCTAGGAAACAGAAAAAGCAGGATAACCAGAAAATCAGTTAAGAGCAAAAGCCGACGGCATATGGTACTATTTATGGTGTTTTAATCAGAGAATCGATTGCGAGGAAGCAGGGCTTGACGTGCCAGCAGCATACGAGGCAAATCCGAAGCACACTCGACCTGTGTGTTGCCCTTTTGCGGCTCAACGGGCATGAAGCATCGTGGTCATTGACGTCCCCAGCCAGCTCCATTTACGTGTACCTGCATAGGTACGTCGCCTCTCATTTCGTAAACCTGCCTGTCATCACGATCAACATTCAATCTGAACTTGGCGCGCTTCGCCTGCTGAAACACTGACAGATTCCAACCATCATTCCAACAACCCTGCGGAACGGAAAACTGCAGTGCAAGTTGCATTCGCGGAAGCGCGCGATTCGCCAAAAGCGGTAATCGCATCTTTTCAGATGAGGCACTTTTTGAGAAGGGTTTATGTCCCTCCTGCCAACTGCGGCACTGATTCTCTCTCTGGGGTAAAATGAGCCGACCGAGCGTGGACAGCACGCAATGCAATTGCTGCTTGTTGATCCTCCATGGTCGGAAGAGGGGACTCGGGCCAGAGTACTGGGATCAGGCTACTTTGAAGGCATGCAGGAATTACATGCAGTACATCGTCGATGCGGCTTTATCCTTGATGAATGAGGGAAAGGGAGCCGAGGAGGCTCGGTTTTGGGATCATGGGATATTGAGGGTTGTTGTCAATGTGAGAAGGAGTATGGGCCAACGGTAGAAACAAGGAGGGAATCCTCAACAGAATTCCGCATATGCTAGCATTGAATTTTTCTGTAGGCTGTATGCAGGTCAAGAAAAAGATCAGAGAAGGATGTGATGACAATCCAAACGCACCCAACAACATCATCAAGCTATCACTAATCTTTTCATCGATTCCGGGCTTCTCTCCGAGACTCATTCACGGCGCATCGCTGCCAAATTGGACCTCGCAGCAGCAGAGACCCTTCTGCGCTCCCTCCTCCTGGCCCTTTTACCTTGAACCTGGCTCGGACGCTGTCCGCCTGGATCTTCTTCGTCGTCGTATCCTTTGTAGCGACAAAGGCACGTGTACTGCAGCGCTTCTTTGAGTCTTGCCCATTCAACCTTCTAGTCTGATCGGGCGTCGCTGAATTTCGACTTTACCGCGCATTTCCAGCACTTGGTCCTGCTTATGCGGTGATGCCACGTGCCACGCAGATTCCGTTGATGCACCAACTAGGCGCGACAGCCGGGATCGGCACTGAGTGGCATTTGGGCAGGAGTGGTGTGTGCATGTGCCAGAACGGGCCTGGGATGGTTTGAAGCTACTTCATGTGCGGCCGCTGTGCTGTCTGCTGGTGTCCGATGAAGGGTCGGCATTGGGCGAGGTTCTCGTAGTTGAGGAAGTGACCTTGTTCGTGCTATTGCGTTGGTTCTTGTCAACGGTGATCCTGTAGCCGTGTCACTTTGGTTGTTCCTGGGGCGCAACGGCACAAGGCGGGGTTGAAAGTATGGTTCGGATCCATCGAGTGAGAAGGCAGTCTGAGCATGATGGCTGACCGGTCGAGGTGAAAGGATGCCTCGCGTCACTTGGACTCGTGCGAATTTGCGCTTGCAAATATTCAAGATCTCACGTCGCGTTGGCTGCTCGATGTGATTTCTCGGGTACAACGACATGGTGAGCCTGGTTGACTGATGTGCTCGAGCATTAGATCTGACATTGGTGGGCAACGCGGCCGAACGCTGGGCTGCCTTGGCCGCAACTCTGCCCGGCGTGACTGGAATATTGTACTCCCCGACGGATGTCAGTGCTCGCCCCGCGGGACTCAATGCATTCATATCTGGAGCAGCCACGAAGGGATGCGAGGACAATTGAGCAAAGCGATGCGTCGAATGCCCGCTTACTGGCGGCCTCCAATATCGTCTTCCGAGAGACCTTGGTCGAGCGGCATCCGGCAGCAGCCATCGAAGACTCGTAAGGTAGGCACTCCAATGCCGCCGCTCATGCGTATCAGAGGCATAATCGATCTCGCCTGGCCATCTGGGCACGCCTGGGGGTGTTCGCCTGCGGTAAGGAGGTTCTTGCGGTGGCCGTGCCTTCTCGGGCACTTCAGGCAGATCCACAGAACTCCCAACAACCCTCTTCACAATATCGTCGACAGAAAAGCACCGCCTACGTGGCACATTCCCAGTCTCAGCGAGGTCCTGGAGGATCTGTTCCCGATCCACGGTTGCGATTCGTCCTTGAAATGTTCGAACGGACGGCAGTGTTTTCAGTGTCCGAATGCTGTTGCGTTCGGTGATGGTGCAGAGCCTGGTGCCTGCACTGCGGTCTGTGAGCGAATACTCATTTGAAGTCTGTTCGCCACTTTGAATAGTTTCAGCGTCAAAAACAGAGCTATGATCGCTAGGTGTTGGGTCCGATGAGCCCAATGTAGCTCGAGTCGCGATGTTCGTTTTGTATCGACCCTGCTACAACCATATCAAGTCAGCCTAGGTCATGAATGAAGCTTGGCCAATGAGCCAAGTTCCGGTAACAAGTTTGCAAGAGTTCTGGGGTGCGCGACAAAGTTACCGCGGTAGGTTGTGGTGCAGATGTCAAGAGTAACTCTGTCTGCCCTGTTGAATCCATTATCACGCAGATACAGGCGTAGGCATGCAACTGTAGTTCATGGATGGGCCGGGTATAAGCGAATGGAATGCAATGCCGGAAACCAACCTCGTGGATAACGTGGAGGAAGTCTCGCCTCAAATCCCACCTACTGTGTTTCGTTGTTTGCAAAGCGGTATTGCCTTCCTCGCTCAAAGCGCCCGCCTCACGTGGCTGCGAGAGATGTGATGCCGTTCCAAGGCAAGTGTCGCGGTGTCCGTACCTTCCCCCAACGCACAATTTCGGCAACATGCAAAAATGCGCTGTCAACACTTCGACATTTGATGACAGGTCAAACGGGCATAGGCGTCACATCAAGCAGCCGGTGAGTAGGCCAGATCAACTGGACAGTGATTTTACTGCTCTCATACGATGGGCATGAAGCCCTTCGGTCCGAAGGCGCAGATGAAGTCAAGCGGTTGAACCGGCAGTCAGAAAAACTTTTGAGGAAGTGAGCCTCGGAGCAGTACACCGAGACACAGGTCCCTGCAGGCCAGAGTAGCTTCGCCCATGATGCAAGTCAGGAAGTCAATTCTGGTTATGGCGCTTGCAAAGTACACCTCGAGTGAATACTTCCGGCTCCGCTGAGAGTTGAACCGACCGATATCGTATAGCCAAATTGAATTGACCAGGATAGGAACAAGTCGTGAGGCAGGGTTGTAGTACGTCGTGGTACTATCGACGAAACTGGAACGCATCTCGTACACGAATCCGGTATACAGTCTCGGTCCTTGGGGCAACTAGAGTTCTGCTGGCGTGCAGAGGGTAAGTACGGCCATGAAGCGGCTGTCCGCTCCGGAAATCATCCCACTTCTCGCACAACAGCTCGCCATTGCCGTCTTGCAGTCACCCTTGTCTGCTCAGGTAGCCTCAGTAGCATTTCATCCAACGACATGAATGTCAGGCGGAAGAGCACGTCCAGCCTGCGAACAAATCACCGTGAATGACAAATTCCTCATATGAACTCCACTTCAATGAGATCGAATTGCCAAATTGCACGCGCAAGTTACTCAAAATCCCACGGACCAGTATGTTATCCAAATGCGCACGGCACCAGCAATACGATTCGCCAGGATTATGCCCAATCGGTATAGCTCGCGTCCTTTCGGTGTACAGTAATCCGACTGAACGGAACGGTAGCGACACAACACCGACACCAATGAATGCAACGTAGATGGCGATGTGCGACTCGCTGTTGCAATTGCAAACATGCGAGGGGCATTCGTTGTGGCAGAGTGGATTCTGTTGGGCGTTCAACCGTTCGGCTGGAAAAAGTGCAGGCCTGCACGCCCATCCGGGTGCTCACGACTGTGTTCGGCAGTGGAGTCGAGGGAGTCGCATGCGACATGCTGATATCGTCCAGATGTGACCTGGTACTTGCTCATCGTGTGACTCGGGCAGACCATGTTGTACAAGAGTACGCTCGCAGACCTTGCAGGAACAGCAGTCGGCGACAAGGGAGGTGTGAACGCATCCGCGAAATTTGGAGTCCAGCTCTGCAGTTTTGAATGTGAGAGTGTGCTGGCCCAGACCTTGTTCTTGACGGGGTTTGCTTTGACTTGCCGCACGTCATTGCATGCTTGCCGCAGCTTCCAAGCTCAGCGCGGCCATGAGTCGCGGAGTGCCTACACGAATGCGCCCATGTCCTATCAGGAAATCGCGTTGCGAGGACTACACTGTCGCGGTGCGGTGCCACCAGGCGTCAGTAGTTGCGGTGAGTTAGCTTCCGCAATGCTGATACCCTGTCCGTATCCAGACATGACTTCTCTTGCAGCGCTCTCCGGAGACGTGGTTTTCTTGTTGCGCATCTGGCGCAACCCAACCGTTCTCGTGCGTCGCTCGTCTGCTGTGGCACCGCGGCGTGGACGGCACGACGTGTGCGACGGCGTAGGTGCACCGGCTTCCACGTGCGTGGGACGTGGAGGTGCGACCATGGGAACTTCAATGGATTGCTGCAGCTGTGCGGGTGCTTGTTTGGCTGGTGGTGAGCAGGGCATGGATGTGTCTTGTGGATGTGGATGGATCAGCCACAGCGGCGGCGTCGTGACAGAGCAGGCGGCCCACAATTTAGAGTTGCATCCCGGCAATGGCGTTTGGGACGACCAGCTCCCGGCGAGCTACGGCTGCAGCCTGCGGACGCACACTCTGCGCGACTCCCGGACCAGAGGCATGGGAAACGGGCGGTCAGCTGCGAAGGCGGCGACGACAATGCTGGACGAGATCCCGGTGCTTCAACAGTTCGAGGTTTGTCGGCAACAGAGCTTCGAGGAGGGCCGAGCGGGCGGACGATGATACATACGGAGCAGTTGGGCGCGTCTGGGCAGCTCGCACGGGGTGGCATATGTCATGTCGCGGTGCGGCGACGCGCGGAGAGTCAGTTCCTGAAACATGGTTGAATCTCCAGCTGATCTTCGCTCGTCACGGCTCCAGCAGCCGAGTGTCGGTTCGCGCATGCAAGTCAGGTGGAAAAGCTACTGTACGCGAGGAGGCCCAAGTCGCAGGCGAATAATCAACCACGCGCGCTGAGTCGCCGCGGCGCCCACGACGGATCTCGCCATATTGGCAGACGCGGGCGGTGTCGTCGCCGTCGCGCGCTCGTTGTGGGAGCTCGAGTAGCACCTGGCGCGCCCAGAGGTACAGTGGTGCATGTGGGATCGCAGTAAACTTACCGAGCGCAGATATGCAGCCGCAAACTAGCATGAGCTCTGATGGGATTTTTGCCTTCTGCAAGGGCCACTGATCCAATCCCGAGACGTGGTGGAGGGCGGCGAGAAGTCTCGCAACCCGTTATTCGCTGGCTGCTGGCGCCTTCCATTATTCGTCGCGCGGGCGTGAAGAAGCGGCGGCGGCGGCGGCGGCGTCGTGGTGCAACGGTGCGACGTGCGGATGGAGGGCGGGCTCCACTCCACACGCGCATCACAGAGGCCTTCAGCATCACGGCCACGCACACGCAGCACACCCAGCTTCCCCTGCCCGACGCTGCCCTCCGACCACCGAGCTGCAGTAGCGCAGCGCAGCGTCAATGGGTAGGGAAGGGGAGGACTGATGAGAAAGAAAGGCAAGGCTCGGCTCGGCGACGCGGTTGTTGCATTGGTCCTTTTCAGCCAGCTCCATGCCCGTCTGCTGGCTGCAACCAGCGCGCGGACAGCGGCGTGCAGTTGACTTTCCGTTGCAGCAGTCGATGCACTCAGTCGCAGCCATGCGTCAGCCCGACCTCCTAGCAGGAGCATGTCTGCGGCAACGGCCCTGCAGGCCTACGCTAGGCGACAAACTGCCTGACTCCTGCACCTACCGCCCACAATGCTGGGGTGGACTGCTAGGGAGTATTATAGCTTCCAAAGTTAAGTGCGTCCCCCGTCACAGAGTTCCGCAATTTACTGGAATAGCAGAACGATTGGGCTGCAACGCGATGCCGCCTGTCATATAACACAAAATGCCCTCCCATTCCCTCTGATGCTTAGCTCCGATCCCTTTGAGCCTGGTGACGAACCATAGTGCGCCGTTGTCGAGAGCCATACACCTCACCTTCCTCCCACGTCTGTCTCCATGGCCCCTCCACGACCGGCTCTGGCCCAAAGCGAATCCAAAGCCCGATTTTTTGAGCGTCTCGGCCTCGACGAACGAAATGAATTCCACCGACGAGTATATGCAATGATGAAGGTATGTCGTGTGCTGCTTACATTTGCCAATATATCACACCTTGAGCAACTACTGACCTCACCTCCAGGAAGAAGCCGTCGAAGGCCGCCGACGCATGACCGAATCCCAGGACGTCCTCGTTCCTTCCCTCAGAGGCAACACAAACGTGGAACCACCATATAGCAATGCCCAAATCAGCGAAACCGTCACGCACCGCGAAATCTTACGAATATATCGTCTAGCTCGCCCGGAAACCCGAGTAGTCTACGATCTCGGCCGCGACACCGATCGAGTTGAAGAGGAAAATTGGGTAATACGTTGGATGTTGTGGCATGTCTTTCGATATCGGGACAGTCGCAATCGAAATAGACGGCACATCTCCCCCAGCCCGGAACGTCCTCCACAACCGAATCCTAGTATAGCCGCTGTGACGTCGGGTCATCGAGGCGGCTCTTCCTCACAACATCGTATGTTCGCTCCCACCGCATGTACATGCTTCGTCACGACTAACAGCGATTTAGCAGCGTCAGCGTCAGCCGCCCACCGACAGAGTTATTATTGGGATCCCGTTCGCAACCAGTGGTGCTTCCGATGACGACACTTACTCGCCGCTGACGATACCATTTTCTGTCACGCACACATCAAGCGCCCCGAAGATCTCTCAGCAACGATGAGTGGGGGACTTGGGGTCGTTCACACGCACAGCGGGCACAGGGGCGACGGACAGACTTCTGGCCATCACCAAATCAAGCGAGCTGGCTCCGCTTCGATTTTCTCCTTGTGACTAAGCCACTCCGCTTCGATCTCCCTTTCTGGCTCGGTCGGTCTGCTTCCACTTCTCTTCCAGCCGGACCGATTCCTTGCAGGACAAGCTTTCCAAGTCCCAGGAGTACAAGATCTTGCTGGTTTGCGGACAAGCACAGATAGCGTCGGAGCACCACCGCTGCAGTGTGAGCTTCGGACGCAGCAGGGGAATTGCGACACCGATGTTGTAGAGGAGACAAAGTATTGCACGTCCTGGGGACGTTGTAGATGACGATAAGATTGGAGACATTCTCCGAAAAAAGCCGGTCTTCGCCAACAAAACTAAGTAAACTTTAATCAGTTAATCATTTCTACTCTCTATCCAAGATCCGACTCCAGAACCATCTTTTCACGTGTAAGTTTTCGTGCCTGGCTGCTTAGCTCGAACACGTCGGGTACCAATCGTGGGCATAATTGGCAGAAGGCTTGAGAATTAGCGTCCGACCGACAGCTGCAGGCTTGCAGCCAACTGGTTCGCATTTTCCTTAGTTCCACCACGAAGATCATCAACCACGCCCGCCCGCACCAGTCTGTCTCTGCCGGAAAGTCTAAAAGCTTGCATATAGGGTATAGAACGCGTTTGCCGGATCCGGGTGTTGCTACACTACAGGTGTGTCGTGATTGACTTTCATCTTGCAGGACCGATCTACTGCAACTTTACCTCCTGTTATCGTATGGCCGTGGACCATTGCTGTGACAAATCGTTGCGAGAAAGGCACCGGACGGGGATACGCATTGATGTCAATCAATGGTCGACGTACAAATGAGAGTCGCGAAGCCCGGACGGAACCGCGGCTTGCGCGCTGACAGTGTTCAGGCATTATTGATGTGCCGAGACGTGATGAAGCCAGCGGCAACATTGTCGGATTGATCAGCAAGGAAAAATGTCCCGTCGCACCAGCATGAGATCTGGTTGAACAGGGAAATCCGTCGCACGTGTTCCGGGGACAGTGCTCAGGAACGCTTGCACTTGGATGAGAACTGAACCAGGTCGAGACTGGGAACCAGTATGATGGGACTGGGACGCCGAAAAAACTTGGATGTTTCCTCTGCAACAAAACTGCGCGCACAAATCTTGCTGGTTGAGCTTTTTATCCTTTATCGTTATTCTCAATGATACACAGTAAGGACTCAAAATTCTCTCGTTGGAAAAAGCCGGATCTGGGTTAGCTTTTGTTGGGTGCGAAGAGGTCTCTCCAGAATTCTTTGAAACCGTATTGAGGTTTCCGCTCATCGTACACGTGGCCAGCACCGTCCATTGCAAATTTGTCGAGCACTGAGCCAGGTCTGTGACCGATCACTTCTATGCCCTTGACTTTAGGCGCTGTCGCCCTGGCATGAATTGCGGCAGCGACCTGAGGCGCTACATCGGCGAAACAGTTACGCAGTTCTCGCTCCAGTGAGAAATAGGGCTTTTTCGCGAGATTGGGTGCCATGAGGTTGTAGGATCGAGTCAGCTCGTTGAGCTGCTTGATTGCCAACTTGTGGTAGGACAACTCGGTCTTCTCCCATTGAGGGTCTCGAAAGGGCGCAACTGGAAGGTGATTAGTTTTTCAAACGCACACATGTTATCGGGAGGCTTACCAGTAGGTCTTCGCGGTGCATCTGGTGGTGGCGCTTGGGACAGCATAGTGTGCTGTGTACGAATTTTGACCTGTTCCTCGGTTGACTTCAAAGTGCCATCGTCGTTGAATGTCTGCTCGAGCAATTTGATTTCTTCATCCATTTGCGTCGCATCGTCCGAATTTCCTGGTTTGAGCTCTCCAGCGATGGTGATTTGGGACAGGTGACCCTGGCTGTCGATGGCGTTCATCTTTTCAATCTGCTCTTTCGATGGATTCTCGAGACTTTCGGCGAATGCGTATTCTTCAGCCAGCTTCACATGTGATTCAAGACTACCGCCACGGCTAGTAATAACTCGGCACACATGTCGCCGCCAGTCTGAGCGCAGACGCTTTCGAAATGTATTGGCTGTCGCTATGACTTCCTGCTGTTTCTCAATCCAGGGAGGCACGATGTCTTGCTTCTTGATCATCTTGTTCATCAAATACGTGGTGGTGTCAATGAACGGTGAGCTAGCGTTATGGTCGCGTTCTATCTTCTGACCACGAGGAATATTCTTGAATTGACCTCGAGCGATCGCGTCTTCAATTCTCTGGTTTGCCAATGAGACTATGCCCTGGACTGAAGCGGCGACCTGACGAGCGCCGGGTAAAAAGCGGGCCTGAACTTCTTGACGGAACTTCTCGCGCTCCTCATCGGTCATTCCGTTCATGTCGTCTTTCGAATATTTGTTCGCCTTTTCTCGAGCGTTCGCAATACGTACGCCATCACTGTACTTGGTCTTCGATCGGCCCGTATCAACTTGTCGTGGAGGGCCACCACCGCGTGGCATAGACCGAGTGCTATCATTGAGCATCCGTAGGCTGGCATCTGCAATGCTCTCCGTCCCGGTCCATGGCTCAGCAGCCGCGCTCTCACGTACATGCTTAGGAGCGCTTGCTGGCAAATTTGCTTGCGATATGGCGCCAGCGTAATCGTTGCGGAAGTCAGCAGCAGCAATCTTGCCTTCGAGCTGCTGACGCAAATCCTCACTGAAGCTCGAAGCTCCGCCCATTTCCTCGACAGACTTTCGAGCACTTCGTCCGCCTGTCGTCAAGGACTCTTCGCTAAGTTGCTCCAGCTTCCGGGTCATCGCACCTTTGCTCTCTTCTCCATGCTCAGTATTTCTGCTGGAGGCATGTTCGCCACCTTGAGGCGCGGGTGGCGAACGTGCATTGGAGCTGTGTCGCAAGTGCCATGCTGGTGCACGCACGCGCACTCGCAAGTAACGAGCGCGAACGGGCCAAGATGCGCGATTGATCATACAGCTTCGTGGCATCCGCGAATGTCGACATTAATGAAACCCGACAGCATGGATGGAGCTGGTGATGATGCTCACTCCAGATGGGAAGCTGCGGACGGCACGCTCCGAGGCTTGGCAGGCGCATCCGCTGGTTGGTGGTTGTTGTCCTCGACACTTCACACTTTCCTCTTTCATCAATCAGACTCGCGCCAGGATGAACTGACGCGCAACCACGGAAGACGTATATGTGACAAGCTCGTCCGGTGCGACCACATGACGATGCACTCATCAAGAATGCTGCTACACGACACCACGGACACGACTCGGCGCCTGCTGAAAAGGTTCGCAGCAATCTACCGGCAGCTCTTGGCTTATACCGGACGCGACTTATATGTGTGTCACAAACGCTATTCTAGCTAATCTCTTGACATCTCTGGGCTGGTAGTGGCGTTATAGGGTTGGTTCTTGAGTCGCTCAGGCCCACGAGTATCATGTGATGGCTTGCTCGAAACATCCTCGCTGACGCTTGAACGATCCTGCGTTTGGGCAGGCCAAGCCCTTCGCCAACAATGATACAGATTCCTTCTGCTTCGACTCGTACGAGTCGACCGAGTTGTACAAGTGCCCCAAGACAGCCACTCGGTCTCTGGCGTGAGACTGTTGGTCCCGCACACGAGCCACAGTTCTAGAACGCGTCTGAAGAGGTCACGCCTGCTCGAGACTACTACACACCAGCCGCGCTTGCATGACTGAGCTCTCGAGCTTCACGCGTCTGGCTGTCCCAGCGATGGGGGCCATCTGAGTCTCTTGAAACAGCGCTGTGAGCCAGTGGAACATAGACACATGCCTTCCAATCTCACACCAGCTGTTTCTCCACAGATCTCAACCCTGTCCATCGCTGAATTACGCACAACCAGGCGCAATACTCCGAACCACTAATCCCAATCGTTGTTCTTCGCAGGCAGAGCGTCACGATAGTGCCACCTGGGCGCAATATTCTGGCCCGCCGCCAAGGTCCCTTCGCTGGACCCTTTACCATGGCCATGCCAGCTGTATATGTAAGCCGGCCTTGCGCGCATGGGCAGACAGATGACTGCAAGTTGGAACAGACTCTTGGACTACAGGTCTTGCGTGCGTTCCTGAGCCGATTTTTCCATTAACTAGAGTCACTCTTTGTCGTCCGTACCTACCTACGAGGGGATCTCACAACCTACCATCATTTTGCCAACACCGAGTTGTCGGACTGCCAGTACAAGATCCTGGAACACCACGAGGAGTCGCATCTAATTCGACTGGCACCAAGACACGCGCGCAGCATTTTCTTGTCAACGGATGATGGAGTCTGAGTCGTCGACACTGAGTGCCTACAGCTTGGTCCTAACGTGGATCAACGCCGACCACGAAGGCCTAGAGTTCTCGAACGAGGCATTCTGTAGAGCTGTCTCTCACGATACACAGACGCTCAGCGTACTTTTACAGCACGTCGTACATCTCAATGCCATTTGGCATTCCAGCTGGCCCTCTCTGCGACTGCAGCGGCGTAGGTTATACGTGACCGACTTGAAGCCGCGCATCGAGGGCGATCTATGGAGGATCGATTGGCTTATCCGCTTTGCAAAATGTGAAATTGGCGTCATTCGCAGGGACCAGTCACTTTCTCCGACTTTTACAGTCAAGGATAACATCACGATCGATCTCCTTATTCGGGCGCAAAAGATCTTGAGCCTGTTGCTGTCTGAGATCGATGCCTTGCCAGAGAAGGACCGCGACGCTACGAAAATACTCACCGACGAGATCCTGGAGCGAGAAGACGCGAAAAGCTCCGCACCAGTAGCACTCTTCTTGGAGGAAGATATTGGCAGACCTAGCGTTACCTTACGCATCCCGGAGCTCGAGGCGAAACAAATTATTATGAAGAAACCATCGACGCCTCCTACGTTGGTGGAGTGCACTAGTCGCTGCGATGTTTGCAGCTCTAGACCTTGTCGATGCTGGGCGAAGAAGCGTGTTGAACGAAACGATTCAATGTTTAGTGTGGTATCGCACGGAAGTTTGTCGTTATGAAAATGATCACGATCAAGAATGACACGAGATATGACTTTTGAACTGGACAGCTCCACGATACAGAACAAGATATCGATAATACAGCTCCTCACTATAGCGCCGTAATATACAGTGCTTATATGCTTGATCTACCCTTCCATCAGACTCTACAATCATAGGTGACTGCTCAATGACAGCTGTCACGTGATAGCGTGAAGATCGCCACTGCCTTCTCTGAGAGGACAGGTCATTTCTTGTTCTCGATGCCCTCATTAACCTTTCCAACCAGTCCGTTAATACTCAATTCACTGTGTAATTTGGATCCTCTATACCCTCTTCATGGTCATGGCGAGTTCGGCTGAGCCCACAACGAGACTCGTCTACCAAGTTGACGAGTCCGCGAGAACTCTCTTGACGCGATTAAAAGCTATACGGCAGTACGAAGACCTCTCAGATGAAGATAAAACTATTTTCAAAGCCGCGACAAACTCCCGGGATGATTCTTCACAATACCACGTCATTGAGACCACGGAGACCATTTTCTATGTCCAAGGTGGCGGCCAGCCTTGCGATACCGGTGTCATGATTATCAACGGGTCGAAACTGCAAGTCACATCCGTGCGATACGGCAGCGGCGGCAGTGTTCTACATCTAGCCCATGCCAACGGGGAGATTGAGCAACCCCGCGAAGGCGACATTGTGGAACAACAGATTGATGGTGAGAAACGAGACTCCCATAGCAGAACACACACAGCTGGCCACATCATTGGACTTGCTGTCAGGCAGCTTGCAGCAAAGCACGAGCTACCCATCACTGAACTGAAGGCCTCTCACTATCCCGATGCATGCTTTGTTGAGTTCAAAGGTCTTCTTGACGGAAAATACAAAGACGAGATTCAGTCGCAGGCCAGCGCTTTTGTGGACCAGGCTTTGCCGGTGAAACTGTACTGGTACAAACCAGAGGAGTTGACGAGCAACAATGTGATCACAGCAGAAGGAATGCCGATCGTGACTGGAGCTGATGGCACTTGTCGAGTTGTCGATATCGTGGGCGCTGGTGCGTATCCGTGTGGAGGGACTCACGTTCCTGACACCAGCTTCGTTGGGACGATTTCTGTGAGAAACATCAAGCGCCAGAAAGGGAACACGAAAGTTTCGTACGCGGTTGCGACGCCAAGCTGAATAATCTGCTTACGAGACGAGACGGTATTCAGCTTGGACCCCTCACTCCTACCCCTCGTACTACGATAAGATCACTTCGCAGCTTCAAGTGCTCTGCTTGTTGCTTAAATAAACATTGCCAGGTGCTATAATCAAATGCAATTTAGCAGTGTTAGTGTTTAACCAGCCAAAGCTTTTTATACCCACTAGCGCAGCATAGTAGTCTGAACTACCAGACTGTGTCGCCGAATCTCTCGAAGCCGACAAGATGGCTCACAACGCCACAACGCTGTTAACGCAGCTACCAATCGACCCGGCAGATCGTCCACGATACAGTAAAGAGCAATTGACAGCTTACTTTTCACGCATCAAGCTTCCTGAGAATTATCTGTCCTCGCCAGTCCTAACAGATCCGACATTGGCAACAACAAAGGAGCATGGCCTTCCTCTGCTCAGAGCTCTGCAACTATACCACGTCTCGAACATCCCGTTTGAGAATTTAGAACTTCATTATTCGGCGAAGAAACAGGTGTCCTTGCATATGGATGTTCTGTACGAAAAGTTCGTTGTCCGAGGAGAGACTCATGGCCGAGGAGGGTATGTTGGCATAATGAAATTGCTTGAGCATAAATTGACAATGGACTAGGCGATGCATGGAACACAATGGTTTCTTCGGAACCGTATTGCGGAGCTTAGGCTACGACGTGCGGAATTGTGCTGGCCGTGTCAGTCGATCATACAGCATAAACGCGGAAATCAGGGAGAAACAGGGCGACACCTATGACGCCTGGAACCATATGCTCAACCTGGTCCGAATCGAAGAAGTTTGGTATGTAGTAGACGCGGGTACGCCGCCAATGGGTCCCAACATCGTGTTTCCGCTCCAGGACGGATTCGAGGCAGTAGCGATCCCACCGAGAAAGATTCGCTTGCAAAAGCGTAGCATACCAGAACACTACGCAAGCCGAGAGCAAGATGCGCAGAAATTGTGGTGCTATGATTTCTGTCTTCATCCTGATCAACCTGGTCGAGAGGACGTGTGGACGCCAATTTACTGCTTCACTGAGACAGAGTTCTTGCCGCAGGACTACGAGATGATGTCGTTCTTCACATCGCATAATCCACGCTCCTTCTTCACCTACTCGGTCCTTTGTGCGAAGATGATCTTGGACGAAGCAAGTCAGGCCATTGTCGGAGATGTCACGCTTTTCAACGACAGCGTACGCAAGACGGTGGCCGGGAAGAGGGAGATTTTGGCAGAGCTCAAGACTGAGGAGGAGCGAGTGGCGGCGTTGAAAGACTTCTTGGGAGTAGAGCTGACCGAAGAAGAACGAACAAATATCCTGCCAGAGAGGATGCTTCGTTAGCAGAGATCGTAGGGTATTGGTTTACCGCAAGGACTTCTCTGTTCGCTGCAGTCGGGTCACCAGAGCGCAAGTCTTCTCCCTCACACAAACCCATGTTGTAAGCCTACAGAATTGTAGACGACTTCGCTTGAGCTCGCCATGTGCACCTGAGCGAAGTGCAGTTGTTGATTGATAGGTCCGATTCGGCCATCCTGTAGAAAGGGGCTTGTCTCCCTCTGCCATCGATGTCGAGTTTGTCGACGTCGTCCTCGAGAAACCGGGTGATTTACGTTATTATTGCGGCTCCTCTTCGGTTGGTGCGAGATGCTCCTTGTTTGATATGTCTTAAGCGCCCACTGGTCTTCGTACCATTGTGTGATGCCGGCAGCGTCACGCACCAACACACACTTGGTTCCAACTGGTCGGGTCGTTCGCTGCAAAGGACGAACTTGCGGTGAGGTCGATTTCGTTGAGCGTTGACCAGCAGCTATCAAATATCCTCATTGCTACTAGCCGGCCTCCCTCGTCTATGTTGGCGCCTCACTCGCCTTGTTGGGAGGCGAACCAAATGATCGGGTGTACAACTAGGGTTTGTAGTCAATACTGCACCTTGAACGTCTCGCTCAAGGCTCGCTACCACGTTCTGTCACCATTGTTTCCAGACTTGACAGCCCTGTAGCTTCATGCAATCGCGTAGTAGCGCTGTACTGTCATCGGCGGAACGTCGCGTCGCCACCGGTTATTCTGATGCTGTAGGGGCCTGGTTGGAATTCGCTAATAAACTCTACGCCGGTCAAGAGCTGCCAGAGGTCGTAACTGCCGACCTACAGGGAGGGATTGCGACAGGCCGGAAGATGGAGGAAAAGCTGCTCGTGAACACGTCGCAGCCAACTAGGGACCCGCTGCAGCGTAATCAGCATCAAATCGGATACTTGCGCTCTGGCGGTGTCTCCAAATTGTCGGTCACACTAGTTAATGGACGGAGAACAATTTGTTAGGTGGTCTTCCGGGTCCTGCACATCGAGCTGCGGGACGAGTGAGTCGCATGAGAAATGTGAACAGCGTCGTTGGGTTCTGGAGGGATCACATCAGCGAAAGCAATTTGTGGCGCCAGAATTTGGCAACAACCACGCAAGCTGCGGGAAGATTTGCATTGTTCAATGCATTGCACATCACTGCCCTGTTCGTGAAGCGAGCTGGTCGTATTTGTCTTCTGAGCCATCAGCTGCAGCGTATGAGAGTGCCGTACGCAAGCCATCTGCACGGCATCTGCAACGAAATCGATCTTCACGATCTGACTTACGTACTCTCCCGTCGTCACGGTATCATTTGACAACGCTAGCACCGCCCCGGAGTTGAAGCTCACATGTCAGTGGCAGCGCGAAGAGGTCTGCAGACGCACCGCACACGTCCGTCAAAAAAGAGACTGGCGATCTCGATGCCTGGCGAGTCGTAGCTCTAGGGCGTCTTAATATGCCGGCATTAAGCGCCAACCACCACGTCGCGTATTATAGGCACCGCGGTATAGGAGTGGAGGGGCTTGCCTCTTGCTTGGAGCCACATGAGTGATCTGAACCCCAGGATGAACCGGATGAAAGTCCGACCAATCGTTCTGTCGCATCGCCGCGTTTGTGCGCGGCGCGGGACGGTAACGCATCGTGGAGTCAAATGTACGCACCCTGTGCAGCGGAAGGATTGCTAGAGAAAGCAGGAACGGGTCTAGTACGCCTTGATGTGTGGCTGAGAACCACAATTGTGAGTTCGGACCTCTGTGGATATGAGTGGACAATAGGTCCCATAGCAGGTCAGCTCCATCACCTCGATGCTGGGGAATTTCTGCCAATAGTCGTCGTCCCCTCGCGCGAGAACGATTTTGCAATTTGGGACTCCGCAAAAGAGCCTGATGAAATCACTTGCTGACTACCATGGGCGGCGAGCTGCGTTGCATTAACAACTTCAGCGCTTGAAAGACCTGGAATCATGTCTGGAGTACATTTATGCGTCCTGCATGCTAGCAGTTTCGACGCCTGCATCGCGCAGTGCATCGCGCAGTGAGCACTAGCTAAGCCGTGATGAGGAGAGGTCCATCGGGTCGGCAATGGACGATATCGGATATCATCTCACGATGCCAACAAAAGTCATCGTGATGCTAGCTGTATGAGAGCAGCCAGATATCTCGAACTTGACATTTCTGATGTGATATCGTAGCCATTGAGCCCGTGTGTACAACTGCTCGGAAGTTTTCCATTACTGGCATCGTGCAGTCTTTCGCCGGAAAATTAATTGGCGCCTTTTCGAAGGTGTGGCCTCGGCAGCTGTCCGATCGAGTGTACACAAGCAGTGCCACAGTGTACGCGTTTTAGTTCGAGTCCAAGAACAGGATTGCTGAGACCAGGCCAGACCGTGACCACTAGGACTGTGGGAATTACTGAGATCATCAATCAAGTTTCCGGCGGAAGTCTAATCATGGTCACCAATTGTCCTGGTGCGAGATCCCGTATGTCATATCATTCGACATCGCCAGTCTGTGCATCAGCAGCCTTGGAAGATGTCCGCTCATCCTGTGGCTTACTGCCACGCGCGTTCTTCTTCTCGTTCCATTCTTCGAGCAGCGCCTGTACCTTCGGACCCCAAACATCTTCGCCTGCCTGCAATGCGTCGTACTGTAAGACGTTGGTGGGGAGCTGGAAATCAGACTGTCTGGTGCGCACCAAGCTTGACATGCATGCCAGCGAGCCTACTGCTACCCCGAGATCTTGAACAAGAGATCGGACGTAAAAGCCAGAAGTGACAGTCATTTTCAACCGACACGCCGGAGCCGGACAAGGCTTTGACTTATTGTTCGTTTCCTCATTCTGTAACCCAAGAGCCGCTTTCGAGTCTGAACTCGCCGGCTGCTCTGCGTCCTTGGGAGGTTGAGCAACTTCCGTGTCAGGTTGCGCTCCCTCCTGCGTGGACAGTCGCTTGATTGTGGCAGGCATGATGTCAGGTGTTGACACGTCACTGCTCGCGTCTTCATCGACTTTCAATCGCTTCGATAGTGACCCGTTTGTGGTGCTCGCTTCGCCCTCGTTCAATTCAGATCGCTTCCTCTTCAGCACTGCTTCGCCAGTTGCTTCTTCAGCCGCGTCTCTCTTCGGACTCGTTCCGCCAAGCTGGTCAGGCAAAGCCTGTCTCGCGAGGTCCTTTTCAGCGCTTTCTGCTTCGAGGCTAGGCCAATGCCAGCTATGCGTGCCTCCCGGGTACCATTCCATGAGTTCCAGCTCAGTGACGTCCACAGGCCTCTCTTGAATTTCGAAGCCCTTCGGTAGTGGTATGCCTTCTCTCGCATACTCATACAGCCTCTTTCCTTGAACTCGAAGTGCGGAGAAGATCGGAGGCTTCTGCATACCCTTGCCTCTAAACTTGGCGAGAGCTTGCTCGATCCTCTCTCGACTAACATGTTCATATGCCTTTCGCCCAACGATCTTGCCTTCTGTATCGTAGGTATCTGTCGCTGCGCCAAACAAGACTACGGCCTCGTAGCTTTTTGTGCATTCCGTCGTGAAATGGCCTAGTTCTTTCGTTCCGCTGCCGATGCCGAGAATGAGCACACCAGTCGCCATCGGGTCCAACGTTCCTCCATGACCCATCTTGACATCTCTCAGCTTTCGCGCCTTCACCTTGCGTTTCTGTCTTTGGTTGTGCGATTCGCTTTCGATCTTCGATCTCTCGCGATCGAGCCATGGTCGAAATAGTTTGGAGGGATTGAACTGCTGCTGTACATCGCGGATGACCTGAGCTGAGCTTATGCCGGGCGGTTTGTTGATGGCTGCGAGTGATTATTAGAATGCAAAGACGAAGCATGATATGGATTGGACCCACACCGTACCGAGAACGCCTTCCAGAATGGGGCCCGACATGGTGGTGGCGATTCCTGGTACAGGTTTGTTTGTGGGATGAATTGCTTGCTTGAGGCTGCGAAAGAGTAATTGGCGACCCCCCATGGGATTTGTGTCGTTGATGTCGCCGACAGAGTTGGCCGTCGAAAAGCGCGAGCACAAGCTCCGCGCACCTGGCTCCGATCCCTGCAGCCGCTAAACTTTATCTTAGCGTGCACGTCGCGACCAGGAAGGCGCGCCCAGGTGCCGGTCAACTCACGTCTGCCTTCACGCTGTGTCCGAGCACGAACCACTATCACTATTCGACAATGATTGCATGCACACCGCAATTCTGCTGATGCATCATTGACCTCCCCCGACTACGACCATGCCACCAGCCATACCCGAAGTGGAGGTGCTCCGCCCACGCGACCCCTCAGCGGAAGACAGCGACGACTGGAACGAGTTCACTTTGACGAAAGCCTTCGTTCATGCGATCGGCGACGAACGCGATCTCGTCAGTCTGCTAGTAGCAGAAGCTGGTCACCCGGTGACTGTCGTTGGCGAGCTCGAGCCACTCGATGAGGACGAGTACGACTTGTACCTACGCACACCAAAGACCGAACCGAAGCGGGCGAGGGTAGAATTGCAAGATGTGCGACAGTTTGCATTCGGCGAGGATGATGGTCACTCCGCAATATGGGCAGCTGGAAAAGCAGGTTGGCACCGGCTGCATCCGGCCAAGAAATACCAGAAGATATACGACGAGATGTGCGAGGCGGTGCAAGTGCTCTACTACATTGCAGATGCATACAAGACCGAGCGTTATGAGGGCCGAGGCAAGAACAGAACGCTGCTTAAGGATTACAGCGCGCAGGAAATCTTCGAAAACTATGCCCGGGACGTGCTGGATGTGGATGATGTAGAGGAAGGTTCCGCTCGGATATACAAGCACAAGGACTTCCTCATCGGCTCAATGCTTGCTGGAAGAGAAGGTCTGCCCTGGACCAAATATCCTCTTTGCAAGCACCTGTATAAGCGATTTCCCGACACAGTAGCCATGTTACGGAAAAGACGAGACACACCCGTGGAGCATAAAGTTCCCGCATCGAAAACCAGACATAGCAGGAAGAATCCTCCAGGAGCGAGCTCGAATATACCATCGCGGCAAAGCAAAACACGCTCAACAAGGCAAACCTCCGTTGATGCGGACCTGGCACCTCAGACTAAAGCTGAAACGGGCAGAGTACGCACGACCCGACAAGGGTCCGCCGAAATAGGAACTTCTACGGCACCAGTCAGACGAAAACGCGGCAGACCGGCAAAGAACGCAACACCTCAAGTGGCGACTCCTGATAGCGCATCGGAGACTAGCGACGCAGTTCCCGAAGTAGCAGAGCAGGAAGATACGCAGGAAGATGTGCAGCAAGACAATGAGCCTGCGCTGGCAATGGGACCACCAAAGACCCGCCCTGGAAGACATACGCGGCGGCATCCTGAGCCAGTCGAGACAGACGTCCTTGCAACGCCTGCCAAAGAGGAGGAGAGCGACGAGGAAATACGAGCGAGAGAGCAGAAGAACAAGTCTTCGCTGCGGCCACGCGCCAGCAAGGCTAGTAAATCTGCGGCACGTAATGGTGGCAAAGGGCCCAAGCAGCAAACTGAAGACTCAGACGACGAGCCTGACCCTCCATCCTCACCTATACCCGGGAAACGAAAAAGCGAGGACCATCTGGATGACCTGCAACGAAGAAAGCCAAAACGTCGGAACTCTCGACCGCATGACGATGAAGGAATCGATATTCCCACCTCACCTGACTCGAGTGGTGGTGATATTGACTTGCCGCTCCGACTAAACGACGTCGCAGAGGTGGAAGACCCTGTGCAAGAGGATACTTGGCTCTGTGCACTCGACGGCTGCACGCACAAGATCTACGCTACATCACATCCTGAGTCGCAGCGGCTGATCCGTGAACACTACGCTTTACATGCGTACGATGATGATATGAGAGTGCAAATGGTTAAGAAGGTGGAAGCTCCTTCTCTACCTGTGGGTAGATTGATGGAGAAGGTGAAGATGCAAGCGAAAGCAGAGGGCTTTCCCGGCAGTCATGCGCCGGCACCGAGTATGCCTGATAACGTGAGGAGTCGATTTGACCCTGGCGGGCACATTGGCGTCGGACAAAAGTATTGATTGTGTATATTGTCTTGGCTGGACGCAAGGCCGTGACCGGATGATCGCGCCTGGACGGCAGGAATGGTACTGTATATGACTGTATGATGAATTCCTGATGATAATTTTCTGCTTCCAAGTCTTCGCTGAGGTTTAAGCCATCTCTGTAGATAGCTGCAACTCCGCGCTCGGCAAGCGCACTCCCTGTCTCGTCGATTTTCAAGTTCTTTCATTGACCATGATCAAGAATTCTTGCTTTCGTGTGCTGGCTACTTCCATGCTGCTCGCCAATTTCGGAGAAAATTTTGGAGGATATATGGAATCGAGCATCCATGCACATCGCGCAGATCGTGCCCTTTCTCCAAGGCTCCCTGGCGCTGGCCACGACGCTTCTTGCTTCTTCCAATGCAGTCTGCACGCTTGCGTCTTCACACACCGGACTAGGCCAGGAAAGTATCTTGTGTCGTTCCTTTCTCATCGGCTCTCTCAGCGGGGCTCAATGATCGGCAGATTCTCATGTCTCTGCTTATTCCTCGGCCTGCCAAAGTAGCATCTGTGCGACGGTTGCAGCAGGGTAGCGTGACTTGCACACATCCTGTCGTGTTTTGCTTTCGTTCAAAAAACGAAACACGGCACTACTTCTCATCTCCAGCACCACTTTCAGAGGCAGCGTTTCCAGCACGAATTTGGGCTTCCAGTGCATCGAGGCGTTTCGACATATCGTCTAGTTTGCCGAGCATTTCGGTGCTGACGTTGTTGAACTTGGAACTCAACTGGTTGAGCAGATCGTCGACGACAGCGACGAGCTCTGAAGGTTTGGTTTCAGACTGTGGCGTGTGTTAGAGAGAGCTACAACTGCTTGGCTGTGTTCTGTGACTTACACTGGAGTCGGCGTTGATGTTGAGTTTGTCGACCTTAGCTGAAAGATCGGATGACATTTTCAGTATCGCAAGTAGAACTACCGATGCCGAGGTGTGAATTGTCGGTCCACAATCGAATGTTCACGTCGTGTTCTCGATGCTACGCGCAGCAAGGAGGAGGTGAGGTGAAAGGCTCGGAGTATTCTTGGCGTCGGCTGCAGCGCCACGCGACACGACGTCGATCCTGGTTGCTAATCAAGGCATTACCACATTTCTGTTCTGCATTTCTCCTGGACCGTTTTCTGGCAGTAAACAGCGAGCTCTATCCCTCAGACTGGCAAACAACTCACGTCACGAACCGACCGCGACACCACCATGGCCGACGCGACGCGACTCTGGCGATAGAAACATGACATCAACCTCATTCTCCGACATGCCCACGCTGGCCAACCCTTCATCTTCTTCGCGTCGTTCGCCGCCCTTCCATCGAAGAACGAAGTCGTGGGCGAGAAAACTGGAACGCTGCTGCTGTACCACTTTCGCCTTCTTTCCTCTCGTGTTCGTGTACGGTCTCACGACCTGGGCGGTCTACGTGGAGAGCCATGTCTCCTTCATCGGCCGCGACGATCTTGGCGCATATCTCCGAGCAGCGCTCGGAATAGTGCTGTATGCTCTGGCCAACGTCAGCTATACGATCGCCGTCTTCACACCTCCCGGATCGCCTTTAGATGCGCAGGGCGGAAAGAGGGGCAGAAAGGGCGACTACCAGGGTGTGCCTTCTCATGATGAATACAACGACTATGCGCGGCAACAAGAGGAGGGAGTGGAGCCGGTTCCGGGGGAATGGGAGCGCATGCACAACAGCGTGACTGCGAAGAGCACCGGCAAACCACGATTCTGTAAGAAGTGCCAATGCGTCAAGCCAGATCGAACGCATCACTGCTCAACATGCGGGCAATGTGTTCTGAAAATGGACCATCATTGCCCCTGGCTGGCAACTTGCGTGGGGCTGAGGAACTACAAAGCCTTTCTGCTATTCCTAATATACACGAGCCTGTTCTGCTGGTCGTGCTTCGCGGTTAGTGCGTGGTGGGTGTGGGAGGAGTTCAACGATCGCGTGCAGAATATGGAGGGCTTGATCGTTGTCAACACGATTCTCTTGTCTGTGCTAGGTGGCATCATCGGCCTTGTTTTGTCTGGGTTCACGGGCTGGCACATATACTTGGTTGTGTCTGGGCAGACCACCATCGAAAGTCTGGAGAAGACAAGATATTTGAGTCCGCTGAAGAAGAGCATGGAAAGCCAATTTCAGGACCCGAATCGGCACAATCTGGCACAAGACGAGACTCCCATTACGAATGCAGTCGTGACTGGGGAGCACCAGCCTCTCACTGACCGCCTGAAGGAGATACACGCCAACGCACTACCCGGCGTTTTGCGCCCTGAGGAAGGAGAGTCTGGCCCAAACACCCGAACACCATCCCCTCTCCCACCTGCGGCAAGCGGTAATCTCAGCTCGTCGCCCGCACAGCAGAGCTTGCACAGATCCTATGCTTCACTTGAAGCTCAACGAGAGCGAGATCGATACAACAACTATCAAGACGAACTGGACTCAGAACGCCTACCCAATGCATTTGATCTTGGGTGGAGACGCAACTTGCTGCATGTCATGGGGCCTGTTCCGTGGAAGTGGCCGTTGCCTTTCCTGAACACCACTGGCGACGGCTGGAGCTGGGAAGTCAGCCCCACATTCTGGGAAGCCAAAGATCGAATCGCACGAGAGCGCGAGCAGAGGATGCGAGAAGACGCCATGTGGAATCGTGAGGCAAGCCAACAAGCGTGGCTGCCTCCGCCACGGCCGAAATGGACTCCTGGTCAGGGGTTTGTGGATCAGGCTAGGAACGCCACGGCAGGGCCGCCGAGGAACGGCAGTCCCAGCATGCAGATGCAGTCGCTTGATAGGAGGAAACAAGATGATAATGGCGTAACGGATTATGATACGAGTAGTGACGAGGATTCGAAGTCACAGAGACGGCAGCCGCAGCAGGCGACGAGGACTGAGAATTGGAATGATATTCCTGAGGACCTTTTAGGCCCTTCCCAGGCAGGAGCTCGAAGAAGTGGCAGTCGGAACAAGAACGATTGAGAGAGCGAGCATTTGTATTTCTGAGAGCATTCTGTACAGCATCGATGACAGCGAACCTTTCAATGTTTCAAGCGTTGGCTACGCGTTGTATTCTAACATTGGACGCCAGTCTCGCCTGCCTATCCAGGTATCGCAACTGGGAAACATGGCCGGCGCCTGTACTTTCCCAAGTGAGACCCGTGAATGTCAACGACGACATGTGCATTGGACCCAATGTATACGTGGATGAGTCTACGAATCAGATCTTCAACGGTGTTCGATGTGCTTTTCCAACACAAAGAGGATAACAGTCGAGGTAGGACTCTGGACACGGGTCGATCGAAAGGCTTCTTGCTGCCTAGCTATGACGTGGAAAGAGGCCTAATACTTTACAGTGCCCGGCATCGTTTGGCCTTTGAAAGGTTTTAATTTCTGCTCGTAAAACTGACTCATCTAAGCTATGGTCCTGTGCGGACCACCTTTGGATCGAGCCTCCGTCGTCGTATGCAAGAGGTCAATAGCCAAGCTGTGTCTGTATGGAGACCAATTTCGAGTATCAGCCTCCGCTATCACGTGCAAGTGATCAAGATGCCAACATCCTACTGATCGGTCCTTTATGCAAGAGAGGGAAGCGTCATTTCGTATCTCTCGTACTCCGAAGGCCATGCGTCGATCTTCCCAATCAGCAAGCAAAGCCACTTGTGAAGCACCCACTCCTGCTCCTGACAAGCAGTGGAGCAGTATTTGCGCTTCTTGCACTCGCCACAAGATGACAGCGGCGTACCATCTGCCTTGGTCCTTGCACCGCACGTGCCACAGGCCTTGTTGTGTGGGTTTTCGGGCGCGAAGAATGCTGCGAATCGTACTGCCTGGTAGCGCCACATGTTGGTTCGAGCATCGGCTTTCGTGGAGGAGATCTTGGTTCGCGGCTCGAGTAGGGGACAGAAGAACATGCTGGCAAAGGTCGTGGTCCACTCATCGACAGTCGGACGAGCTCCTTGAGCGACAGCTTTCACAACGGCATCTCGCATGTCCCACATCTTGTCGTCGTAGCGGCCATGATCTGGTGCCCTAAAGAGAATCAGTATCGAGTTATAAAGCCGCGGAGATCTTTGTTGCCCTACCAGGTATCCAGCAGACCAGTGCCAGGGAAGATCAGGTCTTCCTGTGATGGTCCTCCGTTCGCAATGATAGTATTGCGAGCAACAGAACCAAAGTCCCATGGAACACCATTCTGTGAGCGGTCAGCTTGGGCATCCGAAAGTGCATTGAGCTGCAGAACTGGATAAACCTACCACGTAGCCGGAGTCTCTGTCCAGCGCAGCACCAAGTTGGGTCACTGCGTCACGCACGAGGCCACAGTCCTTGTAATACTGCCGCATAGAGTCGCGTTCGCCGTCCGATATCTTAACGCCGAGGGTCATGCCGCAGGCTCCGAACAGGCACAACTTGTACGCCGGACCCCATGGATCCTGCGTGCCACCTGGCACGCCCGGACGAGATTGCATTGCCTCTAGGCGGAACGATGTCATTTTCGCGGTGAAGATGCCGGAGTTGTCGAGATACTGGCGGACAATGTCCGGGTGCGTGCACAAAGAAGCAAGAAGAGAGAAGTTGATGTTCTTCTCGCCGTCCGTTGAATAGGGGCGAACATGGATAGACCTTGATTCCGGTGATCCCTCATGCGCCATGATGTTATGGTCTGCGTCGCGCATGGCGTGCCAATGATGGGCGCAAGCATTACTGGGAGTTTTGCCGTGCTCTGCTTCGAGGGCATTCACACCGCAGTCGTATGTGAGCTTGCGAATCATGTCCAGGTCCATGTCGCAGCAGAAGAGCTGCAACCCCCAGCCGCCCATGATGGCTTCGTCTGTGTGTGGCAATTGAGGGAATCTGTATTCATTTCAGTCTGCAGCTTCGTTGCGAGTGAGGACTCAGTGTTGAGCTTACGAAGGGCGCAGATGAGAGTGACGAAGGTCGCCCGACCAATTGCTCCGATGTTCGTAGAGATGCACTCGAGTGAGCTTCCTGGCCGTGGAGTGGGTTTGAGAAAACCCAGAAAGGAGGTGGACAAACTGGCAAAGCGTTTGCGAACACAGCTTTGTCCTGAAGGTTGTGTGTGCGTCAGCGCAGCGGTGTGCAGGTATGCGCAAAATATGCAAAGCGCCGCACGACACGTCCTTTTTGCAATGTGCGCGCGCGAGTTTCGTGTGCTGCCTGGTCGAAGAAGGCAAGAGCGGCTACCTTGCGCGTTTGCTGCTTTCCGTGACTCACCTTCGATTCACTCTCGAACTTCACGTCCGAGTCTTCCGTTTCACCAATCTCCATTTCATCGTCACTGCCTTCCAAGATGGGCGCCTGGGGCTATGGACTCTTCCAGTCCGATTACGATTACGACATCGTCGCCGACCTGAGCGCCGAATGTGGCCTTGACAAGCTTCAAAGTGACGCGGAGGCCAAGTCTACCAACAATGAGTCGGATTCGGAAGATGCTGCTCCTGAACCCTACTACAGCTTGTACTGCCCATCGGACGTCCAGGTTGTCTGAGAGCATCTCGAGACCCCAGATGCTGCGACTGGCTTGTCACCACTCGATAGTGCATTGAGCAAGTGGGAAGCCAAAGCTTTCGGAAAGCGTCCAAAGTACGAGTATCCGGACTCTGGCTATGCATTCGTTTTGCTCGGAGCTTGTGAGTTTCCCTAGGTGCTACCTCGACAGAGCCGTCAAGTCACCGCCATGACAAGCTGACTGTTGATAGGCGCCATGTCACTGGGTTGCAAGCTCTCTCCTAACACGCTTCAGAACATGCGCAAGATGTTCACCAAATGCGGTCTGATGCCAGATGCGCTCACTCAAATGGATGCCGCTCTGAACGGACCTGGCAGCTACAAAGGCGAGCCATGGTACTTTGATTCTCCTGGGTTGCTCGAGACGGCCAACAGCCTTTCTGGTGGTGGTGGTATGAATGTGCCTGCGCCGCACGGCATGTTCAAGGGCCCTGACGACAGGTATGCTTGTGTTGAATTGCCAGAACTCATTGTGCCGATCACTGACTGCCACACAGCCGCCTCGTTGCCAAGATCGAAGCACGCATGGCAGCCTACGCGCTTGAGAAGGACAACCATGAGATCTGTGGGGCTGCGGATTGTCAGGCCACCCACAGCAATGCCGGCAGAGCTTTGTTGGTGTGCTCCAAGTGCAAGGACAGGAAGTACTGCTCGAAGGATTGCCAGGCCAAGCACTGGAAGTCTCACAAGCTGGTGTGCATCAAGGCCGCCTAGGCATATCTGAACTTCGAATGTTATCAAGTGCGAGACTCCGACGGGGGAGGAACTGGAGAGGCGTGTCGATAATCTCAGTTCGCTTTCTGAGCTTTTGACGACTGAGGCAGAAATCGGGGGACGACGTGGATCTGGTAGTCAGAACGCCATAGACCATGGCGTAATTCCAATCGACTGTGCATTTTTACGTACCGAACGCCTCGCTAAATCCCCATACAAGCACATTTTTGCACCGCCTTCTGACATTACACTATGTTCGTGCACGCTTGCTCTTGCCTGGTCGCTTGCTACCAGCCTTCATCTTCTTCACTGAATACCCGCTGTCATCTGCGGTCGATTTGGCATCGTTGCTCTTAGAGAATCGCTTCTTGCCACCAAACCCGAACTTCTCATTCTTCTTCTGACGTTTCCTGTTTGGTCCATCACCCTTAGCTCTTCGCTCTGCCTTGTCCTTTGCAGCAGTAGTGGCGGCGTCTTCCAGCGCGACGTCGAATGGATCGTCCTCGTTGGCTGCGAGATCTGCGCCTTGGCGTTCTGTAACGGGTCAGCACGATACAATACAACTGCAGATAGCGATACTTTGACTTACTCCGCTTGAGAGTCTGAATGCGGTCCAACGTCGCCGTTTTTTCCTTCTGCCTTTCCTGCAACTTCGCAATCTGTACCTGCTTGCCGAACTTCTTGAGATCCCTTTGCCTTCTCGCGTCCGAACTTGCCTTCTTCCTCGCTTCGGTATCTAACAATTTCGCTCGCACCTTGCCCATCTGCTCCTCTGACTTCACCATCTCAGCGAAATAGTCGGTCGGTCTGCTGAACGGTACCCCTTCCGCCTTCAGCTTCGAGCGCGCGGCTGCGACTGCGTTGAGTGATTGTCGATAAAAGGCGAGCTCGCGGTTTAGATCATCCTCGACATCTGCGATCTGAACAGGCTCCTCGGAAGTGATCGCTTGGACAGCAGAAAATGGCAGGTCGGCAGGCAGTGCGATTGACTTTAATGATCGTGCAAGAGCAGCCGTGTTGTTGATGGTCAAACGCTGATGTGGGACAACGTCTTCCTTGTCTTCGGACGCCAGTGATTCGAGATCTGATAGCGGGATATCCTCTTCGTCCTCTTCGTCGTCTTCGTCATCCTCAGCAGCGTCGTTCTCGATCTCAGACTCCGACTCAGATTCGTCCGACAGTGGGCCGATCTCAACGCCGCCATTTGCATCCTCCGCGTCCTCGCTCTCGTCGGTCTCCCAACCTTCTGCGTCTTCCTCCTTCTTGCCGCCATTCGCTATCTCCTCTGCCTCGGCAGCTGCTTTGGCGGCAAGCATGGCGGCTCTTCGCTCTTTGCGATTGCCGGCCTTGGGTTTCTGTCTCTTGTCCACCTTTTCCTCGCCGTCGACTTCGATGACCTCTGCGCCGGCAAGGACATTCTCGAGTGCAGAGAAGTCAACCTCATCTCCCTCATTCTCGTCGCCTTCATCAGCATCGTTTTTCGACTGCTTCGCTCGCTTGCGCTTCTCTGCCTCTTTCTGCTTCTTCTTTTGCTTTTCGAGTTTGTGATCGACACCCTTTTGCCTGTCGAGCGCAGCTTTCAACTTGAGTGCTTTCGCCATTGTGTCGAACCGTTTATGGAAAGAGAATATCGAGGTGGGATCGTAGTGCGAAGCAGCAGTGCAGCTTCTTTCTCGAGCAAGAACTTTTGGGTTGCGTGCCGAATCCCTGCTAGCGTGCTCGGAAGCCGCTGCCGAACCGAACTCTAAGTTGAATGTGCAGACTCCCGCGGCGTATGTCCTCCCTCGCAACTCACGATCAGAGCGGGAATACAACATGTCAGCTCATCAGCCATGATTTTCTCTCGTCTGTCATCGCGAGGTCTCTCGCAGCCCATAGCGCGGCATTGGCGCAACATTGCATCGACATCATCCAGGAACACACGTGCGAAGCCCAGCAACGAAAGCAAGTCACCATTAGTGAAAACATGGGACTACCTGACGAAAATCAACTGGCGGAATGTCAACCCTCTACCCTCCATGATGTATGCCACCGCATTCTTGCTCGGCTACCATGTCTTCACGAACTATTTCTACGTGATCGATAACTGCCACGGGCAGTCTATGCTGCCGACGTTTGCCTACACCGGTGATCTGGTGTGCCTTAGTAGATATTACAGGCGAGGACGAGGCATTCAGCTAGGCGACTTGGTCAGTTTCAAAATACCTATCAAAGATGAGTATGGTCTCAAAAGGGTGGTGGGAATGCCAGGTGACTTCGTACTGATGGATACACCTGGCAAGAGCGATGCAATGATTCAGGTAGGAGCACAGCGATGTCCATTGCCAATTGTTTCAGGAAAATTAACATATGGTAGGTACCGGAAGGGCATTGCTGGGTGGCTGGCGACAATCTTGCGCACTCTCGCGACTCCAGACATTATGGACCAATTCCCCTGGCATTGATTCATGGCAAGGCCGTATTCAAATACCATTACCGTCGCTGGTTGCCCACTGGCTTTACAACATTCAAGCGTGGCTTGAAATCTGCTGAGATAGAGGACGAGATTGATTGAGTGGCATTGAAGCACTCATTTTAACATGGCCGAAGTTTGCACTTGGACAGACTACCGTCCTTGTGGCGACATGGCCGTAAAGCTTGGTCATATGCGTCGGACGTAACCCTTTGCAGAGCGAGCGGCAACGCATATCGATAGCGGCTGATTTTGTGCTATGTCATTACGCAGGCATGAACATTCATGCGTACGGGCCAGCACACGTGAATCATCATGGCTGCTACCTCACGCAGGCTCTTCGGAAACAATGCATAAGCGGCTCCAAGGCGCGACTCCTTCGCAACTTCTCGTCCCTGCCTCGTTTGAGCCATGGCCAAACCTTTTCTGATCACCGTTGCTGGGAACAGCGGCTTCATGATGGCTCAAGCCCTGCGAAAAGAAGGGATGCCTTTTCAAATCTTCGAGCGAGATCAGTCTCCAAGCTTCAGGAGTGCAGGGTAGGGACCGACGCTGAATTGGGCACTTCCGACGTCCCGATCGTTGCTGCCAGAGGACATAGTAGCAATGCTGCTCGAGACTTTCGTCAATGCCGAAGCTGTGAGGCTGGCGAGAGGAGAAGCTTTACCTTCCACGATATCAGCACTCGAGAGGCGAAATGGAAGGTGCCTTCCCCCGAGAAAATTCGGGTGAGTCGCAGAAGTAAAACTGCTGGCTCAAGGCTGTGACATAGTCGCCATGCGCAACCCAGGCAAGGACCATGGTGCTGCGCCCCCGCCGAGCGCATGTATCAGAGATCGCTCAAGGTTCAGCGATCGCACAAGACCGTTCTTCAGACACCACTCTTCTCCTTCTCCTTCGCTGCTTTCCGCGCCAGGTATCTCGCCTTCGCATCGCTCACGTCCGCAGCAGTCTTGGTCGATTTTGCAGCCTTCTCCAGCTTTTCCCGTTCAGCGTCTTCTTCCTCACGCTGTCGCTTTTGTCGTTCAGCAATCTGCTCTTCCATCATCCTGCTCTGCCTCTCCCTCGTGGCCTGCTGAGCATCCTTATTCCTTGACGGGAAGGCCGACTGCGCAGGACGATTCGAACTCTTCAAATGATCTGCCCCTCGTCGATCGGACCCTTTGCCAGACGGTACAATATTCAACCCAGCAGATAGTAGCTCTCGCTTGTCTGTAATTTGACCTTCCTCATTGACATGGATATTCTTTCCTGCCGCCTTCGCCTCTTCAGCAAGTTCAGCGTCCGTCTTCTTGCGCTCCCCTTCGCCAATCTTGACACCTTCTTTCTCCGCTTTCTCGGCGGCCTCCACTGCTTCCTGATGTTGCTTCTCACTCTGATCCATCATCGTGCGGTAAAAGCCTGCCATCCCTCCCACAAGCTTATTTCCCCTCCGCTTTGCCTCTTCTTCGGCCCTCTTCTTCTCTTCCTCTTCCAGCCTCCTTGTCTCCTCCTGTTGAGCCTTGTATGCCCCTGTCACGAATTTCTCCTTATCCGCAAATTCATCTCCCTCAGCTTCTCGCTCTTTTTGCAATAGCTTCTCCTTCGCGATCTGCTGATCTTGCTTCCGTCTCGAAGCAGACTCTAGCAAATTGTTGATGTACTTCGGTTTTCGCAGAATTGCATCTTCCTTTTGCGCGGCTTTCTTAGCCTCCGTCACGGAAGTCTTCGCATCGTGGAAGGAATCATAGTCGAAAATCGCGGCATCTGCTTCCTGGGCGTCCTTGACTTTGTTTTGCGCGGCGCGCAAGGCAGAGAGGTCTTGTCGGGAATCATCTTCATCGTTCATTCGTTTTGGAGGATTCTTGGGCGGCGGTTTCGAAAGACCAGGAGCAGGTTTTGATTGAGGTGCTGGCTTCGTGCTGCGGCCAAAGGTGCTGATTTCCTCGACAGCGACTTCTGCTGGGCCAGAATTTTGAGGTTCATCGTCGCCATCTTCATCATCGAGGAGGGTCCGCCTGGGAGGCGGTGCGCCTTTCTTCTTCACATTGAGGCCGTACTTGAGCGACATGGTGTTGTTGTTGCAGGAAGTTAGTTGATCTAAGCTGAAACGGGCAAGTATGGCGACTGTATCGGCGAGACTGTCGGGCCGGAAAGCTTCACGGCCACAGCAGACCCGGCCCGGCTGCCATGTATCGGACTTGCTCCAGCTGTGCCTGCCATGTTGACAATACATTTCTCAATCTGTGTCTGAAACATTCACAGACAGAGTTGTTATATCAGTCAGAATGACCATGTCAGAAAACAAAAGTCGTGCGCTTCGAGGCGAGCTTTACTATGCATTCACACCAGAAATGGTCAACGGCCGCCGTCGATGTACCCAAGCTTGCAATCGATACAATAATGCCGGGGAAGTGACAAGGAGACGCCAAGTAGAATTGTGGCGAGAGTCCGTAAGCGACGGCACTATGTCGAGAACATTCGCTCACCTCATCCAGTATCGTTGGCGACAAGTCTCCACTCCCGGACAAAGCACAAACGGAAGAAGACGACGAAGAACTCTTCGCTAACGATGCTTGGGTTGAACCGCCGGTTCGAATTGATTATGGGACGAATGTCGAACTCGGCAAGAATGTTTTCATCAATTTCAATTGTACCATTCTGGACACCTGCAAAGTCCGGATTGGCTCTAGAACTTTGATCGCCAGCAACGTGTCATTGTATAGTGGCACTCATCCTCTAGATCCTGAGGTACGTAATGGTACTCAAGGACCAGAGCTGGGTGGCGAGATCAACATTGGCGAAGATTGTTGGCTCGGCGGGAATGTGATCATCTTGCCAGGGGTTACCATCGGACAGGGTTGCACGGTTGGAGCTGGTAGTGTCGTGACGAAGGTATCGATTCTCTCTTGCTTCGATTCATCAACATTGAATCTCATGCTGATGTTCGTTACCGCAGGATGTTCCTCCCTATAAAGTTGTCGCTGGCAACCCGGCCCGGATCATCAAAGATGTACCCCGGGGGACAAAAGCAGAAGTGTCGAGTGGAGCTCTAGCAGCGCTCCAGCGAGATGAGGAGGAAGAAGCAGGGCCATGAGCCTGTCGGGACAGCATTACGACAAGACAGGAATGTAACTTCATGACTTATGCCCTTCACGAGTTAATTTGCTCCAGCCAGGGAGTATGACGGGGCAGACTATCTATTGGAAGAAAGCCGTGGACGACGAAACCCATATCTCCGACCTCTTTTGCAAGCGTCAAATGCATCAAGCCAATGCTTTTGTTTCCTCTCCTTGGTCATATCTTTGGTGAGCCAACACCTGGTTCTTGGCGACGAAGCGCCAACATATGCTGCAAGTGAGCCTGCCATCTATCATGCTCAGCACAAATCGACTGGTCTCCATCCAGGTCGACCATTTCCTCAGCAGTTCTTCCGCCTTCGTCCTCTACACGCCTGTAATCTGCCCACCTCATCAGCTCTAGTACCATGGCGTGACGGTTCGCAAACGTTATACTCACGCCACCCCCAGACGCCTCCAGCTTCTGCATAACACTCTGACCACTTCCGTTCTGGATGCGCCTCTTTCAGCCTATCTGCAGCAGCCTTTTGCCTCATCGTCATGCCCCACGCCCCGGCGTAGTCCGCACCAGTCTGGTGACTTATGATGTCGCCATGATCATCCCGTTCCGTCCTGTCAGACCGTTCCTGCTTGGTCTTGATAGGATCCAAGAAGAAATGTATCGAGATACTGTGAGATTCACGAGCAGCCGCCCAGTCTTTCCCTTCACCTGGGTCGTCCCAGGCGGCATTGAGCTTTTGAAAGCATTCGGCAGTGGTCAGCGACGGGTCTCGAGACTTCATGCTCGGGATCAATGTCTCTACGGGAACATGATCTGGAAGAATCCATTCGCCTGTTGTAGAACGAGTTGCATCTCGACAGAATGAAGGTGAGTTGTAAGCACTAAACCTCTCGAAACGGGCGTACCAGTTTTCGTCCCAGACTGCTCTTAGTCCTTGCATACAGGCCGCTGGGGTAAGTGAGGGTTCTGTAGCGAGCATTTCATGTATCATGGTCTCAAACGGAATGGCTGTGTCGAGCAGCCAGGCGCCATCTCCGGAACGGCTTGCATCTGGACATGCGATAACTTCGGCTACGCCCTTCTTGCGGAGTTCATTCATGGTGATTAAAAATTGGTTAAATATTGACAATACCGATGCTCTGACTAGTTGCGATGCACTTGGACATTTGTCTCATAACTTCGTAAGAATCATGTACTGAATCAATCTTAACCACCCATTGCGGCACAGCATGCATGCCTATGTTTAGCAACAACCAAGACGCTTAGCGCATTGTGTCGCCGGAGACTTGCTATGAGACTGTGCCTCACTCGCCCTTTCTCGATCCCAATCACGTACTCCCAACTGCTGGTTGCACTTCCAATTTCACTCATTGCCTCGAACCAGGATAGAAACGTGGTCCCTTGTTGTTCAGGCATTCGGTGAAGGAAGAACACGTGCCTTTGCTGTACCCAGTGTTGCATCCCACATCGACACAGGCGCGACCGGATGGGCAGTCCTTGTCTGAGTTGCAGCTCGACAGGCCAGAACAGTCACCAGCAAAAGCGTTGCATGCACCACCTTCCGCACCAACACGGAAGTCGCAGAAGCAGCCGCCATCGCAGGAGCGGCTGTTAGTGTCGCAAGTTGGAATCTTTGGAGCTGGCCTAAGCAAATGTCAGCTCGCTGCAACGAAGGTTGATGTACTCTAGAACGTCTGGGAAGTCTTACTTGGCACACTTCACACCATGGCCTTTGCTCGTCTTCTCGAAGTACGGAGATGGGTTGGCGTTATAGTAGCACTTGTGGGTCTTCTTGCTCCATTTGGCGCTCAGGCATTTCGAATCTTTGGCGCAGGCCTTGACACAGTCGTCGTAGCAGGATTGATAGTTGTTCTTGTAGCTGCCGCTTGTGAACTCGTAGTTGCAGCTACGCACGCATTGGCGTCCGTTAATGCTGATGGGTCCGCTCTGGCAGCTGTCTGACTTAGAGGCAGGGTTCGCCAGAACGCCGACGATGGGGAGAAGGGCAACCAGGACTGTGCTGAACAACATGTTGGCGGATGAGGCTGTCGTGAGGGAGAAGGTAGAGAGTGACGAGTCGTGCCACTGCGCGACGAAGAGTTGGACGGGCGTTTATGGCATTCTGGTAACGCATGGCCCATGCGTACATACTTCAGCCTCTCGCGTGCACATTGCATATCCTCATTCGAAGGCTCGACGCTTGTCGACGCCTTGAAAGTATACAGCCGTGAGAACGTGTCTAGCCGCGCGAGACTGCGCTGAGAGCGCGCGCCCCGAGCGTGAAGCCCTTTCTCATTACGGTAAGAGCCCGTCTGTCGACCGTTTGGTTGGCGCTAGAGCAATAGCTTTGCCAGACACGTGGCGCTATGCCACGAACGTAAGGGGCAACAGCACAGATGGGGAAGGCCGAGACGCCACTCAATCTCGCTCGCTGACTTGTACCTCCCTTCCAGTGTTCGCGTGCCTTGGGACTGGCATATTATTGCCTGGAGTCGTCGACACAGGCCAGGTTGCAACGCGTTCTTGTTTTTGCAGTTCGTAATGCGCAAGTAAGCGAAGTTGCTACTCCTTTGCCAACGACTCCAAGACCGATGGCAATATAACGTCCTGCATCCTCTTTCAGCGTCGAGCTGGCCGCGGACGCAGGTGACGCCGTGGCTCTCGCTGAATAGGGCGACTTCCGAAGGAGGCGTGCGAAGCTGAAGCAGAGACTGGATGGGCGAGGTCGACAGAGATGAAAAGGCTGGTACTGTACTGCATGGAGGTGACAGAAGTGGAAAGGGATGTTCCAGAACGCTCGAAGAAGTTCGGTGTTGCCTGAGGCGTCAACCACTTTTCCTGGTCCTTCCGAGACACATAGCAGTCGGGCCACACCTCTGAGTCGCATCGTCTAGAACTTGCTCCCAACGATGGGACCGATTCGACTGCGTCCATCGCCTGCCCGCCGCTGTCCCATCTCGGCGACGCAAGATCCGGCGACCTCGGCATCACAGCCCTACCCTCTCCGTCGGCCGAATGGTTGCTCCGAAAAAATTGGACCTCCTTTCCTCGACTAAACTGCATCAGATCAAGTGCGGCGCTGCGGACAGACTCCGAGGAAAATTGTTATGCTGAGCGAGCGGTGCACAATTAGAAATGCACATGTCGTGAAAGTGATCACGAAGCCCGACCGAGGCAGATCAGTAGAATGCAGATGCCACAGATAAGTGTACGAAATCTCGCAAAGTGTAACACATTCCCATCGACAGTTCTTCTTCCATTCACGCTTGAGCCACAGTACGGTCAACCTGCAAGCTTGCAGTGCAGCCATTCTGTGACGACTCCATCATGTCTTCTCCAGCCTTGGAACCGTTCCTCCTCCCAAATGGAACCAAACTCAAGAATCGCATTTACAAAGCCGCCATGGAAGAAAACATGGCGGACGTCGCACATGGCAATCAGCCGTCCGAGGGACTAATCAATCTGTATCGCACTTGGGCAGAAGGGGGATCCGGTCTTGTTATGAGCGGCCATGTAATGATTGATCCACGCGCTATGGCTCTGCCTGGTGATGTGTTACTGGCAGAAGATGGCCCAGTACAAAGCGACCAGCGTTGGAGAGAGTGGATCAGGGCAGCAAAGTCGAACAACACGCAATTCTGGCTGCAGATCAACCACCCCGGACGACAGATCAAAAAGGGAAGTGGCTTGCCTACTTATTCTCCTTCGGCTGTGCCACTCGAGATGGGTAAGCTCAGCGGTATGTTTGATATGCCGCTTGAGATGAGCGAAAAAAAGATCCAGGACGTCATTCAACGCTTTCGCTGGGCAGCGAAGAAGGCCGAAGAGCTAGGAGTCGATGGTGTAGAGATACATGCAGCTCACGGAGTAAGACCGTCCTACTTCGAGTGGGATCTTATCCACTAACGTTTACCAGTACCTGATCTCGCAATTCCTGTCACCAAAAAGTAATAAGCGAACCGATCGATGGGGCGGCCCCCTCGAAAATCGTGCCAGGCTTCTTTTGGAAGTCATCAAAGCAATCCGAGAAGCAGTCTCACCGTCCTTCGGCGTAGGTGTCAAAATCAACAGCGCCGATTTCCAACGCGGCGGCTTCGACTCGAACGATCTGAAATGGACCGTGGAGCAAATGAACGACATGAAACTCGACTTTGTCGAACTATCTGGCGGCAATTATGAAATGCCAGCTATGGGCGGCGCCGCTCAAAGCAACGAGAAGAAATCTGCTCGTACAATCGCTCGTGAAGCATATTTCCTGGAAGCCGCGCAAGAATTGAAGAGTATAGCTAAAGTGCCATTGATCGTGACAGGCGGTATTACAAAGCTGGAGACCGCCAACGCTGTTGCATCATTGTCAGATAATACACTGGTCGGTATTGGAACTGCGCTTGGTTATATTCCAAATTTGCCCAATCGCTGGGCTGCGGGTGAACAGCCGGTTGTGAATCTGCCCCAATCGTGGATTCTGCCTGGAATGTTGAAGTTTGCGGGCAACATAGCCTGTGTGCATTGGAATATGGCCAATATCGGGAAGGGCAAGCCGATCTGGATGGGCGTGTGGCCCATGTTGGCAGTCTTGTGGGAGGCTTTGGGGGAGAGGAAACAGATGGCTGAGTATAAGAAGTGGTTGGCGGCTTTGGAGAAGCAGTCCGGTAAACAAGCGTGAGTAGTGTTTCCGGGAAAACACGATCTTGCCCTGAAGAGCAACGAATGTCACGATTCACCTCTCGCATGGACGCGCAAAGGCAAGCCTAGGAGAAGATGCACACAAGCATCAACGAGGACTCTCCACAGCTTCTTACGCCTTGTGTCTCTGAAATCCACCTCTGTGTCCGGCGCGAAGAACAGACACGTTCCAGGAGCACGTCATACGAGGCGTGCTACAGCTTGCGTTGATCGAGCGTCAGAGCATGGCCGCGTTGAGCTGGGCTTAGAGCGATGTGGGAATTGGGGGAGGATCATGGGGACCATTGACAATCTACCACTATTGTGGCCGCTCGTCTAACGAAGGCATCTCAGGTTGGATGTTTGAAAAGAACAGACTTTAAATCGACAGACTCTACATGAACTTGTCTAGACTTGCATGCCGAAGTCTGTTCTGACATCCATCAACAGACGGTGAATGCACTGTTCCCAGTGATCGCAGCGCAACGAAAGATTCCGAATCCACATCTTTGCCATGGAAGCAGACTATTCGACCCCGTTGAAAGGCATTTCCGTCAACTGCGCATACGACTTCATGCGTAGCCACTGTTTGCCTTCTGATCTCAGCGTCCATGGCCTGCCGTGGACAGAATAGATGTTGTGTTCGTGAGGTTCCTCATGTTTAAATGTTCTGTCGACGTACCAATTGTCGTACACCTTTGCTTTCCTTTTGTCTTTCGCCTCGTTGTTTGCCTTGCCATTATCATTTGCCTCGCCATCGTTGTCTGCCATTCCATCGTTGTCTGCCTCGCCATCCTCATCTGAAATGCCGTCTTCATTGGTCTGATCAGCGTTGGCATTCACTGGTGCCATCGGCTTGCTGTAATCTTGTCGCGGCCACTTCAAGTACATTGCGCCGGGAACCAGAATCCGATCGCCTAGTGGCTTGATGAAGCCATGTGAGTCCTCGTTGACATTGTAGTGCAGTCCAAAGAATTCGCAGATCGCTTCGATGACCCAAGCGCCTGTCATTTTCACGCCTCGAATCACATTATCTGGGCAAATGATGATCGCAGCCTTCTCCGTCTGTGCATGAAAGTTCCCCTCGGAACATGTTGGATGATTCCTGAAAAACTCGCGGAATTCCTCGCGCAGCATATCTTTGACGCGCTCAGTCAGGTTGCCCCCAGATTCTTCATCATTCAGGACCCAAAGAGCGTCCATGCACGGTTCTATAAGCTCGAGCTTCGGTCGTTCAAAATTGTGGGCATCAATATGTGCCGCGAAGAAGTGCGTGTCGCTGACAGGAACATAGACTCCGACGCAGGTGTAGCAGCATGTGGTTCCAACTGCCTTGATGTCTTGGGTCACTTTTCCGGTGAGACTGGTGTATTGCAGAGGCAATTTGAACAGTCCTCCTTGACCTTGAGAAATGTGCAAATATTCACCTCTGCTGTCGCCAGCGGCGGAGGATTCTCCGATACCTGGGAAGATGTCTTGTGCCTGGAGGGGAATCGGCTCAATTGGTGCTGAGCGGCCGTGATCAATGCTGCTGAAGGCTCTAAAGAATGCCTTGCTCACTTCGGGATCATCCATGGCTTGTGAAGCTGTGATAATGCCAAAGGTTGAGCCTTGCGAAGTCCTTGAGAAGTCCGAACAACCTCATGGCGGATGACTGTGATACAAGTAGCGACTTTCAAAAAGCATCAAACACTCTTTACAAACAAATGAATACGAAATGGAACATTCTCTCCACTTTAGCTCACCTTGCCAATGTTCTGCGACTCATAAGAGAACTCAGCCTTCTTGCTTGTCTCATCGCGTAGCTTCTAGTGCTCAATGGACAACGTCAGCCTTCAAGCGAGTACTGGATGGCATGGTTGAAGTGTCTAGAACGAGCGTTCGATGACTTTCATAGTCTGAGAGTGTTGTGTTGTGGTTTCGGTCGCGAGAGGAAGTCATGGCCAAAATCTTGGCACTCGACGACGCGTCTTGGGATCACCTGTCTTCGTACAGTGTAAACACCACTCATCTCGCCATCTGCGGAACACATCGACATGTGTTATGTGTCTTGCGGCGCAAATGAAATGGCCTGTACAGTATCGATGCCTTTAGATGCACTTGGCTGTCCTAGTCTATCCGAGACGAGCACCCGAGTGCACCGCGTCGCGTCGGTAGTGTCTGCTTACAACTACAGCAGAGCAAAAGCGCAGAGATCAGACAGGACTCACAAAGTACCTTATGAGCACTCTTGAACAGGGTTTACGGACCGGGGTGCCGCCATAACAGGCGTTGGAGATGCACAGCCAGTCCAGCTGCTGAGCGGCCGAGACTCTCGTTTGAGAATCTGGCAGTATCCGCTGCTATGGGTGAATTAAGAAATCTGCAACATGCGGTGGCCATTGGATATCAGGATCGGCGTTAAATCAGGCCAACTGGAGGTTCATATCTCTTTTTGGACTCGAGACAACGACCTATGCTCAACCCTTGTGAGGAACGCACTCTTCACTCTGCATGACTTTCGTAAAATTGAGATTACCTTATGATCGAACTGCTCCAGTTCAGGCTCCGCTGATAAGATGATCTCGAAGATTTACAATGTTGTCAGAAGCATGAGTGATAATATCCTGGGACAAGTATGACGGACATCGGTACCGATCGCCGAGATGCAACGCCATAGTCTACCACAGCTATTCGGCCACAAGCTTCAATGTGCTTGCCTCACAACTCGCATCATGTTACAGCATTCACGTTCGCTGAGCAGACGAGGCTTACAGTACTTCAACACCGGCATATACACGAGCGCAACAGTAATCTCACGTGCCGAAATTGCTGGCGAGAAAACCTGGTATCCGCCGAGAACTCATCAGAGCTTTAAAAGAGCATACACCGCAAGCAAGATCACTCGAATGGCTTCGTCAAACACGATCAGCAGCGTCAAAGGCGATGGCTACACTTTGGGCGTCCTCGCTTGCGGCACCATGGGCAATGCAATTCTGAGCGGCATTTTCCAGTCGTTGAATGAACAAAACAAGCTTCACCAAAGCAGTAGCGACCGACAACTCATTCCCAGTAGATTTGTTGCTAGTGTGCGAAGACCTGAAGGAGCTCAGAAGATTAAATCGGAGCTTCGTCATTATCCTCAATTCGAGAAGCTGTCCATCTATCAGAACGACAACACCAGCGCAGCGAAGGAAGCAGATGTTGTGATTCTCGCGTGCGCGCCAAACAAGCCTGCTTCAATTCTGCAAGCGCCTGGAATGAAAGAAGCACTTTCGGGCAAGCTCTTGATCCACATCCTTGCGGGAGTTTCAGTGAAGGACGTCCAAGAACAACTGCACGACACTACTGCACCTGAAACCTCGCAATGTACTATAGTGAGGACGCTACCGAATGCAGCTGCAGCAGTGAGACAAAGTTGCACAGTCGTCGCAACCTCAGACCCGCTTCTCACGCCTGAGCATGATGCCATTGTCAAGTGGATCTTCAGCCAAGTCGGTCGAGTCATATATCTTCCTGAAGCACAAATGAACATCGCGGCCGTTCTCGCAGGGGCTACTCCTGCCATGATGGCAACTCTGATCGATGGTATTGCACAAGGTGGGATTGAGCTCGGAAGCCCGATGAGAGAAAGCTACGAAATGGCAGCACAAGCTATGATTGCGGCTGGGACACTGGTCCTCCAGGGAGCGCATCCGGCTCAGGTTCGAGATGGCTGCAGCTGTCCCGGAGGATGTACTGCCAAGTCCCTGGCAGTGATCGAAGAAGGTGCCGTGAAGGGAACTCTGGCAAAGGCAGTCCGGGAGGGCGTAGGCGTTGCTGAGAAATTGGGTGCGAAAAGCGACTAGAACATCATTCACAATGATGGTATAGTCTCCGTGCCGGCGTTGAGACAGAGTACACACGATGTAGACAAGGCGTGGAAGTGGCAAACATGTCTCAGTCGCAGACTTACAGGTATGAAACATGCAGAACAATGCCAAATACCAGCGCATATTCACAAACAAGGCCACGAAGAAATCAAGCATCCTCACAAGAAATTCCATTCGGAGGCCAGAACCCTGTTCTTCCCATCTACATAGCCAGGAGTTTGCTCGCCCACAGCCATTATCAAGCGCCAGCATCGTCAACACTCTCCAAACTATGCCGCCAGAAACACGATCCGAAAAGCTCGAATGCACCAGCTGTTGGGAAATCCTCTCCAAATGGTGGTTTCCCGACCTACCACTCGCCGCCGGCTGCGAACACAAAATCAACATCTGCATCAAATGCCTTCAAAAATGGATCACTACTTCTATTGACTCTCAATATCAGCCACGAATTCTTTGTCCGCATGTCGACTGTGATGCGAAGCTTGAAGGCGAACAAGATCTGGAACGTCATGCGAAGAAGTCAGATTGGAACCGAGTTGGAGCGCGTATAACGATCATCAACGTTGGAAAGTTGGGGGCGCCGGCGGACAGGAATGCCCCTGGGCAGATGGGCGGGGAGGATAGATTGAGTAGGGAGTTGATTGAGAGAATGAAGAGGGAAGGGAAAGTGGTGGAGTGTTTGAACTGTTTGTGTGAGATTGAGACGGAATTCGATGTTGGGAGGTTTAGATGTGGGAGATGCCTTTATGAGCAGAAGTGGGAGGGGAGTGAGAGTTGAAACGAAAAGGCTTGGCGCAATTGATGGGCGAGACCGGGGGTACTTTTGCAACCTCATATCGCTCTCATTTGCGCGGAAACTGGACTTTCAAAACCATAATGCGGATCGAATGAATTTTCTATGTTGGAGATCTCCGTTTGAAAAGCACTCCCATCTCGTGGAACGTGTGAAGCTTGTCTACCAAGCCGTGATATCCTCGGCCTCAGCTTCTCCAAATACACTAGCCTTTGCCTCTGCCTTCTCCTCTTCCTTCGGTGGCCAGTTGATAGGCTCTCGTGCCATGATATCTGGCAATTCGCGTTTCATAAACTCCTTCAAAAAGCCATTGACCTGCTTGAATTCCAGCAAGAAAGCATCATGCCCATCGGGACTATCGATGTTCTTGAGCTCTGCGTTCGGAATAGCAGCAGCAAGTTGCTCTTGCTCCTGGTAGGTGAAGAGGCCATCGCTCTGGATACCAAGGACAAGAGTTGGCTGCTGAATCATAGCCAATGCAGCTCGAACTTCTTCCTCGGTGGGAGAGCCAGTGGTGTCGGTTCTGCCACGAGCCACATCGTGCGTGTCGAGCTTTCTCGTGATGGCGATGTAGCAATTAGCATCGAATCGCTTGATGAATTTCTCGCCCTGGTACCGCAAGTAGGACTGAGCAGAATAGTATGTTGGCACTTTTCTTCTGCTTGGTTTTACTTCGACTGGGATCTCTTTGTCGCCGGAGAATTGCGGATCTTGGACTGTCACGAACTGCTCCTGTGGCTGGAGCGAATCAACGCTTGCTGTCAGGTCGCCATCGGGAATCTGTGCTCGGGAGTGTCGTCTGCTCGGGTGCTGTCTTGGACTTCCGGCGTTCCGATGTCCCTCGTTGTGGGTGTAGAAGTGCTCTTCGCCTCCCTCGTCTCTCACTGGAGTTCCTGGTCGCTGCATGGTATTGATGCCACCTTTGGCTTGCCTGGGATCTGGGTGCTTTCTGCCAAATCGGCTCTCAAAGCTATCGCGAGAGCGATAGGTGAGAAGTGCGCTCATTCTCGCAGCTCCGAGACCACTGGCTGGTGGATCGCCGAATTGATAGTAACCATCATCGTACTTCGGATCCGAGTAAATACTCTGCCTCTGCGCCTCACCCCAGCTGATACCCCACGCACTGTATCGAGCAGATGTCGCGATCGGTATAATGCTCCTCACATAGTCTTTGCCAAAGTAGGCAAATTCCAGCACGAGCATTCCGCCCATACTTCCTCCAATGACTGTCGCGATCTTCTTCACGCCGAGGTCATCGAGCAGAATTTTGAACAGATTCACATCATCTCTTATTGTCGTGAGCGGGAACTCCGGGCCATAATGCCCTTCCTCTTTCACGCCATTCTTCGCTGTCACCGGGCTAGCACTTCCATAGGGACTTCCCAAGCTATTGAAGCAGACGATGAAGAAGCGAGACATGTCGAAGGCTCTGCTTTCCTCGCCATTTGGGCCCGGGCCTCCGAGAAGAGGTCCCCACCAATCTTGGACATCGGCGGAGCCAGTCAGGGCGTGGCAGATGACCATGGCATTGTCGGCTTCGGGCGAGAGGTTGCCGTAGGTTTTGTAAGCGACTGGGACATTGTGGAGCGTTGCGCCGGATTCGAGGGTAAAGGACGGGATTATGGCGATGTCTTGATTCGGGATCAGTTTCACAAAGGGATTTTCGGTCTGGTCAGCAGGCTTGATGCGCTCTACACAGCAGAAGTCAGTCAGGCAGGTGGAAGGCGGGGTCGTAAGAAGTGGAATGTACTGAATTGGTGCGTCTTGTGGTCGGAGGCGTGAACCAATCCATTGGGGGCAGTCGTCATCGTTGAAGGTCTGGTGTATATGGCATAGGCTGTGCCGTGATGTGTAGAGAAGACGAGAGGGAGGGGAGGGAGACAACGAAAGATGTAGGCGGGCAGCGAAAGAATCACTCCATTGACTCAAATTTCCCACGCTTTTGCCGATCTACGCTGTGAAGCTTTCTGACGCCATCGCACAAACCACCAATGGCAACACCGACAAACATGTACTTGCGGCGAGGTATTGATGATCCGGCAGAAGCAATGGGAATCGTCCTCCATCTGCCGAAATTGCAGACTCGAGGCGGCAATGGCACAAGGCGAAGAGAGAGGGAGAATGTCATCGGCATTGGTGAGCGGCGGGAACGTGAACGGAGCCCGGTCCGCCCATTCATATGAAACTGACTCATGTTCCATGCCCAAGTCTCGCACTTCACCTCGTTTCTACAACAGCGGGAAAGATTCGCCGCCACCAAAGGGCGTCTACACGATGAGAACGTTATCGCACGGATTGCCCTCCGGCGTCGACTCTGGATCGACCTGTTGCAGAGCATAAGCATTCTTCGGTGTCCCATCCACCCCTTCAGAAAAAGCCCATTGGACGAACTTGATACTCGGCTCGTCCACCAGCTGCGTGAAAAGATCTGCCACTGCCAATGTCAAAATTAGCATGAAGAGCATTGGCAAGAGCCATCTGACCTCCATTCCGAGCGGCCCAGTATTGGGAAGCTTCATCCAGTTGTCACAGGTCCTGATCTGGCGATAGCGTCTTGCCAGCCCACACGCAGCATACATTCGGACTCCCACACTCCAAAGCAAAGGGCCGTGGATAAGATAGAAGCTGTAAGATACCCGGCCAAGATACTGTGGAAATCGCATCTCGAGTATGTGCTTGCAACTCGAAATTTGTGGTATGGATGTGACTGCCAGAGTCGAGCCCCAGAAGCGATACCAGAATTTGAAGTCTGGGTAGTTCGGTGGAAGGAGAAGGTGCAGAGCCGACCAGCCTGGATACGCGCTGAAATGTTGAGGCTCGCCCGCGAAGCCATGCCCGAGCGCTGACATGTACAATCCCAGCACGAGGAAGATGTACCACATGCCTTGGTGACGCGGTCTGACTCGCTTCAGCAGGTTCGGCAGCTGCTTAGCTTCAGAAAGCAGTGAGATGTCGCAGAAGATGAGGCCTACGAAGAACAGCGCATCGACCTTCGCGAGGTAGAGACGGTAGGCGCACATGGCTACCTCTGTTACCAATCGTGCTTCCTTCGAGAAACGAGACGTCGCAAGGATCGTGCAGTATATGAAAACCGAGCCCCAAAACTCCTCCGGGATCGTCCACAAATGAGGATTGTATCCAGTAATATCCCCAGCGTTGTGCAAATCCCACCACCTTCTCAATTCCGCCGTCCACGAATCCAGCAACTCCGGCGATCCTTTCGCCAAACTGCGGAATCCCAGAGCATACCAACTAGACATCCAGATAAACGTCGAAACATAGACCGGCAAGAAAAGTCTTCCCCATCGACGAAAAAGACTTGAACCGGTCGACTTCGCAAGGACGCTAAAATCCTGCTGCTGGACTAGCTGCAGGGGCTTATGTGCGAGGACATAGCCTGATATAATGAAGAATATCGGAACGGCAAAGATCCCGCCGCTGAAGATGAGTCGGATGAATGGAAATGTTGCAATGTGGTATTGTCCATTGAGACCCCAGGGATCTTCGATTATGATGTATTTCGACATGTGGTGCCCATATTCCTCGTGGTGCAGGATGAAGACTGATAGAGCGGCGAGTCCTCGAAGTCCATCGAGCCAGGCTGTGGATCGTAGTGATTGCGGCTCATTCCCGTTGGTTGAGCATGGTGACGGGTGTAGTGCTCGGCGAAGGCGGCGCAATGTGGCGAAAGTTTGTCGATAGATGAAGTGGAAAGCCATTGTTTGAGTTGTAAATTGTGCACAAACAGGCGTGCAATAAGTGTGGCAGGCGCGCGCTTGGGATAGCATGGCTGTATCAGAGAGGGGTAGAGATAAAATTGTTCTCGCCGTTGAGACCGTTTGAAGTCTGATTTGGTGGACCATGTCTGCAGCAACGGCCATATTCCTCTCAGGAGAACGAAACCACGTGCAACGTCACTACATTTAGAATCACGAATCGATCAAGCTGGAGAATGTTCCCACGTGGAAGTGACAATGTGAAAACAATCCTAAATCTAACACGAGATCTCTCCCGAAACATCCAATGTACTATGCTCCAACCCCAATCATCGGCGCAGCCATATACAAATGATCAAACTGCTTCCACAGCAACACCTGATCCCGATCATCATCTCCATCACCCTTCAAATCATTCTTCAGACCATTTTCGACATTGTTCCAACCCATAGCATCCTGCCACGTACTAATAACGCTTTCCACGACTCCCACCGATTTCTCCCCTTCTGCAACATCCACTTTCTGCCCAACTGCCTGCTTCCATTTACTCTGCACAAAAGTCCACTGCATCGCACCTTCTACTGGCTGCGCAGATCGCCATTGTTCGGAGACGAATTGATTGGTTGATGGGAGTGTTGGACGCAATGGTTTGCCAGCGGCATCCACATCTGCGAGAGTGAAAACGTCTAAGCTTGAAGATCTCAGAACGTTGTATTTGAGGATCTTGTCGTAGGAGCGGAAAGGGAATGGAGCACAGAATGTTGCACCCATGAGGAGGTCCATTGTTGCTGGATCGGTGTTGGATAGGAGGGAGGAGGGTTTGGTTTGGCCGGATGTTGGGTCTGTGGAGGGTTTATCTGCAACATAATGGTCAGTATTCCGGCTGCAACATCTGGTGTGATTTGAGGGTGGAATTTACATTCATCCCATAGTGCTTTCGGCGTGCTCTTTATGACTGGCAAAGGGAGGAAAGTGGCCACTTCATTGTTGCCGTTCTTTTCGATTTTTGCAATTGAGACTGTCATGGTGGAGACGAGCTGTGTGGTCAGCTGCATCGGTTTGGCGTAGAATGGGTTCTCCTCCAGTAGCACAAGATCTGGTTCGGTGTCGCTGGCGGCTGGCTGTGTGATCGTTTGCAATGGAAGCCGACTCTGTACGCGAAATTGGAAACCAGCTCGCTTTACTTCCCACTACACATGGTTGACAGGAATCAGCATGTGCCTTTCATGAGTGATAAACACTTGCGATGCCAACTTTCAAGGGATGACCAAGGGAAGAGAGAATCGAGAACCACACTTACAATTGCACCAGGATCCGATGTGGCATCTTTAGCCTTGTTAGTATATCTGCCCTCTTCAACCGAGAGCACATGAAGCTTGTCGATTTGCCCCGTAGTCGCTCGTCCATCAGCAATGGCCGTACGAGCAACAGAATCGGCATCCGGGACTTGGAGCAAAAGTTCCACGAATTCATCCAGCGTCTTCTTTCCTGGTCGTTTGGCCTCTGCACCGAATGAAATCTCAAACCCAAACACCCAAAAGTCCACATAAGCAGACCCACCAAACTCGGGTCCTCTGAGGCGCAGCCGTGCGTTGAGCTCGACGGAGATGTGGATGGTGACGAAGAGGATATCCATCGTGAACCGAACGCCGACGCATACGCCCATCTCTCCCATGAAGTAGAATGGATTGTACACGATCAAGAAGTCAGCGTAAGCTGTCAAGTATGCGCATAGCAGACCAGCGCTGAATACGACTTCTAGTCTGCCGCCGCCCATGCAGCACTGTGGAGTGATGGCGAAGTATGCTTCACCGCGAATCGAAACTGGTCCCATTTGCCATGATATGCCGAGTCGAGGTGGCACGGGATAATGTGGTGGGGGTTTGTACATGGGATGGTAGCCGCCGACTGTGAAAACGAAATCTCCAGAGTACGGCGAAGATCCGAACCAATAGCATAGAGCAAAGCCGCCTGTGAGATGACAGCTAGGATGTATGACGAACGAGTTCGGCGAGAGTTGTGCTTCAACACGGAAAGCTCCTGCGTGGAAATCGACTGTGCACATGATTCCGAGTTCGACGTAGACGAAGCAGGCAATGCGTGGTGTTGGTGCAGGTGGCATTTGGGCAATGGCTTTTGCGAAGATTCCGAGGTTGACGTATGGGTTGAATTCGAGGATGACCACAGCTGATACGTCCAGCACTTGTAAGGCTTTAGCTTGTAGTCCAGCTGCTATCCAGAAGGAGTCCTCTTGGGGCTTGACATAGGAATCTGCTTGGCCGACGAGCTGGTTCATGACAGTCAAAGGATCTGAATTTTCGCCTCCGACTGTATTGGCGATGAATGGGAATGATGGTACCTGTGCGATGGTCGGAAATCGCAGGTTCGAGTTGTATCCGAAGCCCAAGGTGATGCCACCGATGGTCACAAACTCCAGCTCGATCAGAGGTCCTTCCAGTTTGGCGAAAATGAACAACGTCTTGTACGTATCTGTCACTCCAACTGAACCAGGCCGGGCAATCTCACCATACTCGCCAACTGCCATGAAACTATACGGCTTGAAGGAGACAGCAACGCCACCCATGTAGAGACGCTGAGTGGAAGTCGATGCATCCTTGAACATACCAGCAATGCCGACAGGTGGCTGTTGGAACGATATTCCCATCCCCTTGAGCTGAAATTGTGGCTCGATGGATGCCAACGATTGCAAGTTGAGCGTTTTGAGGTTCACGCCGATGCCGAATCCTAGAAGCATGACTTGTACTGGCCCCAGGTGAGCAGCAATGTCAAAGAAAAGCAAGAGTACATTATCTTCGAACCGAATGCCCACGTTTGAAACAGCGATTGGGCCAACTTTCTTCGCCAGATCGCTAGTAGCTGTGCCCTCACCACTTCCAGTATTCACTGGAGCACCAGTCGGTAGTGGAGCTTTGTCGGATTTGCTGACTACATTTCTTGATCTTTGAGTAACGTCTTTGGGCTTGTTGAAGCCGTAGTCAAGTAGCAGTTTTGACGCATCTGCGATGCAGAAGTGCATTCCTGCAGTTAGTACAATGTCGATTGGTTTAGGCTGCCGGGCCGTTTCCTTGAATTGAATAACGCTGACCTCGGCGAGTATTGCCAACTCCTGTCGTGTGATACCTTTGTTTTCAACGGGATCTTGTACCCAAAGGAAGTGCAGTCCATCGAAAAGTGGCTCGATCTTGCCCACGACAGGTGGTTGAGGAATCTTATGCCAAGGCAAATCCACCACGGACACGCGGATGATGCGTTTTGTCTTGTTGCGCAGCGCTCCAGGAGCAGGCAGAGGACGTGGTTGGCCTGCAGGCACCACTGTCTTCTCAGTGAGTTGAATGAAGGACAGCTCTACGCCTGCTCCACCAGGAACTGGGAGCCGCATGGTCAGGTACATCGCCAGGTACTTCTTTCCAGGCTTCAGCTCGTTCGGACCTGGAGGAGGAGTCTCGGGTGTGACTGAGGCCGCATCGAGTGAAGCCAATTTCAATGAGACGTACGCATTTCCTCCAGAAAGCGACATATCCTTGATGAAGGATGGCACGCTGTCAAACGCAGCAGTGTCATCATCAAGGATATCCTCCAATAGTGCACCAACAGTGGCATCAGTTCCTTCCGCTGCTTGCAGTAAAGCTTCGAAACGCCAAGACTCCGTGTCGCGATGGAAGTCAACTTCCAGCTCGCAAGGTCCGATACGAAGTATCGCCCCAATGTCAAATTCGCTTGCCGCACCATTACTTCCATACAAGTAGTCGATGTCTAGAGACTCTAAGGTAATATTGCCAAGTATGTCCGTGATGATTTCCTCATCCTCAGCAGGAAAGAAGCGTCCGAGTGCACCCATATTGAGATTGTCCACAGAACCATGAAGGTGGCAGAGCTTACTCTTCCCCTTTGCCTGAAGATCGATACCCAAAACAAGCAGTGTCTGGTTCGCGTCCGGCTCCTCGTCAGTCTTGAGATTATTGCTAGGCACCGAGATATCGATGACACCTTCCAAGAATAGCTCGTAAGAAGCTTCGCCCTTGGGCTTCGCAGCGCCAGTAGATGGACCTGGCGGGGAATCTCCGCGCTCGTAGCTCGCTCTGACGGTCACTTGCTCGAGGCGAATGCCTAAACCATCGTCGGCGGCATCGTCATCCTCTTGTTCGCTTGCAACCAGCATACCAGAGAACGAGACTTTTTTGCCTTCCAAAGATAGGACTAATTCCACGATCTCGAGATCCAGTTCTTTGGGAAGAGCATAATCGCCTGGCATGAGGGATTGCAGACTCACGCTTGACGGTGCCGGTAATGTTGGACGTATAACCTTCGAAGGCTCATAGAAAGGCGAAAGTTCAGTCGGAGCACTTTCTGGATCTCGTACGAATGAAGGCTCGAACCAGACTTGGGCCACGATCGAATGCGGGTCCGGCTTCATGGCTTTCGTCCATTTGTACGAGAGCTATTTGAGCATCAGCATGGGTCACTACGACCCGACAAAAGCATCAATATAACATCAACTTACCAGAACTGGTACCTCAACTGCTTCCTCCGTGGCGGTAGCTGTAGTCTTCCATCCAGGGGTCCATTCCAGGTCGATAGAAAAGCTTTCTACGCCGCGCTTCGAGGCTCTCAATGTAACTCTCTTCATCTGTAGCTTATCCAGTCCGGGAATGGAGTTCACGATATCGGTTATACCGCCACGATCATCTGCTCCGACCAGACCAGCAATCCAGCCCAACATATCGCCGAGGGTGCCAGAAGACGGAAGCAAACTGATTGCAATCGCCATGCCTCCATTTCCAAGATCGACTTGGATGTTCGTGGTCAGTGTTTGAACAGTATTGCCGACAGGCCTCTTGAGTTTGAGTGCAACCATGAACTCGTACGCATCGATGAACAGAGTTCCAGAGGAAGTCTCTGAAGATCGAGTGACCTTGCGGCCTGTAATTAACGGATCCTCGAGCGTGATTTCTGATCCTAGTTCCATGAAGCCTTTGTCCAACCACTTCTTGATAGCTGGAGCGTCCAATTGCCACTCCATCCGTTGAACAACGCCGAAATCTTCCGCAGAGCAGAACCAGATCGCTCCTCGCTTGAGGTCGAAAGTTACGCCAGTGCCGATTGCAGTTTCTAGATCAGATATAGCATCTGTAGTTCCTGATTCGTTCAAAATGCCGAGCCAAGTCAGCAGATTTGTGAAGTTCCATTTCTCTGTCGGATTGTTGGCGAGTCCCAAAATCAGTGTCTGATGTTGTGGTATTATCCCACTAGCTGGCACTTCGTAATCAGGCAAGTATTCGAACGATGTACCAAAGTAAGAGCTCGCGGATGTCGTTGAGAACTCCAGATCATGCCCGGCTTGCTTACAATTCAGGCTCAAACCAGTCCATAGACCATCCTGTATCTTGCTATCGGGGGCGAACAAAGCTGTGAGTGTCGAAGCTTCGTCATCGATATCGAGCGCGCTGAATAGAGATGATCTGAAACCACTGGCGGAGTCAGCCTTCCCCGTAGCGTCGACTGTGAAGACCGGCTCCACGATCCATTCGAGTAAAGCTTCGTAACCACCGGTGGCAGCTGAGATGGGCACTAAATTTTTCCATGATGAGGTGTCGGTATCTGTGACCAAGGAGATAGAGACAAGGTTCCAAGACTCCGGTTCGTCTGCGTCGGCAGCAGGTTCACTTGGAGGTTCGCCAACCACTGCAGAGCTTTCCACGGCATTTGTCGCAACTGTCACGCTAGCAACTGAAGCCTGTACATGACTGTCGCCTGTAGCCGAAAGTGCGGTGTCGGGTACAGTTGCAGCTGTGGCGTGGGGGAGCACAAATGCACGTAGGTCGGTGTCTGATCCTGATTAGCACGAGTAGCGGCAGTGTAGACAGTTGCAATGACTTACCCCTTCCTGCCTCGCCATCCTCCTCAAGTGCCGCTTCCTCTTTCTGCTTCGGACGCTTTTTATCGTCACTCGTGTCTTGACCTCCTTTGCGTTTCCTGGATGGCCCGTGTCTGATCTCCTCAATTTCCTGCGCGGCAACTTTGATTTGAACATTGTAGCTTGCCTCCACAGACTTTCTGAGAGGACGGACTAGCCTTCTCTTGACCAGAGCAGCTTGCATCTGCTCGAATTCGGCCGTTTTTCTTTCTTCTTGCGTTGCACTTTTATCGATTGCTTTTCTCTTCTTGCCAGCCGGACGTGATGCCGCTGAGCTGTCCGATGCCAGGATCAGTGGAGCCTCGGATGTTTGAAAACTGGTATATCCATCTAGCCGCTGATCTAAATCTTGGGCGCGTCGAGCGGTACTCCACGAACGACAATGGACTTTGACGTATTGCAGTTCATCTTTTGCGCTCTGTAAGGTACCAAGTGCTGTATCAACCGTTGCCACAGTTGTGCAAAGCTTGGGCTCCCATGGTGCAATCAGAGGCATTCCACTCTCCACGGTATTGAGTGTGAAGTTCTGCTTGCTGATCTCGCCATCCACCAGGAACCATTCTTTGGCGGCCACCTTCGCTTTAATGGTTGTCTCCAGAGCAGCAAATCCATCCAGTGATCGGCTTTGCTGGGGCAGTCGGTCTTCGATGAGCCTGAGACGTTTTATGTAAGCTGCCCTGACGCCCGTAACTTTCTCTGCAAGCATCTCATGGAAGAAGTTGTTCTTCCCGAAGGCTCGATATTGTGGCGCGACGGCCTGGCGAATTGTCTCCACTTTCTTGGTTCCGGTCTGCTGGGTTGTCTCTGCGTCTCCATTTTCGGCGCCCTTCGTCTGCGATGACTCGCCAGTGTTCGTTACATCTCCTTCGGCTTCCCCAGATTTGGTCTTGGTAGTATCCTCGGCTCCATTTTGCGTTTCCCTCTTTGCACTGAATGTTCAGCAGAGGTAAGCGTGCGCAACAGAGGATTTCGACGAGTTATCAGCTGCACTTACAGATAGTAGGGATATGATAGAGAGTGAAACAATCTGATGCCTATTTAGCTGATATAGCGTATACGACCTTTGGATAACTCACTTTCCAGGAGCGTTTCCGCTCGGGACGATACGGTTCGAAGTCCTAAACCAGCGATTCAAGTAAAAAAGCAACTCGTATACAGGATGACCGTAGTCTCTGCCTGAGGCCGAGACAATGATGCTTCTTGGTCTGAACTTGTGTACCAGGTCAAGAGGAGTGGAGTAGGTGGCTAGAACAGATCAGCGTTACGGTGTTTCATTGGTGAGTTCCATTATCGTTGGTGCGTACCTCCATGATGCGAGAGCTTCACGGCTCGAATGCATTGGAATGGATTCTGGCCAGCCTGAATCCAAGCAACGATCTTGTTCTCGATTTCCCACTTGCTCTATATTAGTCTGGATTGCAGCGCACCAGTGGGCACACATACCTGAGCATCACCGGCGGAGTAATGTGACATATGTCCATCGGTCCACACTAGCAAGGTGATGATCTACGAGTTGTTGGTGATGTAGCTTTGTAAAGGGTGACGAATTGTTTACCGATGCTGCGTTGGTGATCTCGCTTCCACCCATCGGGGTGGCTTTATCAACAACTTTCATCCTAAATTTGAAAGGATCTGCTGGCATAGTCAGGACCTATCTGATCCGCTGTACATCGGAGAACGAGGTACCGATGGGCTTGTCGTTCGGACGGATCATCATGTTGGCACCTTTGTCTTTCGGCTGCCCACGCAGGTCTTGGACTTGCGCTTTCGCCAAGTTGTCTGTTGTGTCAGCCTTGGGTTCTTGTGCAGCCCAGTTCGAGAATCTGTCCATATCAGTGATGCCATCTTCTTGTTCGTTTGCTGGTTCCTCGTCCTTCATGTCTGTGTCGCTTGCAGCAGTTAATGCATTAGACAAAGATTGGCCGCAATAGTCACCGTTGGCTCCAACAATAAGCAGCACCGGTTGAGCTTGGTTTGGCTCATGTTTGGGTAGACCATTGACAACGGCGGCAGCGGTTGTATTGAGCATCGGATCAGCCTTGTTGGTCCCTTCTTTGAAGCTGTCTGCGGATGTGTGTGCTAGAGCTAGCTGCATCGGGTTCTTGACTTGATGGCATTGGACCTCGGCCAGGCGCCAGCCGGTGAACAGATTAGTGCCCAGGATGTATTGATTTCCCGCACGGATTTTGCAGATCTTCTTGGCCCATTCGGTCGGGTCTATCGCGCCTCTGCCTGCCCCTTCAGGCCTCATGTTCCAGTCGAGAAATCGTGTGGGAAGGTTAGGACCGTCGTTCGCCCTCGTGCCTTGCCCATCGTCGTAGAAGGGCCATACTCTGCCGCGCCGGGCGAGAAAGCTGCTGCCATCACCAATTCCGTTCTCGTCCGGCCCCGGGTTCGTACCTCCAGACTTTTGTACTTTGGACGTCTGGAACCATTGCGAGGGGAATTTGCCTCCCCAGACCTGTCAATGATTGCTCAGCTTCAATTACCGGATTCTCAGCGAGAACTGCTTTACTCTGTTGTTGCCGAAGTATGGGCAGTACAGTATCGTCAATGCTCTCTCCGCCCGCGAATTCGGTGTTGCTGAAATCCACGTAAGCGCTCGTTGCCCTAAATCTTACATTCCGTCAAGTTGTGAGTATACCTTTGTTATCTTGAACATTCCCTTTGTTGCCTGTATTGGAACCCTGGTCTGCTGTGTTCGTAGCCTGTGATGGTAGTGCGTACTTCATGAAGGGTGAGAGATATGATGTTCGGAGGTTGTCAATCTTGTCTTGATACGCCTTTTCTGCTGCAGCATGTGACGCCTTGACATCTGCCGCGGCATCGTTGGGAATTGGTGCCGGTCGAGCAATGCTGGCATACTGGTTCGAAAGATCAGCGTGCACGAGTTCCATGACACCAGAATAGTGGTCATCATCCCAATGCGTGACGACCATGCTGTCGAAGGGAGGCCATTCCAGCTGCTGTCCAATGGCAGTCCGGCCACCTTGGGTTCTATCAAAGTCGTACAATTTCCCGATTTTGTCTCTCAGGACAGCTTTGATCCTCTCCGCGCCTGAAGCCGTACCACCATCAATGAGGACTGCCCGGAGGACAAATGGTTTCAAGAACGCTCGATCCTGAACGATGAGCAAATGAATTGCGGCATCTCCTTTTCCCTGTTCATGATAAGCGCGAGCCTGATGACACCATTGATGAGCCAATTACCTCAACATTGACATGATAGACATCCACGGATAGGTTCAGCTTGCTGTTGGCCGAGTAGATCTGAGCGTTAGTCAAACTGGAGAGTGCTGCGATCTGTTCAGGAGTCCTGGCCTTGGGCTTCGAGTCTTGATCTTTCGGCGTCTCTGCCTCCTTCTTGGGCTGTTCGGGCTCTGTCTTGGGGTCAATCTGCATCGGCTGCTGGCCTATATCGCCATTGGGCTTGGACGTCTCCATTTTGGTCTCTATGCTGTCGCCCACAGACCATCAGTTACGATTGCTAGAGGGAGGATACCTCACGAGAGGTCGCCACGCGGTCCAGCACCAGACGACAGGTCGACGTTGCTGCCGCCACCATCTCGTCCGCGCTGCACCTTCCATCATCAGTCGAGGTCATTACCCAGAACACCATCCTTGCTCCACTCTGCAGCAAGTGCGTCCGCCACCAGATGCAGTATGCAGCATTGGCTTTCACCATTCCACGTGTTGCATCAGCTGGAGCGCCTCTTATTGTTGCCACGCATATCCGCATGTGGAGTACCCATGTCCATGGACGAAACTTCGAGCAAAAGGAGCTCGCTGCTGTGGCTGTGGGTCTTGGCATGGCAATGGCTAAGAGCTCTCAGCCAGCCTCAAAACACGCCTCTTCGCGTGTCCCACGCGGAAACACCGACAGTCTCACGCCCTGCATTGCTCGCCTACGCCCAAATTTCGACTCCAGCAGTTACTTTGAAGCTGCATACGCGAGCCAGACATGGCAGAAATCAGCGATGCGGTCGTGGCAGGCCTGCTGGGAAGCGCGACGACACGTCCTCTTCAAGAGTCTCGGATCAATCATTGGGACCTACGGGCTCAGAGTAGGAGAAGATGGCAAAACCAGTGGTTTACGTGCCAGTCAAGCTCGATGCCTTCGTGCTGAATGGGTTGAGGTACGATCGCCAAAATTCAGTCAGTAGACAGCGACTGACACTGGCACAGCAAGGGCTTTCCTGATAATGCAAGCGTTGCACCAATCTCCCAGCCAAACTACACTTTCCTTCGCCTAGATGCCGCGGTGATTCAGAATGATGTCCTGCCATACCACGACATCTCTCATGCTTCGCCACCATCTCTTAATCCCAGATTGACTGATCTGGGCACTGGCGAGCCTAGGAAGCGAAGGCAAGGCGTGTATCTGCATTGGATGTTGCCTCGATGCTATCGTACGTCGATTGTGTTCCTTTCATCCCTGCTGCCTGCGCTCTTTCACCCTGCGGTAATTCGATTTCTGGGCTCGACGACCGGCATACGTTGCACCGAACTTATATATGCATTCTGACAATGGTGACAGGGGCGGGCTCTTCTGCACAAACAGACTCAGCACCAGTCTTCAAGACTGCGCCCGATCGGTGGCTTGTGATTCGAAGACTACACCCAGGAGCCGAGCCTGCAGGCCGGATTAGGGACATCACTGCCTGGATTGTAGAGTCCAACAGAGTCCGCAACGTGCAGGATTTTGATCGTAATGTCGACGTTGAGGTCGAATGTGCGCCTTATTTGAAGGGCGACGCTGGCTCCATCGAAGCACAAGCCGAAATTTACATTGGCCAGAAGACACTTCTGACGCCCGGCTCATGGAAGGAAAGCGCGCCAGATGCACAGCGCTTCGTGCCACTGGGCACGCTCAACACGGCGAATCCTCTCTTTGCTGACTATGCGCCGCACTGTCCCAATGTCTTTAGCATACTTGACAATTTCGAGTACGTGCAAGATGGGAAACGAGATTATCTCACAAAGGCGACTGCAAGCTATTATGTTCTTGGTAAGTCACCGGTCACCAGAAGTCGACCTGTTATGACCGCATTCATTTTGCTGACGTGACCTCCATCCGCGTAGGTTGGCATGGCGAAGAAAATCAAGACTTTCTTACCAACCCTCGATCCGTGACCATGTCAGAACTACTGAGCAACAACTTCCTCTCAATGCCAGTCGCCAAGAGTGACGACTTCCTGAACAGGCCCTCTAGCGGCAGAGTTCTTTGTCATGGGGCCATGTACACAGTCAATTACAGCAGCCAGGACAACAATACACTTACCTTACCATCTGCTCATGCAGCCAAGAAGTTCGCCAACCCAAAATCACATCCGGTCACAGTTGGCACGACGCCTTTGGATAGCGTACTATCATATGTACGTGCTTACAATGACTCTCTGAAGCAAGGTGGTGCCCGAGATACTGCTCTCGATAAAACAGAGTCCGATTTGCGGCATTTGGAAACACTGCTTTTGAAACAGGAAGACGACATTGACTCACAGCAAGAAGCGCAAGATATGTTGAGTGCAAACAACTTCGAGCCATATCAAGATAGCGGATCTTTCTGGAACTTTTCTGCTGCCACCCCTTCCAACACAGGCTCGACCGCACTCCCGACACGCACGCAGCAATTGTTCGAGCCTACGTCATCACAGAAGCAGTCTTTAGCCAGACTCAACGATGTCCAGGCTGCATTAGACTCGGCAAAGCGTGAGATGCAGAGTGAGCAGTGGAACTTGTTTGCGTTGTGGTGGAAGTACGTGAGCGACAAATCCTGGCAGGATACCAGGACCACAATTCGAGAAAGCCCAGCCGACCAATCAAAGAAACCCGCAGAGCTCGTTGATGCTCAAACAAAGATTGTCAAATCCATGAAAGCACGAGTCGAAAGCCTTGGGAGCGTTATTGAGACATACTTGAAGCCGTTTGTTCGACCTGGATCCGATTCTAGCAAGCCATCATACATCGTTGAGCGCGGCGCTCGCAAGCGGTTCTACACTCAAAGAGATCCTTGCTTGTTAGTTCCTGGCCTCTCGAACCCGTGGCCAGTAGACTGGCTATCACTTCTGCCGACCCGATTTGCATCACAAGTGCAGGTTCCCAGTCTGCCTCCTCAGACACCAGCCGGCTGGGGCGGTCTAGGCGATGTCATCAATAACAACGTCCTACCTTGCTTCATCAACAAACAAGGCGTCGCCAATAGAGAACTTCAAGACGCAGCAGCTTCGTTAATTCGAGAATTTTTCAATTTGCGACCTAGTGATAGCTCCGGTGTTAAGGAGATTCCATCTACTGTCAGAGGGAAAGCTTCGACAGATGTCGTCTTGCCTCACTATCACGACAGCCGTGATCAGTGGAACAACACACAAGCATGGTTTCCACTCTTCCTGGAGTGGGAGATAAGCTACTGCCATATTCCATGGGATGCTTGGGATTTCAACCAAGTCAAGATTCCTTTCAAACCGAACGAGAACCCCCGTGTGCGCTATGGTATCAAGCCGGATCGAACAGTGGCAGAACTCGTCAGATCCGGGTCGACTCGTGTTCGAGATGAGCGTGAGGTTGATGGCCGAGTCCTCATCCTTCCACAACCAGGCTTCTCGCTCCGTGTCAGTGTTGAACAGTTGCTATCGTCCACTAATCCGGACATGCTACCAGATAGCTTGAAGCCAAAACTCGATCCACAAACGGGAGCCGTGACTTTTGACCCGGTTCCGGATTTCCTCAGCAAGGTCGAGCAGATTCAGCTCTTGAGTGCGCCTATGACGGGATTCATGGACCACCTTACCACCAAGCTGCAAGGTACTCATATCAAACCGACTGTTCGAGACCCGGGATCTCCAACCAACTTGACCTCTCTCAAAGCCGCAGAGAGGCCTGAGGTGAATCTCAATACCGAGGCCATTACATTGATGGGCTCTGAGCTCGACAAGACGCCCTTTTCTGATTTCGTGCGGTTTGAAGCTGGCGTGGCTCCCATGAAGCCAGTGACTCATGGACAATTTCGATTTACGAAGCTGAAGTGAGTGACGTGAACAAGTTCTGAGTGATTTAGCTGACGACGCGGACAGTATCATCGACAAATTTGGACAAGCAATTTCTGCGATCGATCCGCGGCCAGCGAATAATATACCGCCCTTGTACCCCAACCTCAGCGAGTACTTCCATCCTCAAGACCTTGGCGGTGATATCAATCGGGAGAACGTGATTACAGAAGACCCGGCAGGTTGTCAATATGCTCAATATCCACCCACCATCAATCAGGATGCAAGGCTTAACGGCAACTTCATGCTTTTCGATCAATCGCTGAAGATGTGGCGTACAGCCAACGAGTGGGATGATCCACTTTGGGGATTCGTAGTGCTCAATTACGCAGAGAACGGCGTTCAGATCTTCTTGCCAGACGGGCAATTCTATCGCGAGGTGCGCCTGGGTGGGCCGAACAAGGCATCTCAGAGCATCGAATGGCAACCTTTTGAGCCTCCCTCGGACGTAAGAGCGAAGCCGACAGATCCAAAAGTTTTCCGCTCGCAAGGCTACCCGCAACTAGATGCGCTCATGAAGCAGCTTTCACGCCCTGATTATCTGCGCTCTTTCTTCGGTATGGTCAACAAGGCACTGGCAGCGCTTCCTCACACACCCAACCAATACGCAGAGTATCTCAATGCCATCGTCGGGCGGCCTTTAGCGCTCACGAACATTGGATTTGCTCTTGAGCTGGCCAGTCCACCACTGAAGAATCAGTCAACGCTCAGCAATGCACCTCCGGATATTCCACTGACGTCTGTGAAGAGAGGCGCCAAGAGCTATAACTTTACTGTCAAGATTGGCGACCGTGATCGAGCATATGACGGCCTGGTCTGTTTGTTCAAGCAGATCGGCGACGCGAAAACAGCGCCAGGGCAAGAGCTTGATCTCACCACCATGATCACCTACTATCCTGCGGGCAAGAACACAACCGCACTTGATCGTGACCAGTATATTGAGCTGACGCCCTACCATCTCTCGTCCAGGTCGTATCGCCTCGACGAAAGAGACCCGAACACAGTGGGAATTGAGATCAGCAAACTCATGGTGGACCACTACAACCAGGTGTCAATGTTTGGAGCACTTCTTGACCCATTTGCAAAGATCCACGCGTATTCTGGCATCCTGCCAATTACGACACTGCAATTGCCGCCTTGGACCTTACAATCTGCTCTACAGCGCATGACAGCCTTCTTCCGCATGGGTCCGCTCATCATAACGACACCCGATCTACAGAAGCGATACGATGAGAAGAACAATCTGAGCACAGGATCAAATTTGCTCGAGATCGCACAATCGGCTGCTGCTGCCCCAATAAACACGTCCGATCCTTTGGCTCAAGCGCAAGCTGCTCTATTCAGCGGTATTCCTTTGCCAGCACTCGCTTCTGCAAATTGGAATTGGCTGCAGCCCTACGCTGTGGCACCTGATGACAGCGAACCTGCCTCTGCGACAGCAAGACAACCGAAATCGCAACATTGGAATCCCTTCCCCATCGCATCGCTGGACAACAGACCAAGGTTCGAGCGCGGCCCGTACACTGCAATAGAAGGATTTCTGCAGCTGAAAAAGCCGATCTCGGATGGCAAAATATGATAGCTGATTACAAGCAAGCGAGGCAATTTGATTCATGAATTCGGTCAAATACATTCTCATCGAACTATTCCTCACGATCGTGCTTGCCTCTGGGCCTCACAACCTCTGCACCAACATCATCCTGACCGACTCGACGATAATGAGCAGTAGGGCTTGACCAGATCTTGCCCACGAGACTCGCACCCACAGCCGCCAATACCCATCCCGCTGTGGCAAGCGAGACGGACTTCCCAAGCATCCAAGGCCCTACCGCAGTGCTGTTGACAAGGTCCCCAGATGTATACCAATCGCCTGCAGGAAACTGCAAATTGACAAGAACGTTCGCGCCGACCACAGTACCAAACAGCATTGCAAGGAAACCCAACCCCGTGATGATGCTAGTAAAGACAGCCACCGCACCCAATGAAGGCGAAGAGGTGTCGTCTGGTGCCTTGTATCTGCCGAAGATCTGGAGTAAGGTTATACCGCTGAGGATCAAAGATGCGAGCATGCCAATTCCGATCAGAGCACACCCGGCGAGCAGCAGAGAGCCCGAGATTTTGAGCTGCTGGCAGAAGGTTGAGGAGTCCCCTGTTGCGCTGTTGCGGCCTAGGGTTGCGAGGGAGGCTACACCGCGGACTGAGCATGCTCCGCCGGGGCGCGTTGTGCTGTTGCAGAATTGCTCGTAGCGCGATTCGGCTTGAGGTAAAGGACACACTGGTGTCGGTGTGCTGCTCTCGGTTGCTGATTCGGTGCTTGTCGTTTCTTCGCCTTCTGTGGGAGTTTCTTCTGCAGCGGTCTCATCACTACTGTCTGTTGGCGTTGGCGTGGCGCTCTCGTCAGTGGTTGTGGTGGAGGAGACGTTCTTCAGATTGAGAACGCAGTATTGGAATGGGCCTCTGTGGTTGATACCTGCGTGGGATGAGCTTTTGCACAGCGATACTCGCAATTCATGGGGCGGACATACCCATGCATTGTCCGGTGTCAAAGTCAGTTTCAATCCTCTGCGCCCAATTCTTTCCAGCGGTGCCGGCTATGGAAAGAGAGAAGGCGCAGATCAAAATGACGGGTACGAGCAGGGTTAGCAGAATGCTCGATATCCTCGTCTTTCTGATTACCATGATTGCTTCTGTCGAATGCTTCAACGGTGACGATGATAAGTTGAATCGATCTACGACCCTCGACAGACATCCAAGAGTACTGGTAATGTCGGACAGCTCACACCACTACGCTAATTGACTTTTCTGTGGAGCTCGTAGTGGCCGGAGGTGGCTTGCATGGAAGCTGTTTCAGCTACGCCACGATATGCACATGCATCTCAGCTGCGTGCATACATGGCGCTAGCTATTGAAAGCTATTGTGAGACCTAGACCACCGAAGGTCGCTCGCTTCGCACCCGCGTGCCAACACATGGGTGGGCAAGGGACACCTGCAGACCAATGTTTCCGTGTGGGTGAACCTCACGGATAGCATGAGCAAACCTTCACTCCGACTTGGATGCCAAAACGATGGCAGCGACTACGAAGCCCAGAGCAAGAGTCTTCAGGCACTTCAAGAGAAATCAACAAGGACAGGCGCCAGTGCCTGCTTTCTCACCCATTGAGATCGTTGATCCTGATGTTATCAAAGAGCTCGATCCTGGATATGCGCAGTTGTATTCGTACTACGAACCGTATGGCATCGGTCACTTCAAGGCGAATTCCTGCTGACAAGTTCGCAGAGGTCTTCAGGGTGGCAGATATGAGATCAAAGTCGACCACAAATTAAATCATCCAGACTTTCCCTCTGCCCCAAAAGTGCCCAAGGACGACAAAGACAAATTCACTGCAACACAGACCGCGAATCCTGTCTCTACACAGCAGTTCAACGTCAACGTACCACGATGGAATCTCCCACCAGGCATTATCCATCAGACTTATCCGCCTCAAGGGCTTGCGGATCACAACAATGTTTTGCCGCATATGGTATTTGAAGATCCACAATTTCCGTGGGAGAATGAAGGGTCTCCGAGCCAGGACGAGGCTGACAGTAAGGTTGACCATGATACGACTACGCGCTCTCGCAGCAAAGTTCCTTGGGTCGCTCTGTGGACTTTTGCTGAAGACGAGATTAAGTTGTCAGATGCAGAGTTGAAGGGAGTGAGTAAAGGCGGTCTCTTTCCGGACGTTGTGCAGATCCCTTCGCACAGTAGCCCTCCACCCGACGGCCGTGAGCAAGACAAGGCGACGTTCGCTGTCAAATTGACGATGGGTGAGTATCTGGAAATGGGTGGCTGGCCGAGCTGGAAGACATCAGGACCTTCGAAAGTGATTATTCCGCATCAGGACTCCGATACGATCGAGCACATAGATCGAGAGGAACAGGTTAATGTCGTGTTTGTCAAGCGCGACATATTTGAGAGTCATGTCTGCAGCTATAACGCTGATGGGAGTGATAGCCCATCGATCCCACCTGGGACTACGACAAAGCCGGATCTATCGCGGTACAAGTACTTATCGCATGTCAGGAATGTAAATCAGATTGCTATGGCTGGTCTTGATCTACCCGACAAAGGGTTGTACTCTGTGGTTCACGCTCATCGCACTGGACCGCTCAATATTACGGCTCCTAAGCCTGTGATCGTCCATCTGGTCTCCATCATGGATATCGAAGAGAACCTCACCCTACCTCTGGATACCTCTTTACCGCAAACGAAATGGGTTGCAATGATCTCTCTTCACTCTTGGACTTATCTTTGTTTACCCCCCGACACAGTCAACTTCGTCGATACCATGCGTGGAATTGGCCACACGATTCAGGACGGTGCTGAATGCTGGCTACGAGCTCCAGACAACGCAATCGCAAAAGCTGCAGGTCTACAAATGCCGAAAATTAATGCTGCGAAACAAAGTATTGCGAAGACCCTTGACGATGCGTCGGAAGCTCAGAAGTCATCCCTGAACTACCGCCTTGCTGCTAGACTCTTCGATGGCTATTCTCTACAACGATACTTGCTGCAAACTGGCGAAGAAACAGTCTCTCTGTACCGTGGACCACTTTCGCCTACTTTCGTGCCACCAATCCAAACGCGGAAAGATGGTGGCTGGTGGCCTTTGCAATCCAATTTCTCAACAGATTATCAGGTCCTCGATCCCAAGCTTGGGATCATGGATATCACATACTCTGCAGCATGGCAGCTTGGACGTACGTTGGGCATCGCGGATCAAGCTTTTACAGCATCTCTTGTGCGGTTGCGGAGTGCAGTTATAACTACTGCGACCAGAGAGACCAAGAAGCAGATTGCTGGCGCTGGGAATGTGAAGAGTAAAACACAGACACTTGCGACAATGGCGAAGAGCATAGACGCCTTGTCTGCGATTGGAGATGTCAATGCCGGTGGTAATGCTCTACCTACGGCTAATAGAGTGAACAAGCTCGTCAATCCTCAGCCTCAGGTTGTGATTGAGAGGGTGTCCTCCGACGATGGCAAGCCCCTCCCTCCCGACCGAGATCTTAAAGCAGCCGCAAAAGCAAATGTTGTTCTGCAGCATATGGTTGTGAACGAGGCAACCAGAATAGCCGCTGCGGCCATACCTGCAGCTACCCTCGCAACTACATCCACGGACGATGGAGTCGAGGTCTTCATACCTTTCAACGAGATCAATGTTCCTTCCTCGCCTGATTGGCAGGTGGTACAATCTTGGATACTGGACAAGCTTAGCCTACACAACATCCCAGCACACTACATGACCAGCGACCCAAGTCATCTGCCGCAAGACTCGATTCGCTTCTTCTACATCGACACGAACTGGTTCGACGCTTTCATCGATGGTGCACTGAGCATCGGCAATCATCTCGATCAAGAAGACGATACAGTCCGGCAGGCGTTCAAGAGACAGCTCAATCGATACTTTGCAGCTCCACTGGGAACAGGGAACATGAATTACACGCCCCAGATTCCTACTTTTGGATTTTTCTTACGGTCAGCAGTCGTCAAAACGTTCCCGAATCTGGAGGTTCATGCACCTTGGCCAACATCTGAGGAAATGGGTGGAAACAGAATGGAAACTGTTCGGCTTGATTGTTTGGAGAAGGACACGCTATTGTGTCTGTTTGACAGATCTCCTGGTCAAAATCACTGGAATAAAGATCAAGGAGATGGATCAAGGCGGAGAGATATCACCATCTGTCAGCCGCCTCATCAGCAATGCTTTCGCCTTGGCACGAGTACGACTACTGATTATGTTCAGATGCAGTATCGTACTGTGTATACTAAGGATCCTTCGGATTTAGGCGATGGTGAGGAGATCTACACTTCTGTTGGAATCATCAAGTGGAAACCGGCCGGACCTGTGCTCCAGAAGAATGCCGACGAAGTCACTGTCGATTTTGTGAAACAGAAAAGGATCTTCGACTACAAGACGAATATGCTGATCTTCCCTGCATTTGCTCAGTCGTGTATTGATATATTGAACAGTCAAATGGAGCGACCAAACAACGCAGAAGGGAAAAGCAAATACTTCGAGGACGACGTCCCGTCATCTGCAGTCACTGCCGTGATACTCAACTCTTTCATATCTGTCATGAACATCAAGCTTCCGGAAGCCGCAGCGGATGACAAGAGACCTGCACCTCCTGATACAACCAAAACACCTCGCCAGATTCGGCTCGCGCCAGATGCTGACAGCGACACAACGACTTGGAGAATTGTTCCCGCACCAGAACCTCCCGAGGATCCTCGGCCCAAACCCAAATCACCCTTAGAACCCAGCGAAATCGTCGCACCACCACCTCTTCCCGGCCCACCGTCCAAACGCCCAACACGAATGCCGAGCGACTACGACCAAGCCAACTTCAAATTTCCCGAATCCGAGAAAACAGACGGCGTCGCAGCTCAACTCCGCAGTCCCATTCTAAGCCAATGGCTCTGCGATGCCTTCGTCCTCGGCTACACCAAGAATCCTGCTCCGAACACCACAAATAACGTACCAATCTACCCTCCCAATCACAAACTCTTCAACGTCCCTCTCGACCTCATCATCCGTATTGTACCTCCCACTCGTATCCCCCAGGATACAATGCACAAGTTACAAATTTTCAGTATCGAAGTGGAGTTTCTGCTGGGTAATGATGCTAAGCATTTGATGGCTAGGTATGATGGGCCAGGAGGGAGTATGTTGAATAATATGAAGTGGAATGTTCATGTGGCGCAGAAGATTGATCCGCCGAGGGTGGCTTTTACGTTGATTCCGAGGAGTACGACCAAGTTAAGTGCTTTGAATCGGAATCAGGATCTGTCGTTTGCGGTTTGGGGGGTTGTGACGAATGGGGTTTCGGGTGGGAGGGTGAAGGTTGAACCGAAGGTCACAGTGAGTTTGGGTCTGAAAGAGACATTATGCTGTAGCGACATGTTGTTCTTCTATATCGAGCGCTTGGCTAACTTCTTGGTACAGGAGAATTATCGAGCGTGTGACAAGAAGCAATTAGGTGGGCAAGTGCAGAAGCTCACTGCGGTTAGTACGTGCGACTTGATGAAGGTGAAGGTCTAGGTGAGCAGACATGGAGTGGAGCGTGCATGTGCAATAGGTGAACGCTGTAGAGCCCCTTCGGGATCTCGTCCCATGCAAGCTTTCAGAATCAATGAATACCGCTCTTGAGAACCCTTTGCAATTTTCGGACTGCTTGATACGCTCTAATATGCAGCTCTGTTACAGACCTTCGATGAAACCCTTCACAGCTGATCCACTGCCGCCTTGGAGGCACAGCCTCTTGGCGGCGCTAACTCGCATCCTTCCTCCTGTGCCGCAAAGAACATATGTCTTCTCATTGTGCATGATCACCCAAAAACCAGTGAGAAGATAAGAGTTCGCCATCTGATGACGACCAGAATGCCATCGCAGTTCATACTGTTGATACTCGCCGTCTTGGCGATTGTCAGCACAGCAAGAAGCGACAAAAAGTCCTTACAGCCGCCACAACAAGACTATTATCGCATATGCCCGCTTCCAAGATGCGAACGATGTCCAACTATTGAAGAACTGCAAGCTCCAGGCATCGGATTTGCCCTCGAAATGGGCCACGGGTAAATTTGCCATCGCTATCCCGCATCACGCGAACATCCACTGACAATGTCCCAGGACTGCCGTCGTTAGGCATCACAATGGCACATACCAGTCGATAGCCCTGATAAAAGGCGACTCCGCATACAAAGAGGTCATGTATCGTTTCGTGACCGATCCCAAACCTCGCACGCCGACTGAATATACCAACACATGGTCAGAAACATGGGCTTTGTTCTGGTGGCTTCTAAAGCGGCACATCAATAAGCTTGTTGGTCTTCCGGCGACTCCAGACACTGCAATACTTGCTTCCATGCTATCAGCACTGCGAGAAGCCACTGAAGCCTCGGTTGATGGCAAGTACCCCATCAACAGTGGGATACTAAGTGTCCCAGACCACTTGAAGTTTGCAGAAGCGGAGACGAATGACATATTCGACTACTTGAAACTCGAAAACCTCATGATGAGAAGCCCCTCCGTATTCGAGAAAGCTCACCTTCCCGCAGCGTCAGCCGCATATCGAGGATATGGAAAAGGTCTTTGTAAGAACTATCTCGATTCATACAGATGCGAGGAAGAAGAGTGGTATTTTCCCTCGAAGAATATCTTACATGTGGATTTGGGAATCGAGAGTTTCAGTGGGACGATCATAGATTTCAAAGACGGCCAGTCGACCATCACTGTTGAAGGATCGTTCGTGGATTTAAATTTGGGATATCAAGAGGAGAAAGCAGATGAGATTTACTGGAAAGCCATCGGCGAGAGGATCCGCGAAATGGTCTCATCGACCAAGAGGAGGATAGATATTGATGAGCTTGTACTCTCTGGGCCTTCAGCTAATACATCAGGACTCAGAGTCGCGCTGAGGGAAGCGCTACATGATATGGTAGAAGAGGAAGTCCTTTTTTCGCTGAATGAAGTTGACGACGCCACTCTTGCTGATGGACATTGGACAAACACATACACCTTTGCAACAGCTCGCGGAGCGGCAGAGATTGCGAAGCGTAGACAAGAAGGGCCTGTGAATTGCATGCAAACCGATGAATGCAAAGAGTTGAGGCGACAGGTTCATGATGGAACTTTGCCAAAGGAGAGAATGACAAGATACGGTGACAGACAGGGACTATAACCTGGAGATTCAGCAGCACTGAACACGCTCTTTGCGTGTGTTGTTCGGGACTGGGCGTTTCGTTCAGTTCGAGCTGAGCTGGGCTGGGCTAGGCTGGCAGGTCAAATATTGCCATATGCACAAGAAGCTATCTGTGTTTACCATATTGTGCATGCGCACGGGCATCAGTGGGCTACCATTTGCCACCTTTGCCCTTTTTCTTCTTATTTGCTCCTCCGCCGCCTTGCTTTTGTTTTTGCTGGACTACTTCTCCGCCAGGTGTCGCGGGCCGGCTACCCTCACTTTCGTTCGCAACAGCTCCTTGTGAGAACAGCGCTTGTCTCGCTTTGGCCTTCTTTCCCTTGGGTCGGTACGTGCTGCGATCACGGAGAGGCAGCCATCGCTCCGGATCTGATTTCTTGTTCGGATCATAGTCTTTGGGTAATCGCGACTTGCGCAACTTCTTGGCTTTCTTCGGTTTCGAGTCCTCTGCAGGTCTTTTACGTGTCGTGGGAGCGGCAGATGGAAGTTGTGCTACGCCTGCATTTTCGAGCGCGTCAACGTCGATTGAGCTGACCAGACGCTGTACAGGTGTCAACGAAGCAAGGTCTTGTTCCGAAGCTGTTTCTGGTGACGCTGCTAGTAGGCCTGCTGCGGCATAGCGATCGCTGGGGTCGGCTGCGTGTAAGTCTTCAAAGATGTCCTTCGCCAATTTCAAGCTATCAGAGCTCTCTGTTTCCAAAGATGCCTTGCCAGCGGCTTTGAGTAGATGAGTGACGCCGGTCGGTCTTTGCTGCGCTTTTTGTCTATGATGTAGAGCAGCTTGGGTAAGCTCCGCTCGAGCATTTCCTTTGCGACCTTGACTGCGGTACAGGCTGACCTTAGTCGCGACAAGCCCAGGAGCGAACCGTGCACCATCGTTTTCGCTGAGTCCTTTGGTAAAGTTCTCCAGCAGTGAAATGGCAGCGGCAGGGTTCCCGCCCAATGTGTAGAGTTGAGCAATAGTGAGAGCAAGCCCGATGTCATGCGGTCGTCTCTCAAGCACGGGCAACACGAGCTTAAGTGCGTCTTTCCCGATTTTCCCCTTGGCATGGGCAGCAGCATTCGCCACTGAGAGAGATGCGACATATGCGTCTGTACTCGGCAGAGACTGTTTCTTTAGCGTCTCTGCTGTGGACTCGGCGGTTCCGTCATATTTCAATGCTTGTAAAGCGATCGCATGCCGGTTCCGTTGCAGTATCGAGGTCTGAAAGTGGAAAGGGTAGTCCGGTTTGAAGGAATCGAGGTCTTTGCTGACTAGTCGCTCCGCGATGTATGGTGAAGGCGTTGAAGTTGCGGCAGTGCTGTTGACCTGTGCAACGTGACGCGTCACAGCATCGCTGATGGATTTGACGTCCAGACTCTGAGCCAATTCCTCTGCTTCCTTCTCTCTTCCCAGCCGGGAGAGCACGTAAACCCTCTGTACTCGGATTGGCAACAATTCTGCTTCTCGTTCCTCTTCGCTCAGGTCTTCCAGACTTGCACAAAGATCAGCTGCACGTTTGAGCAGCACCTCGCCTTGGCCCAGCTCTCCTCGTGCTATGCTCCCACATGCTGCGTTGTATGCCGTTTCGAATGCTTCCAGATCTTCTCTCTCCGGCTTCTTCTTTCCTACCAGTTCCCCTCTCCCAGACCACTCTAGTTGTGCGTCCACCGCCCCACTGTTAATGCGCAAGTCTGCTTCGGCATCATCGCCTAGGTCTCCTGCCAATTGCTTGTACAGCTGTGCAGCTCGCGCAAAGTCCTCTGTCCGGTACCGCGACTGTGCCTCGACATGTGTGTACCCACGCGACTGTGCCTTTGCAGCCAGGTCCGCTGCCGCCGCTGGATTCCCGGATTTATACAGAGCATATGCATGTTCCAGACCTGCTCGTTCCTTGAGCTGCTCGCCTCCAGCGTTGAGAGCGGCAATGGCATCGGTATAACGGTCCAGTTTCAGCAATGCCACAACCTTCACATGTTGCGCCTCGAGATCGTTCTTGGACGATTTCAATGCCGCATCGGCGGCTCGCAGAATTTCGTCATCGTCGCGGATAGTGGATTGCTTCAGCGAGGAAGCGAGGGAGGCGAGGGACATGTCGGGAGGCGTTGACCGGCTATCATCAGCTCGTTTCGGCGGTTGTAAGTGAAGTGTCGAGCCTCCAGCGTGGGTGGCCGTGTGCTGCCGCTTCATCAACGTGGTTAGATTCGAGTCGATATGCTTGGCATCTGCCCCACATCGCTTCCTTTCCCTCCCACTTCACTTCGCCCTCCACTCCCGATATCTCCATCCACCTTTGCCACCCATCGAATAGAGCTAGACATATCGCATCGCCCGAAGATCGCGCATTCACTCTGCTTACACCATCCTGGAGTCTATCGGTGTCCTCGGTCGAAAGCAACTGGCCGCAGTTGACATTGACATCTGCCCAGATGGAGAAAAGAGCTTATCTCCATCAATGCCGACTATATCAGCACTCTTACTATCTAGATGTGTCGTGTCGTATACGGCGTCAATTATGAACCACGAGTTGCTATGAGCCACCCCGCAAGTCTCCTTGCCCTCTCTTCGGAACGCCTTCCTCTCACTATGCTAGCCCTTCCTCCACTCAAACGCAATATCACTGCCGAATATATCCCAACGCTGGTTACCGTAACACCTGCAAGGCCCATCCCACCAGTCTGGATCTCTGGGGTTCCCTTTCGGGTCAAGTCCTGTGCGCGCCGTGTCATTCCCTATCACACCTCTTTGATTTCCTTGGCGGTCTCTGTATCCAGAGTACATGACCTTGGCATTCATGTAGCCCTTCACACAGATGAATATACAGCCGTGGGCTGGATATATCTTGGCACCGGCGTTCCTGCCTGTGAAGCCCAATTCGTTGTGCCAGTAATGCACTGCCAGGAGCTCGGCTGGGATAAACAAGGTCAGTGCATGTGCTTGGATACGAACTTGGAAAGTACTTGGGATAAAGGACTACTCACAGCCGTCTTCTCCATGCCAGTGTCCCATAATGGTGCCAATCTGGCCTGAGTTACCGTCCCAGTCGATGCCTCCCGCAAGACTGGACGTGACTTGTCAGCTGCTGCTAATGTCTTTAATAGAAAGCTTATATGGCTTGACTTACGACATGCAAAGCACTTGCCAATGGTTACAAATTTGATGTTTCCAACCAATGCTTGGGTACTTGACAGTATGCGAAAGACTGTATCTTGCGTTCGCAATCACCTGAGCCGTGGCATTGGTCTCGAACGATTCGCCATACAATTCCTTGCATGGAGGCAAGCTTCGGGAATAGAGTCGACGTTCCATGGCATCGGTTGGATCGAATGACACTTCGTTCAAGGCGCTGCCATCCTGAGCCATGAGAGCATCGACGTCCTCGGCGATGACAGCATCGACTTGCTCGGTTATGAGGACACGAGCGTCGACACACATGGCTACTGACACGCCCAACAGGAGGTATTCATGGAGACGCATGGTCGTAAAGAGATCGCAAAGGTCGAACAGCGGATGGCAGTACCAGATAGTCTCGACGACAGGAGCTTTCGATGGTCTTCAGTCGGGTCTCGCATCTCGGCCACTGCAAGACCATTAAATATGTGCCCTAACGCAGCGGTCGTCCACCTTCCGGATGTAGCGATCGATGGTCCACTTTCCACATGTATCGACGTTTGTGAGTGCGTGTTAGGTACCATCCTGCTGCTGCTGACCTCTGAGATGTCGACAACAGCATCCGGAGCAATCCGTTCCCCAATTAATGTCCATACTCCAACAAGATATACGCCTCCCCAGGACATTCCAGCGTCGACTTCACACGGCTAGCATGTTACCGACACTTCATTCGGACGAGCGCTCGTTCCGACTCCAAATAGTAACGCGGCCGCGTGCAAAGGAACGAAGAGATGATGTGTTCCAACGCCAAGGACTATCTCTGTCTTCTTCGCTGCCAGAATACACGGCGCTACACTCACTCTGGGTCCAGACTCCTCCTTCGGCCAGATTACATTCGCTTGTACTCCGGCAGTCATCATTCGTCGTTGACCTTCTGGAAGCTCCACGGCCCCAGTCGCAATCGGCTATTCTCTGATACGACATAAACGACGACAAGTCACGGAGCTCTCTGGCAACGCGGCGATAGAGACCTACGCTTATGGCAGAAAAGCTCTTCGAGAACGTCGACCTCGGGCTACAGTTCTTTCGAGAACGTTCACGTCTGACTACAGGCTCGTCTATCTATTTGCACTGCTCTTCAACAACGCTTGGTAAGAACTACCACTTCCGCGACCAGTGAAGCAGGAAACCCTCGTACAGAGTGAAATCGTTGCGTTTGACTGCCCTGCTCCTCTGATGGCTCAATTCATTGACAAGATCGCTGACCAAGTTGTGACTTGCACCGTCCGCTGTAGCGTTGCACATCTCTTCCTCCAGGCTTGGCACATGTTACTGCAGTATTATTCGGAGTGCGACTCCGACGATTCTACCTGGTATCGAGTGATGGAAGCCAACTCTTCGGTCCTTCCCGTCGACTGTGTCCGAGCGACACGACGGGTGACAAGGTACACCATTTGGGACTAGTTCAAACTCTACGTCTGCCCAAACTATTTCTGGTGAATGCAAGACGACCCATTGGAGGCACCGGACTATGCGTTGTACTTTCCGTGCCATGCACCAGGATCTTGCTGAATACGAAAACCTTTTTACCTGTCCCAAGCTGCAAGTGCGCGTTTCCCTAACAGCAGCATCGCTCCCGAAAAGTTAGACTTCGCGTTGTCTGCGCACCCTGGGTCGGAAGTAAATGAGCGGGACAGCAAATGAACGGGATAACGAGTTCATGAGCTCATGCTTAGGGCTCCGCATGTCATCTGCTATCCTATACCTGATCATGACCGCGAAGGAAAGGCGGTCATCTTCACTTCTTACCTCTCGCTCGCAGGCCGTTCAGTATGCTTTGGCTCTGGCTATCCAGCTTACTGGTGGTTCACGCCCTGCCAAAATATGACTTTTCCACTCGTCCGGACGTTGTCGCTGCAGCGCGGGGGCTGAGTACGGGATTTGGCAAGCGACTTTCGAAGCGACAGCAAGCATGGACAGGTTACCCTTCATACTACTATGATACGAGTGGATGGCCTTATCAAGGCCCATATCAATACTCGAATTCATACTATTATCCACAGTACTACGATCCTTACAGCTACTATTATCCTCGGCCTTCGACTCCTCCACTGCGAGACGACTTGGGCCCGAACCCTCCATACGAATCGCCAAAGTCATCATACAATCCGTGTGCCGACCCCGACAGCGTCAACTGGACAGTGGAGTGCAATGGTGGCGGGTCTCAGAAGACGACGAAAATTGACGGAGGCGCGCATTCCCTCCAAGAGACAAATACGTTTTTCACTTGGAAGTATGGACCCAAATCGCCCTTCAACCAGCCATTCTCATCAGTGGGCAATCCAAGTCTCAATGGCAAATTCAGTGGCGACAGCAACGACAACGACAATACCAATTGTGTCGGTGGCATCGACCAGTTTGGCAATCCATGCACGGACAACAGCAGCAATGGGAACAATAACGACGGTGGTGATGGGGGCGACTGCGTCGGTGGCTTGGACTCACTTGGGAATGCTTGCGGCGATAATAACAACAATAATAACAACAACAACAATAACGGTGGTAATGGTGGCAATGATGGTGGTGATTGCACAAATGGTTTCGACTCGAATGGCAACGCATGCGGCGGCGGCGACAACAACAACGGCAACGGTAACGGCAACAACCCACTTCTGACGAGTTTCGTTGCGAACCCACGAGCTCGTCGACCTAATGGTCGCAACGGCCGGAATGGTCGCACTAATCGCATCAACGGCAACGGCGGCAACGGCAATGGTAATGGGGGCGGCGATAACAACGATGACAACAATGGTCTGGTCGCTCCGAATCTTAACACTGCCACGAATGCGAATGTTGGGGTCAATCCAAACGTGAACCCCAACATTGCGGTGAACTTGCAACGATGAGTTTCGGAGGAGTTCATGGCGAGGAACAGCAGATGGGATGAGACTCAGAGTTTGGGTTTGGTTGTTGTTGCATTATTTCATTTACTTCCGCAGGCGCTTAGATCGACGCGCTCTCGCAACAAGTGTCTTTCTTTTGGTGTGTACAAGTACGTCTCGAACATTTCCCTCCTTACAATATGCTGCGCCTCGATACTCTAGACATAGATCCAATCGAATCAGAACGTGTTCGTCGTCTCCATCGCCCAAGGCTCCACCATACTGCTTCCGATTCATCCAGCCCGAACATCGATATACACTTCCAGAATCCCAAGCTGCCATGCATTCGAGATCACGAGCCGCTATGGATTACTGGTCATGAGCACGAGCGTTCATCGCATCGTCACGAGGTGTACCCTGCACTTTGCAACTCTTTTTGCCCTCTGCCTTGAGATTGGAAGAGGGCACATGAGGGCCTGGTTTATACTTCCTTGGCGCACCGGAGGAAAGGCGTAAAAGGCATTCGTGATGACAAAACAGGTAGGGTAGCTGCTCCGTCGATGTCAAGGCCATCTCAGCCCTGCATGCGGCCCAAGTCTGATGAGATTCGGGCCAGGAGAGAATAGATGAAGTCCATATTTTCAAGCACGTCTTAGTCATATTCGTGTTACTACGCGACAGTCTCAAGTAATATCATCCCCTTCCTTCGCTTCGGCTCATTTGTTGGCAGAATCGACATTCGTGCGGCGACTGTTCATCTCCCACGCTGGGACATCCTACACTAATGCCTTGCATTATGTGCTCTGATCTGATTCTCGGTCTGGTGCTCGATTGACAGCTTAGGGTCAAAGCATGATGTCAGCAGTATTCATCCAGGTTCATGGTTATTAAATACGAAAGACGGCTTTCGCGCGTGTTCCGCAACTCTCGACTCCAGCAACCCTTGCCGAACTGGAAAGCTTCTGTCAAGCGTTCGCCAACGATGTGCTGTCATGGGTCCCGACTTCATCTCTGCACGCGGCGGCCCGTGTCGCACTGGGAAAGACCAAGTAGTGCTTGACTTGGTTCTGCTTGATGTGCTCCTTTCAAATTTGCGAATTGGCGGAAAGTAGTGAGATCCTACAACCACGAGCGATGCGATACTTTGAGAACGTCATGCACCTCCGCTCGCTGGCAATCGTACATCTATTTTGGTGTTTGTGAGTACGTCCGTGATTACAAAACCAACACATGTCAGCTTTTACCTCCATGCGAACTTTCCCAGCTTTCCAACTGCACGTACATTTCCACGACGTAGCTTCCGTCGTTTACCACTCCCAGTCTCTCGCCATTTCCAATTGCGCAAGATGGATCTTTTGATCTTGCGGGTCGTCAAAATGCTTCTGTGCCACAACTTTGCCATCTTCTTCCGGCTTGATGAAGTACGGACCATCGACATCGCAAGTCACGTGCCCGTCTGGTAGAGTGCCGTTGTACAAGAACTCCCTCACACGCTTTGCGAGACAATTCGATGTCACCGCAACAGAGCAGTGCCCGTAGCCCTTGACTTCCACAAGCGCGGAGTCTTCAAAGGCCTCGAAGGCTGATACAGCAGAGACAAGAGGACAAATTGGGTCATAGGATGTTGACAGAATGAGCAGAGGGTGGGCAGTCTGTACGCCGAGCTTTTGCGTGAAGTTGTGTGTGCGCGGAATAGTCCATTGCTGGCGGAGGTAGTACCCTGAGTTCTCGGTAGGAATAAAGATGCTCTCGTTGACATGGGAAAGAATTTGCTTGAGGAGCGTCTCGCGGTCTTGGGGCCAGCCGGATGCGGGACCGGAGAGGCCGTCGTTGGAGGTCACGAATTGATTGGCCTCGCCTTCAATTCCGAACCCTCCGTTCTTGCCGTACGCGACCCAAGCCGCGGTTGCGTTGCCAGAGAGGAGCTGAGCGAGATTGTCGGCCAGATTATACCAGCTCGCAGGCTTGTAGAGGGAAGGGAAGATTCCGTCGAAGAGGACGTTTTCATATGTCAGCAAGCCGTAATCAGAAGCGTTCAGGAATACGCTGAGAGGCTGTGCTTTGAGGTCGGCTAGGTAGCCGAAGACCTTCTCGTGGAGTTCATCTTTGGTCTTGGCGTGCGATGAAAGTGAGCAATTCTTGCCAGCTTTGATGCATTCGTCGAAGAAGCCTTCAAGAACGTCTTCGGTGTTCGTGAATTGTTCGCCGTCAAAGACGTCGCCGTACCACACGAAGTTATTGGCTACTCCATCGATGATGACGCGTGTAGATCTGTTTGGGAAGATAGAGGCATAAGTCTGTCCCAAGACGGTGCCGTAACTGTCGATAGAGTTAGTAGGAGAGCAACATGGTTCCTGCCAATTCTGTCTTTACCTGAAACCCCAATAGGCCAAATCCTCCTGCCCAACTGCGTCGAGAATAGAGTTCATATCTGCAGCGGTTTGTGGTGTGTTAATATAACCGGCATGCTCTCCCGTCGTCGCCTCGCATGCTTTGACGAAGTTCTGAGTCCAGGCGTAGACTTCAGGGCTGTCGTGCACGATTTCTGTGTCTCTAACATCTGAGAGTTGTTGGGCGGCCTTTTTGTCGGGATAGCATGATGCAAGAGGACCGGAGCCGTTGATACCTCTTGGATCAAAAGACAAGAGATGATACCCATCACCGACAATTTCAGAGAGTTGCTTGCCTCGGCGGTAGACGAACTCAGCGCCAGAGCCTATTTGATGAATCAGCAACAGCCCTTGGGTACGCGTGGGCGCAAAAAAGTAGCTGCTTTACCTCCAGGACCACCAGGATTAAGGAGCAGGTTAGGGCTTCCGTCTTTGCCTCGCAAGCGGATCAAGGAGATGTTGAAAGTCTTGTCTCCAGAGTTGGTGAGGTTGAACTGATCCATTGGCACGACAATGCTGCTAGTCTCCAAATGGCGTCCCTCGATCTCGCCAGCTTTCTGCCATGAGATCTTCTCGCCCTTGTATTGAGTACCGTGATGGCATTTGTGATGCTTTCCGGTGAAAGAGGGAAGAGTTGGTGCCCATGGGTTGGTCAAACAGAAGGTGGCAACGAGAACAAGGGCAACGACTTTGCGATGCCATGAAGGGCGGTATGGTTGCTCATCTTGCAGCACATATGGCTCGTTCTCCTCCACGGGCAGTTTGCTGTATCTCATGATTGATAATGAATGCGTGTAGTTGATGTTGCCTGGAGCAAGGAGTGGAGAGTGTCGTTGTTGGCGACCCCCACCCGACAAGCCGAGAGCGAGTGGTCTGTGCAGAGATCCTCCACACTTGACATCCTTCACAAACAAACGCAAAACACACTTGCTCCGACATCGACATATTCGAAACAGCACAAAGAAGACAAGATATGCCTCGAATGCTCTAATATCCACTCTGGTGTCGAGACACCAGCTGTGACTGTACGACCTGCAGAAAGCGCATGTATGATCGCACTGCGTCAATTTTGCCTGCACCGCACCCATGCCAAACGCATCTCTTGTGCGTTGGCCGAGAACAGCAGACTTTAAGGGCATGCGAAATTTTACTTTTGCCCTTCGACTTAAGGTCTCCGATCAAGACGAACAGCTTCATATCATGGAACTGATGGCACAGGACACTCTGCACGATCTTTTCCGAATGCGGCAATGATTCAGGATATCTGGTGCTTTTGAAACACAGCTGCCGCCTGAGACACCACCAAACCGCCGTTCTTGCGCCACGCGACAACACATGGGCAGTCGGATCCAGAAGTCGCTCGCAAAGTATGTTGTGACAGCGTAGATGTCTCATCCTTCAGCTGTCTACAGAGTGTGGCTGCAGCCCAGGCTATGCAGGTACCAGTCTCTGGTGCAGGTACAGCTCGACACAGACTGGCCAGAGGTCCTCCATCGGGCATTTTCGCTTAATGCGTCGAACGATAATTTCTGATTGCTCAAGTTCAGCACATCTTGTGGTGCTGTAGCTCCAATGCCTTGGACCTAGACGAGGAGGATTCCTCCTGTGACATCAAGGTATGGTAAGTTGAGCATGAGATCGGAGGCCTAGATTTCGTGCTCTCGCTGCCGAGTACTGGTAGTTACAGGAGAGTAGTATCGATCAGTGTCTATAAATCAGGCGAGGTCGCCAGTATCATAGTCGTCTATACTCACACCAATCAGCCAGATTCGAGCTCGCTTTGGACCATCAAGCAACGCAATTCTTTTTCCCGCCACTTCTCAAGACATCAAAATGAAGACGTATGCTTTGATCCTCATCGCAGCAGCATCAGCTCTCGCTGCACCTGTAAGTTACGAACCGAGCAGACAGATCCTCAGCAGCCTTTTGACAATCATAGATCGACTCTCCACTCCTGGCATACGGAGCAAAATACGGTGCTGATAAGACCGGCGTTGGACTTGGAGCTGCACTCGCGGGTGCTGCTTCTGGCGCAGGTGTGGGCGGAGGAGCTGGCAATGGAGGCATTGGTGGCGGAGGTGGTCTTCGCCTCGCCAATCTAGCTGGCGTAGAAGTCGCCGGCAGCTCCACAGCTGGAACTCCAGGTGGAGGCGTTGGGCTGGGTCTAGCTGTAGCAGCACCATACACTGGACTTGGAGCGGGGTTTGGAGCGGGAGGAAATGGCATTGGAGGTGGGATCGGTCAGGGAATTGGAAAGTGAGAACAGCGTACGGCCATAGAAGGTCTGTGAGTTTCGAGGAGCGACTGGTTCGATCTCATTCAAAATGTGTACAACTAAAGTCAGCCGTAACAGTACATAACACAGGCGTTCGGGATTAGAACACTCTTCCCTTGACTTGCTTCCTTTCCCTTGCATCGATTCCGCGCCACATCAGAATTGCTGGAAAGCCCAAGCAAGTGATGGCAGTAGCGGCGATAAGCATGTATCGCTGAGAAACTCCGTACGAAGACTGGATAGCAGTCCTGGTAGGGTCACCAATTGGGTAGAGCAGCTGGGTTTCGAGGCTCGCACCGATGAGAGTAGCGTTGGCCACGGTCTCAGCAGGCAATTTGTTGGCAAGATCCTGGTAGAAAGTGCCAGTCCAGACTGCGCTTGCAATAGTTCCGCCAATACCTCCACCAATGGCGTTGAAGACTGCGAGCATGGCGAGAACGATCGCGATATACTGGTGAGTGGTCGCGGCCATGGCAATGACTTGCTGCGCAATGACGAGAGTGCCACCGCCGAATGCGATGAAGATTTGGCACATGACGATCAAGCCAATGTTGACATCTGGTTGACGGAAAGCAATCATGAGAGCCACGCCAAGCAGAGTCATTGGCATGCCGAAGAAGAAACTCTGCCACTTGGTGTCGCCGGTGTAACGAACAATCAATCCGGCAACGAAGGACCAGAAGCAGGATCCCATGCTGTAGATGTTTTGCACGTAACCGGTGCGTGCGAGATCGAGGCCTGAGACAGCTTGCAGGAAGGACGAGAAGAAGGCATTCCAGATGAAGAACTGCACGAAGAGGATGGCAGCGATGAAGCACGCTCCCAGAATCGTGCGATCTTTCAACAAGTGGAACGGAATAACCTGAACGGGCGCGAACTTCCACTCCCAGATAGCAAATGCAAGGATGGTGAAGAGGCCGATGATGATCATAGAGATCACCAATGGCGATCCCCACTGCTCCGCCAGAGTATCTCCTTGGTAGTAGTAGATGTTGAACGGCAGCAGGAAAATCGCAAAACCGGCAATGATAAGGAAGAGTCCGATGATGTCAAACTCGACGAAGTAGTGTTTCACAGATCCGAGAATGCTGCGGCCAGTGTTGCGGATTGGCACCAATCCCATGCGAATCGCCTTGCGCTGATAGTACATCAAGAGGACGAACAGTGGGAGATTGATGATTGGGTGCAGGATAGCGAAGACTCCGAATGCCCATCGCCAACCTGGACCGTCCAGCATAGCTTGTGCGAAGAAGCCAGAGGTGAAGGTAGTGATGAGGTATGGAGATGCGATGTACGCAAGGACCAAGCCTCGATTCTTCAGCTGAGAGGTATCGGCAAGGAGGACACCCAGGATGTAGTTACGGCAATTGCCACTGTGCGACAATGTCAGTCTAAAATCTCCGTCGTGAACGAGAGTCGAGCCTACCCAGTCTGGCTGAAAACCTCAGCAGCAGCATACATTTGCACGCTGGTTGTAGCGGCCATCATGATCGAGCCGATTGTCATCAAGACGACCGACAAAGCAAGACCTTCTGGTCGGCCCCAGATGTCGATGACCTTAGCCATGGGCAATCGAGCAAGACCGGCAACCAAGGATGCGACCACACCAGTAAGGGCAGTGAGACCATGGAGCTGAAACTCGCTGGTCACATATGGAGTCAAAGCCCAACCCATGGGGCCCTCAAGCGCATCGATGAAGTAGATGACCCATACACTAGTCGACAAGATCAGAAAGTGTTCAGTTGTACTGAGGTGTTTGCGTGGACTTACAGCGCGTAGGTCACGTAGAGTGCCCACTTGGGCCAGATCTGAGCAAGTGCTTCCATCTTCTGGATACCGCGCTGCATATCCTTGTGGACAAACTCGTCCTCGTGGTCACTGTCCTCGGATGGGACTGATGCGATATGCTTCGACTGGTCACCAGGCACGACGACCTGGTCGAATGTCGGCTTCTCGCCGGAGACGGAGGCGGAGCGTTCGACCTCTGGTACGCCCACGTCGGGGTTGGGCCGAAGCCTGCTTAGGAAACCCATACTTGTCTCGTGCAACAAGTACGTCCTAGTAAGAATAGTGAAGATGAGATTGATAAGATAAGATCAAGGATAGAAAGAGCGGTACAGCAGGATAGCTCTTATTTATCTCCAGATGCGCAGAGCTGCAGGGCCCTTCTTTTCCACTGGTCTGCTCGCAATTCCCGGCTGGGCGAGCTTTGGACAAGCAAAACACGCGACATAGAGTTTCTTGAACCCACGCGACAGACCATAGTGGCAACCTACGCGCTGCAAATGGAAGAGACCGACATTCGAGAGCTCCAATGGCATATACCTCACGCTCTCGCCGACTGGGCGACAACCCACGCAGGGTTCTCTGCTTGCAATCAGCTCAACTTCGTCTTCGAGCTCGCATCGTACTGATGTGGCGACTTTCGCCTTGATCTGCTTGGACATGATCCGGATGATCTTCTCCATGTCTGCTCCGGACCCGGCTGACAGTCACATTCGCCAATTCGGTGGCGCAACTTCCATTTTCTCAACCCTTGGATGCCACGAGGTCAAGAGGCACAGTTCGCAGCGTGGCAAAGACTGCAAGGCCAATGGAGGATCTCGCTTGTGATTAGATCTGATGAGATTGGAGAGCTTGTTTTCACCCCACGCAATGAGACTTCGCTCCTTCCGCTAGTCCAAGACTTCGCCAAGGACGCCAGGCAAGCCAGACCATTCGATAGCTCCTTCCGTGGGAGACACCCAGCTGCAGACTTTTCGTGATGCGCGACAGCTCGATGCTACGTTTTTGTCCTCGGCTCGGATGTGTTCCAGCATGGGGAATCGCGTGTTATGGCCGTGGCGTTCTGTACTCGCCGGTTATGGCCACAAGCTCTGTTCGTCTGCTGTCCGAATGTGATGAAGAGGTGCTGGTGTGCGGCGTAGAAGCTGAGCTTCGGGACCGATGCGAGACTTGTGATGGAATGACTCCAGATACTTTGAAAGTGCAGATTCCACGTCCAGTTCTCATTTCGATTTCGATATCGATCTCAAAATTGCAGTCTCCGAAGTCCTGTCGTAGTTGTCGATCGCGAAAGAGGTTGCGCTTGACGGCATGTTGCAGCAAAACACCAGCGAAGTCGGCGATAGGTCAAGTGGCGTAGCTGCTGCCCGTGACTTGGCTGCAGGAAATGCTCATAGGAAGGTAATACCGCCAACCGCTGCAAATCTGCAGGGCTGCAGGGCGAATTGGCGCGTTTGGAGCTCTCTCCGCGGCTGACGGCTTCCACCGTGCTACCGTGCGAAGTGCTCGACGTGTCTAGTTACCTGAGCTAGAAGCGCAAAATGCACTCCGCGTGACGCAGTAAAATGTAGCGTGGCAGTTTCTGCCAGACAAAGGATCGCTGGATCGCTGCAAAGCTGGAAGAAAATGGTTCACTGAAGACCTTGTCGTTGGTGATTAGCAGCTGATGCATAAATTTAGGAGCCACGATAATTTTGCGCAGAGTGAAAGGCTGTTATGATGTGACCACTGTGCACTATTGACTGTCAGTCGTCGTAAAGTATGACGTGATACGCACAGATTGCAAGAAGAGTGGTGATAGCTGTTATACACAGAGCCCCAGCGCCGCGCTATGCCCATCTGATGTACAAAATCTATCGTATGCTGCCGCTACCTCGCCTTTGGCGGATCGTGCGAAAGTCGGAAGGAAGAAGCGCTCTGCCGTAGTCGCCCTTGCCGAATGTTCGCATGCAAATCGTACACCTCTTGGAATCGTCCGCTCGCCTGAAAATATTGTATGTATGCATTACTCCTCAAATACTGTCTTGCGTACCAGCTGCAACATTGTCAGTTGGTGTTTCGAAGCCCCTGAAGTGTGTTCACTTACCGCCCAGGTTCCGGCTAATGAGCCGACAATCGCTGAAGATATCATCATTGGCCGCACACCCCTGGTAGCCTTGAAAACAGCCCCACTGATGCTGCCGGCTGCTATGCTGTTGAACGCATCATGTTTCCCGCGATAGTAGCCAATTGTGCTGTTGACGCCGTTGTACATCATTGCCACCACGCCCGCTGAATTACCCAGGAACGGTCCTCTCCTTGTTATGGAGTTCAGTGCAGAGTTGAGTCTCAGCTTGGGTGGGGCAGTAGAAGGCAGCTTGCTGAGTCCTTCCCGCAGACCCCACGCGCCTCCAATTGTCAAGCCCGTCAAATATGTCACGCCTGTTCCATAACAGAGGTCATCTGACCATCCTCGCGATGGCAGTAATGACTGACTGCCGGGTATGTCTGAAAGGAGGTCGTCTTCTAGTGAAAGGTAATCGAGCGTGTCTTGGTTGAGACCGGCGAGGGGATGAAGCGCTGCGGGATCGAACGACGAGGGCGTGTTGATGAAGCTGCCAACATCTTCTGCCGTGGGTGTCGTAAAGGTCGGCTGTGCTATTTGGTTGCCGGCTTGGTCGTGGATACCGTCCGATGAGCTGGCGCTCGCCGTCTGCTTGGGCTTGCCCGTGAAAGCGTCCCAGATACCCATGGTGGGCTGCGCGCCGATAGCACCGAGATGGAAGGAGAGGGCGGAGGGCGGACGTCGCGACGGCGGGAGTGTTGGCGGCGGCGATAGGGAGAGTGATGATGATGCGCCTGGAAAAAGTTCGAAGCGTGTTAGGAACGATTGCGGAAGCAAAGCCGAGCGGGCCGACCTGTTCCGAGGACGACTGTTTCCCAAATTTCAGCGCTCGCTATAGCAACAAGTCATCCTCCGCCGGCGACGCAATGTGCGCGACTAAACAGAGCAGAGATGCTCAGTTGCTGGATGAAACCCGCTTGAAAGGCATTTCGAGATCAATCCGCGATTTTGTGCCAAGATCGGCATCAGACGACGATCAGTCTCAGGCGACGCAGTAAGAAGGCCATTTTCGACTGGGCATTTTACGCCGCAGTATATCAGCCATGGCACGATGGCTGATGGGTAAGTAGACAAATCTTGGACATTATGGACGATGTCTTGTTCACCAGCGGCTATCCGATCCTCGGGATTGCCCATCGCGTGGCAGCCTGGAACACGCTCTGCTCACTGATCGACCAGTCATCGCAATCCGATATCCACCTCGTCAAGAATGTCGTGTGGGACCAGGACGTTTGGAAACGTGCGTTTGAGCTGTACCTAAATCACGCTCACAATGCTCGTCCAAAGTCTTCAAGGCAGCTGCTCGTTACTCTCACCAATGCATTGCAAAAGCAGACCGGAGTCGGCAGAACACAGAGCATAGGAATTGCCTCGCAAACGCTAGCGGCGAGTCTCATTGACTATGAAGATGCGCCCAAAGCCAAGGCTGCCATACAGCTTTTGACTAACCTCCTTGCGAAGCGTATATTGCAGGTTGCAGAGCTGCCTTCGGCTTTCACGTTGCAAAGACCCGGAATTCGGATTGTCGGAGACCGTTTGAATGCCTCGGATCTGCTCGAGGTCTTATTTCGCTGGTTGAGGAATGGCGACTTTGGATCCACCATCGCCTCCGGCATTGCCGCAGTGTTGGACAAGCTCGACGAGCAGAATGCAACTGACACTCCGTCTGGCAGTTCTGTGACAGATGCACGAGTATGGCGAACGCCGCTTGAAAGCGTCTACATTCAAGGCAACGTAAATGTTGACGATCTGCGAGCTCATATTCTCCCAATGCTCTTCAAACGCAAGGACACAGAATTCGCATCTTTCTTGCAGTACCATGGCATTGAGGCGGGGAGGGCCCCCTCTGCTGCACCATCTGGGTCGGATCCATACGCTGGGTTGCTCTATGCAGCATTGCAGACCGGCAAGTCATTCGGTCTGCTTGTCGAGCATGATGGGAATACAGTGATCGCTTTGGAAGGTACAATTGGCATTCCCATGAGCTTTATTAGCAGGCTCTTGTTCGCGAGCGATCGCTCGGCTCGACTTACAGGGCTCTCAATGTTACTCACGTCGCCGTCTGCTTCCAAGCCGCTCACTGCAAGCGCGCTGAATCTGGTCAAGAGGGCATTGGCTACGTTCTTCGCCGATGTTGATGCAGACTTTCGTAGCGAAGTCTTTGGCGCAGTTCAGAGGCATGTAGATCGGCTTCGAGCTGTAACGGCTGCGCTCGACCGCGCCACAAGTCATGGAAAAGGTACTACAAGCTCCACGGAGACACCCCAAGAAGCTGTGCGTCGTCATCATGATCTTCTGAAGTGGTTTCAACGTTTCCTTGCACAAGAACTGCGGCCGACCGCAAGCTACCAACGGCACATATCGGCCCTACGTTGTCTGTCGATTCTTTCGCGATCAGGACTGGATCACGAAGTCGCATCGGAGTTTTGGTCCAAATCAGCGCAAGGTCAGATCAAGTGGCCGTTCAAGATGTCTTTCGTGGGCCCTGAAATCCGACGTCTGCTTCTTGATATCCTTCTAGACCCTTTCGAGGACGTCCGGCATTCTGCGTTCGAAGTACTTAGACTGTATTGCTCGGTGCAGAGTTCGAAATCCGGACCGAGCGCGCAACTGACAGTCACAAATCCAATACCCACGTCGACTGAAACAACAGATCAGTACATGCGAACACTCGACCGCGCAGAGAAGATCATGTACCAGACTGGTCGAGCTGATCATGCAGACGGGGTAGCGTACCTCTACTCGCTTTGGTATCAGTCTAGCATTGTTGGCGACAAGCCTGAGAATACTTGGCAATATGCCGAGGAAAGTTTATTATCGGACGGACTTATCGCGAAGCTTGAACAATTCATCGGTATTGCTCAAGCTGGTCTGTCGGAGGCGGTTGCGCGTTATCCTCTACACGGACTCCTGACAAGTCTGCGTTATGTGCTACTCCAGCGTCAAAAATACATTCGTGATCACACACAGGATGTCATTCCCAGCAGAATCTTCTGTCACCTGCAGCATATTTGGGAGCTCGTCAAGCCCATCTTATGTGACGATGCTCCGGAAGGCTATCTACCAGAAGAGCTGGAAAATACTTCCAACGATACCAAGGAGACTTTAAGCTATTGTTGGCGAGCGCTCAAAGAGAGCAGCTTGTTACTTGGTGTTCTGATATCGTCGGAGTCGGAAGCTGCTGATCGAGTCGAAAGAGTGGCAAAGTGGAGCACACTATGCTTCACTCAATTGGCAGAACTCAGGCATCGGGGAGCATTCTCAACAGTCGCCCAGACCTGGGTAGCTTGCTGCAACCGGGCAAAGGATAGTACAGTAACAGATCGCGCCCAGCTGGATATCTGGTACTCTGATGTTCTCAGGATGCTTCACTCCAACGTTACGATAAATACGCGCCGTTCTGCTGGACTGCCGTCGCTGCTCTGTGGCATATTAGGAGCCGATAGATCAGGCAAGCTAATTGCCCGCGCCGTGGCAGATCTGGAAACTATTGCGCGTCTGGAAGTAGATGCCGCATCAGCTGAAGAGGGCAGCCTGGCGCAGGTGCACGCGATGAACTGCTTCAAAGATATCCTCAAGAACTCCCGACTTGCCGAGCAGTCTGAGCCTTTCCTTGCCAAGGCGCTCCACCTATCTGCCGATGCTTTGCGCTCGGATGCGTGGGCTATTCGCAACTGTGGGTTGATGCTGTTCCGCGCTGTCATCGACCGATTGCTGGGGACGAGCGAAGCACACTTTGACGACGATGTAACCACGCAGAAGCGAATTTCAACCGAAGCCTACCCGCACCTACTCGACGTCGTTCTGTCGCTTCTCAAAGCACCAGCCGACGGTACTACAACGCGATTCGAAGGCGTGTTTCCTGCACTACAGCTCCTACAGCTGACACGCATCCCTGCCGATCGACTCTTGGAAACCTGCGATGCCGTAGAGGCGCTCACAGCAAGCCCCTCGTGGCATGTCAGAGACAAAGCAGCTCGCACGCTAGCATCTCTTACGACACTGAGTGATCTGGTTTTACATCTCGACGAAGTTCTCTCGGAGGGAAACCTGCAAGAGAACAGAAGTCATGGCCTGCAGCTGGTTACCAAGTACACAGTCCTCCGCACAGCGTCCGCGATCGTGAGGCCAGGAGGAGGAGAGGTTGATACTTCAACCGCGTTTTACGACTGCTCATGCCTTGCAACCTCCATTGGCCGGATTTACTCTCTTGCGAAAAGTCCCGTCACCAAAGCGGCGAGCTTAGATGTTGTCCGTGCATGCTCCGACTTGCTGGTCAGTATCAACGCCACAACGCGGCAAGAGCACGACCATTCTTCTTTGATCGTGGCGCTCGATGCTGTTGGTGCTACCAACAAGAGCGCAATCGAGACATTGCGGCACATCCTGACTGGTGCATTGGACGATCCTGCCTTAGCCGTTCTGCGCCAAGCCTGGTCGCGTCTCGTCGCCCACTATTTGATGGCGGACACGAAGACCAACGGTGAACCGCTGACACAATGCTACACGATGATCGTAGAGTTATTGCAGCGAGATCAAGGTGCCGTGCTACACTTCCTGCAGGCACTGCATCCTGCCAGAGTATGCAATAATACTCCGATGTCGGCCTTCGTCAACAAGGTGTGTGCCTATATTATGAGCAGTGGCTCGGATATGGACCTGCGGTGTGTCGCTCTAAAGACAGTGATCGATCTCGCTGAATACGCTGAAACCACTGTTAGGTTGGGTGTTTCTCGAAATTCTTTCCTCTTGGACAGGAACCCGAATCAGCATTACGCCGACCAAATGTTGCGAATTGACACCTATCAGATGGACGGTCTTATGGCGCGACAGAAAGGGCTCGACGAGGACCTCGTGCAAGACATCTCGGGTTGGGCGGATGCATGCGTAGCTGCCATCAACGGCCACGGCATCTACACTCGGGAGGCTGCCGCAGAGGCACTTCGACAAGTAACAAAACTCTGGCAATTTATCAGCACCGAGCCCAAACTCGCTGACTCGTTCCTCCAATTATGCCTCGCAGTCTACGACCTACTCAATGACGATGACGAAGACATTCGCCTGCTAGTCAGCGAGATCGTCACGCAGATACTGGCTGCTGGATCAACGCGCGCCCCTGCCTCGGAGCCGATAGTGGCCAGCCAGAGACTCCTGACATTCTGCATTGGAAGTTGGCCCGGTAGTCCAGGCTTCGTTGCTCATGCATTCCGTCGGGCTTTCGACATCACGGATGCAGATACACTTCCACGTTCCGTCGCCCAAAAGCTCGAAGCTTCAACGCAGAGTGACACCGCACTCTTTGCTGAAGAGAAGCAAAACCTCTACATCGATGAAGCGAAAGAAGTCCGTGTCTGGTCCCAAGTCCTTCAAAAACTCTCCCTACAAGCAGTCGACAAAACTCTCATCGCCAAACTCGCCACATGGGCCGATGAAGGACTCACTGCCCTCACTGCTCACTCAGAAAACAATGTAGATGGCGCCCTTGGCTGGACAACGCAGTCTGAGTTTTACGTTCTCGGGCTACAAGTCGTGTACGCTGTGGAATTACTCTTCAATTTCTCCGCGAGAGGCGCAAAGATCCCATTGCAACCTTCGGAGCTCAGGAAGAAATTGTATACGCTCATTACCGCGCTTGAGAAGGCTGAGGGTAATTGTCTGTGGCGATGGGAAGCGGAGAGGGTTTTGAGTGAATCGCTTTCGTTGAAGATTTCCAGCGTTAGCGGGTTCATTGGGAAAGGATTGGAGGAGCATATCTGAAGGGGGGACGAGGGTGGGAGGCATTTGGGTCTGGGTGCTTGCCATGAGGCCGCGGTCGATGCTAGGAATGAATAGACTTCTTTTTGCGTTCGTACATTCATGCGAGCCCAAACCTGTGTCGAGGACAGCTCGTTATGCGAGCGCTGCTTGGTTTGCACGAAGATCAGATTAGCCAAAGCCAAGCTTGAGTAGCTGTCCTGCTAGTATGCAGCAGTGAGGCTCACCTTTTCAGCTTTGGCCCAACTGCGCCGATTCCGTAAGGTCGCAGTTGGGAAGTTGCTGTTGACCACTCAATGCATGGCGGCATCGGCGGATAGCGCGAGGGGATTGTGGCACTGCAGAGCGCGGTATACTGGGCCTGAGCGATCTGTAGCTGCGCATCATGCTCACTTCCCCTCGGCCCGTTCAATCAGTTTCTCCTCCATGCCCAGTATCTCGTACTTAGTCCTGTCGCCCTTCTTTTGTCCCCATATAACATCGCCTTGAAGATAGACAACCACGCCACCCTTTCCGGTAGCACTAGCTGTAATTCTGAACAGCGGTGCGCCACTTTCAGGATGTGCCTCGCGAAGCGGGACCATCATGAGATCCTCTTCCGCACACCAAGCTTCCACTATATCTCTAAAGTCCGGCACGGGTTTATCTGGCAGTTGGGTTGTCGCGGCAGCTTGTGCTTCGAGCTTCTTGCCGACCTCTTTGGCAATCGGGCGGACTGGTCCAGCAGCGGGAGCAGCCAGCTCGGAGACTGAAACGCCTTCGTCCATGAGGTCGAGAGCCTTGTTAACCATTTCATCTCCTTTCTGCCATTCTTTCGCGACATCAGGATGCTTGCTTATTTTCTCTGGAATTTGCTGCTTCCACCAACTCAGCCATTCACCTACTTCCCCGATTATGGCCCCTTCAGAGGTTAGCCACAGGTGCAAAGTTGAAAGCCATTTCGGGAAGAATTCTGCCACGAGAAGTCGCGCGAAGACTTCCGTTTTGAAATGCGGTTGCCATCGTAGGATGTTCTCGAGGGGCGTCAGATCTTGGTCTGAGGGGTCCACTTCAAATTCGAGCGACAAATGCCGAGCAAGCTTTGGAAGCAGATGTCGGACCAGAATATGATCGAGCTCAGAATGGAGAATATTGCGGAAGTCAGTGAGGCCAGGAAGTACGGTCGCGATGTCCCAATTGTCCAGAACCCTTCGTAATCGGTCTTTGACGCTGGATAGTAAGCTGCCAGCGGATTTAGTGTCGAGTTGATAAGGCGGAAGGTAGGGCAGCCACGGAAAGAGCCATGTGTGTGGTGCAGCGTATTTCAGCGTGACCCTCTTGTGGTGGTGTGTGCGAACTTTTGGATCCCATGTTTTGAGTGCAGATGCGAGCTTGGGCACGATGAGCTGATCCATCAAGTGAGCATATATGAATGGCGGTAAAAGTGGCCGCCAGGATTCTACAAGCCTGACCAAAGGCGCGTGATCGAGGACGTCCCAGTTCGTGATCGTGGTGCGTATTTTGGGCAGCCAGATAGTATGAATCATAGTTTGGTAAGATGAAGTGGCCTTTTGCCGTTTCGACCTCCCGTAGTCTTCGTCGAGCTCATTGACGTGCCGTACAGTCACAACTTCGTCCTTTGTGCCCAGACCGAGGAGAGATTGTAACTGAAGCAGATCAGATACCAGAAGATCGGGCTCTTCAATAGGATCCCATGCAGCTAGGCGTTTCTTGAAGAGTGGGTACAAGGCGCCGATGGCAGCATCTCCGAGCTCGTATCGCTGAACATCATGTTTGTGGGTCTCCTGTAGGTCTTTCAACTTCGCGACTAGCGAGGCCCATTCAGACTCCGTTTCGCTACCAGTCACGCTGGAGATCATGGCCAGGCGCAAGTTCTCCACAGCCTCAACAACAGCCTGCATCCGTTCGACCTCGTCCTTCTGCTGATCTGCTTCGATTTGAATTTGACCTGCGCGCTCTTCAGCGTAGACCTTCTGCTCCTGAATGCCGTGCCAGGCTTCAATAAAAGCTTCCAGCTCCAATCGCTCGCGTTTGGCGATCTTCTCGGCTTCCGTGTCGGCCGTTTGGAACCCTGCTGGGGTCATAAGACCAGCAGCGCTCGTTAGAGTCTTCGTCTGGCTCCCGGTGGCATCGATAATCGAGCTCAGCATTTGCGGTGGCACATCTAATCCCGGCGCCGCGGCTTGAATGTCTGCTGCCGTCCTGTACTTCGTTTTTGGCTTCCGCGCACCGCCTACACCACCCCCTCCCGGAGTACTTGTCCCGCTGCTCACACCTTGCGACTTTTTCTTCCGCGCTCTTCGCGCTTTGCGCTCCTCCTCGCTGCTGTCCTCATACTGCTCGCCGCGCTTTTCTGCCGCCCGCTTCTGTTCCTGCTTGTACTGCTCCGTCCTTTCGCTCACGGCACCCACACCAGCACCTTGCGGTCGCAATTTGACTTCGATCGGATTCACGATACCCTCTCCTTCTTTCCCCAGACCAGAGCCTTGTTTGTAGCCCATCTTGGCCATCATTTTCTGCGCGAATGACAGACCGCCGCTGGCTTTCGGCGCCTTGCGAGGCCCAGCGTCACCACCACCATCGTGCTTGCGCTTCTCCATATTGCGGGAGTCTGGCCCAACCGGAGCGAGGTCGCAATCGAGGCGATTGTGAAGTGGTGGAATCTATGCAGTATGGAAATTCTGACGCGAGTCATGTCGGCCGTCTGGGCGCCTGAGGCAGCAACACCCAAACCTTACACTTACACTTACGCTTACACTTACACTTACACGTACACTTACACTTGAACCTTCCTGCATCGACCACGATAACCAGGCTTGCACGTGTCTCAACCTTAGCCACATACAGCAAGACGGCGATGATAGTGCATCAAGGCGGTCGCTCTCCACCAAGGAAGGCTTGTGATCAGTTCATCATGCTTGGCCAGCCAGCCATCTAAGTTCGACATGCTCAAGAATAGTGGTACACTCACTGGCTCTGACATCTGCGAACCACGGCGCCGCCACGTAGTTACCGATCATGTTGCGAAAAAAAAAATGCCTGCGACGTATAAATCTCTCACAGCTCACTTGCACTAGTTCACAGACGTCGCCAGCTCTCGGGCGAGCACATCGGCCGTCTGTGCTCGACCAGCAAAGCATACAATCATGTCTCGACTTTGGCATTCTCGACCTCGCTCGCTTTTTCATAAATTGCCTCTAGAGGTACGCTTGCCAGTATACGAATTACTGTACACCAACTCTCGGCCTTGCCCGTCTGACCTGCTGGAGATCGGCCCGTTGCTCAACCTCTTCGAATCATTCCCGGACTTATGGCACGATATAGGCGCCTTCAGGAGCGCTTTACACAAGAAAGTCGACCTTAGTGCATTCCATTACCCACACGAGTCGACTTGCAAGCGGAATCTTCCTCATCCTCCACCACGGGCAATCTTCGAAGGGGCAGAGAACAAGATTGTTATCAGGCAGGCATTCTGGCAACCGCAACAGTGCTGCAGTAGCACCTATCGTACACTATCTTATCTACGCTCGTCATTCGACATTCAAGATTTCGAGGTACTCGTCTGCTACGGATGCATGGATTCCCAGCTGAGACACTTGTTGGATCAACTAAAAGCAGATTTCCAAAGTCGAGGCCGCAGACTGCTTCTGATCCCACAATCGCCTGCGGCGGCGAGATCGTGCGGATGTCCAAATGCGCCCAGCTTTCAGTTGGCTCCTTCATGGAGAGCCTCTGTGCCACTCAGTCTACGAAGTATTCCCCTGAGCCAGCCCATGAACACTTTTTCGACTTGCAAAGGGGCTGACGAGTTCACCGAAACGTGGCTCCAGCAGTGCACAGTTGACCAATCACGAAGCATTCAAGAGCGCGCAGTAAGATAAGATGCGTTCTGGTATGAGGATTCTTGTCGTTGTCCACCGGAGGCTTCGAGGCAGCTGACTTGCTCAGAGTGCAGCACATCTTCACGACTGACACCACTACAGTCAGATCGCATAGTGGCAATCGTGAATGAGATGTATATTACCACAAACATAACACAACGCAACTGTCCCCAAACTCTCTTTGCAAAATCTTCTCATGTTCCAGCTAAGCTAAGGTTTCCATCGTAACTCATTCCAGGAATCCACAAGGCCACACATCAAGGACATAGAACAAGCGACCTAGCAGACATGTCCGAGCTCTCACAATCTGATGGCCCATCAACGCCTGTCGAAGACCGCGGGCCTGTCTTCTTGGCAATCTCCATCACCCTCTTTCTAGTTGCCACAGCCTTCTACGTCGCCAGGGTTGCATGGCGGGCTCAGAATCGCCTCGAGCAACGACAAGTGTGGCGGGAAGACCTCATGTTGTCGATCGCGTGGACAGCAATCCTCATCCAAACCATTCTCGGCGGAATGGCGGTTCATCACGGATTCGGGAAACATAAGACAGACATCCCGTCGCCTTCTTCTGTATCTGTTTCACTGGAGTATATCTATCTCTATTGGATCTGTTTCATTTTGCTTGGCACCTTCACGAAGCTGTCGTTCTGTTGTCTGTATTTGCGGGTGTTCACTGGACATCGAAAAATCAAGAGTATCGTGAAGTTGGTCTTGTTATTTACAATCACGTCTGGAATAGCTTTCACTTTGGGAACTGTCTGGCAATGCGTGCCTATACAGGCAACTTGGAAGAACTGGGATGTGCACCAAGAACCTGTCGCCGGGGGCAATGTGCCTGAATGCATTGACAAGACTGCTTTCTTCTACAGTCATGCGTCATTCAATACTGGGCTGGACCTTCTCGTAAGTATCTCAGTAGGCAGATATCTTGAGTTTGCGGGAAATTGCTGACTGGCATAGATCTACGCGCTCCCACTCTTTGCAGTCCATGCTCTACCCAAAGCACGTCCGAACAGATTCGGGCTCTTCACCATCTTTGGGCTCGGAGCCTTTGTCATCGCCGCATCTATTGCTCGCATGGCATTTCTCAAAGACAGCACATGGAACACGGATGATCCGACGTGGGATGGCATGCCAGCATTGACATGGATGGCTATCGAATCGAGCTTTGCAATGATCATTTGCTGTTTACCAGTCCTTGGACCACTACTGAGTGGAAAGTTGCGGAAAGCCATGGCTGGTCTCATCCCAGCGTCATCCCGAGGCCGACGTCCAAGTGCACATGACTGGTACGACTTCTCAGGAGTCAATCACGGATCCAATCCTGGTCTTGGGCGCTTCACCAATATTCACGCCTCGCCAAATGCTTCGCCACTGAACTCATCGTACGACCTCAGCGCAACACCGAAGCCGAATAGTAAGATCGTGAGCAGAATCAAAGGTTCATTGACCAGCTGTAGCCGTTCTTCGGCCAGCAGCGACGATCTTCGGTCTCCGGCGAGAGTGTATCATCCTCCAAAGATTGAGCTCGGCGAGATGTATAGACCACAATCGTCGATCACGCATATTACAGATCTTCGGCAGAACAATGCTTCTCCTGTGTGGAAGCACACGGCTCGGATGCACAAGAACCAGCAAGAGACCCCTTCACGCAAATTGAACACGGGTGTTGAAGCGAGAGATGCACGGCCGCGACCGCCTCAGGGAGGCACTGGCGATCTAGCGGAGTTCCTGCGAGCTGGGCCCCAGGCGCCCGCTGACGGAGAATCTGCGAGCGTGGGTTACGTTGGCAAGGGTAAAGGTCAGGAGAGGCCGCGATGGAGTGAAGACGATACTGTCGACTTGGCGGATTTTCTCCGCGAAGGCCCGCAAATAGCTACTGGAGGCAGGGGCTGAGCAAGTCCTGAGTTGTTTAATGGTCAGAGAGATGCGGTCCGAGACAACGGTTCTTGGTCTTCCCGTGTTTTCTAGCATGAGTACCATCGCCAATGAGCAGCCGATCACATGGATTTCGCACAACGCTTGAATGACATCAATGAGACCACGGTGATTGTTGGCAGCCCCATCGGTTTAGTTCCGTTTCAAGATCTACCACCGCTCGGAAGCAGTACTTGGTGCAGCGTGGCTCAAGGCTTTCGAAATCGTGGCTCGCAGAGCACTCTCCTCGAGGACATCTATACCAGCGGCAGTCCTCACGGACGCAGATGCCTTTTCCTTTAGTGCTGCAGGATGCTCACCGTTTTCTAGTAAGCTGACGGTTCCCCTCAGGACCTGAGTGACCATGGCGTGGGCCTCTTCGCGGTGCACGCCCGAACGGATCGCACCTGCAGCCAGTGATTCTGCGATCAAAGCACAGATTGCCGGACCAGAGCTGCAAAGCGCTGTCGCATTTGGCATCTGATCTTCTTCAAGATATACAATCTTTCCAACACAGTTGAAGATCCAATCGACTAGTTCTCTTTTCTCCTCGTCAAGTTCGGACCCCGGTCTTGCAATGGCAGTCATGCTCTCGCCCACAGCGACTGCAAGATTTGGTGCAGCACGAACGACGATGAAATTGTTCCGCCTTTTCTCGTCATGATTTGACAGAACGTTGAGAAGCTGCTTTCGCGGTATACCGGCCACGATGCTGATGAGCAGCTTGCCCTCCAATGCTTCACGCATGCTGTCCTCAGAGAGAATCTCTTTTGATACACGAGACTTGCATGCAAGAAGAACCATATCTGCCTCTTTGACTGCAGTGACATTATCGTCCTCAAAAACTTGCACATTGGCGTCAAATTTCTCCAATGCAGCGTGGACTCTTTTTGCGCCAGTCGAGCTGCGGACGCAAGCGTTGAATTTGGTGGGTATTTGGTGGGGCCCATCATCACTTGTCTGTGGTTTAGTCTCCAGCGAGGTCAAAAGTCCTTTGAGAAGCGCTGTTCCCATCGTTCCACAGCCAAGCACAGTCATCGTGAGTCCTTCATCTTGCGTTCGGAGTTCGGGCTTCATTCGCACAAAAGATTTGTGCGCGGTATCTTGAGTAGCCAATGCGGCTTTGAGGATCCAGTCTGGTGCTAGGTCGCCAGACATGATGTCGGTAGAGACTACGTCACAGTTTTGCAGGAGTTGTGATGAGGTGAAGTCGGCAACTTGCTGTTGCCATTTCCGTTTTCAACCTTGAGTCTTGGCAGCTGGTTCGACAACATTTCGCCGCCGTAGACATCGCAGTCTCTCTACAATACCACACATTGCATCTCCAGATGCTCATTTCACAACCTGTTTATGCCAGAGATGGCCGAAGTCACAAGCACGATGCATACCGGGAGATGAAGCTGCCGGCTAAATCGGGACCACAAATGGGTTCTACTCAGTGTACTTGACCCAGCAGCTCCTCTTCGTGCAAGCGCCAGGCGCTGCTTGTGAATTTGCGACTCATCATAGCATGCTCGACCCGTGCATGTTTGACACAGAAAAGCGACATTCAAGGTGGAGGACGACCAAACAGCTTACTCGAATGAGGGATGCAACGAGAACGCCTGCCGCATCCACGTGGTTCTGGAATCTGGATCCAAGGAGGCTGACGGGGAACGCTTGCTGGAGATTATACCGAAGCTACTTGAAGCGCAAATAATACAGTGAACTGCCGTATACGATACCTGCAGGACTCGCGTGACTCCGTGACACCAGCTTTCACCCACGCCAGCGCGACTCGCTAGGCATGAAGTTTGCACGCGCCACGAGATGGAGACAGCTGCCTTGGCGATCTTGGGTTATTCACCGACCGCGTGATCAGCCGCCAACTTCGTTGGTCATCACGGGAGATGCTGGAGGGTGTGGGTCTCGTAGCAATACCGAGAACATCGCGTCGCGAAGAAGTAGTGTCTCATGTGCGTGTAGAAAAGAATGCTGGGTGTCAGAAGGTGGGCATGCGAGCCGATGGACGTTCAGTCACAGCCACAGGATGACTGAACCTCTTGGCATCAGCTGATCAAAACCTTCCAGAACCACAACTCGCTTCCTTTCGCCATTCACCATAACGATATCGCTTCCTGTAGGCTCTGCGCTGTCCTATGCACACTCTTAACACGTTCGGAGCCCCCTCGCGCCGTTCGTCTCGCAAGTAACGACTCTTGGACTCTTGGGGCACTTGACTAGAATGAGCAACGAGGTATACATAGCCGAGCCAGACGACCCATCTGTTGCTACAGGATTATTGAAGGTGTGAGACACGGTGCGCAGCAGCATCTCTATGCTTGGTCGACACCAGGGCCTGGCTTGCACGCAAGTTGCTGCCTGGCTACCAAGTGTCCGAAGAACGAAGAGTCATTATTGCACAGGTTTGGCCACATCGCTGGCGTCGTGTGTGGTCATATCTTTCAACGGCACCCGAAGCCCGGGAAAAACCCCATTACCTGCCATTGATCGTTGTGAGCAGTCCTAAGACCAGAGTCGATCTTGGGAAAACCTCCTATCATTGCCATTGAAGCCGACTCCACCTCTGAACAAGCGGAGCAGGCCAGGCGCCATGGCTGTTGTGTGGCCACATTGCCGCCTTGAAAGGCGTGCCAATATCATGTCGCGTGGCATGACCCGGCCACAAAGTAGCTCACTAAACATGCTTCGTTCGTGGCTCAAAACCCGGAATGGTGGCGCCCACGTGTGAGATCTGGAACCAACCTAATCCGCCACACATGATCGTTCAATGGCTGCAAGCAGGGATTGGACGACAGTGAGCTGACTTGCTCCAGTCGCAAAATCGCCTTCACGCGTGTTGGTCTGAACTCTGGGAGCGGACGACACTGCAGCCGAACGCCCCTACCGTGCGTAGCTTCTGCTTAAGCGATTGCTGCACAGATGTATACCGCCTGTACCACGAAGCATGGCAGCTAAACAGAAACTTCGTGGTCTCATTTCGTGCAGCCGCGACATACGGCGTCGCCGACGCTCCTTTTAGAGCGCTACTGGCCCGTGAGCGACTATCTCGTCGTATGTAACGACCGCCGCGCCAGCGTTCGATAGAGCGCTCTTCTCGGATCTTTCCCCTGCGCTTTCGATCCCAGACAAGATGCTGTCGCGGCGGCTAGTGGCACTGCTTGCCTCTGGCCTTTGCCATGCCTCTCCAGTCTCGTTTTCTGAATTCCTGGCTCGGGACAGCGATTCCGGTCGCACTCCAGATATGTAAGCATTTCCCTTTGCAAACTGGACGCTCGCACTCTGCTGACATGTTCCAGCCCTCGACTGAAGCCTACAGTGCGATGGGATCGTCAGTTGGATGACTGGAACGATCTGATCCCTCAGATTGCCCAGCAGCTCTACTTTGGATCTCCCGATCCGTTAGAGAAGCATCAATTCGCCGACCTAACTGCCAACTTTTCCGGAAGAGCAGTTGTTCTCGAACATTCTGTGTTCGTTAAGGATGTACGCTGCTCGACAAATGCTATCGATATTGTGTTCACGGAACAATCTGCATTCGCTATGGTCAAGGAGGAGTGGCAGGCTGTGACAGATTTCATGCTCGTCACAAACTCTGACACATGCGGTGCCCTATTCGACCAGCTCAGCTTTTGGGATGTCTCCACCTTGACCTTCAAGCAGAAGTCTCTGACTGTACGGGCTGCAGTTACCATGGAGCACGACATTGGTGGCGTCCTCTCCCAGGCTACTCTCACATGGGGTACTTGGCAACCTGGTCCCCCTGTCAAGTCCCCTCACTCCAGCGCTGGCCACACTCGGCTCGCGCGCCGAAGCGCGAAGGAGAGGTTGAAGAAAATCGGACGCGGGCTCAAGAAGGCCGGGCAGGCCGGGCAGGCGCTTGGAGGCGCAGCCATGACCGCGATCGAACACACTCCAGGCTACCAGGTCGGCAAATATGCCATAAACAAAGGATTGGAGCTCTGGAACCCAGAATTGAAAACGACCGTTCCGGTAGACATCAAGCCAGAAGACGGGTGGCTCGATACGACTGGTCGCCCGCCTGCCAAGTGGGCAAGACCTTGGAAACTATTCGATGTCAAGAAAGGTCAGCGCATCGATAACGTTGAGATGAATGCAAACCTTGGCCTCTACTGCGTGGATTGTCATATCAAAGGACAAGTTCACGTGGAAGGGCGTGCGCAGTTTTCCACCGACGGTGTTAAGAGTCTCTACGCCGCTTGTGATGCAGACTTCACCGGACAGTTCACCCTTGGCCTGGTCGCAGATGTAAGTGACTGCCAGATTCTTCTGCCGACCTGCAGACTAACTTTGAGTGATAGGGCAGTGTAGCATATCGCAACGAGGCCAAGTTGTTCAGTAGCCACATCCCGAAAATCGGCTTCTCGGTCCAAAACCTCTTGATTGTTGGTGCTTTCATCGACGCTCGTGTAAGTTATCAAGCAGAACTTAATGCCAACGGGAACATCATGGCAGGCGTAAAAATGACCTCGTGCAAGTTCAAGACGAGAATTGACTATGTCAACCCGGAAAGAAGCGAGAAGCCTACATTCGAGCCGAAGTTCGAGAACATCTTCGATGCTAGCGCGGAGGTCACTCTTACAGCGGGACTAAGCGTGCCATTATCGATCGGCCTTGGAGTCGTGATTGAACCGCTGAAGAAAATTGGAAAAGGCGGAGATTACACAGTCACCCTAACGGAACAGCCAGGCGTCAATGCTCGAGCCAAGTATAGTACTAGCACACCATCGCCTCCGACAGATGGTGGCGATAGTGACGGCGGGGATGGTGATGGAGGAGATGGCGATGGAGAAGAGGGTGGTGGCGGCGATGAGGGAGATGGAGGAAATGGTGAGGAGGGCGGCGAAAGAGGAGAGGGCGGCACTGAGAGAAGAGACCTCGTGGTCGTAAGAGACGGCACGGCAAACACTTGCAATGGCATTGATTGGGATCTCAAATGTGAGTGAACTGACCAATGATCCGCCAAGTGACCACATACTGACCCATTCCGCAGTTCACAATCTCGTGTTCATCAATCTCATTGGCGGGTGGCGCCAAATTAGACTCCACGAATTCGAGTCCAAGATCGCGGGCGGATGCATTCCATCGAAAAACAATGCCAGCCACAAAAGGGCTCAGATTGGGGCGGAGAGAACGACCAAACCGCTTCGGGCTCGCGAAGAGTTATGGAATGACGCGGATTTCGACTTCGTGAACAGCTGGGAGAAAGAGTTCGATGCGAGCGAAATGGCGGCTCTTGAAAAGCTAGCGGACGAAGCCACAGACGCTATCGATGAAGCAGATGTGGAATTCGACGGTTATGCCGAGGGAACGGATTTCATCATGATCCAGGACTACACGAACACGTATCAGATCATCCAGGATGAAAAAGGATTCCTCGGAGTGGGAGCGGCTACCGCACAACCGGTGCCCGGGTCTCTTTGGGCAGAATGGGATGGCATTGTCATGACCGACTACCTTGAACGACAAATGAAGTTCAACTCTAAGAATCTGAGAACGCACGGCTGGAGTGATATAACATTGGGCGAGCCACACGTAGATGTGCCAGAGTCGGAAGCCATGGCACTCGTGCCTGCGAAAACCAAGAATGCAGCCCGACCTTATGTCTACGTTGGCGAGGTAAGAGTGGAGAGAATTCTTTCATGGCACGCACACACGCTGACGACCATTACAGACCCTTGACAGCAAGGCTTACACTCTTCTGACTTGTTTCTATACCACTGGAGGCAACCGACGCTTGTTCCTCGTGTCGAGACCAAAGACAGCTACCAGGAGCTTGCAGCTGGCGCAGTCGCGGCTGACTGGCGGCAAGATCAAAGACTGCTATGCACAAACGTGGATGGTCAAGCCTGAGGACGTGGAGATTTGGGCATGAGTTTACGATTCTTGAATGATTTGTATGATCAATGGTTGACGTAGAAATGATAAGCATGAGAGCTGTATGGCAACTCAGAATTGTGTTCACCTCGGACCTGTCTTGGCAGTTCGAAGGATTCGTTGCTTTGTCATGATACGGGAATTCGGGCTTTCGGGGCCTCAGGCAGTCCATGTGCCACCGTCGCCAGTGTTATTGATCTGTCAGCAGGGCTTTGAAGTGGAACATGAGAGAGAACACATAAAGGAGAGGTATCATGTCGTCTACGTTGCCGCATCATCAGGCAGCCATTGGAAGCGAACGGTCCCGATACCCAACAGAGATCGCCCTCTGGATCTCTTGGAAACGTTCTATACAATGGCGTCAACAACGACTGTTCTCGAGAACATCAAGCGAGTTGTGCACATCACAATTGACTCTCTGAACGCATGGGACTACGAAAACATGATGGCCGTCCGATCGAACGACTTCAAATTCCAAGCGCTCCCAACATCACTCGAACAAAAAGAATTGAATCTGGAGGAATTTCGAGACTTATGGCACGATCTCCTAACTCCGACTTTCAAATCGTTCAAGGTGAACTCAAACAGCCATGGATGATCAACATTATTGCTCGGCCATGCTGACAGAAGTCTTAGATCACTCCCTCGCAACGAATCTTCGACGCTGAGAGTAAGAGAGCGATGGTGTACAGTCCGCTCAAGATTACTGTTCCCAGTGGACGAGATTTTGAGTATGATATGATTCAGATCATACACTTCAATGAAGATGGTACTCTGATGACGCGCTTGGAGGAGTTTTTCGACAGTAAGGCTTATCTTGAAGTTCTGGAGAGCGTTTAGAAGCGTCATGGGCAGTGAGTCAAATGTGCCCCAGATCTACCATCATTGAGCCGACTTAGCCTTCACACCTGTATAACAATTCATTACATTGAAAGCGGTCTGCAATGCTGCCAAGCGTCCCCAGGATTGGGGGTCAAACCAGTCTCCATCTCGTGATGCACACAGGCACCCAGGCGTGACAGGTACCAGACAGTCACAATAGGACGGAACAATTGACCCACAGCATTTCCAACTCAAGATCTTGTTGTCTTGTTCAAAATAGGCAAACTGGGTCGCGTAGTGCTACTATTGCACAAGATCACCACCCTAAGTGTAACCAAGAAGCTTGGCGAGAGGAGAGCTCGGTCCAATACTCGCCGACCCTGCATCCTGCAAGACGACATCACAGTGCTGTTGTCACATGCATATAGAAAAGTGCGAGAGAGGCATTGTGAATTGTTTTTGAGATCCCTCTGAGCGTTCGTCAAACATGTTGTCAAAATCGATCGTTTGTCTGTCTCTGGCTGTTGCGGCCCAGGCGAAGTATATTGTGCCTGGAGGGAAATGGCTTGATACTGAAGGAAACTTTGTCAATGCTCATGCTGGTGGTATTACAGTCAGTCATGAGGATAACAAGTTCTACTGGTTTGGCGAACGTAAGACGGAGGAGCAGCCAGAGGGAGGTGGTGTTTCGGTGTACAGTTCTGACGATCTTGGAACGTGGGAGTACCATGGGCTGGCCCTAGGTATGCTCATCAATGCGTACTTCAAGGCGTTGAATTGAGAACGATGCTGATTGAGAACTTTTGATAAACAGAGCCAATCGAAGGTCATCCATATATTGGGCCAGAGCACATCATCCAGAGACCTAAAGTCGCTTGGAGCGATCCTGCACAGCAGTACCATGTAAGCGGTCTTCCATGATCTCATGTTCCCACTGCACAAGAAACTGACTCGTCGTCCAGATGTGGTGGCACGCCGACAACAGCACTTACGGCTGGCTTCTCCAAGGCTTCGCAACATCTCCCAACATCACCGGTCCGTACACTTTCGTCGACGCCATCGCACCTCTAGGAAACTGGTCGCAAGATTTCGGCATGTTCACCGACTACAAAGACGGCAAGACATACGCTCTGTACTCAAATGGAGACAGACGAGAAGGTCGTGATGTTTATCTGACCAGTTTCAATGATGGAATCTCAGAGCTCGACGAAGTCGTATTTCGATGGGATAAATTCGATCTTGAAGCGCCAACGATCATCCAGACCGAGACGAGTTACTGGGCATTGATGAGCCACAAGACTGGATATCGTCCAAATAGTGAGCCTGATTCTCGGTGATGTACATGGACTGCGTAGTGCTGACAATTGTAATAGACGTCGTCGCCTTCCGAGCCGACTCCCTCTCCGGTCCTTGGTCGCAACCATTCTTCGTCTCGGAGCCATACACCAGAACATACAACTCTCAATCCGGCTTTTCGATTCGCATCAATGGTACCGAACAGACCACGTACCTGTACCTCGGCGATCAATGGGATTCTCGCTCTGTCTGGGAGAGTCGATACATCTGGCTTCCGATGCAGATTTGCGAAGAGAACAAGACGCTCGAGCTCGAGTGGCATGATGTGTACGACCTCGATGTCGAGAAAGGTACGTGGAAGCCTGTGGAAGGAGAGACCTACTACGGCAAAGATGCAATCGTTGAAGGAGATGCTTTCAAGCAAGAAGCGAACTTTGCCAGCGGAGGTTTGATCGTGACGGGTATTTCTGGAAATGAGAGCACTGTGACATTCGAAGGTATCGAAGGCAGTGGTAGTCCCCAATGGGTCTCGTTCTACTATCAAAACACAGACGACATGGGATTCGGTGACCAGCCAGGTGGAACTCCGGATCGCATTGGCGGGACTTGGGTTCTGCGACGCATCAGCAGTGTTATTGTAAACGGCGACGAGACCGAGGTGCATGAGCTACGGCAGCGCGATTCTCACAAGAGCATCATCTTGTCGACGCCACTGTTGCTGACGTTGAATGAGGGAAATAACAACACCATTACAATTGGAGGATTGTCCAACGGGAATGGGACGTTGGGTGCTGATATCGATCGGATTGTCGTATATCCTGCAGAGACACAGCTGCCATCAGGGTATTGAGTTAAGACTAGCATCTCTTCTCTGCTTCTAGTGCAGCGAGGATGAAAGCGCTTGTGCCAATCAAGCTGTTCATCACAGTTGGTCTGCTCACATAGTACTTCGAAATTGTTAGTGTCGAGTGCAAAATCAGCGCAGCAGAGTGCACTTACCTCATAATCCACATTGCCACTTAAAGAAGCCACAGAACTCGTGCCATTCAGGTTGAGGTTTCCGTCTTCTTCGGTCACATAATATCGCCTGATGGCTTGGAAGAGTCCAAGTCCTGTGGTTTCAGCTCGCTGTCTGAGAGGTTCGTACTCCAGCCATCCCAACCTGGCTCCCTTCAACATTGAATATGCCGTCATCAAACTGGAGCTTGCTTCAACAAAATTGCCGGAAACAATCTCATTCGGCCTATCGACAACTTGCCAGACACCGTAGCCTCCGCTCTCCACAGCCTTGTCACTTGCATCAAGCTGAGCCACGATGAGGTCATGATAATAGTCTTTGAAAGTCTGTGCAGCCGTGCTGTGGGACGTCTCCGTGAGAGCGATGGTATTCGCAATTCCAAGAGTATACCAGGCCTGCGCGCGACTCCAAACGATGGGACTCGCCCCATTCTCCGAATCCTTCGCCCAAGCATGATCCTTCGTGGGATCGTAGCCATGAACGTAGAGACCATCCTCGCGCTCACAAATGCCTCGGAGAATCCTGAGTTGCTGCAAAGCTGCCTCCTCGCTAAAATTCGTGGCATCCTCTGTGAAGTTGAACTCCTGCGACAAGATGACAAAAGGTGCATACGAGAACATGCCGTCCAGATAGCTGAGATTGTGATACGCAGAAATGTTGGCCTGGTTATCGTAGTACCATAGCCCTCCATTCTCGTTGCGCTTTTGGTCGATCACCGATTGTTGCAAGGCTCGGATTGTCGGGATCATAGTCTCGTCTTTAGTCTCGTTGTATAGCTGAATCATAGCCGAACCTATTGAAAGGCGGTCCAGTGGCAGCTCAGTGTCTCTGGTAGTATTGGAAAGCGTGCCATTGGCACTCGTGACGCTGCTTTCAAGGATCTCCTGCCACCTTCGTCTCTGGCTCGAATCGCTCGTAACGGCAATGCCCTCGCGGAGTGCCTGCTGGAAAAGGCCCAGCTCGATTTGACCTGTGGACGCATTGCTTGCTTCGAGACCTTGCCGTCGCGCAATGTTGCTTTCCAGCATGCGGAATGCCAAATCGCCGCCATAGGGACATCCGGTATTATGCGCAGTGCCGAAGCCGAAGATGGCTGCCAGGAGCGTTGCTGCTCGTGCTATGGTGATCATCTCGAATAACGGAGCAGTGACTGGCACTCGAAGTGCTGGAAATCTGACGTTGAGGCATGACTGCCTCTTACGAGAAGGATGTTGTCGTCTCAGGCACTAGAACTAGTGCAGGGGTCCATTTGCAGATCATCGCTGACATAGGCATCATTCCCCGTGCCAGGTGCATCTCACTGACGCCGTTCGGACATTGCGGACCTGTCATGGTGCCGCGCGTAGCGATGTAAAATCTTACGTAAGCGCTTACAATCCGCTGGTAAGCCAAGGAATCAGGCTGTAAGGCATCCGTAAGCGACCTCTCCGCACCTACTATGCGATCTATAGTACTTTAACTATCTTATACCTATCGATATATCTTAATAGGC